AGAGATGGTCATAACGATGTTAGAGGGTCGAAATTGTGGGCTAGTGGTGGCTAAACGTATACATTTTGATATGGGGCGTCTTTCTTTGTCAGATTTGCCAGTAATTATCTGAGCACTTGAGTTTGTTATGGTCATAATTGCACATCTTGCATACCTTCTCTTATCGTAGTGGCAGCACTGTGGTGAATGTCAGCACATTCATGGATTCTCCACCTCAAAATTTCCTGCAGTCCCTTCTAAAGCCCCTAGCCGTTTGCATCTTAAACTTATCGGCGCTTAATACTTACGGTATCGGTCTTTGGAGGGAAAAACTCTAATGACACAAACACATCGTCTTTGCCCAAAGATTGCACTTTTTCTTTGATCGTACTCATTCTGGATGTTTCACTGGTTGAGCAGCTGGCGACTGAAAAGACAATTTGTGCCATAAGTGACTCGGGATTTTTTTTTGTCACGCGCTAGGATGTAGGAAAAAAAGATGATTGGGCAGGACACTACTACATGGGCAGCAAAAATTGCCATCAGGGTTCAAGGAGTGAAAGCAGCTGGAGCAAGCCGTATAGTTTACATCCCAAGTTTCCAATAGGGGGTTATTATTTGTTTTCCCTAGTGATACGGATTACAATCATTTACAGGTATCAATCGTGTCTGATAAACACTTTGAGACACACCTGGATTTAATACTTTGAAAAGAGGCCGCCACTTGATTAGATCGATCGCCCTGCTGAGCCAGTCCCCTTTCCCAGCAATTCTGCTTATCAAGACGTCAGGATTTTTAGCTCCAGTATTTTTCCATTCCTTCAGCAGACCCTAGCTTGTAATTGATAGGGTTTGTCACCATTTTTCGATCTGTGACTACCCCAGAGCACTCTTGGTACAACCTGTTGAGTGGACGAGAAACAGCTCAGAGCCCTGCAACTCTTTTCTTTACCGAGGCTAGCAATTGCTACTTCAAATACAATGCCATCGAATCCCTTATTCGTCCCGGAAGATGAAGATGGCTATAACGAAAGCTCAAACCAGAGTCCGGTTCAATGTCTAGAGAATGACACGACTACCGTTTCAAATGGCTACAACGCTCCCCTGTATTCACCAGCAGAGATAGAAGATTATTATGCCCCTTCATATGGAACAACACTTTCTCAGGATCTCCCAGTCATAATGGAGCCTATTGCGGATGTTCCACACCCCCTCTCCCAGATCGATGTGAGCCTTTCGGTTCCGCTCAAATTCCAGCAGCAAATAGTACAGGACCTCGTCACCGAAGATGGATTGCTCATCCTTGGACGTGGCTTGGGCCTTGAATCTATCACAGCCAACCTTATCCATGTGCTCAGCGCGCCGATTGTACAGCACAACAAGGTCCACAAACGCAGTCTCGTGATCGTGCTCAACGCATTTAAAGACGAGAACCACAAGATTGCCGAAGATCTCCGTGACTTGAGCTATACGGATTTTGATATTGGAGAAGAAAGACGGCCGTTTATCGTACTCGGAGGCGATGTATCTACCACGCTGAAGAAACGACGGGAGATCTACCAGCGTGGCGGGATCATTTCCATCTCATCCCAGATTTTTGTGGTTGACTTGCTCTCGGAGATTGTGGATCCTAATCTCATCACAGGTATCGTGCTCCTTCACGCCGAACGGTGCAATGCCGACTCGAATGAGTCATTCATCATCAGTTTATACCGCCAGAAAAACAGCTGGGGGTTCCTCAAGGCACTTACTGACCATCCAGAAGCCTTGACCCACGGCTTCCTGCCGCTCCAAACTAAGCTCAAGGCACTCCAGCTCCACACAGCGTTTCTCTGGCCGCGCTTCCACGTAGAGGTTAGTCTGTCGCTCAAGGTGAACCTCGACCGGCGAAAGGACTTGACCGCTGATCAGCGCCTTAGGGGAACGCTCACTGAGATCAAGGTGAAAATGACCGATGCGATGCGACGGATTCAGATCGCAATTCTTGCGTGTATCGAGGCACTAATAGCTGAACTTCGGCGCCAATGTCCGATGCTTGTGACCGACTACTGGGTCAAGGAAAACGCGTTGGATCCGGGGTTTGACCGCCAGATCAGGCACCAGTTGAGCCCTCACTGGCACCGGCTCACGTTCACGGCGAAACAGGTGTGTGCGGACCTCTCCACGCTCACCGCCATGCTTGACAGCCTTCTTAACAGCGATTCTGTGGCGTTCTACCAAATCACGCAAGAGATCGTCCAGGCGAATATTAAGACTGTTGCACAGCCAAATCCCACGCAATCGCCATGGCTTGAAAATGAGGCCGCGGATACCGTGACATCGTACGCCACCAAAAGAGTCTTTGAAACCACGAGAGACCAGTTTACCGGCACGGTTGACGGCTACTTGCTCGAGGAGTTACCTAAGTGGGAACAGCTAGCGCTTTTGCTCGATGACATCAGCTCTGAAAGGGCTCAGAGCGACGGGCGCAACCCAGGTCCCACGTTGATAATGTGCTCAAGTGAAGCCGTTTCGCGGCAGTTACAGGCCTATTTATCGCAGGTAAGGCAAGTGGATGTGGATTCACATGGAAATAAAGTGTTTTCTGGAAGGGGATACATGGTGGGGCGGCTCAAGCAATACATGGGCTGGAAAGAGCTGCTTGTGCTGATGGATGAGCTAGCCGTGACCGATGAGAATCGGGAAGAGCTCCAGGTGTCAAAGACGTTCTCCAAGGGCAAAACAGGGTGCACGAAGCGGCGGAGAACGCGCGGCGGCAGTGCGGTGGCGGCAGTAGAGCGGCTTCATAGATCCACGGCAATCGAGCCGGGAAAGCAGATCGTCACGGAAGAGGTTATCCGACAACTAGAGGAGTCGGTGCCGGAGCTGGATTCAGAGGACGAAGTTCTTCCATTTCTGGCGGTCGAGCGACTGGCACAGATTATTGTTCAGCGGTACCAGAACCGCACAGACGACGTAGTACTCCAAGAGCTAATGCCATCGTACATCGTCTGTTATGAGCCGGATCTCGCGTTTCTTCGCCGGATAGAGGTGTACCAGGCGATCAATCAGCACAGCCCGGCTAAGGTATTTTTCATGTACTACCAAGATTCGGTCGATGAGCAAAAACACTTGGCGAAGATCAAGAAGGAGAAGGACGCGTTTACCCAGCTCATCAGAGAGCGTGCGACGATGGCACAGAGCTTTGCGACGACGGAAGATATAGCCAAGTCACGCGTGCGAAAGTCGCAGGTGATGAATACCCGTATTGCGGGTGGATCCACGTTCAGAGACCCAAATAACGAAACTAGGGTGATTGTGGATACCCGTGAGTTCAAGTCGCCGTTGCCGAACTTTCTCCACCGGGTGGGATTGCGCGTAATCCCCCGGATGATCACGGTGGGGGATTACATCATTTCCCCCAAGATCTGTCTTGAGCGCAAGGCGATTCCGGACTTGATTCAGAGCATGAGTAGTGGTCGCTTGTTTGACCAGTGCAAGCAAATGTCGCGGTACTATGAGTGTCCCACATTGTTGATTGAGTTTGAAGAAAACAAGAGCTTTTCACTCGAGCCATTTGCTGAGCAGCGACTCACGCGCGAGAACCGCGCGCCAAGTGAGATCTCTGCGCGCATGTCGAAAAAGGACATTCAGGTCAAGCTTGTCACGCTTTTGATCGAATATCCGAAGCTTAAGATCATTTGGTCATTGTCCCCTCTTCAAACCGCGGAGATCATCATGCGTTTGAAAGCGAACCAACCCGAACCTGACGCGGACACGGCGCTCGGCATGGGCGTGGATCTGTCGATCAGGACGGAGGACGGACCGCCGCAGCTCAACGAACAGGTGATTGACTTGCTTAGGACTATTCCGGGAATAACGGCCGCGAACATGCCCGCAATCATAAACAATGTGAACAACTTGCGTGAGTTGGTGGAGATGGAGGAGCCAAGATTAGCCGCGTTAGTTGGCAAGGAAGCCGCAAACAAGGTATACGAGTTTTTTAACAAAAAGGTATGCTAACTAGCTAACGCTGTTTGGGTATCAGCTAAAAACTTAATAATGGTTAATATATCAATATCAATACGACTTGTCCTAGCCGTATATATTGCGAGGAATATGGAGGGAGGAGGAAAAGTGTTAAAGCTAATGCGTATATATCGAGATAACAGTTGGTTCAAAAAAATACTACAGAAAAAGGAAATGTGCTCCTTATATAACTTATGCGATGGCCATAAAATACTACCCGGAATAAAGGGAAAAAAAAACCTGTTCAAACTAAACCAACTTATCTATTGCTCCCCATTGGTCTTCCCCACAAGCTTCTTCACGCTCTCAACTTGGGCCAAGAGGTCTTGAATGCGTTTCAAGATCAGCTCGTCGATGGAGGCCGTCAAAAGCGCACCCAAGTAGGCGTCGTCCGGCGGAAACAAGCGCGGAAGATAGGCCAACGCAATAATGTCCTCGTCACGCACAGCCTTGGCTGCATGCTCAAGCGCCTTTGCGAGAAGTAAGTTCGCAAGCTCGAGCGACTTGGTGGCGATGAGCACCAAGAGACGATTGTCCGCAGGCTTGGCAGTCATGGCGGCGAGGATCAAACCCAAGCGCAACAAGTTAGAGCCGAGTGAATCCACAGACTGTAGCCACTCCAACGCGATATTGCACTCCAAGGACTCGGTCGGAAGCATTTCCACAATCAACACGGCCGCAAACAACGCCTGGAGAATCACAGGGCCCTTGACCTCAATCATACGCGTATCCTGGTGCAAGCTGTGGAAAGGGACCATGGATAACAAGAACTTGAGCATGCGGGCAATGAATGCACCATCGCGCGGGTCCGCACCAAGATAACGCCTGGAGAGCGCGTAGGCGCCACTTTCCGCGGGGTATATCCCGGTGAGTACAGCCGCTATGAGGGATCGGTTGGGAGGGTCGCGCGCAAGCAACTTTGCGACAATATCAATCCCGAACGCCTGGTATTTGTACACCGTGGTGTTGGACTCCGGGACGAGCAACAGCTCGTGTACACTGTCAAGATCCGGGCCGAAAGACAAGCACAATATGAGCACAAGCAACGCATCGTCGTGGCTGCGCAACTGGAAGAAGTGCGCGACGTTACCAAGCGTGATGAGTGCATCCTTCATAAGACACAAGCGGCGACGCGCAAACATGAACGCGGCCGGAGTATGCGCAAGCTGGGCGATTAACTCAAAGACGAATTCCAGGAGTGCGGGCGTCTCCGCGAGACACTTGCTGTTGGCCTCGCTGAACGACACATTCCTCAAGATCATCACGATGGTGATGAGCTGCTCGATGCGCATCAACTGCTTGTTGGTGCTGGAGCGCGTGTGGATCCGCGAGAACATCGCATCCGCCTCCTCGCGGCACAAGTGGAGGCTGTCCAAGTAGGGCGTAAGATTAAAGGAAGAAAGCGATGGGTCTACGGGAAATGTGTCTGCATCCAAAGAGACTGAGGACTCAGACTTTGAGATTGGTTCGCTCACCTCGTCAATCTCCAAAGTAGTCATATCGCAGTCGGCTGCCTCTCCGGTGAAGGAATCCACCACGATGGAGACAACATTCACGTCTGGCGTCGCGTACCGCGCAAACACAACGTCGATAGCGGATTCTTCGGCCTTGAAAGATGTCACTGGAGTGGAGTCAGGTTCGCCAGCGCCTACAACCTGGGAAAGTACGCGCAACCCAAGTGACGCAAGCGCGTCCACAAAATCAGGCGTGTCGTACAAGACCCACTGGAGCTCCTGATCGCTGGTGATGACGAGAAGCGAATTCAAGGCGGTATTGATTTCGCCATCGCAGTAAGACTGAAGACTCAAGGATAATGCCGCAAGGTTGATCTGGCCGAGCTCGGGCGCAAAGAGGAAGACGGGTTTGGAGGAATCAATCTGCTCGCCCATATGGGAGAGGCCCTTGATGTCGAGTCCTGCGTAGGTATCGATCTGGCGGTGGACTGGAACATAGTTGCGCGCGATCTCGGGCTCTGTGTCGTAGGCTGGGGCCGAAGGCGCTGTTGCTGTCGGGGTTGGCGCCATGATCGCAGCCAGAGAGGGGGCCATAGGCATCAAAGCCGGAGCCAGAGAAGCCGGCATCAGCGATGGAGGCATGTTCATTGGCGAGTGGGTGATGGATGGTGCCGCGGATTGTCTCACAACCGATGTCTTTCTGGTCGGTACAACGCTGTTGGACCTGGACCTCGGGGCCAGCGGCAGGTCCTTAGGTGAGTTCGTCGACGACACGCTCGGGCGGTGATGCACCTGCTTGATTAACGACGGCTGGACCACCGGACTTTGTTTTACCGGTGGTGACATTACGTATGGCGGTTGGAACATCCCCGACTTCGATTGCGGGGCCATCTGGTTCACATTCTGATTCATTGGGGAATTTGCCATCGGATTCTGAGTCATTGGAGAATTCGCCATGGGGTTTTGCGCCATTGGATTCTGGGTCATCTGAGCATTTACGTTTTGAGCCCCCATTTGAGCCAGGTTCTGGGCAGGGTTCTGCCCCATTGGGGCATTTGGGCCCTCTCTGAACTGCTGGTGCATCTGCAACTGCTGCTTATTATTGTGCAACTCGCGCTGACCTTCCTGGGTGTTGGCAAACTGTTCAAAGCTCGCAAGCAACTGCTGATAGCAGCCAACAAGCTCGCGCAACACGGTCGGGTTCTGCTCGAACGGGAGGTTCAACTTCTGTGCGATAAACACCCAGCGCTGATTGCGCGACACGTTCGCGAGACCACCGAGCTTCATTACAAGCACGTACAACACAAAGAGCGGTACAGGACGTCCACCGATGATCGGTGCGGGTGTGAACGGTTGATTGCGGGACTTTGCAAAGTCATGCACCGTCTTCATAAACGCCTCGACCTGGAGCTGCTGTTGTGTTGTGGGCTGGTTTGCACGGCGTGGTGCCGCGGCAGGCGTGCCCTGCGCACGCATCTGGTTCACCATCGGCGACTGCGGCGACTGCGTCGGTGGAGCCTGCAGGAAGCTATCGATCGGCGAGCCCTGCGGCACACTGGAGCCGCGCGAGCTCGACTGGAGGCGGAACGCCTGCTGTTGAAGCTGCTGCTGCATCGCCTGAAGGTTTGGCTGCGGCGCCTGGTTTTGCATCTGGTTTTGCATCTGAAGGGACGCTTGGTTCTGCATCTGAAGAGGTTGGGTCTGGCTGATGTGGTCCCTTTGAGCCTGGCTCTGAGTCTGTGTTTGGAGATTTACCAGATTTGGGGCTTGACTCTGATGGTTAATCTGGCTGTGGGGTTGCACCGGGTTCTGCAGCTGGCCGCCCTGGTTTATGTGACTTTGGTTACCATGGTTTTGGCTCTGACCCATTTGGCCTTGACCTTGCATCTGGTTTCCCATTTGGCTCTGCATCCGGTTTGGGCCCTGGCTTTGGCCCTGATGCTGGTTCATCTGATTCATTTGGCTGGGGTTTACCCCATTCATCATCCGCCGCTGTCTCGCCATCAACGCTTTCTGGTCCTCCGCAAAACCCGCACTCGGCGCAAACGACGTCATCTCGGGTCTTTCGTTCAACATCAGGTTGATGAGCGCCTGCGGGTCTTCGAACGGCGGCGGCGACTGCTGCGACGCATAACTGGACGGCGGCAAGTTGACCGGCATCTTTTCCTGACCTAGGAGAGCTGACGGGTTGATAGAGCCGATATCTGGCTGTCCGAGCACCGGCGTCGTATCGAAGCCCTGAGTGTATTGCGGCTGCGGCGGAAACATGCCCATGTCCATTTGGGACTGTCCGCTCTGTGGTTGGGCCGAGGCTGGCGGCTGGGGCTGGTTAGTCTCCATGAAGTTGAAGAAAGGGTCATCGTTGCTGACAAAGTTATCGCCTTCCATCAGCTCGTTGAGCCAGTAGTCAGACATGATACGATAGGGCTGCCAGGAGGAGATGTGCGTATAATCAATTCTAAACTGTACGAGGAGCTGTCAACGTGAATAATCAATCCTGGATTGTTTCTCGCTAGAACTGGGTCGTTTCTATTATCAGATTGGGATATCTTATCGATTAGCAAACGATGGATGGGGTAAAGCATGTGGCATTTGCGCCTTTTCAGTAAACAAGCGCCGAGGCAACGCGTGTGGCTCGGGTACAGGATATACGCGCGGTACAGCATGTACGCAAGAGGGCCACTGCGCACGAATGCCTATAAGAAGTATAGAGGGGGGGGGGGGAATGTGGGAAGGTATTGCTATTATATTATCTAGGTTTTTGGAAACTGCTACCATAGACGAGAGCTTTCTAACAGGTGGTTTGGAATAGGGAATGCGGGTGCAATTGCATGTAGTATAAAGCGGCTAAGCATGCGCATAGAGGTTGGCTATTGAATTTAAAACACAATAAATACCAATCGATCTGTAACGGCATAAGAATATAACTCTGTAAAAAAAAGTTCGAGGGTAAGATCCTATGGGGGAATATCAATGTAGTGATTCACGGAGCGTAGCGGATTTGAACGCTTTGTGCGGGAGATAGATTCACGCTACGAGCTCCACCCCGTTACACGATACCCGAATCAACGGTGCTTAGCTCCGCAATGAGATTGTATTCATGTTTAAGATTACACTCATATGACATGTGTATACAATCAGCAGAGCTTTATCGGTGTCGACCTTGAGGTTATGCGAGTGCCTATGCCGCGGCGTAAACTAACACTTACGGATATAGTCTTTTTACAGAGACACTCTATCAAGAATGAATTGAACCAAAATACACAAATGGATACTATACAAATGGGCCTTCTAAATCTTCGCATGGGACGTGAGTCGATGGGGCCATGGAGGTAGAGAAATACGCTAAAAACAAGCAATCACCAGAAGAACGCTAAAGGGTCCAGGTGAGGCGTATTATTGAGGAGTAAAAGAGCAATAGAACCCCATTCATGATGTTTTGCCATTTTGAATCATCTAACGTCCTATGGCTCTTCGCAAAGCTTCCCTCATCTGAAATACAGCCATGGCTTGTACCACACCCCGGCATGTAACTTCTTACTCAAGTTCTTGTAGTTCTCCATCTCGCCCCAGCAGTCTCTCCCCCATTGACAGCCAGCCATGTTAATCATAAAGTCTCTGGCCTTCTCATCGTAGAAGAAATCAGCACTTGGACTGTCGGCACAGGCACCTGGTGGGAACGCATTGATCTTTCTCAACGGCAAGAATCCGATCCTCTCTCTAATCCACGCCTGGCTGTCAAACAACGACTCCAAGCAATCCTGCTCCTTGTGCTCCCATTCCATATGCTTCTGCTCATAAAAGGCAGGGTCCCACCACGCGTCAAGCAACAACTCTGTCCAAGGCGAACGTCTCATCATGAAGGAGCCCAAGTTGAAACCCCCGCAGTCCTGGGTGATGAGCATGTCGATAGGCTGGGTGTAGTCAACATACGGAACGTCCACATCGAGCTTCAAGGGGTTGAAGTAGTTCAACGAACGGTAGGTATTGTTTTCCAAGTTGGAGAAGATGTGCTGTTCGAGTGAAATTTGTGGTTCCATTATGAAGGTGTGCAAGTCGACCCACCAAAACCACTCTGCCTTTGGGTACTGACGCATGGTCTGTTTCAAGATGTCCACCTTCTCCCAGGACTCCCTCCATTCATGGGAGTAGCGTCTCTTGAGAGTCATGTCTTTGATAGTGAGCGCATACCCGTGTCTCTGAGCATAGTCGCGTTTGTTGGCGATGGAGGAACGCTCGATCGACCAGTCCTGCGGCCCCTTCCACTTAAGCACGCCACCACCTTCATTGGCAGCAAGGATGATCACAACCTTAGCATCTGTGATATGGAGAGTGCGGAGCGGATCCAAAGTGAAGAAGGAGAGCGTGATGATGGACAAGAGAAGGATTGTTGTTTTGCGGTAGAAGCGCACAAAGTCCTTGGCCTTTTGCGCAAAAGAGCGCGATGGCTTGTAATCTTCAGACACTGGAAGGTACGGTTTCGCTGACATCGACACAAAATTGGCGTAATAGATAGGTCAAGCACAAAATCAATGAGCAGAAAGGTCAGGTCAATCGACGATTAGTATGAAACAGGAAAGAGAGGGCTTCCAAAACAACTCTATTCAATATATCCAGAGTGTGCCTGAAGTTGAAGATGTAAACAGTTGTTATGAATCAAGCCTTAGTGATGAAACTCAATCACTTCCAGCTGGCTAAAAATAGGCTAGTGTGCGGGCCGTTGCGTGTCTCGATTGTCGGTGGAGGGACGACTGCCAAGACATAAGTGGAAAATAATGCACGAAATGGACGGAGTAAGCGTCGACACTGGTTAAATCAGTTATATTCAGGCATAAGTTTAATTGTCTAAGACATTTTTATTGTATCCGCGATATTCTTTAGTATTTACCCGAGAGGAGTACATTCCGTACACCCACGAGCCCTTGAAAAGAACCGCACCCAAAGAGGGAGCCACACCCCGCGGTAAGAAATATGCAGGTATGATATATTTAGCTCGCACAGAATACGACGAGACCAGGCTACCCCAAAGTCCTGCGAGCAAAAAGGCATGAACATATGTTTACGTCTTTAGAACCAACCTATCAGAGAACAAAAAGGTTAGTGAAAAAAGAGGCATCCTCGTAAGGATATCAAAACCCGACGCGGGGGTCGAACCCGCAACCTTGTGATCGCGTACTGCTAAGAGTCACACGCTCTACCGATTGAGCTAGCCAGGCATTCCGATGAGAGTATCGTTCTTTCTAGGCGCTTAGTATGGTGTAATAAGCGAGATTAATTTCTTTAGATGACATAACCTCGATTGTGGTTCGCTCTAGGGGGCTTACGCTGAATTTTTCATATGATACTCTTTCTCGTTTACCACTCTTCCCTGCCTCATAAACCAATCAGAGCTTTTTTAAAGTACCAAAATCAGCATTATTAGACCTCCTTCTTCTGCCTTACAACTCTCAAAGCAACAAAAATCTTGGATGTTTCATGCTTCGGTTGCCCCTGAACCCGCTATCGTCACAAGCATGGTATCTCGACCACCGAAGCCTGTATGCTCTAGATCCGCTACACAACCAGCCCTCACCCCCATTTAGATATCACGTGACTATGATTAGATAGCGCCCCAAGCTTGGACGGCTCTGCCTTTCTTCCCGTAGCTCACACCGTTTATTGACCCCTTCCTCCAATTGAGCCAGCACCCTCGTCTACCTCACACAGCTTGCCATCCTCATCTCGATGTCCGATTCAGACTTCCATTACGTCTCTCTGGATGACTTACCCACGCCGCCGTCCGAAGCTCAGCCAGCCTCGCCGTACCATGCCGCCGCTGACGCCTATATCCGTTTCACGAACGAAAACCCCACCACCTATCACGTAGTGGAACACTTTTCTGCCCTCTTAACTGCCCATGGCTTTACTTATGTGGCTGAGAATAAATCCTGGGACCTCTCCCCGGGCCGCTACTTCACCACGCGGTCCGGGACCAGCTTGTGCGCCTTTGTGGTTGGCGAGGACTGGAAGCCTGAGTACGGCTTTGGGGCTATCGGCTCGCATATCGACTCCCTCACGGTTAAACTCAAGCCTTTCTCTGCTAAGGCTAACGTTGACGGCTATTGCCTCCTTGGGGTGGCTCCGTATTCTGGCAGTTTGAACGACTTGTGGTTGGATCGAGACCTTGGTATCGGCGGAAAAGTCCTTGTCAAAGTTGCTGGCGGTAAGACTGAGTCCCGACTTGTTTCTTCGGCCCCATCTCCCGTGGCACGGATTCCTAGCTTAGCTAAGCACTTTGGGTGGAACGGTACCTACAACAAAGAGACGCAAATGGTGCCTGTTATGGGGTACTCTAGCGAGCCTACCCCTACCGACCTGGAGAAAACGGCTCCATTATACGGGAAACACTCTCTCGGATTACTCCGCTACATCGCGAACTTGGCAAAAACTGCGGTCGAAGACGTTGTCCAGGTAGACCTCGACTTGTTTGACGTTCACAGGGCCACCGTAGGGGGTTTATCGCAGGAGTTCATCTTTGGTCCCAGAACCGATGATCGTTTGTGTTCGTTTGCCGCTGTCTGGGGGTTGCTTTCCTCACTTGAAGATCCCTCTGACAGTCTTTCCAGCTCCTTCAGTATTGCGTGTTTATTTGACAACGAGGAAATTGGCTCTGGAACCCGGCAGGGCGCGCGCGGAGGCCTTCTCCAGGCGGTGGTAGAACGTGTCTCTGCTGCCAACGCTAAGGCTAAAGATCTCTCGCGTGCTACCGCGGCTGTTGTGTACGCCAATTCGTTCATTGTCTCGGCTGACGTTACCCATTGTCTCAATCCCAACTTCAAGAACGTGTATCTCGCAAACCACTATCCTATTCCTAATACCGGCATCACCGTGAAGAGCGATCCTAACGGCCATGTCACAACGGAAAGCATCGGACTCACAGTTGTGCAAGGGCTCGCGGATTTAAACGGAGACAAACTCCAGCCGTTCCATATCCGCAACGACGGACGGTCGGGAGGCACCATCGGGCCATTTATCAGTTCAGATACCGGTGCCCGAACCATCGACGTGGGGATTTGCCAGTTGAGCATGCACAGTATTAGAGCCATGTTTGGGAGGGATGACGTTGGTTTAGGTGCTAAGTTCTTTGCTGGGTTTTACCGTAACTGGAGAGAGGTTTACGATACAGTCGGGGATCTTTAGCGCGTGGCTAAGGCGGTGTGGTGGTCAAGACTCTGGTGGCGCACCGTGGTCTAATAAATAAAAATTGTAAATGATAGTGTTAGCTGGTTTGACCGTAAGGATAGTGATCCTTTTCTAGCATAATGAATGAATGTGTGACTTAATTTACAAAGTACTAGTGACACCTGACGGTAAAAAAACTAGTACGGAATGACAAGCCACATGATTTGTCCAGTAATATTGACCCACTACGAGCGGCACGTCACTGCTTACAGGCCTCAATCATTTAATCATATAAGTTGGTACTCAAAGTACTTTTTTTTCTAAACGACGCGTATCAATCTAAATCAATCTAGGCCTGACTGTCATAATGTGCCGTGAGTTGTCTTAACTGAATTGGAGCTGGAAGTCCACTGAGTAAGAGTTACCCGCATACACCAGCACTTGCGCGGAACCACTGGCGGTCGAGGCAGCACTCCAGGCGGTGTTTCCGGAGAGGGAAATAGCCTTGGAGGAGGTATCGTAGCCAAAGATAGTGGCAGTGGTAGTGGTAATCGTGGAGGCACAGGAAAGAGCGCCAGAGGAAGTATCCACGCTACAATAGCCTTTGGATGTTTTTAACCTGTACCCAGAACCAGCGGCCTCAAGGGTGAACGTAGCACAGGTACCGGTAGTATACCACTTCCCATTGCTGATAAGACACCCTGAATTGCCAGTTAACGTAACAAATCCGGTAGAAGAAGAGGCAGTGCCGGTGGTGGTCGCTCCAGTAGTTGTCTTGGTGGTGGTGGTACCAGTGGTTTTAGTGGATGCGGATGAAGTCTTTGGGAGGAACTTGATCCCGGAGGCAGAACAACCAGAAGTGTTCAAGGAATCGATGGAAACAAAGTTCTGGTTCATGATTGAGCCTTGGACATGGTAGAAATACCAGACTTCGTTAAGAGCGTTACTGCTGTCACAGGAAATGTAAACAGAGTGGCCGTAGTTCTTGGTCAAGGCAGCCTCAATCTGCAGCTTTGTATACGTTTGAGTGGTGCTTGGAGTAATTCCAGCGGCCTTCAACCATTCGTAGGTTGGCAATTTGTTATACGTCGCCACGGCAATCTTGAAAAAGTCCTTAGCATTCTCATACTGGGTGTAGGAAGAGTAGCAGCTTGGGCTCAAGGTGTTCATGCAAGTTCCGTGCTTGTTATACTCATGGAGCCATAAGGATTCATCGTCGCCTCCGAGGTTCTTCCATACTCGTTGCATAGTGGTAAGTAAGTCGGTTTCACCGAAGCTGGTTAAAACACTAGAAACGGAATCGCTGCCAGAAATTTCCCAGCTTGGGTTACAGTATTGGTTGTACCCCCCGGAGCAGGTATCGGGCCACAACCCGTGCAAGGTGAACAAATCATCAGGACCGGTGGCAGGGCTGTAGTCCCAGAATTGGGTCTGCAAAATGGCACCATTAGGATACTCAAAGCAGCAGGAGTCGGCCACAGGAGTGGAGTTGGAGCACGATAATGGGATGCTCAAAGGACACGAAAAGGCGTCTCTCTTTTCCCAAAAGTAGTTTTGGGGGATAATAGAAGAGACTACTAAGCCCGCGGAAGCTAAGCTCTGGAGAAGTATAACGAGGTTGAACATTAATAGAATGATATTGCTTCGGTTAATGGAGGGTTTGATTAGTTTTTTTTTATGGGGATTCCGGACTTCTATTATACCCTAGGGTGACTTGGAATATACAACTTTCATTCCGTGTTGGGAACCAGTGAATATTTACGAATCGTGATCTGGAGCCGTGTAATAAACTGCATGTCGTATATCCTTGTATTTCGGGATGAAGGTCACCGTTCCGCGGGTATCTACCGATCTCACGCTTTTCACTTCACGCTGACGAGGTATACGAGAGCAATATTGATAGGGTAGCAGCCTGCATATCTGAAATTTAAGGGATGTAGGGTGCATTGACCCATGTTCAAGATTTGCAACACTATTAAATAAGCAACCTTTATTCTTGGCGTGCAGGAGGAGTAATTTGCCAACTAACCGCCTGGCTTCAGCGCTCTCCACTTGTATATCCTACTTCCTCAAGCAATATAGGCCATTGGTCACTCTAACTTGTTATTAAAGTAATACTATGCCATAAATCTGCCGAAACGTGAATATATCTGACGTCTTGGTCACAAATCGCTGCTCTTATCCTAAACACTCTCCATTTTCCCTCCATTTTTCACAGGACGCGAATTTCCCCAAACCCACGCAGGTATATGGGTGCGTCAGTCTCTGCATGCAGCTAATAATCTCAGATAGGGGCCCACGTTTATCAGTGGATAATTGATTCGTAAGCTCTAGATTATGATATTTCGAGGCCAGAGGTTGAAATACTGTCCTGTGATAGAGCAAAGGACGAGGAGCTTAAGGGGCGTGGTCTGTGCACGATTCTCAGGGTGCGAGGTACGGGGACAAGGATGTATAACCCTGTCTTACAAATATGGAGGCTTGATGGGGATCCTAAAGATAATGATTATCTAGATGTATAATACTGAAAAAGCATTGGATATACTAGCTATTTCTTTGGACAGAAAGGTGTGTGCCAGCTCTAAACTTGATCCCTGATTCCTGGGGCTAGCCAATGAATACAATGCGTATAATTGTGTGATGTATATCCTCCCTGAGAGTCACTTCAAGCTCTCATTTTCTAAACCCTCAAACAGATAAGATTTGTTAGGTACTGCTTCCGCGGTATCGTCGATCATTTTATTGAAATAAATATTATACATGTAGTAAAGGTGCCATTTAACCAGACGGAAGTCGGAGGCCATTGTTCCCTTACTCCTGATAAGCGGACACCCTGGCATCGTATCCGCCTCAGTATATAAGGCCGCCAACTACCCTTTTATTGTAGATATCTTACATAGGAAGTATTCTCTTTTAGCTAGCTAACAGTATCCACTATTACCTACCAGATATACCACAATACACGAAGTTTTGGTGTCACATATACTAATGACTTTTTATAAAACTTTCACCACGAGATATATATATATATATATATCATATAATAGCTTAATAAATAAAATTTTATAAAAATATAGAAATTGATCCAACAGTTTTCTATCCCCGTAGCACCCTTTTGTCACTATGTATTCATCTCTATTTATCCCTCTTGCCCCTCTTGCCCCTCTGAAATAAACATAATCCTGCACATAACTATTGGCTGAAATTTTACAAGAGCCTGAACTATAAGGTAGAACTCAGTACCACCCCTGTAGCTTCGCTTACGTACAGCCCACGCTAAAGAATATCCGCCGAAAATTGCTGTAAGAATGTCCGACGCGGTATCAGCCAAAACAAGCGCCTCTTCCATCCAGAAAATGCTAAAGCTGCGTCCGGCACGCGTCCAGGTGGACCCTGAGACGGCGGAGGACGACAGACCCGCACAAACCGGAACCACGTTCAATATCTGGTACTTAAAATGGGCAGGTGGCGATTCCACCCACACCTTTGTTAAATCCAAGACCCGCTGTATCACCGCCACGGACACCGGGTACACACGAGGCGACCGCAATTCCGGTTCCTTTCTCTGCTACTTCTTTGCCAAGGGCTGCTGCCATTTGGGCAAGAAGTGCGAGTACCTCCATCGTATCCCCAGTTCATTTGACTCCTTTGCTCCCACGCTTGACTGCTTTGGGAGGGAGAAGACCGCGGACTACAGGGATGATATGAGCGGAGTCGGTTCGTTCAACAAGATTAACCGGACTTTGTACGTGAGCAACCTCGAGCCGAACTCCAAGCACCTAGAGACCACCCTCAACAAGCATTTTGGCGAGTGGGGAAAGATTGAGCGCATGCGTGTGATCCACAGCAAGAATATTGCCTTTGTTACCTTCACGACCGAGCTTGCAGCTCAGTTCGCAAAGGAAGCAATGGCCAACCAGCTGTTGGATGGGAATGAGATCTTGAGTATCAAATGGGCCAATCAAGACCCGAACCCTGAGGCCCAGCAGCGCGAGAAGCGGCAGTTAGAGCAGCAAGCGGTCGAGACCGTCAAGCAGTTGTTGGGGAGCATGGATGAACCAGCGGAGAAGAAACAGCGATTGGTGATTGAAGACGTGGAAGAGGTGGCACCAGTCGTAGTAGAATCTGCGGGCTTATTTGATAAATCGTCGCTCGAAGTATTGAAGCAGCTTCAGGCGTTGAAGCGACAGGCAGCGTCTAGTGCTGCGGTGTCAGTCGGAGCTCCAAAGTCGATGGGTGAGTTACTTGGCGGATACGATAGCAGCGACGATGAACAATCAAGTGGATAATGTATGACTGAGGTGATAGATAGAGATTGCCAGTACCAATTCATATATTGACCCCACGCTTGGATTGGTAGTTTGAGTTCTGATACGTCATACAATAATACTAAACCGGGGATTGACAATGCGTCGATACGTCAGAGGGGAGAGGAAGCGTCATAGAATACAGAGCCCATTGGGGGCGCTTACCACTCGTTATTCTCGATCAACTCAACACTAGCAAGAGTCAGGAAATAATTATGAAAGGAGGTAGAATATAAAGCTTGTATGCGGTATAAAACTTGCAAATATAGGAGCAAGGCTCGGTTAAGAAGTTCTTGGGCAAGAAATCAAAGAGCTGAAGGAAGCGTAAGACAGGAATTTATCTAAATTATATTAATTTTCAGTTGAATACAAGTTGGGTATCTACCTAAATCTCGGATATCCACAATGCTGTGCCATTAAATCAAAGGATAGATACTTCTACCAGGAACGACGTACGGGTCCACTGAGTAATGTGGACCCTTGATGAAACTTGACGCCGTAATTGCAAGTTCGGGAGGAGAGAGGCTGAGAGTTGGCTCCGGCTTACCATCGAGTTACTGCGATTACTAATTCAGCCGGTATTACTGCGCTAGGTTATACACTCAAGATACGTAAAATTAATCCATTTGGGTCTTATATATGCGACTAAAGATCGGCAATGCGGAAGGTATCAGCAAGACAGGAATGGATAAGTGACATGGGTTGCGAGAAACATATTTGAATAACTGAGAGTACCAGGGAATCGAAATACCACGAGAAAGTAGGGATAGCTTGGGTATAGTCCCTAAACTGGAATCTAAGCTTGTCCTTGTGACAGAACTACACGGTAGTCTCCATTCTTCGAAAATCGCTTTTCGCCTCGAAGTCAGCCACCGCGGCTGCTCCACAGCTTCGCTAGAACTCAAACTCCCCTCTGAATTGATCCAAATCCATGTTCGGCTTGACCTTCTCCAACAAGTCCCTGCGGTCCATCGCAATGAAACTCCGTTTCAATGTCTCCAACAAACTCGTGCTCTGGTTCTTAATATCGTTGTTCGCCTCCACACCCTCCACCGCGTGCATGCTCAAACCGCCCAACAAGTGCTGAGCAGCCTCTTTATAACACCCAATGTTGATGCAACTGACTCCGAGGTTATAGCGCGCGCGCACAAACGCGGGTCTCAACTCCAACGCGCGGAAATACGCGTCGACTGCCTCCTCAGATCGGTTGCTATTAGCAAGACTCGCTCCGAGCCGGTTCCACAACAACGCATCGTCCGGGCTGACCTGCAACGCAGCCTTGAAACAGTCAATGGTTTTATCAAAGTCTTCGTTCGCGTAGAACAATACACCGAGACCCATCTGAACGTCTGCATCCATGCTTGCCAAGTCAGGCGAGACCTGCGCGGCCTGGATGAACAACTCCGTAACACGCTTGTTCAACGAGTAGCGGTCCTCGTCGTTGATCTTCGGATTCGCTGCACGCGCGGTTTCCGCGATGAGCGGGTACTTGGTCTCAATCCAGCGCTCCAACGTGGCGAACGCAGCATTATCATAGCCCTCGTTGATGTACGACACCGCGAGCGTCATCAACGCCGGGAGGTTCTTCGGATCTAACTCCAAGCACTTCTCCAACGCCGAAATCCCCGCCAACTCCTTCTCGTTCTGCGTCTGGACCTCCCCGAGCCGCAACCACGCGTCTACGTGGCGCTCGTTCTGCTGGATTGCGGCCTCAAATGCGAGCGCCGCCTCCGAGAGCTTTGCGCCGCTCTCCATGAGCTTCATCCCGATAGTGTACGGGTCGTCCATCTGTGCGAACTGGTTCTCTTTCTCAAACTTGTACTCGCCGAAGTTTGCACGCGTTGACGCATACGCCGCAAAGTCCTTTTCCCAGGATGGCTCGTTCGCCTGCTGGTTGAGGAACTCATTGGAAAACACCTCCGAGTTGAGATTGTCCCAAACATCCTGGAAGTTGGCCTGGAACTTGTCATCGATGACAATCTCCTCGAGATCCGCGGGCTTTTCCTGCTGTGACGAGAGCTGTTCCGCCTCCTGGAACTCTGCGTCCCATGCGGAGTCGTCCAACTCCACAATCTTTCCTGCGTTCTGCTGGTTTTGAGACATATTGTGCTGCATGTGCATCCCCATCCCCATCCCCATCATAGGTCTGGCCATGCCCATCTGGTTATAGTTTCGGCCGTACTGTTGGGGGGTTTGATTTTGCAAGTTCTGCACATTTTGCTCGGGCGTAAACTCCGCCTTCCAGGCATTTTGCGCAACAGGCGCTGCCAGAAATTCGCTGCTCCATTGGGAGGCACCCATCGGTGCGTTCTGGAGATTCTGTGTCGGCGCCTGGATGTGGTTCAACTCATGTCTCATGGGCGCAAAGTTGCCGAGTGCAGCACCGCCCATGCTGGAAAACTGCTCCATCTGCGCCAAGTCCATCGCATTCATCGCCATCTCGTGTTTCATGCCCTGTTGGCCTGGAAACTGATTGAGCTGCTGGTGTTGCAACGAGCGATCGGTTTGCGAGTGCTTCGTGAGCGACGCAAGCGGGTTAGCAGATGCCGAGCAGTCTGGGCCTGTTCCGATGAATGACATGGTTTTATTGAATGATAAGGTTGGAGTAATTAAATCGGATGAAAGTGGGCAAGATAAATAGAGAGGAAAAAAAGTGGGGATGATCTGGGGAAAAAGTCAGCGGCAACCCCGCCAAAGTGCCGAGGGCCGCAACGGATACGATTGCCGCATTGGGTGTATTTCGGTATATACACGTCACAAGGCTCATAGAGCGTAGATGGGGCAAGCGGTAAAGCATGTGATTAGCCTGTCCTGGGGGGATGAGACGACGGGTTAATTTAGCAGAGAACAAAACACCTAGGCCGAGCGATATCTACAGAACATTGGGCGAATCTCAATAGTGTAACCGTATTCTTATTATCATCATCAGAATTGACGTCTTTAATGAGATATTACCCGATAAAACAGCCCTAGATACTAAGCTAGTAAGAGTATGTCCACGGCCTATGGGAGGGTGTTTTCTAGATGAAAACAAGCAATCCGATATGCACCGCGGCTTAACCTGGATGGGACCTGTACCAACAGTATTAGGCATATATGGATACAACCATTTGGAAAATTCCAAGGGCTACGAAAAAAAAAAGCTGGGCTATAACTGAATTAGTAAGTCTGGCCGCTAATGGTCAATGTACGGTACGTGTTTTCTCGCGGTCGAACAAAAGTCCGAATACGAGACCAAATTCACTGGTTACTAGTGATTGGCAACATCCGATGGCATTGAATGATCACCAAAAATAATGTCTTATTTCTTGGTTCAGGTAGCTCGCGTAACCCCCCCCCCCCCCCCTTACGGAGCTGAATAATAATTATTTAGTATTTTTCATAATGGGAGCTGGGTAGAGAACCTGTGTATTACAAAGCTATCCCGCAAACTAGTTTACCTGCAGGACTCATTTTCTTCATCTCTGCCCTTACCCAGCACAAACTCTTCTCGTAGCACTTACTCTTTATATACCACCACTCACACCTTTAAATATGTCCCGAAACATTCCTGTTTCGGTGGAAGACCTTCTTAGTGCCGCTCCTGCGAATCTTAAGCCAACATTCCTCTCCAAAAAGAAGCGTGTACAATTGGCACAGGAGAAGCTTGCCAGGGCAGATGAGGCCAAAAGTCAGAAACGTAAGAAACTTCCGAGTGAAATTATTTACGGAGATGACGAAGAAAGCATTCAGCCGACTCTAGAAATACGGGAGAAAAGGCAAAAGAGGTCCAAATGGAACTTTTCCTGGGACGAAGCGGAGGACACACTGACGGACTCTCTCCGTTTATCGACGGCGCCCCAGCTTGTAAGAACTACCAAGATAGATCTGGATGTTCATTGGTCCAAGAAACCCCTTGCACAGATGAAAGACCGCGACTGGCGGATTCTCAAAGAAGACTTCAGCATCACCTCCAAGGGTGGAGACATTGCACCGCCGCTTCGGTCGTGGGACGAGTCCAAGATCCCGGCGTCCATTCTCGACATCATCACGAAGAAAATCGGATACCAAGAACCCACGCCGATCCAGCGTGCAACCATTCCCGTGGCCCTCAGTAGCCGCGATATCATAGGGATTGCAGAAACCGGATCAGGTAAGACCGCTGCTTTCATCATTCCGATGCTCAAGTTTATTCTCGACATGCCCAAGCTTACAATATCTACGATCAACGATGGGCCGTACGGACTTGTCCTTGCACCCACGAGAGAGTTAGCACAGCAGATCGAGCGTGAGACGACGAAGTTTGCGCAGCATCTCGGCCTCCGTGTGACGTCGATTGTGGGCGGGCATAGTTTCGAGGAAACGGTGAACAACGTTAAAGACGGAATCCACATTGTGATCGCCACTCCTGGCAGACTCATTGACTCCATTGAACGACGTATTATCGTGTTGTCTCAATGCTTTTTCCTCGTCATGGACGAGGCAGACCGCATGGTTGACATGGGCTTCGAGAAACAGGTCGCGGAAGTGCTTGACATGTTGCCGCCAATCCGAGGCAACCATTTTGGGCTCACTAAGCGTCAGACAATGATGTTTACGGCAACTATGCCACCACAGATCGAAAAAATTACCCGGACCTACTTGGCCCTGCCGGGAGTCATCACCATTGGGTCGCTGGACGAGGCAGTAGACTCGGTGGTGCAAAAAGTTGAGTTTATCGCAACGGAAGAGAAGCGAAAAAAGCGGTTGGTGGAGATTTTGCTGTCGTTCCAGCCGCCAATTATCGTCTTTGTGAATTACAAGAAGCTGTGCGATTATGTGTCAAAGACGTTGAACGAGGCGGGATTCCGGACCACCATCATGCATGGGTCGCGCTCGCAGGAGCAGCGTGAAGCATCTCTCGCGCAACTCCGTGCCCACCAGGTGGATGTACTTGTCGCCACAGACTTAGCCGGGCGTGGTATTGATATTCCGGATGTCTCATTGGTGGTGAATTTTGAGATGAGCAAAGGCATTGAGGAGTATACCCATAGAATTGGGAGAACTGGAAGAGCAGGAAAGCGGGGGACTGCCGTGACGTTTGTGGGGGACGAGGATGGGGATGTGTTGTACGAGTTGAAGCAAATGGTGGGCAAGTCCAGTGTGAGTGTGGTGTCCGAGGAGTTGCGCCGGCATCCGCGTGCGCAAGCAAAGGGATTTGAAGCGTTAGGGTAGCACGCTCAATATTGGACAATTATGAACAATTGTATGACAGCGACCAATAGTAGACGCGAGCTTAACATTCAAAATCTCGAGATAGCATTCATCTCACCTTAGCGACTTTATACTCTAAATTAGAATACTGGCCGTTTTTATCAGGTTGGCAGTACTTTCCGTGAAGAGTACTTATGTCTTCACTGTTTTTAAACTACAATATGGATTCGAATTTATATAAACCCTTCAACGCTTTCCAGACCTTCCAAAAGCTTTGTCAAAATTAAGGCGACATATTCATCTAGATCATACTAGTAACTGACTTATACAGCTATGTCTCTTCCCACCAATAATCCTGGCACCAGATATCCCCTTCCTCTGTGTCTAGTGGGTACAAAACAATAAACCTGAGAATAGAATGCTTACCTCCGTTCTTCCCATGTCCACGGTTACAGCGATCAAGCAAACTGAAAATTCGATACATTTATATACTGATCCGTAGCCACTTGGCTGTACGGGTCTTTCCTCTCTGTTACGCTCGGAAACCCCGGGATCTAGTTAACGAATAGATAATTATACAATATACAATATGAAAGGATGCAACCCACACTTACGTTCTTCTGGTTCTCTTGCTCTTGCCCGGTCTGGCAGTTTTGCCCTTCATCTTTCTCTGGGAGAAGCCACTCATGTCGGCGGACGATTCTTTGTCGTTCTTTCTCAAGAATCTCTTCTTGCCACCGTTGCCGAACTTGTTGTCCTTTGCGGCTCTCTTGCCACCCTTCTGCCTCTTGGCCTGCCTGTCAGCGTACTCGTCCTTTGCCGCGGTAGCTTCCTCAATAGCAACATCAAACTCGTTGTTGGTCATCTCGTTGTCAGTTCTCTTACGCTTGATGGACTTAATTTTGTCCAAAGTCTCACGCTTGTCCTTGGCTCTGGCCTGCAAGGTTTCGTTCTGGACCTGCTTACCAAACTTCTTCAACTGCCTCTGTCTCTTGGCTTCCTCAGAGGCTTTCTTGGCAGACGCTTCCTGGATCAACTTGCCCTTCAACTTCTCCATGTGCTCGTCAGACTTGAGCATCTCGGCAAAGAAGTCCATTGGTCTAGAGAACGGAACCTTCAACTTGAGCAACTGTCTGCGGCCTTCCAAAGCAGCTTCCAAACTCTGCTTGTAGAACACCAACTCACGCTCGGTGTCGTCATAGATGTCCTTAATCTGGGTCTCACACTTGAACGAACAGTTGATGGTCTTGTGCTGCTCGAAGGAGTTCTTTGCCCATGGAAGACTGATTCTCGCCAAGGAGTCCTTAAGTGCTGCCTGGTTGTTAATGGTTAACTTGGTGTATGGCACTATATCAGCATCAGAATCGACTTCAACGTCGGAAAGTGGAACATCTTCTTCTTCGGTCTCAGCTTCCTCAACCTCAGGAATTTCTTCCTCAGCCTCGGCTTCATCATCTTCAAGCTCACTGTCGCTGTCACTGTTGGCCAATTTGTCAAAGTCCAAAGCTTCCTCGTCGCTCTCTTCCTCCTCCATGTTGGCTCTAGCCTCGGCGGCCTGGGATAACAAGTCCTTCAATTCCTTCAACTCAGCTTTGGACAAGTCAGCTGGGTCAAACTCTGCGTCATTTAACTGGGCAACTTCTTGCAACAACTGTAAGTGCTCCAAGTCCTCCTCGTTCAATTCAACTGGCTCAGAGTCAGATTCAGAGCCAAAGTCAGACGCAGACTCGTAGATGGTTTCTTCGGCCTCTTCGGAGTCGGACTCGGGAGCGAGACTCTTGAGCGGAGTTGATTTGACTGGGGTAGATTTGACCCCGGAAGGTGTGGACTTTGGGGACGACTTCAATGCAGACTTGACTGGAGTGGTCTTTGGAGTGGATTTTGGAGTGGATTTGGCGGTCTTGACTGGAGTAGCAGCCTTGGTTGGGGTGGAGGTCTTTGGAGACTTGGCCTGGGCCTTAGCTGGAGACTTGGAAGGGGTTCTCGCCATTTTGTGTATAGAGAAAGTTGTCTGAAGCGTCAAAAGGTAACTGATAAAGATTTTTCATGCTTAAAAATTATGCATGCGATGAGCATAATTTTTTTTTCGCTTACCCGGACGTGGAACAGGGTCACGTGCCCTGTACGAGCGAGTAGCACCGGGCGCGATCCAGATACAGATATGAATTACTCTAAAGCCAACCAGTTACTCATCGCTCTCAGGCCTCTATAAACATACAATGGATAAGGCAGCTGCAAGACAAAAGTTTTTGGACGAATTTCCTGCCCTTGTGGCGGAGTTGGAGCAAATCTTGAAAGGCTACGGGCTTTCTGAGGAGGCTATCAAGTGGTACCGTGATTCGCTCAATTACAACACCCCTGGTGGTAAGTTGAACCGTGGGTTATCTGTTGTGGACACGTATGTGATTCTTAAGGGTTACGGGTCAATTGTGGAGGTTCCTGATGTCGAATACTCGAAGTTGGCGTTATTGGGTTGGTGCATCGAGCTTTTGCAAGCGTATTTCTTGGTTGCTGATGACATGATGGACAAGTCGATCACCAGAAGAGGCCAGCCGTGCTGGTATAAACAACCGCACGTGGGTGAGATTGCAATTAATGATGCTTTCATGTTGGAGGGTGCCATTTACGTGCTTCTCAAGAAGCACTTCAAACAGGATGCCTACTACGTGGACCTCTTGGAATTGTTCCACGATGTAACCTTCCAGACGGAGGTTGGTCAGTTGTTGGACTTGATCACTGCGCCGGAAGACCATGTTGACCTTTCCAACTTTTCCTTGGAAAAGCATTCGTTTATTGTCATCTTCAAGACGGCTTTCTACTCCTTCTACCTCCCGGTGGCCCTCGCGATGCACGTCGCCGGTGTCTCCTCCGAGCAGGACTTGAAGCAGGCGCATGACGTTTTAATCCCATTGGGCGAGTACTTCCAGATTCAGGACGACTTCTTAGACTGCTTTGGTAAGCCAGAGGACATTGGCAAGATCGGTACTGATATCAAGGACAATAAGTGTTCCTGGGTCGTCAACACCGCGTTGAAACTCGCCACCCCGGAACAGCGCCACATTTTGGACACCAACTACGGGATCAAGAACGACAAGACCGAGGCCGTATGCAAACAGCTCTTCAGAGATATGAAGATCGACGAGTTCTACCACCAGTACGAGGAGAAGACCGTAACAAAGTTGAGAGAGCAGATTGCTAATGTCGATGAAAGCAGAGGCTTCAAGGGTGCTGTCTTGACCGTCTTCTTGGACAAGGTCTATAAGCGTACTAAGTAAGCGCAAGCGTATAGAAAAATTCTAATACATGAAAATCCGATTGCTGTATCTCGGCTTCGAGCCGGTCAATATTTTTTTTTTTCGTTATTATGATCGATGTAGACTAAGATCTAGGGTTTGTACGTGTAAAGTCGCGGAGTATCTTATCTGTATGTATGGGAAATGCACTAGAGCGATATTCTCGATTTCTCTCAAGGAGTCGGCTGTTTTCTATGGCAGAAAATGAATAATGAGAGGCTTTTTGCGGCCTATAAACATATATTAGCGATAATTATGCCCCGGATCACATAGATGCTAACGCTGCAGCACTAGCAGCTTCACGTATTCAATCACTGAAGTATAAGTTGCTTAGACTCTTTCTACAAGTAAATGTATGGGAATGCATACGATACCCTAATCTAGAGCTTGGCTGCCGAATAGTTAAGAAAACCATTCATGATCTTGGTGTAGATAACTTTGTTATTCTTAATCCAAGAGATATCACTCGTAAATTACAGGATATCCTACGGAATAACCATTATCGCATACTGTACATGTATCTTACTATAAATACTGCACTGTCAACAGTGTAATTGCTACCCAAAAGCAGTAGACGGGAATCTTCGGGAGGCAGAGACCTGAATATCTACAAGTCCTCACCCCCAGGATTGTTGTTGAGCTTAATGTCTCCACCACCGCAAGATCCATCACGCAGCGCCATCATGCCTGCGAGCCTATCGCAGTTTCGCCAATAACTAGTAGTCCGGCGCTACCGCACCGCTGAACCCAGTCCCTCCCGTGCTCCCCCGAATCCCCACCTCCGGTACGACCGAGCCCAAACTTACCACGTACACCATCATCGACATCACCATACAGTGCAACCCGACGCAATACGCAAAGAACAACATCCGTGTCTTCTTGGACGACAAAATCGCGCGAGAGAACGAGATAAACACGCGTTCGATTGGAGAGAGACGCGAGTTGATCCGCTCACGCTCGCGTACACGGAACTGCTCGATCGGGTTGAGGCGTTCCTCGTAGCTCTGTGAATATTGGCTCTCAGCCTCGCTACTGGTGGCGGTTGAAAACACACGCTTGGATGTCCCGTTCGAGCTCGTATTATCAAACGACGAGAGATACCTTGTCCGCTCGTACAACTGGGCATTGTCGCGCTTCAATCCATTAATATCGCGCTTCAACTCATTAATAACCAGGAACTGCTTTTTCGATTCGTCTTCCAATTCCTTGTTGCGCATGCGGAAGCGGTCGCGCTGCTTCGTAATGATGGGTAACATAGCGGACTCTTGACCGGGACTCTCAGCAATTTCCGGCAACGTGCTTCGTGTCAACAGCGCGATGGTCCGCCCACTGCCCGAGACCATACTCATTGTGTCGAACTTCTTGTCCTGGACCTCCATCAAATCGCCTTCCAATTTTACGATCAACGCACGGAGTCTGATAGTTTCTTCGCTCGCCGTCTGGAGCTGTGTCTCCAACTCTTGGCCGCGCGCGACAAGCGATTCGTGCTGCGCGCGGAACTGCGCGAGCTCGCCCGTCAACTTCTTATTCCGTGCCGCGAGGATCCCGTCAAGCGTCTCATCACCACCATTATTTGCCTCTTCATCGCCAAAGCTGATCGTCTTTAACGCCTGTAGCTCGCTGCGAATCTCATCGTAATCCTTGGTACTTTCCAACCGCGTCTTTAACCGGCTCATTTCGGCGGCCATGCCAGTAACCTCGCGCGCCAAGCCTTCTGCCTTGGTTTTGTGTTCTTGCTGCGCGCTGTCTAATGTGCGGCGCTGGTACTCCAAACGGGCCACCAACATGGCGTTCTCGCTCTGCAACTCGTTCAACGCCGTAAACTGTGCGTCTGCGTGCGACGCCACCTCCTGCGAAACTGCCGCCTCCTTCTTGGTCACCTCACGGCGCAACTCCTCGTTGCGCTTTTCCAACTCGAGCACGCGCGACTGCGCAGATGCGTAGTCACGTGTGACCATCTCCAACTCGACCGCTGTCGCCGAGCTACTCTTGAGCCCGTCGACCCCCTTTAACCGCAACTCCGTCACCTCGTTAGCAGTCCTTAAATCTTCGATCTGTTTGCGCGCATCCAATACCTGGCGGGTCAACTCGGCCTGTTTCTCTTGCCAGTTGGCCTCGCGCTCGCTCATGAGCGCAGTCATCTCCGCCTCCTTCGCGCGCACCTTCGTGGCAACGTTCTCAGCCGCCTTCTGTTCGGTCCGGAGTACCTTCTTCTGGAGCTGGTCGTAGTCTGCGTATTTTGTCAACTGCAATTGACACTGCGCCAACTCGGCCTTCACGCGATCGACCTCCGTTGAATCGTACACAGCGTCAAGAGACGCCTCCAAAAGCGGTTTTGGGTCAGGTGCCTCGCTGATATGGCGGTACACGCCAAAAAAGTACCCCTCCACGAGTTTACCCTTCTTGGTCAACGCATCAATCTCGTTCTGGTACAACTTTAACAACAGCTTCACCTCCGCGAGCTTCTCTGAGTCCGCCAACTTGCGGAACTCCTTCGTTTTGGTCGCAAGCTCCTTTCTGCTTGTAAGGGAGTCTTGTTGGGATTCTTTAATTTCGAGCCCCTGGCCGTCCAACTCCTTCTGGAGCGTCGGCAAGTCGATTTCCGCCCACGACTGGAGCGCACGCGCGAACGGGTGTGTGTCGGACATGTAATAGGGGTGGCACTATAAATGGATAAAGTTGGTACAGGGTAGTTCAATAAGAGGGCAGTGTCAATACGAATACCTTGGTGGATTCTATCACCGGCAAACTCTGGATACGTGGTCGGTGTCCAATCGTAGATGTATAAGTAGCGCCTATCGGTAGTATAACTGGTAGGTATACTAATGGCACTTGAAGTGTAGAATTATAGCACTGTTATTGTGTATTGGTGTGCTAGTTAAGAATACTGATTGAGTTCACGAATGATGAATGGGTGTTTGTATATGTGAGATTTTGCCAATCGTAACAGCTCATAGATGCGCGAAATGCGCGAAGAATAGGTAGAGTGCGTGGGTTGTTCCTTGCTAAAACGCGTAGAAAAAATGGCTGCGGGCTTATAATCTGGGTCTCGTTGTACATTGTAATCCGCTATTTACGCAATAAATTATAGATATCAGAATAAAACAAAGAAAGAAAGCTGCGTGAAGAAGCATTTTATTAGCGTGCTCTATATATAAGTAGGGTATCTTGGCGTTTTGTTGGTTAAGATCGGAGTAGGTTCTTCCAGCTAAGGCTTATATGCCAGTGTGGGAAGGTTTCGAATGAGATATATCAGAATCATGTTTTTGCACTATCCAGATCCCATAGTAAAGTTAACGGCTAGTGTTTTTCCGGTTCTGGGTTAATCTGTCACAAAAATGTGTCTTCAGAGCGGCTCCAGCCCGCGTACTTAAGGTTTGGTCGAGTGCTGATCCCAACCTCATCTTGGCTACATTTGATCAAAAATATGGACCTAGTGAACCTAATGAACCTCCATAGTATTAATTGAAGAGGAAGAAAAAAGAGAATGCGCCAGCCCGGAATCGAACCGGGGGCCCAACGATGGCAACGTTGGATTTTACCACTAAACCACTGGCGCTATTCCTTAGCCTGTCGCAATTAGAGAAATCATCTCTAAGGTTGTAAGTGTTACAGCGCGTGGCTACCAGAACCTGCTCATTAGCATGATTGAAATACAAATATTGTTCCTAGCAAATTGAAATACAAGTGTTACTCCTAACAGATTGAAATACAAATGTTGCTCCTAGCGGATTGAAGCAACTCTTTAACTCAGGAATGGTCACATGTGGGGGTAATCAACCAGTGGTGCTTCGATATCGCATATATTGCTTATTCTCCCCTCTAATGTAAGTAAATCTATCAGAGCTTAATCACTGTCATTCTGCTTGATATAAATATATTTATTCCATAATTACAGGCCCAGCTTTTTTTTACCTTAGATTGGATAGTGCAGGGCGTCGAGTGTCGATACGCAATGCATCAGATGGTTAATGCCTGGTCACTTTACTTTCCAAGGTTCGTTTAGTCATTCCCCACCCTCCTCCTACCGTCAGTTGGCTTTCATCGCCAAAAGTCATTCCGCGTATAACCAATTATAAGGCGTTAATACCAGCTGTTCCACTATATCGTAACACATCTATTGGACACTAATATACAATTCAGGCCCGCTTAGTTCAAGGCCGTCCTCAAGGTAGCCAATTGCTTCAACACAGCGCTCTTAGCAGTGCCACCGGTAGCATCTCTTCTCTCAACAGACACCTCAAAATCGAACACGTCAGTGACGTCGGCATTGAATCTCTCATCGATGGCCTGGAACTGTTCTAAGGACAACTTGTCAATCCCGGACAAGGCCAATTCTTCGGCCTTTCTCACACACTCACCGGAAATGTGGTGAGTCTCTCTGAACGGAACTCCCTTTCTGACCAAATAATCAGCCAAGTCGGTGGCCAACATGTCCATGGTCAATGCCTCCTCCATTTTGTCAGCATTGATAGACAAGGTCGAAACGACACCGGTGGCAATCAAGATGGAATGTTCGACGGTAGTCAAAGCATCAAAGAGCGGTTCCTTGTCCTCTTGCATGTCCTTGTTGTAGGTGGATGGAATGGACTTGATGGACATCAAGAACCCAGAAAGGGAGCCGAAAACTCTTCCGGACTTGCCTCTCAACAACTCCAACGAGTCTGGGTTCTTCTTCTGTGGCATTAAGGAGGAACCGGTGGAGTAGGCGTCGGCTAGCTTGAGGAAACCAAATTCACCAGTAGAGTAGATAATCATATCTTCAGAAAGACGGGAGATATGGTTCATGAACAAAGTAGACCAGAACAAGGTTTCGACGACAAAGTCTCTGTCGGAAACAGCGACCAAGGAGTTGCCGATGACGGAATTGAAACCTAACCCCTGGGCCAAGTATTCACGGTCAATCCCATATGGGTGTCCGGCTAATGCACCAGCTCCTAAAGGAGACTTGTTGGTTCTCTCAATGATCTGTTGCAATCTGTCGTAATCCTCGGTGAAGTAGGTGGCGTACATGGACAACCAGTGGGACCACCTGATAGGCTGAGCTCTCTGCAAGTGGGTGTACCCAGGCATCAAGACATCAATCTCCTGTTCGGCCCTATTGATAATGGTTTCGATAAAAGACTTCAAGATCTCTGACATCTTCTTCAAGTTTTCTCTAACATAGATTCTCATGTCGGTGGCAACCTGGTCGTTTCTGGATCTCCCGGTGTGGACCTTCCCGGAAATGTTGCGACCGATGATTTCGCCCAATCTTCTTTCGTTGGCGGTGTGGATATCCTCGTCGCCTGCCTTCTCGACAAAGCTGTTGGAGGCCCATTCCCCCTTGATGATCTCCAACCCACGATGGATCTCAGACAACTCGTCCTTGGTGAGCAACTTCAACTTCTCCAAGCCCTCAGTGTAGACCTTGGTCCCCTCTAAATCGGCCTCGTACATCTTCTGATCGTATGGCAAGGAGGCGTTGTACAAGTCCATCAACGGGTCGGAGGCACCGGTGAAACGGCCACCCCAGAGTCTCAATTCAGCTGGCTTTTCTTCAGGCATTGTGTACGGTGTTTGTGTAAGACAAGCTTAAGGGAAGGGAGAATGAAAACGCAAGATCAAGGGAATGAGCAGGCATATTTATAGTGAATGAAAAATTATCGGGGGGGGGGGGACCGTTTCCCGCGGCCTACTTGAAGCGTGGTGCGGAGCCCTGGGAGATGGCTATTCGATAAGCCAGTGAAAATTAACCGCGGTGAGTCATTGCCTTTTTGGGAAGATAATGCGGCTCATCCGTTCGGTTTCACAGATTCGGTGGGCACACGTCCTCATTCCCTGATATACTCGTATAGGGTGCCCTTGTTGGTAAACCTCAGCTCGCCAGAGTAACCAATCTTCGAACACCAAAATGTCACCTGTACACGCTTCTAACAAATCCACCACTTGAAAAACGCCGGTGACACCTCAACGAGCACGGTTCGCGTTCAGCAGCTAAAATCACTGATATATATATTAAAAATGGGTGGTCACGCAGGTCCAAAGTCTTACATGGGTTGGTGGGGTGATATGGGTATGTATTTCCGGTCTCGGTTCTCCAAAGGTCGCTACTAACAGGTTACAGGTTCCCCAAAGCAAAAGGGTATCACCACTTACTCCGTTTCTCCATACGCTTCTAAGCCATTCAAGGGCGCTTTCTACAACGCCTTCTTCAACGTCTGGAGACGTACCAAGGGCCAGGCCTTCTACGTGTTGGTCCCAGCCGCCATCGTCTACAAGATCTACTCCGATGCCGTCGACTACAACACCTACTTGTACACTAAGGCCGGTAGAGAAGAATTGGAACGTGTTTCCTAAGCATGTCAGCTCTGAACCCTTTATTTCTTATTGTTTATAGTTGACGCTGCGCAGATAGAAAATTGTCCATATTTATTCAATTACGAATTGTTATACGTACATGGCATGTAGGGGTAAAAATGGAAGTAGGCAGCCTTTGAACCGATTAGGATGGTTCTTTTGCTTTAAAGTTATTTGGCACCCAAAGACGGCTATGGTTTAGCATAAACATACACGATCCTAGATCTTTGATTAGCGATTATCTCAATTTTCCATTTTATACTCAAATCATATTACAGACAGTAAACAATGTACATTCAATTATTTATAAACTGGCAACTTGGCCAGTCACGCCGGTTTCGTTAGTTCCCCATCAAACCCGATAAGATATTACCAAAGGGGTTACCACCGCCAGCCTGCGGGGCTCTGATCTGGAAATAAACTTCGCCCAAGTAGTCTAGCAGCGGCTTCAAGTTGGCTCTGCCGACGTCAGCCAGATACCGGGTCCGTAACTTGAGATACGCATCCTTAGAGCCAGCCTGTACCACCAACACAAGCAATTGCAAGAAGTTAGTCAAAGGGTCGGAAAATTCGACGACGGTCAACCCATCCACCGAAATCAGCTGCGGCTTGTCCTTCGTGGCCAACACTTCGGTAAAGATGGCGACGGCTAGCTTAACGAAGCGGATGTTCTGGATCGAAAGGTAGTTGATAACGGCTCTGGCCATATATACCCCATAGTTACCGGATGCGTCCTCCAATGCCCATTCGGCTAAGTACTCGGCGTACGGTCTGACACTGGCCTCGGTCCCAAACACCAAGTGAGTCTCAGCGTTGACAAAGTCGTTAGCCTCCAAGAACTTCATTCCCAAAATGTGATTCAACTGCGCGTCCCCAAATTTCAAACTACCATTGGCGACCGACCAGCCCATAATGGACTTTTTCAAGCCACCCCAGAACGGCTCGGACGCTGGCAACCCCAATAACAACTGGATTAGTTTCGACTTGGACACCAGGTCCACGGGCGTGTGTGACTTTGCGTACACCTCGATCAAGTACTGTACCAAATCATTCGCCTCGTGGAACTTCTTGGCCGCGATGAAAGTCGACGTCGTGTGGTACAAGAGCTCGGTGGCCTCGGTATAGGACGCGGTGTGGACGTAGCGGTTGGCAATGGTACGAATTGTCTGGTGCGCCTCGTAGTAGTCGCCATCGGCAATTTTCGCCTCGAAGCGCGCAATCGTTCTTTCTAACTTGGCATTTGTGGACATTGCGATGGGTAATGGCTGATGGCGGATAATTAGTAGGGCGGTAGGGTGATCCATTTATACGACGAGATTTGAAAGCCTGTATACAGGGAGTGGCGGCGTGGGGGATATTATTTTGCTGGTATAAGTCTAGAGGTCATAATTCTTCCGGTTACTACATTTTTGGTATAGTTATTATGGAAACTTCAATGAAAGAGTCCCATCATGGAGTATTGAATGTTTAATGTGGTGGTATATGGCGTTAGTACACAATGTTGGTTTATGAAAAGAGAGCTACACCTTCCGTAAGTACACCCACTGGCTTGTAGAAAAAGCTCAAGGACTAGGGGTGAGGTGGTTATTGTTGGCAAGGGGTGAGCACATTGAGTTGATGCGTAAAATATACGAGTAATAGTTTTATTTTGTGTAAAGATTGTGGTTAAAATAATCAGATAAAATAAGGGAGTAGGTAAGGAAGAGTGTCTGGGTGGTACAAAACATAGTACAGGGGTATAGTAATTAAATGCCGAATAGAGTAAGCACGAATACATGGCTGGTTGAAATATATGATTGCCGAAGAGAACAGTGAAAGTAAAGTGTTAGCATCTTACGAAGTCTCTGGATAAAACAAGGAATTATTACGAATTTACACGATAAATACATGCTGTATAATACAAGTAGGAAATCTGTGTCTGTTTTTTGGTTGTATTAACGTGGATTATTATAACCTGCTCTTAGTCCATAAATGTGTACTAAAGACAGTTTTAGGAGTATGAATGTGCATCTATAGCAGGTTATAGGTAGAGAAGGGATTAATATGTAATTGTTTTGGCCAGATATCGCCAATTGAATAGCTATACCTTTCACATGCACTAAACTATGCTAATATCAATACCCTATCATCTCGGATGCCACTCATACGACATTTAATCTCCACTGGCAAAACGTTCGTTATATACAAATGCTTTACACCGTTAACAACGTCCCAAGGAACTTCACTTCGGGCAGACTATCACCACGCAAGTCCTTGACAAATACAGCCATGATCTCGTCGTACCGCTGCGCCAACTCCTTGACGCGTCGCAGGGTGTATTGTAATTTCTCTTCGATGGCACTATCACTACCGTCATCCTGACCGGTGCGGAGCTGGATGTTGGTCATGAGGCTAACCACCAAGTCACCAAACTCGGACGTACTGCCGGAAAACAGATGGACAAGCTCAAGCAAGTCGTAAATCGTGGCAATGAACGTCCGACTGGAGAACCGGCCCTGGGAGCTTGCAGAGTTATTCAAGAGGCGGTGGCGGGTGATGGCAACCAAGTAGTTGGAGTGTAATGTGACCAACTCGTCGATAGTGAACTCTGAATCCTCCAAGGCAACCACCTCGGGCTCTGGCAAGTCAGTAGCTCTAATCCTATGAGTCTGCAAGAAGCCCTTCGTCGGTAGCAACAACGCTAGACTCTCATCAGATTCCTGGTACTGGTACGTGCTGTCAGGTGACTTTCGCATCTGGCGCTGCAAGACTTGGTAGTTCCGCTCGATAACTTCGGAGTTGAAAAAGTCCAGAAGCACTGTGACAAACCCGATCAACTTGTTACGTGCAATGTTGATCCGCTTTAAGTTGCTCACCACCCAGATATAACGCGAGTCGAGATTCGACATCGCCCCGCTCGTCGCACGGTTGATTTGCACCTTGAAGGCTCTGACATCGCAGCTTACCTGCCGCAACGTGTTCTTCTGGAGATGGCGGAACTCATTCCAGTTGACACCAAGTATATGTTGTGTGCGCCGGAGCTTCCACAAGAAGTTGAACATGCGCAAGTATTCAGACGAGACATTGCGATGGTTGAGCACAAACTCCAACGGGCCGTGGACCTTGTATTCAAGCGTAAATACGTCCCAGCCGATATTCCCATGGGTCAAGCCGAGAATCCGCGCGTCCAAGTTCTGCAACACCTCTTGCGGTAACGCCCTGACGGTGGTTGCGTGGACCGCCTCCAGCAACACGGACGTTAATTGGTGAGCTGAAATGGCGTTGGACGGCTCATTAAAAATGGCAGCACCTCTCGCAAGAAGCGTCTGGATAAAGTCGCCCTTTCCCATGAACAAAAAGCTCTTTAGAGCTGCCAAGTGAGTGTTCAAGTGGTACTTGTGGTGCACCACGTTAGTGAAGTGGTTGAGCACCTCTGCATGCTGGAGTGCAATCACGGTGGTGAGCTTTGTGATAGACATCGCCTCAAACCCTTTGGTCTCTGCGTACATGAGCTGGCGCGCCCGGGTGCTGTAACGGCTAAGCCAGTTCAATTCGTGGCAGTACGCCTTGAGGAATACAATCATCTTTCCAAGTTGATAGATTTTAAGGCCGAGCTCAGCCGGGAGAAACGCAGGCATGTCTGCAGCACTGTAGCTGAGCTGATATAGGCCTTGCTCGCGCGGGTCCGCGCGGATGAAAAACTCCGCGTGTGGGTCGCTGAGGTCACCGTCGCGCACCCAGTTCTCCAAGATCTGATAGTACGGTTTGCATACCTGGGCGAACAATCCGTCTCCCAAGGCCTTTATCAAGGGGTCGCCGTACTCTGTGAGGCGGTAGACCTCTGTGAGTAAGTCACCGCCCAGTATCACATCGAGCTTCTCGGTTAGGCCATACAACACCCGCAAACGGAGGATCTCGTCGTACAAACTCAGGTATATTTGGACCAACGAGACGCTCTGTCGCGTCAAATTATTCACAAGCTTTACATATCCTTGTAGCTCTTTCGACAAGGCGCTGGCGTAAGCATTCTTGAGGAGCGATCGCAGCCGCCCCTTGGAGCTCACTGCATCTGACATCTTCTTGTAGAGGATCGCGGGCTCAAAAAGCTTGTGGAGCAAGCCGCTGATGCTGTTGCTAATGTTTGCCGGTAGCTCGATGCTCGCAACGTCAAAGGGAAAGTGCTTGGATGTCGAACCAAGGAGCGTGTACGAGAGATAATGCAAAGCCTCGTCTTCGTATGTGTTTCCGTAATACGGCTGGATTATCTCTTTGAGCGAATCCTTATCCGATCCCGCCGACTGGAAAGACCGGTGCGATCCCTCAGAGTACGCATCCTCGGCACGGATGGTGTTGAAGAACAGGAGAAATTCCCGCGCCTGCAGAAGCGTGTTGTTTGCAAGGAGCTGAGTGATTGTCGACAGAAATGTGGCCCATTCGCGCTCCAAGTTGTGGTAGAGGAACGTCTGCTTGTACTTGTTGAGGATGAGGTCGATGTCGGCAGCCGCAAAATACGGGCCACCGTGGTGGAGAAGGCTCCAGAGGTCATTAAAGAGGCTATTTGAACACGAAGCACCCAAGACCTCTGGTACCACCGCTCGCACCAACCGTTGGAGATGTAATTGGGTGTGGTCAAGCGACATGACTATGGGTGAAGAAAGAGTGTTTGACATGTTTGCCAATGTAAACAAACGATTTATGCGGTGTGTCGACTGCCGCATTCGGCAGGAAGTTGCAGATAGGTAGGTAAGCTCTGAAAGGTGTAAGGATTCAAGTCCTAATAGTGAGTATAGTGATAATGATTATTATAGTATTATTATATATAAATCCCGAATATTTACATATTTTGGATTCAAATGGATGATGGGATTGAAGCTACAGGTTTAATCGTATGTATGGCATGGTGTAGAAGGCTGGGCTGGATAAACATCTGCACGTTAGGAACTCTGAGTTGTATCTCTTCATTCCAGTCTAAAGCTCTAGAACGGCATTTAAGTTACAAACATGAATACAAGTACGGCTTTTTTTTTTCGGATTCTCTAAAATTGGTCTTGTAATCCACAAAACCTCTAGGCCAAATCTATTGCAGATAATGAACTCATAGTTCGGAAACTGAAGCTCAAATTATTTGCAAGAGTGTTTTCCCTGAAATTCCCATCAATAAAAAAGAGGAAATTTCCGCTAGCCCAGTGGCTTAGCAAAGTAAAAGGCATCCCTAGATTTGTAAATTCAATAAAGCTCTGATCCATATACATAAACCAGACCCTACGCAAATATACCAAGGACTATGTTATTAAATCTCACTCTTCGATACGTAAACCACTGATGTTTTTCCTCATCATTGTAACAACCATTTCGCCCTATGTCATCACATCGATGTCAGTCCCAAAGAAGTCAAACTCGCTGATTTCATACCCCAAATCAGCCATCTTGCCCTTGTACCGCTTCATGTGGTAATACTGTGCCAAGCCTCTAAGCGCCACCTCCTGGGCGTAAGCGTCGCGGATCTCGCCCTCGATGTCCTTACCCGTAAGCCAGTTGTCGCGCAAGCCCAATTTGGAGTGTAAATACACTAACGAAATTAAATCCATGTTGTTGGACTTCCACTTGCGGCCGTTATATGCCACAAGCGTCTTCACCATTTTGAGCACCGGCGCATATATTTCCGCGTTGTAGAAGCGCAACGCGTACCGAAACGTGTCTGATGGCTTCTTGTCGCACAAGACAATCACTCTTTGTGTCTTGGAGAGCGAGACCTTGGCCATCACTGTAAACAAATTAGTCATGATGTACGCGTACCGCCAGTTGAACTCGGTGATTGCCGGCAGGGAGAAGATAGTTGCGGGCTGAGTAATATGGAAGAGCACCGGCTGATCCACTTTCCGAGGAATACAGATGGCGAAGAAGCTATACTCAGGCACCTCAAATGCGGGATTGAGCAAGCGGTCGAAGAGCGCACTATCCTGAAGGACCTCTACAATCGGGTGCTGGCCCTGGGTAGCGTCAATGGGATTCGGAGGAATCTCGTCCTTGGGGTGCTTCTCACTGAAAAGGTCCAACACCACGGTGTAGAAGTCGTTATCGAAGATAATAGAGCTGAAGTACGTCCACTTCAACACGTGAGACAACTTGAACCACTTTCCAAGTACGAGTAAGAGTCCCGTGGCGGCCTTGAGAGACAACTCCTTCACACGGAGGAGTTCTAACTGCTGCTTCACCTCTGTGTCGACAAGCGTGTTCGGCGATAAATTGAGATGGACATTATTTGACTTTATCACCTGAACAATCACATACACGAGCGAACTAAGGTTCGGGAAGATGCGGCCGTAGAGCTCCTCCGTGCGCATCAACGAGCGAATCTGGAATTCAAACACTGGGAACGCCTTGATAGTTTCCTCAGAGTAGATAAATCCGTCTTCAGCTTCGTCGAGAGTGTCAATCCAGCCGCGCTCCTGCCTCATCAATGCGTTTCGCTCAAGCCATAGCTGTTTCTGAGTTACTGTTCGGCGTATATTCTTGTAGATGATCTCTCCCGCTTCCTTGATGCTGTATGGGACATTCTCAAACGTGTGTTCGCTTGCATCGCCCTCCTCATCCGAAGAGTCGCTGGGGTAGAGAAATGGAAAAGACTGGTTGGTCTGATATGTGCGCTTGATCTTGCTAGCGGGCAGTGCCAAAGGGGTGGATGGGGGCGACGGCGCGGGCGTCGAAATATGGATTTCCGGTGTGGGTAAATGAATGTTAATGGAGTTGGACGCCAATGGTCTGGGTTTGTCAATCAACTGGGACAAGGAGCCGGGGTTGTCGAAAAGTTCTGGTAGGGTGGAGACTGGTGCGTTGTAGGTAGGAAACTTTGCCGTGACATCTTCGCGAAACACGTGAAAGTCCAAGGCAGTAACCTTGGATTCAGAGGAACAGTCAGCAATATTTGCATTTTGCCTGAGAAACGCCTTTGTCCGCTTCATGTCCTCCATGCCCCCAAGCTCGACAAGCGCCAACTTCCACGCCACCAGGAGGAGATTGCGGATCCGAAAGCTGTGCTGCGGATTCCAGCGCCAGCGCTCGATGAGCATGATGACGGAACTGAAAAGGTCCTGCTGGGCTAAGTCAGATCTGATACGGTCATCACTGATTTGACTGGCATTTCTCTGGTCATTGTACACCACCAATACAAAGTAGAGGATCGTGAGAATATTGTAGTAGAGCTGCTCATTGCCCAGTAGGTCGGTCAGAAGCAACTTGAGGAGCGAACTGAGGACATTGACAACCCCACAGGATAAAAGAACCCTCCCATTCACCACGATCTGCGCTACCTGGTCCTTTTCGCTGGTTAACTCCGCATAGCACCCAAAGGCAATGTATAGGAGAGACTGGGATGCATAAAGTTGACTCTCAGTCTCCTTCAAGAGGCCGAGCAACCGCTTCACCACCTTCTCCTGCTCGCATCTTTTGCTTTTAGTGAAACTCCCCTTGAACCCCGCGGCCAAGCCTGCAAGATTGAGGCCACGGATCTCGGTGATAGAGAACCAATCATTGATTTCCGTACGGAGGTCCTCGCAATCGGCGTTTTGGAACTGGAGGTTTGCTTTCTTGGGAACCGTCCCATGGAACGAGTCGTTTCCAATCTGGTGAGCGCGTTCGTCGATATTCCGCTGGAACTCATCGTCCAACGGCTCTGCTGTGAGGTGCTCAAGGTTGCGCTTGGGCGAAAGCGACTCAGAGGATCCGGAGTTCAAGTAGCTGATGTCACTGTGCACCCTGAGGCTTTCAAAGTCCTGGGAGATGTCTGCTGCCTCGTACTCCTCGGGCGACTTGCCCTTGTGCAAGTCGCTCTGGAGGCCAATGTCGATGATATTTTCCTCTTCAAACAACTCTATCTCGGGGTCCATATTCTTTAAGGGCTAATAATACGTCTGTAGAGAAAATAGTGAAATGAATATATACGGTAACCGTGATTTCTTTTGGTGTCTCTACGTGTTTACAACCCACAAACGTAGCGCTGTGTGCAGGAGGTATTTGAAATGCTCGAGAGATTTAATAATCCGGTGACAGAAATTTGGGAAGTGTATCTTTTTATAAGCACCACTTTTTTTTTCACCATGGTCAACTTAGAGCAATCCTTGGGCTTGAAGTATGTATAAGGTGTCCTGGATATTTAATAAGAGCAGTCTATAATACGGGGATTCCTGAAGCGTTACCATCCACCTCCGCGTCAGCACGAATGCTAACCCTCGCAGAGTCAAGGTCACCACCATTTTGGACAACACCATCACTGGCACCATCTTTGCTTACTCTCCCACCTCTCAGTTGTTGACCTTGCAGCAGGATACACCCTCCAAGTCTGACCTGGCCAGCTACCGAATCATCAAGACTGAGTTCTTGAAGGAGTTACAAGTGATTCCGAACGGTGCGAAGGGCGCTGCCAAGAACGGCAAGACCAAGGCGTACCAGTTCTCTAGTTTCTCTAAGATCCAACCTGCCGTGCACGCCTTAGACGAAGCTGCAATCACTGCGAAGGTGGCAGAGAAAATCAAGCAGTGCGAATTGGCATTGAAGACCACCAACAAGAACGCCTCCTCAGAAGGCCAGGAAATCTTCAACAAATTGTACAAGACATTACCGGATGTCAAGTGGATCGGCACCGATATCGTGGTGTTGGGAGAAGTCAAAATTGCCAAGCCGTACTTTGTTAAGGATATCTCGAACAACGCCGGTGCCAAGGAAAACCCGCTAATCGCCAGGATTGTGGGCGGCTATTGGTTAGACCAGGAGAACAGCAAGAAGGGAGGTTAAAAAAGAAAATTGGAATAATAATAAAAAAAAGTAATAAAATGATGATCTATGTAAGTGTAGATGTTTAGGAAAATTCGGCGCCAGTATTCCATGTCACCTCTAGCGCGTCGAAGAGTCTGAGGCCTCGCTGGTGCGTTCCTTTAAAGCCGTCTGTCTCTTCCCACTTGGCAAACACTTTGGTGGCGTTCGGCTCGGAGATTGTGGTTTCAAAATATGGGTTAAACCAAAATGATGCCATGCTGCTATACAAGAGCGTACCTGGAAACTTTAGGGTAAACACAACTTTCAAATCACCCAGAAACTCAACGGGGCCATCGCCAAAGACGGATGAAGGCGCCACAAGCAAGTTACGCTTCGAGTTTTGAAGGATGTCCTGAAATTTTTCACCCTCTGTCCAGTTAAAATCGTACAATAATTTCAATGGAGTGTCACCAGACGAATGCTGGTAGATCTGAAAGGTGATTCCAGGATACTGAGGTTTTACAAGGCTGATTTCCGTAATGTTCCCCCGAATAGGAACATACGCATCCGCTTGGTGTAGATAGGTCTCCCAGTACTGCAAATATCTTCTCTGGGACAATATCGACACCCCGTCACCATACCCCACTCGCATTCGCTTGAAGGAGAAGGTAGATATTGCTTGAAAGTGAGAGATGCCATATTTATATATAGTGTAGGCACAGCACATGAACCCAGATCGCCCTTTCCCAGCTTTGCAGTGGAGCACGGCAACGTTAGCAGGATCCAAGTTCAAATAAAGGTCAATGCTGGAAACCACTTGAGCAACGAGATCAAATGGAGGGGGACCGTGGTCGGGAAAGGGGAAATAGCAGACCCGGCCAGTAACATCGGCGGAGGTATAATGGGGCTCCTCTGCGCGGAAGTTCCATATGTGCCAGTTTCCGCTATGCTTTGCGTCCAAGAAAGCTATCAACTTCTGCAACGGCATACGGTAAATACCAGAAATAATGTGTGTGGTAGGACCGGAGCAGACGATTAGCCTCCTGGAAATGTAAGCTAAATCAAGATCGGCTTCGGCGAACGGAAGTTTTGGGCAGGCAACAATAGCCCTGAGATAACTGAAGAGAAAGTCCATTCTATGCAGGGATATTTCTGGAAAACTATTTTTTAGGGGGATATAAGTGGAGTTTAGTTGTACTAGGTTGAGAAGATATTCTGGTGAGGGGCGTAGGCGCCATTCCGAGCAAAACGAGCCAGACGTGTTACGCTCGGCTTGTCACATTTGGAATGTGATACTATCCGTTGTACAACTACAGGAGCTGGTGGACAGGGATTTCTTGGGTTTACCATAATATTCGTATTATTCTACATTTGCCATTAAGTTTAAAGTCATATCTCAGGGCTTTTGGTCTATTGCCGTCAAATTCTTTTTTTATTGATTGACCATATTGTTCAACTATGATTCATCACTCCTTTTAGAAAGACTTGGGGTCTCCACGCGTAGTAGTCATTTTGTCTGACCATGAGAAAAAGGAGAACCACTTCCACCTGGACATTCACTGATGTCTAGATCTGGCCGTACCCTAACTACCTCATACCCCAAGTTTATCTTTTAGCAGTTTTCCGCACCAGATATCCGACGTGTCGCACTGTATGCACATCCTGCAGAGAATCACGCAACGCGGTCATAAATTTTTCACCAACGAGATGTCAACACCCTACCCCTCGACCGTTTGTTGAATTTTCAAAACCTGGAGTAGATCTGACGGCTCCACTATGCTCCTTGTTACCAGATGTACAGTCGTTGGGAAGGCCCTTCGAGGTGTCCGCTTCCGGTCCGCTCACACACACCCCAAAGTCGTAGCCCTGACCGTGGAGTTTTTCGATCTATCACCCCCAGTAAATACCCCAGTCTCCGACGCTCTCCCAGAGAATATCACCGTTGAGGCACCCAAGATTGCAATCCCTACGAGGACTGTGCTTGGCGAATCATTCCCTATCCCGCAGCCCCGTACTGGCAAGGTAGACCTTGGGGCGCTCGAAACCGCGCCACTACTCCGCTCCATCAAAGAAATCATGGATAAACATCCCGACAAAGTGGTGCTCTCACAGGTTGGCTCGTTCTATGAGTTATATTTCGACCAGGCAGTGGAGTACGCACCACCGATGGGACTCCGGGTAGCTCTCAAGCGAGCAGGAAAGGGCAAGGTGCATATGGCGGGGTTCCCGCTCAACAGTCTACCGAAATATGTGGAGATATTAGTCGGGGAGATGCATAAATCAGTGGTAATCGTGGACCAGGTGGAGCGGCCATATACCGAAGCGGCCAATGAAATGAAGTTTGACCGGCGGGTGAGTCGCATCATCTCGCCGGGCACACTCCTCGACGAGACACTCCGCGACTTCCAGGAGAACAACCACATTCTCCTCATCAACTTTACGAAACACGACTTCCACTCTTCCGCAGGCGCTTATGAGGTCAAGGTGGGGCTCGCATGGGCCGATTTGGGGCTTGGCACCTTCCATTCCCAGGAAACCAGCATGAAAAAGCTCCTCGCAGACGTAACACGGATCGCGCCAAAAGAAATTGTGATTGACGAGCGGTTTGAACGCGACATAGCGACAAGCACGCGTGACGAGATCCAAGAGTTACAACGCTACTACACTACCTATACCAAGCTCTCAGGCGGTGAGGTAGTTCTCCACTACGACAACTTTGCCGCCAGCCGCCGTGAGTTGGCAAATCACTTCCAAGCGCTTGCCCGCACGGAGTGCGTCGCGGTGGCGTACCTCGCGGCGCACTTGGCAAACATTCTCCCCCACACACGGCTCAACTTTGAGCTTCCAACGCACGAGGTGTCGGACGACACAGTGCAGATCGACGCGCGCACGAGCGAGACGTTGGAGCTCGTCAGCAGTATCCGCACGCGCAGCGCTGTGGGGTCGTTGTTCTCCTGCATCCGCCGCACCGTGACCCAATCCGGCACACGCATGCTCAAGGCATGGATGTTGGCCCCGTCCACGCAATTGGACGAGATCAGGTACCGGCAGAAGCTTGTAGCGGTATTCGAGGCGTGCGAGTTCCTGCGGATCCGAATTACCGGTCACTTAGCACAAACACACGATCTCTCGCGCATCGTCCAGAGCGTGTCGCTCGACCGCTCCAGTCCGATCGACTTGGTCTACCTCGCACATACGCTCCAGTACGCGGCGCACATCCGGGACCTTCTCGCTGCGTGCACGACCGTAAAACACGGGGATGCCATCATCCCGCTCTTACAGAAACTCCAGGTCCCGGAAGAGCTTGCAGAAGACATTTTGAACACCGTTGATGAATACGCGTTGGTCCAGCGGATCAACGAGGAAAGGGGTGAGCCTGACATCGAAGCCCCCGAAGAGGAGATAGAACAAAATGAGATGCGGCAGTGGATCATCCGCCCAGAACACTCTCACGCCTTGACACAAGCCCACGCCCGTCTCGCGGCATTGTCACAAACGAAGCAGGACCTAGAGACCGAATTGCGGGCCAGCTTCAATAGCGTGGTATTCAAATGCATGCCCCGCTACGGTCACTTTGTCGCGTTGCGCGGCACCAGGGGCCAGATCGCGGCACTTGAGGACTCCCTTGCGGCGTACGACCATTCCGTGGTGCGCGCGGTGCTGGGAAACACGGTCTGGGTGCGTCTCACCCCTGCGGTAGAGATCGAGGAGAATATTTTGCGACACGTTGCCGAGATCGAAGAGCTCGAAAAAGAGGTGCTCCGTCAGTTGCGCTCCGTCATCGAGGAAAAGATCCCCGAGCTCAGAAATCTCCACCATGTGCTCGACTACATTGATGTCACAACCTCCTTCGCCGTCTTGGCACACGAAAAACACCTCACGCGTCCAAAGATGACTGCTACTCGGCAGTTGGACATTGTCGGGGGTAGACATTTGGTCGTGGAGGAGGGTCTTCAGACCCAGCTCAAAGAGTTTACCGGAAACGACTGCACCCTCTCGCCCAAGGACCACTTGTGGGTGATCTCGGGGCCCAACATGGGTGGAAAGACCACGTTTCTCAGGCAAAACGCGATCATCGTGCTCTTGGCCCAAATGGGCTCATACGTCCCAGCGACCCGTGCCACCATTGGCATCGTGGACAAGATCTTTACGCGCGTGGGTTCGGGGGACGATTTGTTCCGCGAAATGAGCACGTTCATGGTGGAAATGGTCGAGACCAGTATGATCTTGAACGGCGCCACCAAGCATTCCTTGGCCATCATGGACGAAGTTGGCAGGGGCACGAGCGGAAAGGAAGGATTGGCCATTGCCTTTGCCACCATGGTCCACCTCCAGGAGAAAAACAAGTGTCGCACGTTGTTTGCCACGCACTTTGCCAAAGAGCTCAGCGACCTTCTTGCCCAGAGAGGCCTGGCGAAGGGAGTTTCCTTCTACAAAACAGAGGTGACGGAGCTCCAGCCAAAGCGCGGACCGTCCCACTTGTTGAGCTTTGACCACAAGTTACGCAAAGGCGTTTCTGAAAACTCGTACGCCATAAACGTAGCTGCGTCCGCCGGGTTTCCCAAGTTTGGGCTCAAAGTAGCTGAAGAGGCCCTCCATGGATTCAAGGCCCGCGGGGTTCTCTAGCCGGTTTTAATTGCATACAGGTATAAAATTAACGACAGTTATAAAAATAACAACTTAACTAACCGAGTTTACGGCATCTCAAATACCACGCAAGCCGTTTGCTATAATCTCGCACGCTGTGTCTAGAGGTATTGGAATACGTTTTTACTGTGGATATCTGTAAGCCGTAACAGATAGTGTTACCGATTTGCATGCTTGTCCAACTTCAATCAAGCTGCATTCTCAAAATTTCTAAAAGATGCGAATCTTAGCATTTGCAAGGGCAATATTCATATACATGCAAATCTATTCGTCTATTTGCGCCTAATAACCTGGCCCATTAGAGCCGTCGTAGGTGTTGCTTTCGTTAGGGTTTCTACTGCTGCTTGGAGGGTGTTGCAGTTGCTGGTTCGCCATCTGACTGAAGAAAGCCTGCTGCATCTGCGCCATCTGAAACTGCTGCATCTGCGCCATCTGGTACTGCATCCATTGCTCTTGGGTCTGAGGTGGATTTTGCGGTGGGAGGGACTGGAATGGCATTGGCGGTATCACGTGGCCAGGCATCGGTGGGCCGTTGTGCATCATAGGCGACTGGAAGCCCTGAGGTGGAAGAGGAGGGAACGGCATCTGCGGGAACTGCTGTTGGTGCATTGGGAATGGCGCCGGCACTGGTGGGGCTGGAATGCTGTTTTGGGCCTGCGGTGGGGCGTGAGTGTTCCGGTGGAACGTCTGTTGAAGCTGGTGCATCTGCTGGTGCACGGTTTGTGGATTTCCCATAACAGCTGGAGGAGCTTGTGTGGCTAGGGCTTGCTGTGGAGTGGAGTTAGGACGAGCAGGCAAGTTGTACTGCTGGAAAGCCATGACCCTCTTCGGTTCAGGGCCTGAGCTAGAATCGTTGGTTCTCTTCGATTCGTTTGGTTTGCTCTCTTCAGGCTTCTTGAGGGTCTTCTTGACCTTCTTCTTCTTTCTGGCCTGTTTAGCAGCCAACTCCTTCTCATCGTCAGAGTATTCCTGTTCCTCCGCTGGGACTTCTTCGTCGTTCCAGTTACTAGCATCGGTACCCTTGATCGCCTTGATACCGTCGGTGTACACAAACTGGGAGTCTGGCACCACGTAGTATACCCTCTGTCCCTTTCTGTCCTTGAGCTGCTCGAATTTCTCCTCGGAGATCTTGACTCTGTACACAGGGGCTTGTAAACGTCCGAAAGTCTCGAATAATGGCCCTAAAACGGTCCTATCCTCGAAACAGAGCATGGAGTTATCCTTCAAAATTCTGAATTCACCCGAAACGTTGGCCTTGATGATTACACTGGACTCCACAAGCGCGGTGATCTCCCCAACTAGCTCAAGCGGGGTATTTGGGTCAATGGCATAGTCCTCAGGAATAGAAGGAGCCTTCTCATCCATTTCATTCTTGGAACGAATAGGCCCGGAGATCTCATCGTCGTCATCATCGTGCATAGCAATAGCATCATCATTATCGTCCACGTCAGAGCCGGCCTCGCTGTCACCCTCACTGGAAGAGGAGCTGTCGGAAGAGCTAGATTCAGAGTCACTGCTTATATCAGCCACGTCGCAGTCATCTGATGAGTATGCATCAATCGTTTCTGTGGTGGTGGGTTTGAGAAGCTTTTGAATGGCGTCGTTACTGACTGTGCTGTCCGGGATCAGTTCCTCGGTTCGGGTAACGCTTCTCATGATACCGGCTTCACTAACAGAGGATTCCACCGGTTTAATTTCGGTTTCAGTCCTCTCAGTCTTGACTTCTTCAGTTTTGGTTCCGCTAACAGAGGACTCCGCCGGTTTAATCTCGATTTCGGTCCCCTCAGTCTTGGTTTCGACTTCCATCGGTGTGGCTTCGGGTTTAACTGGTTTTATTCCGCCCTCAATTAATATAGTATCAACTTCAACTTCTTTAACCTTGATATCCATTTCTGATTGATTGATTTCAGTTCTAGCAACCCCTCTGGTTTGGGCCAGGACTCCTTCAACTTTAGTTTCGGCATACACCTTACTGGTCTTACCCTGGGTTTCCAGTTCGGCAATAGTTTCAGGAATCTCGATAGTTGTTTCTTTTTCGGGTTTGGCGGTGCTTAAAGCCTCATTGGTGCTTGATTCAGAGGTTTGGTTAGCACCATCAACTTCGGATTGGATGAGATTGTCGTCAGCAGCTGGAATCGGCTGGCCGGTGGAGGCCACTTCAATAGGCATAGTTTCCATTTTCACAATAGAGGCATATAAGTCTAACTCTTTGGTATGAGTTTGATCCATTATATAATCCTTTGTGTATTTCTGGTTGTACTCCCTATAACTAACTTGTGTTTTCGAATGTATATGAAAGGCCTATACGCAGGTCCAGAAAAGTTTTTTTCTTTTTTTTTTTTCCCCCCTTCTGCTGACCTCAGCGATGAGCTTTAACGATGCATCCCCACATTAGCACTACAGAAAATGAGTTTATTCAGTTTTAAGCCAAATAGCGAACTGTTTTTTTTAGAAAAAGGAAGAATTTTCAGCCCAGATGCTAATTTTCCTCCCTTGCTCAAACACTGAGCTTTTTGTAAGTGGCAATGAGAATAGTGTGCTCTGGTGAATCGTCAACCATATCATATCTCGCTCATTAGAAAGGTAGGGCAGTCATCCTCCATTCCCTCCAATCCCTTCAAGTAGGAGGATGGATTTTCAAATAAATTATTCTCTGACGAAAAGCTCTGAATCTCCAAGCTGAACCTACCCGTTAAGCAATCCGTCCCCTTGGGTATATTCCCGTCGCCGTAGGCGTCTGTGTCTCTTTTTGTGTTCCATTCAATATCTGCAAGCTGGTTGAACCGTTTGATAGGGGAGAGGGATAGCCCAGAGGTATGCTCCAATTCCTCGTCTGTCGAAAATGTTTCCAAGTGATATCCATCAACTATTTTTGGCATGATCATGTAAGGAAGAGGAAAGGGGTTGTTCTCATCTGAAGGTAAATGATTGTATTGATTATCGATCGGTCCCCTCCATAAGCCGTTGTTTTCAAAGGGTAAATCATGCCTTTTTCTCTCGCCTGCCTTGTTAGTGGTCTCAGATTTGGTTCCTTGAAGCTCAGCGAGTATGCTATCAATCATCTTCAATTCTCTCTCGGGGTTGAATATCTCTAAACTGTCCATTGGGTTCACGTTTTCGTGGTCAGTCATATAGTATTCAGGTAAGAACATTTCTAGATGGACTTCACCACCATCAGCTATCCTTGGATCGAGCTCAAATTCATCATGTGGTGTAAATACCTCCTCGGGGCTTTCAGTGGTCTCGTTTTCGCTTCGGGTTAAATACTGGTTTGTACAGCCATCACTATTTTCGAGGGTTATTTGCGAGTCCCTGAAGTCATTCAGGAGCAGGGCAAAGTGCATATTGCGGAACGCATTTTGACCCGTGGAGGCTTCTCTCTGTTTACTCGACTGGTAGTTTGATGGGGACCTTCCCCGGATTATTAGGGATGGCGACTCAATAAATCCCACCACCACATCGACCCCATTTTCAAGGTGAGCAATCAACTGAACAACTAGATTGAAGTGTCTGACCACGGAGGTGGGCTTTCGATAATTTATGGAGGAAGAAAACTGGACTCTCTCATATCTAGCCACCTTGGAAATAATATTCGTAGGATATCCTCTCAAACAGTTGGTTTCATCGCTGCTTCTAACTCCGTTTCGGTAATCCATGTCGCTAAGGTAGAACAATCGATTGATCTTCTCGATCTTGGAGGAGTTTCTCACATTTGCCGCTTCCTTGATCGTCTCGTGATCGGGTAATTTCCCAGGGACAGCTGGGTACACTGGGGGAGCCTGTTGGGGTCCTCTGTCCCTCTTGGCCGTGTGTTGCACCAAGTTGATAAATGTGCCGTCTTCCACGCAAGTGGAGATGAGTTTGAGTCCAAAGAAGCGTACCCCGACGGCGTTATTAAAGTTATCAACGACATAAAACTCCGTTTCGAGGAATGTTTTCAAGGACATTGAAGGAAACTCAAAGCTTGACACGAGGGTAAAGTAATTCCGCTTGTACCCAATCCACTCATCCCCTTCCTTCTCAAACCCTCGGTCAATTCTCGCGGATATTTTTGAAACAATAGGTATGTGAGGTGAGTGTGTGGAGTAGAGGGCGCTTAGACCTTGGGTTGTTGGTGAGAACTGGGGGCCAACCTTGAATTGTAGGCTCGACCTGGGTGCCAACTTTTCTTTTGTGACTTTTCGTTCGTCTCCCCTATTTTCAATCTCATCGGGGATAGGATCTAATAGGGTCATGATGTTGTTATATAGGTATTTCTTGTCCATTTTGCAGAATGCTCTTCTTTTGGCAGAGGTGGTCTGAGAATTTTAGCCGCCCGGTTACTTTGGAGGTAGAGGTTGTTCGGCGAGGTAGTGCATTCAATGGCTCGAAGCTTCTAACAGTTTTTGAGCTACAACTATCCAAGTTTTCCGGAGATGACTTGGACATTTGGGGTGCCTTGTTGATTATAGGTGTGTAGAATAAATAAAAACGAAAGGTTCTCCATTATTGGAACGTTAAGTCTTGACATTGGCGTCTATTCCGATATGCAGGCCACAAAGTCATCGAAGCTGTCACTTTATGCGGGGAACGTGCGGCATCATGTAAGGTGAATTACATAGAAAAATTAGCGCCGCATTTTTATTTATTGGTTAATTATACGCTTTGAAATTTTTTCTCCATCTTTTACTTCCCTGCCGAAAGGGAATAATTTGTTAACTTTCTAGCTTACTGGGTTTAAAGATATGCTTGAATTATTCTCTACTAAATCGGTCAAATCCGTGTCGTAGATGGACGTAAGAAAATTAAGTCACGGAAAAAAATAAAATTAAGAGAAGGTGAAATGCGATGAAGAGGAATGCATGGAAGATATCTACACCTGATAGTAAACATCTTGAGAAGGGTGGAGAGACTTGTGTTCGTCATTCCCATGTTGGCTCTGTTCTTCACGAACAGTTTCGGAAGAATCGGTTGGGCTGATATCCTTCCCAGCCTCGGCCTTGAGAGCAGCTTCTCTGGCGGCAGCGGCATAACCAAACTTAGAACTGTTTCTCAACGACAGGCCATATTTGGTCAAAACCCATGGCACAGGAACCATAGCAAGGGAAATAAAGCCAAAGGTGGAAGTAGCCCAGCCAATACCCAAATTTGTGTACATTTGAATGGTAAACAATGGGAACACCGATGCCAAGAGGTATCTAAGAAAGTTGTTAGCTGCCATAGCAGAGGCCACGGACAATGGGGGGAAGCACATGCTGAGGTAAACAATGACAGAAAAGAAGATCATGATTAACCCAAACCCGAAAGGAACACCGGCCGCTAGAGGAACCATCCAGTGCACGGACTTTCTGGAAGTCCACGCCAACCAGAACAAGGAAATAGGCAAACTGATGGCCCCAATCTTGCAGATGATCAATTTATCCTCTGGGGTACCGAAGTCAATGTTACCGTTAGCATCTCTTCTGCCAACGGTACCATCGGCGTTGTGTGGGAAGAAGACATATCTGTCGTAGCACAAGAAGACAACCGCACCGAAAAGAATACCGATACCGACACCGAGGAAAGGCAAGCCAGAAACCCCGAGCTCCATCCGGTAGACACCTCTAAAGATGATTGGGAAGGCCTCAAAGAAACCAAACAACACGGCAAAAACAAAAGACAAGTAAACGGACAATGAAAGAATGATGGGGTCAGTGAACAACATGAGCAATGGTCTGACCATGGTGATTTTGAACATAAACTTGAGGAACTGAGCATTGCTCATCTCTGGCTTCTTCAAAGTAATACCACGCTTAAGCGCTCTCTTCTTCAAAAGGATTGGCCTGTAGGTTTCTGGTAAGATGATAACGAATGGAAGCAAGATACCAAAGGCCATTAAGTTCACCCACATTGTCCAGTTCCAGCTCTTGTGTTCGCCCACAAAGTTACCAACAACCGGACCAAGGACCGGGCCACAGAAGGGGGCAAGACAGAAAAAGCACATGGCAGTGCCCATCTTTTCTGGAGGGAATACATCAGAGATAGAACCGGCAGCAATAGCCATCGCTGGGGAAGCAAAAAATCCAGTAAAGAAACGCAAGATCAAAATGGATTCAATGTTCTTGGATAAAGCAATCCCCACGATGAAAAGCATAGAGACGGGAAGGGAAACGGAGTAGACAATTTTTCTACCAAAAATTTCGGATAACGGAGCAGCAATAGCCGGACCGAAAGCAAGGCCCACCAAGTACAAGGTCAAGCCTGTAAGTCCTAGCTCCTGTGAGACCTTCATCTTGGCTTCGATGTCATATATCCCACCAACATATAACGAGGAACCGAAGGTGACACACAAACAAATAAAGGCAACCGTCATGGTGGACAACCATTTCTTCCAGGAGGGCCAGTTCATAGGGTCCTGTGGATCGTCTGGAGAATCCCATTTAAGGGTCTGAGCATCAACTCCTTCGTCGCTGGTTGTGTCTCTTACCGAGATGGAGTTTCTAGATACCCTTGCTTCACACAGTATCGCTCTCGCAAGGTCCTCCGACATGGTACGTTCGAGAGGGGAGGAGTCGGGGTAGGTTTGCGTTTCGTGCGGATTAAAAGCATTAACGGATGTACGGTCATCGAGATGGACTGGAGTCGTTGTACCTGTATGCGGCTTGGTATTCAATGTTTCGTCAGGGTTGGTGGAAAGGTCGCTACCATGCAATGTATTGGCGACGGCGTCCCTGTGTTCGGTACCCATGTTGTAAGAAGTGTGAAAAAATAAGCCGGGGGAATGAAAAGCCAAAGGAGAACCAAAAGTAGGGGAAAATTAAGATATAGTGGTGTCAAAAAAAAAAAAAACTTACCTCACCATACGTATTAAGGAATCCAACTTGGTTTTATATATTTCACGGAGTTCGGTTTAGTTTGATATCTTCCACGGAATTCGGTTTAGCTTACCACAACTAATAAAGACATGGATGTTGTCCGGTATATAGGTACTAAAGGCGTATATTTGATAGCTATTTATGCGGCTAGTGGTGCAAGAGACCCCGAAAGGTGCCAGCCGCACAAGAAAAATTTGAGCATGACTGAGCTATTATAGTGCTAAGATTACCGAGACGACGGACTTGACGCACGATATCTGCGTCTCGGCAGTGATTGTTACAGGCCTGGAGGGTTTTTATTCGACGTCACGATTTAGTGGCTGAGTCTAAGTTAATATGTGTTTTTTAATGTTTGGAAACTGTCCACTACTTAACTTTTAACTTTTTGGCTGCCGAGGGATACATACCTCGGGACGGATATTGCTCCGAAGTCCATACGGGGTTTCCAAATACTAATAACTGGTTAGTAATAAGATCAGTGACGTGCTACTTTCTCGGATACGCCGGGCTTTCGTCTAGCTATATTTACATCGTAAAAGGTGAAGATGCATGTCACTCTTGGCGCCTTGGGAGTTTAGATCGTTGTATCGGCGTTTAGGCGTGTAGAACACTGATACATATTCACAAGCCTTGCAGTATACGTCAAGCCATGATTTTCCTTGGCATACTAAAGAAAAACCTTTTTTATCCTGTATGTACCCGTCTATGTTAGTTCCACTGCCATGGGACGCTGAGAACCTACGAGTGGAGTAAGAGCTATCGCAAAAGGGGCGGGCATGCTACGGATTGATAATATTAGAAAGCTACTCAATTTAACACCTTACTATCGTAAAATTCCTGCTCTTTTCGCACACTTTCTTACCCTTTGGACGGAGTGAACTCAAAGAAAGGATATTTAGAAGTTGTAATTATGGGATCGGGGGCTTTGGGTTCTAGACACTTGGAACGATGTGACGATCCTATACTTGGGATGGATACTACGTGGAGAGTCCGTCTATGACAGAGTATAAAGCTTATTGAGCTCTTTTTTCTTGTTGTCGTTTATGTCGAAAATAACTTTCTTTGTGGTCTTTGGTCGACTAATAGTTATGGTCATGGATTGATTAAAATTTTTATGGATATATATCTTTTTCCGAAATAGTGTAATGGCTAGCACAGGGCGCTCTCACCTCCCAAATCCGGGTTCGATTCCCGGTTTCGGAGATATCTTTTTGTCTCTAGCCAAATAGTTTGTCCCCCTGTAATCGTATTTTTTTAAGCTGGAATCCTGGCAGAATATATATATGATATATATAAGCTTAAAAATGGTTAATGATATTAATAAGCACATGAATATATGCCTACTATTCCATTATTGAAGAATATATATACAAATATGCATTACCTGAAAATGCGGACTGATATGACAATCAAATAAATTCGAAAATAAACAGAAATAGCTTTTAAAAGGTCTTGCATATGCTAACGTGTGTAAGACCAAACTTTAAGTACGACACTAACCTTAGATATGTAACCACCTTATGGCTGCGGCAACACCCAGGTGATTTAATCTGTACCCAACCGAACACTCGGATTCAGCGAGGGAAAGCGTACGAACTATAAAGGCTTACACCGCCTTAGGTTCGCTCTAGCCAGATCTGCTTTTCTACCCAATAAGTTTTCATGATGAAAATGTGTCTCTTGCGGCTGTTATACAACCTTGCTTACAACCACCAGGTTTACTTCGCAGCACTCAGTCTCCGCTGGCTTTGAATTGTAAAACTGTGTTGAATCCTACTCCGCTCAAGTTCGTGGCTAAAGCGGCTGGTGGTATATGCATGCGCCACATATATATGCAGGTCATCGCCAATTTTTCACCTAAAAATTTTTCCTGAAAAAACCTCGTACCTACCTTCACCCCTCTTCTCCTACATTCAATTTCCGTTCAACCATGGGTAAAAAGGCTATTGACTCCCGTATTCCAGCGCTTATTCGCAACGGTGTGCAAGAGAAGCAGAGAAGTTTCTTCTTCATCGTGGGTGACAAGGCGCGCAACCAGTTGCCGAACCTCCACTACCTCATGATGTCGGCGGACCTCAAGATGAACAAGTCGGTACTTTGGGCATACAAGAAACAGTTATTGGGGTTCACATCGCACCGCAAGAAACGTGAGGCCAAGATTAAGAAGGACATCAAGCGCGGGATCCGTGAGGTCAATGAGCAGGATCCATTCGAAGCGTTCATCTCCAACCAGCACATCCGCTACGTCTACTACAAGGAGACCGAGAAGATTCTTGGTAACACCTACGGGATGTGTATCTTGCAAGACTTTGAGGCGTTGACGCCTAACTTGCTTGCCAGAACCATCGAGACTGTCGAGGGTGGTGGGTTGGTAGTAATTCTCCTCAAGTCCATGGCCTCATTGAAGCAGTTGTACACCATGTCTATGGACATCCACTCGCGCTACCGGACAGAGGCGCACAACGACGTTGTGGCACGCTTTAATGAGCGTTTCCTCTTGTCCTTAGGTTCGTGCCAGACGTGTCTCGTGGTGGACGACGAATTGAACGTTTTGCCGATCAGTGGGGGCAAGCACGTGAAGGCGCTTGCGCCAAAGGACGATGACGAATTGACCCCAAAGGCACAGGAATTGAAGGGATTGAAGGAGAGCTTGGCGGATATTCAACCAGCTGGCGCGTTGGTGGGCTTGTCCAAGACCGCCAACCAGGCCAAGGCCATTCTCACATTCATCGACGCGATTTCTGAAAAAACCCTCCGCAGCACGGTCACACTCACCGCGGGTAGAGGCCGTGGGAAGTCCGCGGCGCTCGGGATTGCCATGGCCGCGGCGGTGTCCCACGGGTACTCCAATATCTTCGTGACCTCACCGTCCCCAGAAAATTTGAAGACGTTGTTTGAGTTCATCTTCAAGGGGTTCGACGCGTTAGGCTACACCGAGCACTTAGACTACGATATCATCCAGTCGACCAACCCGGCCTTTAACAAAGCGATTGTGCGTGTTGACATCAAGCGCGACCGCCGCCAGACCATCCAGTACATCGCGCCAGGCGATGCACACGTGTTGGGGCAAGCCGAGTTGGTAGTAATCGACGAGGCAGCTGCGATTCCGTTGCCAATCGTGAAGAAGCTTTTGGGGCCATATCTCGTGTTCATGTCATCCACAATCAATGGTTACGAAGGTACCGGCCGCTCCTTGTCGCTTAAGTTGATCCAGCAGTTGCGTGACCAGGCGGCAGCGCCGACCGATACCGAGGTGGCATCGCGCGATAAGAAGGCCGCGGATAACGTGCATACTCGCACGTTACGCGAGGTTGTCTTAGACGAGCCGATCAGATATGCGCCGGGTGACCCTGTTGAGAAGTGGTTGAACAAGTTGTTGTGCCTTGACGTGTCTTTGTCGAAGAACTCGAGATTCGCCGCCAGAGGGACTCCTCACCCATCTCAGTGTACCTTGTACGCGGTCAACAGAGACACCTTGTTCTCGTACCACCCGGTGTCAGAGAACTTTTTGCAGAAGATGATGGCATTGTACGTGGCTTCGCACTACAAGAACACGCCGAATGACTTACAGTTGATGTCTGATGCTCCTGCACACCAGTTGTACGTGTTGCTTCCGCCGATCGAGGAAGGCGACAACCGCATTCCAGACCCGTTATGCGTGCTCCAATTATGTCTCGAAGGTGAGATCTCCAGGGAAAGTGTGCGCAACAGTTTGAACCGTGGGCAGCGTGCTGGCGGTGATCTCATTCCGTGGTTGGTAGCGCAGCAGTTCCAGGACGAAGATTTTGCGTCGTTGTCCGGGGCCAGAGTCGTGCGTATTGCCACCAACCCAGAGTATTCCAGGATGGGTTACGGTTCGCGTGCCCTCGAGCTCCTCAAGGGCTACTTCGAAGGCGACTTTACTGATCTCGGTGAGGGAGCTGTCAAGGACTACTCGCTCCCACGCGTATCCGACCGTGAGCTAGAGAACGCCTCGTTACAAGATGAGGTCAAGTTGCGCGACGCTAAAACATTGCCACCGCTTTTGTTAAAGTTATCCGAGCAGCCACCGTACTACCTCCACTACCTTGGGGTATCGTTCGGACTTACGCCACAGCTACACAAGTTCTGGAAGCGTGCGCAGTACGTACCGGTGTACCTCAGACAGACACAGAATGAGTTGACGGGAGAGCACACATGTGTGATGTTGCACACGTTGAAGGGCCGTGAGAGCAAGTGGTTGGACGCGTTTGCGCAGGACTTCCATAAGCGCTTCCTCTCGTTGCTCGCATACGAGTTCCGCAAGTTCACCTCAGTGCAGGCGTTGAACATGCTCGAGAGCACGCGCGCAGTGGCACTGGCGGGCGAGATCGCGCGCTCAGCCTTGGATGCGGCGTTCTCGCCGTTCGACTTGAAACGTCTCGAGTCCTACTCCAACAACCTTATCGACTACCACGTGATTGTCGACATGTTACCGTTGATTTCGCGTATGTACTTCGGTGGTGACATTGCTGCGGGCGTCAAGTTGTCCAGCGTGCAGTCGGCAATCTTGTTGGCCATCGGTTTGCAGCACAAGGATATGGATCAGATATCCAAGGAGTTGAACTTGCCATCGAACCAATCCATGGCCATGTTTGCCAAGATTGTGAGAAAGGTGTCCGTGCACTTCCGCGACGTGTTGGCCAAAGCCTATGACGCGGCCATGCCGGACGAGGAAGAGCAGCAGCTCAACGAAGAGCTCCTTATTGCGCCGTTGGCCGCATTGGAGGCCGAGTTGGACGAAGCCGGTGACGAGGCCACCAAGGAGTTGCGCGAGAAGCAGAAGGCGTTGATTGACTCCATTGATATGTCCGAGTACGCGATTGATCATGAAGGTGACTGGGCTGATGCCAAGTCTATGAAGAAGGCTGTTGCTGGTGGTGTTGTTACCGTGAAGGACAAGAAGAGCAAGAGAAAGGCTGAGAATGCAGGGGAAATTTATGATGAGGAGATGAAGGCACTTAAAAAGACTAAGGGGAAGCTGTCAGTCAAGCTGAAGAAGAAGTAGCGAGGTTGAGCTAAGCATTTGAGTGAAGTGATTGAGCTAAGCATTTGAGCGGAGCAAGATTGCCTCCTAGTATTTTTGTATTTATTATTTGTATTTTATCGATGAAATTGTAAAACAGACTTAGAAGTTGAGCGCAGCGAGATCATTAATAAGTATTTTATTTATGGTTTCATAACTAAACCCGAGCGAGAGAACCTTGGAATATACAATTCAGTTTTTTTTTTTACAAGTCATATTTAACGAAAAATTTGGCCAAAGCTTTGAACGTTTTCAGAGTTTCTGGATAAGCAGAGTAGATGCAATATATACGTACAAAGACAGGGGGTTGATATACAGCGTACTTTGATACAACAATTTAAGGGTGTTTTGCCTCTTGGTACTAAAATCGATTTCCAATTCAGAGTGCTCATAGTGTTTAGGTGAACCGGGTTGGGTCTAGAAGAACCCACACTAAGTAGGCACTAAATACAAGCTCCACTTAAATTACAAGACAAATATATTAGATAGTTTTTGTCACCGGCTAACGGTGAGATCCACCAACATATCGGTTTGGCATAGACCGGATCATGCTAGGAAGAATGTGACAATCCCTTACTAAGCTTTCTTCCAGCTATTTTTCCAAAGACCCAAGGATCTCGGTGACGGCCCAGGTGATGATCTGAAAGAGCCCCACTTTATCGGTGGCACAATCCTTGATGCTCAACCCCGACTTGGCCTCTTCCGTAAGCCTTCCAGCCGTGTCGTTATTCACGAAAAGGTGTTTGTGCGACTTCTCGTATGCGGGCCATACCATCTTGTCGAAATACCCAGGAGGGTCTTGCCACGTACCTTCCTTCGTAATGTACGCCTCACGTCCCTCTCTACGCTGCTTCAAGGTGGCGTAGGAAGCGTGGAGGAACAAGCGGATGTCTAAAGAGTTGACAATTACGGGATCGTGGTAGAGCATGAAACCATCGACAAAGACAAACTTGTATTTGTGCGGAGGGAACGCTTGCTGGATGCGGGCAGAGATTTCCGCCACCTCGGAGGCACTGACCAGGAGCTTGACATCGGGTTCAAGGGACGCAATCTCTTCCAGCAACTCGCCGTTTTGCCTGATCTCTGCCAATGCCTGGAGGAACTGGGTGAAGTTAAGCGCCTCCGGGCAGTCCCAGTCCTGTTCGCCCTTGGCTTCATCAAACGGGATCTGAGTATCTGACTGGTTGTATTAGTAACCGCTACAAAACGGTATTTCTTTCGACTTACGAAATAAAAGTCGTCCTCGTGGATTAACAACGACCCTTTGAACAAGCTGTGGAGGGTTTTAGCGGCCGTCTGGAGTGTTAGTACAAGAAATTTGCGGAAGGACCATATTCCGTACCGTTTTCCCGGAGCAGGAGGGACCTCCAACACCGACAATAATCACTTTGGTCATATTGAAGGATGAGCACTTACAAGTTGACGATTTTGTCAACGCTGCTTATCTGTGGCGTTTTCGGGGCTAGCTTTGGATGCAGGAGTGATTCAACTATATCTGCAGAAAAAAGTTAGAGTGCGGCATTTTACCTGCTTTTGAAAGTACTTTGAATACCGACATGTCAGATCCGATTAATGCCAACCCAAGTATCTTGGATGAAAATGCCATGCCCACGCGTGCGATAAAGGGCAAGGCCCCCGTCGTTGACAGAAACATCCAGGAGCTTTTTGCCTTCTCCCTCCTCCACACAGCTGAGCCAGCGTCCGGCAACGTGCCTGCACTCGTCTCGGATACAGAATCCGAGCAAGAAGAGGAGGATCCGATCGATTCCCAAGAGATCTACGACTTGATTGCGCACATCTCCGACCCTGAGCACCCGTTGAGCTTGGGGCTGTTGTCGGTCATCAACTTGCCGGACATCCAGGTACACGACTCGGGTGATCGCAACAGCATGAGCGAGGTGGTCATCAGGATCACTCCCACCATCACGCACTGTTCACTCGCCACGTTGATCGGGCTAGGAATCCGCGTCAGGTTGGATCGGTGCTTGCCGCCGCGCTTCCGCATCACAATCTTGATCAAGGAGGGCACTCACCAAAGTGAGAACCAGGTTAACAAGCAATTGAATGACAAGGAGCGGGTAGCCGCCGCGTGCGAAAATGACCAGTTGTTGTCTGTGATCTCGCAGATGTTAGCGACGTGTAAGTAAGCGATGGGTTTGCGTTCTGTATCATATTTGTATTTTAATTTTCCAGCCTACTTTAATTGTAGTTGGGTAATTGGAGGATTGTTTTCAACGCTGTAGCAAACAAAGTGTCCGCTTTGCAGTGCCTTAAACCGTTGGTGCAATATTATACCCATCTAAATGAATTATCAGCTTCTTAGCGGTTTAACCTGGTAGTGCTATGTTTAACCAGCGGCTACTGGATCAGTCTTTCAAACAGTGGCGTAGTGAGCAAAGCATCGGTGCTTTAAACGGATTTCGGAATCAAATCATTATCTTATCAGTGCTCCAGTTAGTGTGATAGTGTTATCGTGCGTTTTATCGTTTCATGCTACAAAACATTCGCATTTATATTTTGGGGCTTCAAAGATACGTTTCTATACTGTTTTATTCATTCTGCAGATATGTAACCATCGCTTTCCCTCCATATGTGCAAGGCGCAGACCCAAAAATTTCAGCGCTGACATGTGCTTCGCGCTTCCTGTGGAAAATCGATATTGTTGAAAAAGTCCAAAATATAAATCAGAATACTTGAACCTCAGCCTCAGCGCCCTACACGTTTCACATTCTTTAGTTTGCCATGGGTATTTTCATTCCACACGAAGCGCTTTCGAACTTGAAGAACTACAAGTACCAGAGTGACGACCGGTCGCTTGTAACCAAGTACGTGTTGAAGCCGTTCTGGTTGAAGTTTGTCAAGATCTTTCCCTTGTCGATGGCGCCCAACGCCGTCACCTTGTCCGGGTTGGGCTTCGTCATCGTCAACCTCATTACCACGCTCTACTACGATCCGTATTTGGATACACCGTCGCCACGCTGGACCTACTTCACGTACGCCTTTGGCTTGTTTATGTACCAGACCTTCGACGCGTGCGATGGGGCCCACGCGCGCCGTACGGGTCAGAGCGGACCGTTGGGCGAGTTATTCGACCACTGTGTGGATGCAGTGAACACGACCTTGTGCTTGATTGTATTTGGGTCCGTGACACAGACGGGCTGCGGGTTTATCTTATTGTTGTCGCAGTTCGGCACCTTGGCCAATTTCTACTTGTCTACCTGGGAGGAGTACCATACACACGTATTATACTTGTCGGAGATCAGTGGGCCTGTTGAGGGGATCTTGATTATAATTGCGATGCACTTGGCAACCGGGATCTTCGGCTCCACCATCTGGACCACCCCGCTTTTCCAGTTAGACTTGGGCTGGCTCACCCAGGGTAACGTTGGCTTCACCGCGACCCATGCCTACACGTTTATAGGCGCCGCGGGGTTGTACTTCAACATCCACTCGGCCAGAAGGAACGTTAACAACGCCTTCAAGAACAACAAGGCGAAGCTCAATGAGGCCACCAAAGGCTTGATTCCGTTCTTCGCCTACTACACATCTATCGTGGTGTTGCTCGTTACAAACCCGGCGATTCTCGATAACACCATCCCATTAGTTATCTCTATCGGTCTCACCATTGCCTTCTCTGTCGGCAGAATCATCACCGCGCACTTGACCATCCAAGCATTCCCGATGATCAACCCGCCAATGTTTATTCCGACTGTGCAATTAATAAGTATCCCAGTTTTGACCCACGTCTTTGGATATGACTACCAGAAGGTTTTGACAGCTCTCGGGTGGGGTGGCTTGGGCTTGACCGTGGGCATCCACAGCATGTTTGTGACCGAGATTATCTATGAGATTACCACTTATTTGGATATTTATGCGTTGACCATCAAGCATCCCAAAACTGCGTAGGGCCGTATAACAGGCCGTAGGAGCTGTCTGGTGAAGATACCTTGACCTCTGAACTTTCCAGCTCCTGACTATATATTTCAGATTTTTATCAATAATTCGATAAAATCGTATCAGCTTGTAACTAATCGTTATCCCGGTTAGTACATAATGTTTGACCAGACATATATCCGCAGCTGTAGGATATAAATTGGTATTACATAGCATGGTCGTGGTGCTCATAAAATTGCTAGCTTGCAAGCTACTGATACTTCAGTATGTAATTATAGTTCGGGTATATGCCAGCTGGGGCCATTTCGATTGGTAGCAAGAATCGTAGTGCTGGTCCTACATCTAGTTGAGACAGACATATATTTACAAGTCATTAAAAAAATATATAAAGAGTAGCACGCTACTCAGCTTCAGAAATAAGGATAGCTACAGACCACAGGGGACATTGTCGCTTGCGTCTGGCGGGAGGGTCATAACATTTGAAACAGGTTCACGCTTAGGCAGTACCTGGAGCCTGGAAAGCGGTTTCGGAACCTGGAGCCAAGATATCGTTGGCATTTTGCTGCAAGGTCATATCCTTTTCCATTTCCATCAACTGCTTCTCAGCTAAGGCGGACAAGGCACATGGCAAGCCCAACAACAACCCGGAGGTGGCGACAACCCACAAGAAGTTACCAGACTTGGAGGCGGTCCAAGAGACAGTGGAGCTGACCGAGCCGACGATAGAGGCCACAGTGGCTCTCTGCTTTGGTGGAACAATGTCCTTCAAAGCGACAATTCTGTCGTATAAGGTCTCAGATTCGAAGTCAAAGTCGTCTTCGTCCTCGGAGGCGGACTCGTCGGTGTCGGAGAAGTCGTCATTGTTGACGGCTTCAACCTTTGGTTCATTGACGAAGGTTTGTTCGACAGTTTCGTCATCAATTTGAGTTAACTTGACCATTTTTGTATGTGTTTGGGTATTTTATAGCGATGTGCAACCGATACAGTCTAGAGTGTTGGTACAGATATGTATCGAAACAGTTGCTCATAGTTGACCTTTGAAAATTATTCGTTACCCGGTTGAGCAAAACTGGAAAAAAAAACTCCCAGGCCGCGCACGACCGATTGCCTCAGTCCAAAAAAATAATGATAATAAAGCTCAAACCGACGCGGGCAGAGCTCAAATAGAGTTGAACATTCGGTTTAATTGCTCAGCCACACTGCCTTTAAGAAGCATAAGAATTCTAATCAACCTGTGGCTATAACTATTATTAGTCAATTGATGATCACAAAAAGTATCCCGCTTTCTACATAAACGATAACAAAGAAGAAGAACTCAATAAGCTTTATACTATATCCTGGACGGACATCCCACGTAGTATCCGTCTAAAGGATGGAATCAGTACGCCGTGTCGCTCCGAGCATCTAGAACCCAATGCCCTCAATCCATAATTCTTACAAGAAAATTCCGTGGTTTTCCCGATAGCCAAGCTACTGAACAGACTCTGAAAACGTGAGATATCTGTATACTTCTGTTAACAGACGTAACCATTTTAGCATAGGCCGAAAGGGCATACTTTGCATATTACTCTGAGCAATATATAGGCATGATATAATAAAATAGGCTTGCCATTGAATTTAGCGTCTTGTATGTGCCAAGCGGGATAATTAAGGCGCCGTGTAGCTAGCGGACTTATCGACTCAGAACGTGCGAAGCAATGAGGGTCTAGATCAGAAACCGAGCTATCTCCAAGAATATAATCAATGCCCAAAGTGAACCAAGCCAAAAGTATAAAATATATTCAAATGTACAAGAAAACCAAGAGAAAATATAACTCAAACGAACGAATGGCGAAAAAGCAAAAACGACAACTATTAAAAACCCAAACTAAAAACACAATTTAAAAGAAAAATGAACTGAAATGTATGAAAAATTAACAAGGAAGCGAATGACAGATTGTTAAACAAAGGTGGTGGGCAAGGAGTGATCCACTCCATCGCCTTTGAAGAAACAGTACGACCTGACCAAGTCGGTGTACGACTGAGATGAGTACAACCCATTACTAGGCTTCACGGTGGATGGGTGAGAAAGCGGCCCGGACGCCGCTGCCAAGGTATTGATAGCGTCTGCAGACGCAGACGAAACGAGAGGGCTCTTGGAGTCTGAGTCCAAGGCCAGTTGATGCTTCTGCTTGTATTTATTAGAGTATCGAGGCTTGTTAGCAATAGAAGCAGGCTTAGTAGGGGTGCTCGGGGCGGAAGTGACAGACAGGGCACTGGCGACAGGCTTGAATGTGGAGGCAACGGATAAAGCCGGGCTAACGGTGGAAGGTTTAGTAGACATGGAAGCCGATGGCTTGAAGGTGAAGTAAGAATCATTGCAGTTGTACTCCGAAGACACATTGTCAAAGCTGTATCTGCTCATGAACCCTCCTTCACTCGAGGTCTGTCTGTGCTTAGACGAGTTGCCAGACTTTAAAGGAATCAGGGACGCGGCTGCCGCGCTAGACTTTTTTACAAGGAACTGCTGCAGGGCTGGTTTGGACTTCTTTTGCAAAAGCAAGTTGTAATTGGACCCGCCATTACTATCCCAAAAAGTCTCACCGCCCACTTCGTATCGGATGCAGAATTCAAGGTTGACCAACTTGTCGTAGTAGCTGAAGTTTAAATTGGACAAGTTGATAACAAACCGGAACTTGTCGTAATCTCCGTAGTTATTTGAAGAGACGTAGAAACCGTGGATGAACGAGAAGGTCTTCCAGTTGTCCACAGTTAACTTGACAGAGACTCTCTTGTCAAAGGCCACGTTCTTGACATAAACTAAACCGGTTAATGTAGTGTTGGTAGTGGAGTGGACCGAGTCGAAGATGATCCGATCAGCGCTGTAGTCTCTGGTCTTAAGAATTGGGATGTTGTTAGACGTAATTTTCCACTCAACCTGGGATGCCACATCTTCACTTTCATATGCCGCATCGATCTCGTTGTCATCATCATCGTAATCGTCCTCGGAGTCTTCGGAAGAGTAGTTCCAGTTGAAGTTCGCTCTTCTGCGGGCATTGCCTCTTGGGGTGCTCACAGGAGAGTTCTCGTTGGAAACGGCAATCGGTCTTTCGAACTCGTTGAACGTCTTGACATCTTCCAACATGGCAGCAAAGCGCACGTTCTTGTTGACAGGCATCGAGTTACACCTGGCTAGGAGAGGCAACTTCAAGGAAGACCTTACAATGTTACCAGACTTCTTTCTCAATAAAGGCGGCATTTGTGATACTTCCACAGCCGCGGAGGTCTGCGTCGGTGTGTTGCCAGTTCTTTGCGGTACAATAGTGGATAAGGAGGATGTGGAAGAATTGAGATCACTGTTCTTGGGGGAAAGTGTGCTGGCGTTATTGGCAAGTTTGGCGTTCTTGCCAAACGCGGCAAATAATGACTTGGGAACTGGCATTACCGGAGCCGCAAACGAACTGGGACCTTTATCGATCGCACTGGGCTGAGGAGTAAAATGCATGTCCAAGGAAGAGCTACTTGAATTAATGGACAAGCAGCTGGTTGGTGAATTCGAAGTAGAGGAGAGCGAGTCGTTCGAAGAAATGCTGTTTAATCCATTCAAAGCCGAGAGCGAAGCTGCAGTCAAAGGGCCTGTGTATGGCATTGTGTAAAGGGAGAGAGAAAGAGAATGCTAAGCAATATGAAGAGAAGCCTAATACAATGTGGTGTGATTAGGGCTTGTGAAGTATGATTTTGAATGTAATCAGATCGGTGATGGGAATGCTAAGTGGGTGGATGAGTCAAGATACGGTCGCGACACAAACTCGTAGAAGTTGCGACGTATTCTTGGTGCTAGCAAAGGTCTAGGGCGTGTTGATAAACAGCAGCAAGCGGCAAAGGTGTGTTAGAGTAAAAGTAAATATATTATGAAGCGTGCGCTTCAAAAAAAAAAGGGGGGGCGGAAGGTCGAAATATATATCTACAAGCGAGGCCCTAGTTTTGCTCGAAAAAGGAAAGGATATAAGGATTTTTCCCTTCAGGTTCTTAGACGCTTTTAATTTAAGCGCGCATGTATGTACGCGTACGTAATCGATACACGGTGTGAAAATTTTGTACGTTCCACAGCGGGATTTGGGAGCGGAGAATACACATCACCTAACCAACAAACGCATAGATACATGCGCAGGAAATCTTAAAAGGGTGACTCTGTCGACGAATATGCACAATCGCGTGTTTTAGGGGAAAAGGCCCGAATAAAAAGAAATAAATCCTGTACCAGACACCTTCCGATCTTTGGATTCCTGCGCGGATGATGCCTCCCCCCCCTTCTCCCCTCTCCACTCCGAAGCCGCAGGTATCTTCCGATTCTTCACGCACACTATCAGCAGAGGAAAGGGTTATATATAGGTTCGCGTCCATGCACGGTATCTACTGAGCTGAACTCGTAAAGCTGAACCCTCCCTTGCCACATATGCGGACGCTTATTATCTCGATAGAATGATCCCGTTCCAATCAATTAAACGGGAAGTGAGCCCGAGCTGGAATTATAGGGCGTACTGTTGTTGGGTATCAAGGCACATTTACCGGAAAACTGTGCATACTATCGAAACCTTGCGACAGACTCTAAGTTTCCTGATATTGCCAATTTTTCGCGGCCTGTGTCGGCTGATGCCCCAGCGCAGGAGTATTGTACAGGTCACCCCACCCTAATAGGCTTGCCTGCAGATTTTGGGTCCTTACCGCAGCTGTGAGATTGGCCTTAGCTCACTCTTATGCATATACGACCTCTCGGCACACGGGTGAGCCGAGCTGACCGGCGGGGAGCGTGTCAGGGCCCCATCCAGGGATAGTATTGCCCAGTCGTCTGCAGTATTGTCCTAAACAAATCTCGCATTCTACCCATTCTAATGCAAGTTTACCTCATCCCAGGTAGCTGTATGTCTATACAAGTTAGGAGAGGAGGAAAGCGTGGAACAGATTTGGGAAGTTCAGCCTCTGCGATTTCTGCATGCACTTGAATTACTGCTTGACAGATGATTTACTATGCACCTGAACCTTATATTTCGTATACCATTTCTATGTCCTGGTGTATTCATCCACAGACCTCGACCCCTTTACGCTGCTTTGGAAATGCACTTGAACAACCATCTTGACATTCCGGTCCTTTCCCCGTCCTGTATGAGTATTTTGGGCCTGTATCGTGTTATATTAATATAGGCTTCTCGTACAAAAGGAGGCCATAGTCCAAAGCTTGGCTACCAGAACAGTCGTGTAATATGCACTAAATATCCTTTCCAGCCACTCCCTATATAAAAACGGTTAACACTAAGACACAAAGTGTATCCCATGCCCCCTGTGTTAAAGGTGTTTACACATCGTGCATTGCTGGCGTTCTCAAGCTCGCTTAGATCTTTGCTCGCGTCCGGAGTGGTGTGATGTGGTTACCCTTATGATTTACAAGGACCCCATCGGCCTCCTCTTGCATATATATCTAGTGTAGAGCAACCTACGATATTCTTAACTAATGGTATCCACTTTTGCCTGGATATGTTTCAGTGGGTTCGCAGCTTAACCCCCGCAATTCTACATACGCAGATCTGTACCAGGGAAGAATTGCTCATAGTCTTCAAGGCAGGCTTCATTAAAGTTCGAGATACACAAATACTCGATCCTCCTAGGCGTAACATGGGGGTTGGAGCCGCTGAACACAAGTGAACTTTAAATAGAGGTAATTCGATACCGCTAATGTAGCCTAAAAGATAGCCAAGGGATACAGTAGTGAGGTGTATGCCTTGCTTATACTTTCGCCTTAATACCTACTAAAGGAGACTAGCTGTTATATCATAATGAGCACTCAAGATTTGGAGGTGGTAGCGTAGATCGGTTGATTAACATCATTTATTCCTCTGCGTGTTTTTCGTTCGTAAGACATTGGGTTCCTTGTATAGTATCCACCCGCGAAACGTTCATCGGAATATATCGCTTCTCTTCCGGGAAAGTAAGCTCCGAGAGACCGCATGGCCCATGGCACTACTTTGGATGTTACAAGCCAAGTACTAGTGCGATCACCGCTCAAACATTCCACTTGAGAGACGACAATCTGTATAACATGCCGGTCCAGGATTAAAGTTCCGTGTTATCATACGCAACTTGTTTGTCCAGCCTAGATGTGTATTAAAATGCAGGGACACATTGAAAACATGCGTAGATTTTAAAAGGCTATATTCAGCGATGATGCTGATAAAACAAGACTGAAAAGTCAATCAAGCCTTGAGTAGAAGTCCATGCTGATTAGTTGAGCAAAACTCAAGCCGGGGTTGTACGTGAAGACGATTTTCTAGCTGTTATGTATTTCTTTTGTCACAAGACACGCTGCATAATCTGCGGACTCGGTTCACTTTCATTGAGCCGCGCAAAATTTTTCATATAGCTATAATTGGAAGCCCCAACCCCGCACAGCACCCCTAACTCTTACATATTTAGTATGAAATACATTTATGCGTCGTAATTAAGGTGGTGCAGGTTTATCTTCTCTAGTCTGAATCTTAGATCGACGGTCATATGCGACAATCGGGCAATCGACAGTTTCAGTTCTTCGGATATTTCCCATAGAAGGCTGCCGGGTTTTTGAGTATCCGGTGAGTTCAAATAATCTAGGCATTTTACGCGGGTTTAAAACGCTTCAAAAATAAAATGGCTAAATATTACGCCAAGGTGGAGGAGGGTGTATGTCAATTGGGACTCTTCACTGGCCCGCTTTATCCTGAACTTCAAGTAGTCTACGTCGTAAAAGTAGCAACCTCAAGCTTTCGCAAATCCATACACTATAAGCGACTGTGTAAAACGAAAATCACTGTCGAAGTAGCCCTCACTGATTGACTATGAATTATTCTTGTTACGGTGATGGTGGGTATGCATAAACGTAGCCCATTCATGCGTCACCGTAGGCCGTCTTCGGCCGGGACTGCGCCGCACAGGATACGCCTGCATTTCGAAAGTCAACCATATTGGATTGAAATTAAAGTTTATAATTTTTAAATTTTTGTTGGGACATGTAGGCCCGCCTTTTTCATGTACCGGGGTTTAACTGCCATTATTTTTAGGCCGGAGATATGGTATTCTATACTCTTAGCACCGATCTTAGCTTTGGATTCTATTACTAGTTAGTAGACAAGTATCGGGGGTTTGGGAGAACAAAAAACGGAGCTAGAAGTATGCCAATTTCCTTCAGTTTACCTGCTTATCCTAGCGTTTTCTATCAGTTTTCACTTTTAAAGACTGCTACCCCTCTGAATTATCCTGGATGTACCTGCCTATGCATACGTTTTTGTTATCGGGTTTGCGCTCCGAGTGAAACAATATATCTGCGGTGCAGCTCTATTATCGAGGCTTACCGTTTGCTCTTGTTTATACTCTTTCTACATCCCTCATATCCGTACATACGTATTACCCAAAGTTCTAAAAAAATGCAAGCATTAGTCTATTATGCTCTATCTCCGTGTAAGCATTCTCCTGCTCGTTATTCCAACGGCATATTTCCCATTTGGGCTACAATAGTGGGATATTTAGGGGGTATACGTACCGTTTTTCAAAACATGCTCTCGTAGATCTAGAAACAGGAATAACAGGAAACTTATAACTAAAAATTAAACATGCTGACGTGTATTATAGAACTAACAGGCCTATCTTAGTTTGGCAGATACCCAATGAATGCTGATTGGTGCCAAAGTTGCTAACGCTTTTATGTGAGCTTTCGAGATCCCTGAAACCCTACACTGAATATTTCTATGACGTTTTCTTGACCCCAAAAGCCCCAGAGTCTATTTATACCAAGGATACATTGTTAGATTTCCCTGTAACATGTTATTAGCATTCCTTGCTAAATAACCTGGTGTAGATAGAAATACAGCTGAATCTGTCAGCCTGTCTAGGGTAGTCCGCTTCTATGTCGCCGCGCCACCACGTGGGTTTGAAATCAGGTTAAAATTGACTAATCTATTCTCCAAACCTTCAGACTTGTAAAGGGATCGACCGATCACCGCAACAATATACGTCTAATTCATATACACCTTGAAGAGTACCGATTACAAACCATGCTGAGCCTTATTGTTTCGCAATTTTAAAAAAACCTTCTTGAACATACAAACATCAGTTTTCTCAAGTACGAAGCATACAACTTATTGTTTCTATGACGATCTGAAGCGTTGGAGGTATCAGGGACTGACCCACAGATGGTTTAAATTTGACGTTATTTGATAGGCCAATGGTGCCCGTTTAGTATTGGAGAAAGAAACCGCGAGGATATAAAGCCTTATATCGGGCGGAAAGCTAGTACAAAGTCAAAATTCACACGGGCATGTAGTTACCATATGGTCCATTGTATTGCCGATATCAAGTTCATCAACGGTTTCAAGCATTTTACTTTAGCCATATGATCGCTGGTGTTGAAACCCGATTTGTATACCTTAGAAAAGTGGGATGCGTGACTGCAAGACACCTTCCTCCTACTCTCACCTGTCAGAGTTAATATAAGTGCGTATAAGATTGTTAGGTATGGGTGATTATCCCCTCAGTTCAAAGAACAAATCAGATCGATATTTGGTTCCAATATCATTTACCCTTTTTTGTTTTATTATCGTTTCTCTGGTTCCTCTCGTTCCTCAGCCGCGGTGAATCGGATAACGGTTCACCTTGAAGGCATGAATATGCGTTTATATGCAAGTGTGGCCATAGTTTTTTTGATCGGAGATGTCGCCATACCTTCCTCGCGTTTTGGAATTTCCACCCCCCCCCCACAGTTCAACGACTCTTGCGGAACACCTCGTGACATGTATGAACTATCTGAAGAATTATCTGATAGTTGAAAAGTTACCCGATGGTGAAAAGTGTGGCTGATCGGATTTGCATCAATTTTATATTGTCTAATAGATTATGTTCCTTACGAATCTGTACCCATGACGGATACTGGGGTTTTCCAGAGTCATATTTAAACTCTTATCTCTCCCTTGAGCCTACAGCTTTCTCGTCTGTATCCCAACCCTACTTTGATTTACACTAGAGAGACTCTACACTTCAACATGACCATTGCTGAAAAGAAACCAAACTTCCTTGTTATCGTCGCAGATGACTTGGGATTTACCGACTTAAGCGCCTTTGGCGGTGAGATCGACACCCCAAACTTGAAGAAGCTTGCCGAAAGCGGTGCTCGTTTCACTGATTTTCACACCGCATCTGCGTGTTCCCCAACCAGGTCCATGTTGCTCAGTGGTACGGATAACCACATTGCCGGGTTAGGCCAGATGGCGGAATTTGGAAAAAACTTCCCAGAGTTGTTCGCTGGAAAGCCAGGCTACGAAGGTGTTTTAAATAGCCGTGTTGCAGCCTTGCCAGAAATTTTGCAGGACGCTGGCTACTATACCTTTATTTCCGGTAAGTGGCATTTGGGTTTAACCCCTGAAAATTGGCCAATCAAAAGAGGTTTTGAAAAGTCGTTCACCTTGTTGCCGGGTGCCGGGAACCACTACAAATATGTCTACGAGGGTGACTCTGGTTTCATGCCTCCTCTTTACGCTGAAGACGACAAAAGCATCGAACTCAGCTCTTTGCCTGACGATTTCTACTCCACCAACTATTTCACTGACAGAGGGATTGAGTTTATTGATAATGAGCAGAGACAGGGAAGGCCTTTCCTCGGTTGTTTGACCTACACCGCTCCTCATTGGCCATATCAGGCACCAGTTGAGAAGGTTGCAAAGTACAAGGGGGTCTACGACAATGGTCCGGGGCACTTACGTGCCCGTCGTCTTGCTGCTGCCGTCAAGGCCGGCATTATTCCTCCAGGAGTTGAACCTCACAAGGTTGAAACTCAAAGAGATAAAACCTGGGCTGATTTGACCGACGATGAAAAGAAGATCGAAAGTCGTATCATGGAAACCTACGCGGCCATGGTGGATATTTTGGATGAAAACGTCGGTAGAGTCATCAGCCATTTGGAATCTACCGGCGAATTGGACAACACCTTCATTTTGTTCATGTCCGACAACGGGGCTGAGGGCTTCATGATGGAGGCTTTACCTTTGCAGCTTACCCGTATTACTGATGTTATTGAAAGAAGGTATGATAATTCTTACGAAAACATCGGACGCTACAACTCTTTCGCTTGGTATTCCGACCAATGGGCGCAGGCCGCTACCGCGCCATCGTACATGTACAAGATGTGGGCCTCAGAGGGCGGTATCAGATGTCCTTTGATCATTCACTATCCACCAATTTTCAATAAAACCATCCATGGCGGTGCCGAACCTCGTGGTCAGGGTAAGGTCTCTGGTGGCTTTACTACCGTGATGGATATTACCCCTACCATTTTAGATCTTGCCGGCGTTCCTCACCCGGGGGAGAACTTCAGAGGTCGCAAGGTGGTCATCCCTAGAGGTAAAACCTGGGTGCTGTACTTGGCCGGAGAAGCTGAGCGTGTTCACTCGGAAGAAACCGTCACCGGCTGGGAATTGTTTGGCCAACAGGCGATCAGAAAGGGGCCCTTGAAGGCGTTGTTCATTCCTAAGCCTTTCGGCCCAGGTAAGTGGCAATTGTTTAATCTAAAGAAGGATCCAGGTGAAATTCATGATTTAGCCGATACTGAGAAGGAAAAGTTGGATGCTATGTTAGTGCACTGGGCGGAATATGTCGCCGAAACTGGATTGATCGAAATTGGTGATGAAATTGACGTGCAAAGAGCTCTTTACAATGCAACTGAGATTGACGAGTTGTAGGCGAGTCCTTCGACCCTTATTTTTTTCCCCCAGAATCATTACTTATATATATTATCTTAGATTTAGCATGATAGATATAGTTTGATCAATCGTTAATCATATGACATAAAATTAAACCTTAAGTTGCTCACTGGGCACTGGTGCTCTCCCGCGAAATCTGAGTGATCACGCTCCCTCACAACTAAGCCTTTGCAGTTACAGTACCTGCAGTCATCGTTGGGGCCCGTAACCATGTCACTGCATTGAGCAGCAATTGAAAAGGGCTGACGGTAGATTGCTGTCACTAAATACTAGTTGAAAGTCCAAAGATATACCTCTCGCGACACGGTCAGCTTGTATTGGATAAATAACCACAATCCATTCCTTTGGTCATAGTGCAAGTCGTTTTGAAGACGTTTGTTTAATATTCAAATATATAGCATATGCAGTATGAGCTGATCGGTGGTGTGATAGCAAGGAGGTTCCTGCGGGAGATAACGCAACTTTTCATACCCTCCAGGTCAGGTCACAGGCGCGGCAGGTCACTTGTGCATTGTTCGAGACGCACTCAAACTCGCAGGAAGTGCTGGTAACCTAAGTCGTAAAAGTTTACGTAGCTGGCGAACGAGAAAAGAGATAATTTACATTTAGATAGATCTGGATGACGCCGGAACAGGATATTATCTCAATAAACCCACCCATACACAGCTGCTCAGCCCCTCGGAAAACCACACTCTCAGAATTAGACTACGGCACGAAGCGGTACGAATACGAGCTACTGTGATAGCAGACAATACACATATTGCTATATATACTCGCTACACTCCAAAAAAGGCTGCACATCTGGTTGCTTCCATCTAGCTCCTGATCCATTCATAAGCTTCACACAAAGAGATATTTGAGTCGCAGAGGAACTCCGGATCCTTCTTCTTTTCCAATGGAGGTGCTGAATATATTCACAATTACGGCCGCGGGAGCCCACAGTGGACCTTCGAGTATCACCGCCACACCCAGTCATCTATCCAGTCCACATTCAACGGCGGTCACTCTGACCTCCCTGGCATCTAGCAGTGTACCAACTTCCTTATTATCAGGCCTGTCTTCGTTTGTTCTTTTTTATATCGCCTTGGCAGCTGGTATCTCTGTGGCTGTGCTCTTCATCTTTTGCACGATAAGATATTTCGTCAGATCCCGATTTGGGTTAAACGTCACCCCCTCTGTCTTCACTTCTTCAGTAATCGATCCCTTTTCCTTGACTAGACTGCCTTTCATCTTATCCGGTCCAAGAAGTGGAGGTTTCACCGGACAAGAGATTCACGTGGCACGTGTGAGAAGATGGAGAAGGGCAAGATACAGAGCTAAAAGAAGATTGAACGCTGCTGAGGTTGAAAAGTTGTTCCCTCAGAAGACGTACCATGACTGGTTGAATGGCGGAAAGGAGAGAGATATTTTGCAGAGAGATGGCCAGTTGAAAGAGGTAGCACGCGATGGTGATGGTTTGGGCGAAGAATTCAGTATCCATGAGGGTACATCGTCCCACGCAAGCTTACCCGATATTTTTACCAATCTTTCTTCCGAATCGATTTACATGTCGAATGCAAATGTCTCGACCGCCGCCCTTCCGGGGGAAGGGATTGGAAAACCAGAACCAGCTAAATCTTCTTCTAACGTGGCGTTTGTTCCCAGCGCCACACAGTCACATGAAAGAGGGGTGGTGGAAAGGGTGGACGACAACCCTGAATCAAATAGTACCGAAAGGGGGAGCTACAAGAAGGATACTTATACGATCGAAATGGCTGAGATCTCCAGGCCGGAAACTGGATCGTCACTGCAACAAACGCAGGTGCCAGAGCCGGCTATTTTGACCGCTAAAAATATTATTGAACAGGCACAAGAGGCCCACTTCACCTCTGGTACATGTGCTATTTGCTTGGAACTTCTTGAAGACGAGGAGATTGTCCGTGGTTTAATCTGTGGACATGTCTTTCACCAAGAGTGCCTCGATCCTTGGCTCATTGATCGCAATGCCTGCTGTCCTATGTGCAAACGATCTTATTACTACAAAAACGAACAAGAGAACTCAGCTACTGGTGACGGAGGGGACCCTCAAGGTGACGAGGAAGGGAATGCAGACCATGATGACGATGTGGATTCGCTCTACTCTCCTTTTACGCCCATTTCCGCTAGAGTCCCCGATATTTTGAGAAATGAAGCGAATAGCCATATGGATTTGAAGGAATTCGCGGACAGAGAGGTGGCTAGATTGTACAATATCAAGTTTATTTTCTTTTGGAAGCTCATGGGTGTTTCGAAGAGTGATATTTTCAACTGGGCTGTGTTAAAAAGGTTTGAAGAACTAACGTTGGAGGAGAGACGGCAGAGTCGAGAGGTTGGAACACAGCCAGGAGGACAGCCCGCAGAAGAAACCTCAATCAATGACCATTCGTCGGCACTGGGCACTGCACCACCCTCCCTTCATTCACACGCAGACCCGACCTCCACCGAAACACGGTATATATCGACCCAAGCCAACGGGGATGCTTTACAGGTCATGGATAGACCAGAAAATAGCGCTGACCAAGGTATTACTGCCGATTCTGGAAGTGACACTGGGCAGCAAAGGCCACCTGAAGCCGAGACGACCCCAAGTTTCAGAAGTATCCAGGCGGACGAAGTCGAGAACAGGCGGGACGCAGTAGAGAGGATGGTTTAAGGGATCGTCTTTTGGACCGGCTAGGACCCCTTTCTCTGTAATTTGCCTGCTTCAGGTTTTAGCTGCCTGCCTTACGTTAAAGCATAGGTAGCTGGGCGTGGTGCGAGGATTTGAAGTAAAATGTTAGGCTAGGAAATCTAAGGGTATTGTAACAAATAAAACTGTACGCGGGCCGTGGCATTGTCAAACTCACCCCGTAAACTATGAAACGAAATAAAAGTATATATAATACAATAAAGAACAGATAAAAGATAAACCAAACAGGTTACTATGTCCTCCTTTACCTTGCAAGGAGGAAATAACCGGAATAAAAACCAGGAGGTAAATGGCAGCCAATTTCCCTCAGAAAACTTAGCAAGCGACAAGGATCGCGAGCTATAATGAAAAATGAAAATAAAACCAAAACAACAAACTTTTACTCTTCTTCCTCCAATCCGGATGTGCCGTTAGTGACATTCTTAAAATCTCCCGCTTTACCTCCACCTTCTTTCTCAGTCTTAATTTGACCATTTTCGGTAACCTCGTTGCTTTCTTCGGAAGCATGTTTTTCGACATCCTTATCGTCTTTCGTGCGCAAAGGGGTAAGCGCAATAAGAGGAGCTGCAGTTGGGGCCGGAGAGGCAGATTTCCCACCACCTTCCTTTTCGTTCTTCAATTCGGTCATAATATCGGTCCATTTGTGTAAAATCGCTTCGGACTTCACCACTACTCGAGGTTCAAGTTTGTGGTCATCGCTGTCATGCAGAGTGGTCTCGGCACGAGCAAGAGCTTTTAAAACTTTGTGGATTTTTGTTGATTTGAGTAGCTGAAGGTCCATTGGGTAGTTTTCCAACTTGTCTAAAATATTGCAAGCTGTATCAATTTCTTCCTTTGTCAATGGTGAGTTTGAAGGCCTCTGGACCACACCCTTCTGTAGCTTAGATCTGTAAAACCATAGCTGCTTTCTTCGATCCTCGTACGAAGGAGGTTGGCCCAACGAAGAAACTCTCGGGGAGGCAGCATCGGCAGGTGGGGACTTGTTGGAAGCTGGTGGAGTGCCTTTTTCCTTAGGAATAGGTGTTGATTTCTTGGAAGATGAACCCTTGTTGGAAGCAGGGGGTGGCGTCTCAAGCGATTCCTTGTCAGAGGAGGCAGACCTGCTCCTTTTGGTGGCCCTGCCACCTCTATTGGTGGACACGGTTCCGCCGTCCGAGGGGTTTCTCTTTCTTGGACTCTTAATAACAACTTCGTCTTCCTCGTCTTCCTCGTGGGATACGGCGCTATTATCGTCTTCCTCACCCGTGGCAATAGTTTCAAGTAACTCTTCTTCGTCATCGTCTGGCTCTTCAGCCTCCTCCTCCTCTTCTTCTTCTTCTTCTTCCTCTTCTTCGTCGTCCTCGTTATCATCGTTCAACAAGGCATCTAGAGACGGGTTGCTTAAGGCTAACTCATAGGCAGCGTATAACTGAGGGTTCTTCTTTTTCTTCGTCTTATTGGCTGCCAAGTACTTGTTTATCTTTTCATCATTCAAAACAGTCAAGTCCTTGGATCTGTTCCAGTAAAAGGTCTCATCTCCAATAAACTTAACGCAAAGAGTTCTTGTGCCATCTTTAGGTTTGCCCTTGAAAATGTTGGCAGGGATTCTGTCGATGGGGACAACCTTACCAGGCCAAGCCGGGTAAGATGGCATCTTGGACAACACTAAGGAGCCTGGCTTGAATTCAACTTCGGCGGGCATCTTGGAAGGAGAAGGGTGACTGATGTGGAGAGGCGTGTCTTGTAACTGCGGGCGGTTCTATTTTTTGGGATTGCGGAACTGGTCGTCAAGAATATTCTGGAGATCAATCGGAAATTGATTGATGTCGTTGAGCGAAGACTGTATAGCAGATAGCGGAGAGTCAGGAGAAGTATCTGCCAGCAAGAAGATTTTTTCTGAAGGATCGTGTGGAGGACAAGTAACAGGTATTTCAGAGGAGCAAAGGCAAATCAATCACTTGAGACTAATCGTATACAGATATCTATTTCTGTATCGATAGGATGAGGATGAATTGAGGATATGGAATTGAGTTGAAATATGCCAGAAAAGAGCAGTAAGGGGGAGATGTGAAGATAACAAATAAAATGAGTATATTGCTAGCCGCCGTGGAGAGAGATTTGTTGCCCGCGAGACGGCCGGAGTGGCACAGGGTATTACAATATACAGGGCAATCGAGAGCTATAGGAAGGAAAAAAAGAAACGGACCGAGGAGTGGGCATGTCCGGTTTATTACGGATTAGGTAACGTGATCGGAGATGTGATCGGAGATGTGGGTTGGAAACGTGATTGGAAACGTGATCGAGCCTCTAGTTGGTGCATCTCTCCGTCGTGTCATAACCAACCAGACATTGACAAGATAAGCGCCCGTCATTCTATAATTCTTTTGTTCAAGCCCAATACTGCTATATATTTAAGACAAACGATTTTAATCAGGAATCTTTATTCGAAAAAAGGGTTTGTGCGTGGTGCTATATCATGTAGATGGTTATCGAGAAAATTAACATAGGGCCAGTAATGTGGCGAGTTTAGGGTACTCGATGCGCCGTGCATTACGTAGAGCGTCACCCTGTGCGAATGGAGAAATTCGCCAAAAACTTGAAAACTCTAAAGGGCCTGCTTTCATCGCGTTATGGTAACCCCCTGGTTTGTAATATTTTCTTGGACAGAGTTGGTGGATACACCAGGCGATTGGTTTTTTTTTACGTCCGGGTCATTCAGTTTATAGCAGGGTTTAACTCCCATGTTAAGAATGGCTTCGATATTGTTTCACAGAGCTATGTTCGGGATAGCTGCTAAGTCACTTACGTCAGCTGTGATCGTGTTTCAATACGCCTAAGGCATTACAAAATCTAGAAGGCACGTGCCAAAGGAAACTTAGGAAATCCTTCATATCGATCAATGGATACCAACAGTATCATGGAAAAAAAGAGCGACTTCAATCCGTATAATTGGCTCGGTAGCTTTGTTGCTTTCCTGCTGAGAAGTTGTCAATATAAAAGCTGGACAGCCTGTGATGCCCCCACAATCGCTGCTGTCACGGGCCTAGCACGCTACTGGAAAATCTGCGCTTACTTCCTAAATAGTAAATCCAACTCCTTGTTGTACAAGTGGACTAGATCTAGAAAGGGCCCAGGGATATCTGTAAGTTACACATCTGGTGCGTAAAGGTTTTCTATATACGGTTTTTTCGGACTCTGAAAAGGAAATACAGCGGAAACTTGGCGGGAGATTCAGTATGGTCCAACACGCCGTTGGCGACATGCACGCATCTGCGCTTATATAATCCATGCACAGCTGCCTCTGGCTTCTTCGTTCATGCGGGTCTCTGCGGTGCCTCTCAGAAAAAACTTAGCATTATATGTACAGACGTAGAATTTTCCGGGTATTTAATACCCCAAACAGTATAAGCAACTACTTATCGGCTCAAGACTTTATCGTTTCAACGTGTCTGATATCGCTTTAGTTTTACGTTGGCGCTTTTTCCTTTAATCCTCTCCTTGCATCCTTTCCGAACGTTTTCTCATAGCTGCGGTGATCTCCCTTACATACTGCCCAACCGGTTCAACCTTAAGCTGGATTCCCACATAGTCAACTGCCAGCTCCCAAGTCTGCGCATCATCGAATCCATTAACCTCTTAGACTATACCCCAAGGTTACGCTCGTAAGTCGATTACTGCGTAGCATGAGCGGCCATTCTCCCACCAGATTAGCTCTCATGAAGAAGAGGCCGGTTGGACGAAAGCTCTCCTCATTTGAGCAAGTCATGTCTTTTGAAGAACGCAAGCCACAGGAAAATGTAAATTCCACCTCTCCAAGAGGTGGGTACGAGGAGGTGGGTGACAAAGACAGCGATGACGGTACTGAACCGCAAGGGCCACCGACATGGGCCAACAATAACTCCCACACCTCGCATTTTGCTCCATATCCTCTCCAACACCGGCCGCCTCCGGGGTTTATGGTACCTCCAGATAGTAACTTCTTACCACCTGGTATGATGAATCCCCAGCAATATTCTTCTGGTTTTGGACAGTTCCCCCCGCATATGGTGCCTCCCCAGTACCTGCAGTTTCCTCATCTACAGCCTCAATCTACCCCAGACGAACCCCCCCAGTCGCCACCCAAGTCCGGAGGTAGAGAAAGTAACTCTCCAAGGTCTAAGGCGTCTAGCGATGATGAAGCGGATGACGATAAAAACCCCTCGCGTTCCGTGCTGTACGCACTGTCACACCCTCCGTTCCCGTACTTCTCCCATGCTAACGGTATGGGCTTTCCACCACCGCCCCCACCCGGCTATCCAATGATGTTTCCGCCATTTCCTATGATGCATCCGATGTTTTTCAATGGCTCTTCCTTCCAGTTCTTTCCACCAATGTCACCCAGAACAGCCGTATCGACGTTGTTGACTGCGAGCGAGAATTTGCCCGAATTGGATATGGATGTGGCAGGAACAGCTTGTGTGTTGTACGATATACAAAGTGCGTTGACGAAAGAATGGAAGGAGGAGCAGAGAAAGTACAATGAGGGAGAAGATGACCACGACTCAGAGTCCTCAGCCTCAGAGGAGGTTGATTTCGAAACTGTTGAGTATGACCGCTACGCATATAAACGATTTGATATCCTTCGAAAACAAATTCCTGGGGAGTTTATATGCGTCCACGAAGAGGCCCATAAATCCGTATCTCTCCGTTCAAGGATCCCTAGAGATGATGTCTCAAGCAACGGTTATCGCACTGAGCAACAGAGCACCGCTACAAAGCTTCCCACCAGGAAGCAGATTCAGAGCGATGTCTCGGACTTGTTGAAGAGCTACGATCAAGACTTGATTTACGCTAACGGGAACAATCGGGAAAAGAGACGACAGATTTTGTACTCTGCCTACTCCAAGTTGGAGGCCTATAATCATAAGCACCAGGAATTGTTATATATGGTGCGCCGCCAAGAATTGGTCTCGAAACTTGCCGGTCTTGAAGCCTGTGTCAAACCTTCGTACTCACAAATGGTTCCGTTTGCCAGCTCTGCTGTATCAATCAAAGATGAAGAATTGGCGGAAATAGAGCTTGACTTGTCGGAAGAGCGTGATTTGGAACTCGTGCGCTTAAAATACTTTGCCGAGTTCCAGAAGGCTCAAGAGGTTGTTTCGTTTCTCTCGCAGTGCCAGGATAATTTCGACCAAATGCACGGCAAAACCATCGAGAAGTTGCTGAATTTAAAAGCCTACCTTGTTAACCAAAAAGAGGTTCTCGAGGAAGTGTTGGAAAGCCCTGAGGATGACGAATTGTTCAAACTCGGGACTATAAAATCCGAGAAATTGGCCAATCTCGGATTCGGATACTATCTCATGGATTCGTCAAAATTACAGAATGTGTTCAAGCAAACTCTGGTAACCTCCAACGTGTTGCCACCGCCTGAACTCCTTCATAATGGTACCGTACCCTCAACACCAGCACCACTGATATTTGAGCCTCGAGAGTTGTCCTTCCCGATGACATCCTCGGAGTCCGATTCAACTCTCTACAAGTCAGGTAAGGTCGCGGCACGAGAAGAAGCTGACGTAGTTGATGCGAGTCTTCCTCTCGGTAAGAGAAGAGGTGGTCCCCGCAACACCCAGGCCACCGATTCAGCTACCAAGCCAAATGATCCAAAGAGACCAAAGCTTGCTCAAGCGTCTCTGCAGGGCTCGTCTGTTGGGTTCAAGCTGGAGCATCGTGCACCTGCAGAGTTTTTACCGATGATCAAGGAAGAAGAGTTGATGAGCATCAACAAACATGTTACAGCAGAGTACATCCGCGATAATATCAAGTCCCACAAGGGAGCCCCGTCTCTGAACAGAAAGCAAGCACTGGAAAAGAATACACACCACGCGACTCCTCCTCAGGATACGGCGCAGGAATTTAGCAGCTCGGAATCAGAAGTTCTCGGTACGCACGGCTCCGGAAACGGCAGCAAGTCGCGGAAAGCGAGAAATTGCAACCGAGTCAGCACTTTAAAGAGCCAATTCGGAGGTGGCTTAGATGAGCCCCAGGGTGATAGCCAACGCGAGGGGAAGCTTTTAAACAAGATCATGAAACAGTACGTCTCCCCCGATTCGTTAGATACTGAATCTATTGACGCGGATTTGGTTTTACTTGGAAGAGCAAGTCGATGGTAAATAAAAACACCCAAAAAGGTGACTCTTCAATTAATACGTATTTACAAAGAGTATACATATCTTTCGCTTAATTCTAAATCATTATTGGACGATGTTAAAAGCTCATACATCCGTTGGTCGCAGGACTGGAGCTTATCCAGCATACTGTTAGATGGCCGAAAAGCCTGGCGGACTGGGGGTATGAGTAAAGCCGCACCGACAAAATATCCTATGCATACCCACCTGCCACTGCTGTTTTTGTCGTTTCTTTTTAGCCATGTCATGTGATTCGATAATCTTTCTCAGTATTGCACGTTACCCGGACATGTTATACTGAAGTTTACACCTTATCCATTCTAATATTTACGCTCTGATTAGTCCAATTTTAGGCTCCCCAGCTTACCTAACACGCACCAGACATGTCTGGCAGGAAAAATTTCATTCCGCCTGGGCAACGTTACAACCTACTACTCACACATAAATTTTCTTCACTGGATTTAAAAAGTTCTCTTTTGAAATTTCCCTTCTTCTTTTCCCCTTCCTAACTATCCTAAATTATTATACAAAATGGCTGAAGAAGATGTATGTATCAACCCTGATCCCTGGCCTGGCTTCAAGAAGAGCTTGAAAGATGAAACCTCTGTGATTGTGCTTTTAATCAATTCCCAGTCCCGTCATAAAACGACGGATCGTTGCCATAATAGCCTCTTGACACCCGGCCTCCTCGTTTGATTAACCCCGCTGAACCACTTACTAACGCCACTTTTCAGCATCATTTCGAAACCGTCGATGCCGGTTCCTCCTTGACCTACCCATTGCAATGTTCCGCCTTGAGAAAGTCCGGTCACGTTGTCATCAAGGGTAGACCATGTAAGATTATTGACATGTCCACCTCTAAGACTGGTAAGCACGGTCACGCTAAGGTCCATTTGATTGCCACCGACATCTTCACCGGTAAGAAGTTGGAAGATTTGTCTCCATCTACCCACAATATGGAAGTTCCAAACGTCACTAGACAAGAATACCAGTTGTTGGACATCGATGACGGTTTCTTGAGTTTGATGACCGCCGACGGTGACACCAAGGATGATGTCAAGACCCCAGAAACCTCTTTGGGTGATGAGATCCAGGCCGCCTTCGACGAAGGTAAGGAATTGTTGGTCACCATCATCGCCGCCATGGGTGAAGAAGCTGCCATCTCCTTCAAGGAAGCTCCAAGATCTTAAGAAGCTTGACTAAAGTTATTAGACTAGTATATCTATTTTCTCGTTTCTCTAATTTCTAAGCTAAAACCATTTTCAAATAAAAGTAGATATTCCGCCTTATATATTTGCTCTCCGAAACGGTGTGGACAGAGCCGGATTATACAGATCTCGATAAAAAAAATAAGTGATTAGAAAAGGGCAATAATACATCAATGGAAGCGCGTAAAAGAAACCGAGTTGGTAAAAATATGTCGGTGAGAGCTATCAAGTTAATTTGTAAAAGGGGAAAAAAAAGACGTAAAAGTAAACGTGGCAAATAAAAAAATAAAAAAGAGAAAATAATACAAAAAGCTGACTTCGACTGAAGTCAGAGAGAGTTGGAGGCGGGCACATCGTGGGTCATCCCGTATGTGGTAGTGTACAGCTTTCCCTCAGAAGCTCACCGTTACCCCCAAGAATGTAATTCGGCACTTCCAGAAGCACGAATATAGTTCGAAAAGATGAGATCCAAAGAAAATGGTAAACCCAGGGAGCAAGCACCAGGTGCTTGAACTGGATTACGTATTCAAAGTTTTCCCACGGAACTAGGAACTGAACTGGGAGTAAAGGGTAATCAAGATGAGGCCTGCACTGGAAGCGGAAGGCAAGCCGCCCAAGGTTCCCAAAAATTGGCCGAAGTTGTTCAAAGCCAAGATACCGTAGTTAGCTAATTCACAGGTTTCGAAACTGTCCAACAAGGTCAAATCACCGAAGTTGAAGACAATTCTTTGTAAGCCCGCCAGGAATAAAAAGAAACGGAACACGTTGAAAGTAAAAGGGTCAAACGTGTATGATCTCTTTCCGTGTCTGGTGGTGAAATTCACGTAATAGGATAAAACTAATGGCAACAAAATAGACAAGGTGGCCCAAGACGATAAGATATAGACGGACTTCAAAGTGAAAAACTCAGTAAAGTCCACGACCTTCAAATCACCGACAAATTCTGGGTTGAATCTGACATTGTGGAAAGCCTCAATCTCATCCAATCTAATCAATGGAATGAACTCCTTCCAAAAGATCAAAAATTCGAGACCGATCTGAGCCATGGTCAAATTCACGACCTCACTTAAATGAGATCTGACACAATCGCTGTACTTGGTAGCAGTAATCCCTAATTTGTCGGTCGTCTTATACAAGTACGAGACCAATTGTTCTTGTAAGTCAATCAACGGGTCCGCAATCTTTGTGGTCAAGTCTGCCGAAGGAACGTAGTCGGCGTCTTCTTCGTCTTCAGCCTCGTCCCCAACATTTTTTCCGGTATCAGTCTTTCCATTGTCTTCATCCTCAGACGCCAGCTCTTCAACGGCAATCACAACGGTCTCGGACTCGGCGATTGGGAAAAACGCAGCGTATCTGCTATCCTCAGAGAAATGTTCGTGCTCTAAGAAATGGTCCTTGATCATTTCAAGAAGCTGGCCCTTGGTGTTGTTTGTTTTGGCTGGGAGGCCTAAGGAAATGGCGATTTCCTTCAATTCCTGTTTCAACTTGTTTTCAAGAACTTTAGACATGGCGTGTGTTTGGTGTGGATATTTGTTATTATCAGCGCTTAGCCTTTTTGTTCAAGTTTTATTACCTGGAGGTTGGCAGAAGATAAAGTAGAGAAGAAAGTAAGTTCGATTATTGCTGCCCGGTAGTGTTTGTGAAGAGAAGAAAATCAAAACAGACGGCAGTGCGTGGTGGGGGACCCGGAGACGCCCCAAGGTCTTTGTGTTTTGGTGCTCCGAAAGCAGCCCAATACAACGCACGAAGCCTTCGGTGCTTGCGTAATGCACATTGATACTATCTAGATTTCCTAAACAAGTATCAAGTGAGCTCGCTGAACCGATTATAGTCCCTTTTTTGGTTCTTAAACCCTGTATGCAGTCTTTGTTGTGCCAAACGTACTGTGTCAACTGCGAAGCTTGCAAGTAACAGTCAGGCTGGACGAGCCTTTCGTTATTCGGAACTCATCTATTTATTTTATTTGCTCGTAGACAAAAGAGTATATTTGTATAGGTCTATAGATACTTTCAGGTATTAAACGTTGGGAGTAGGAACGAACGGTATATGTATCTGTCTTCTACCCACGCGTCCTAAGATCTGTATTTACATTTTTCCTAATTTGGGTAATATAGTTCAGAAGCGGCAAAACAGGAAAGAAGCACGTAGTGGTTGCATTTCCGGTGGTTTTTAATCCTCTGTGAGCCTGTAACAGGTTTAGAGCTTAGATTTTCTCGTTTGTCTAGTGTAGAATAATTTTGTCTGAACCAAAAATAGGATGTGCGTGTGCGTGTTTGCTATAGAATGGGGTAGGTAGGTGCTCAGATATCCTGCACCAGAGTTACCGTGTCACCCTGGCACGCGTTTCGAGCCAACTTATAGTAGCATTATCTCTCAGGAGTTCAAAATCACTTTATTGGTTTCGGTGTCGGACTTCCAGTTTAAGCCGATTCTCAGAACCTTAGATATTTCGAAGATTATGCCTCAGGTACGCCAGTATTTGAATTATTATGTCATTACAAATGAGGGCTGCCAGTTCACCGGTTAGAACCATCTTAACCCCATTCTAAGCTATCCTAATGAAGAGAACATGACATATTACTGTAGCTCTAGATATGTCTGTGATCAAGCACAGAGATCCTACTGGTCCTAATATAAGGAAAAGTTTATAAATCAATCATAAATGCTCCCTGGCCGAAAAAGACATCGCCTTAGGCCCTTTTACAACTCAAAGTATAGAACATACCACGCATGTCTCAGCCTCTCTCAGATGTATGGTCACTATGCTCTATCCATAGACATGCTAGCTATGAAAATTTGGACTCTAACTGCTATCGTAACTTTATTTATCTGTTGCTTTCCCTCTCCGAACTTTCGGTTGCGTGTCGGCCTAACCGTTTCCCCGCAATTCCTAGGCGATAGCGTCCTCGTGGTGCTACCCAATTTTTTCCGAAATTCTTCCCTCTGTCTAATAAACCTGATTAAGACCGTAGTCTTGCACTACCCTGCTCCGACTTCAACATACCACACAGTATATTGCACCATTTCATTGGGTATGCCGATGTTCCTGTACACTATATCTGACTCACATTTGTGTGGCTCAGCGTGAATAGCGGATGCAAAACTTTTTTGTGGCACCCACTTACGTGCATACGCCCATGCAGAGTGGAGGTGACTAAGAAGAACTAGTAAACCTTTCGGGCCAGTGATGAGCATGAATGACCGTTGGCGAAGATCTTAATTCGATGGTGCTCCCACACCCAGGCTTGGTCGAAAAGCTGTATTCCATGCTCCCCAAGGCTTCAACGCATCTGAATAAAAAGTGATACAGCTTATCGGATCAGCTTTTACCACTGGTACTGATAACGAATACCTTTACCAGTCCGGCACCTCCACTCTGCGCTGTATCACTCTAACCTGTTGCACAGAACACTTAACATGGCAAAACAGAAGCTTACTTTGAAGCAGCAAATGGAAGGGTTTCCGACCGAGCAAGTCGTTGTTGTAGGTCTTATTCGGTTTGCCGAGCCCATTGCATTCACATCTCTTTTCCCCTATGTGTACTTCTTGGTCCGTGACTCTGGAATCGCTAAAGATGACGGAGAAATTTCCAAGTACTCGGGCTACCTCTCAGCCAGTTTTGCCTTCTTCCAATTCTTGGTCAGTATCCACTGGGGAAGGGCCGCCGACATCGTGGGCAGAAAGAAGGTTTTACTCATGGGGTTGTTTGGCACCTCCATCTCGCTATTGATGTTTGGTTTTTCAAAGAGCTTTTACATGGCCTTGTTTTCCAGATCACTTATGGGGGCGCTAAACGGTAACATTGGAGTTTTAAGAACGGTGCTAGGGGAGATTGCCGTGGAGAGAAAACACCAAGCCATCGCCTTTTCGACATTACCTCTCTTATGGAATGTGGGGTCGGTCATCGGACCGTTGATCGGAGGGTTTTTGACCTTCACAAGCAGCGACAATCCAGTTAAGGTTGCCGCTATTACATCTTTGGACGACTTTTTCAGACACAAGTATCCGTACGCGTTGGCGAATATCGTGGTTGCAGGGTTTTTGTGGTTCAGCATGGTTGTCGGGTTCCTCTTTTTGGAAGAAACGCAGTGCTTGATGAAAGACAAGCCAGATATAGGTTTGATTTTGGGTGACCGGTTAAAGAGATTATTTGGGGTCACCCCAAAAACGCGGCCTTGGGATTCAAAGCGAATCCCGAGGTATGATTCTCAAGTTTTTGACTTTGTCGACGACGCGATTGATTCTTGCGAAGAGAACTCGGGAGAGCTTTCGCCCCTCTTGATCGAAGATAACGAAGCTCCATCACTGCTGTATACAGGTTTGGAACCATCGTCCACTGCAGCCTGCCGCCTGTCTGCAGCCTCTCTTGACCCTTCCTTGTCCTCGGAAGAAAGTCTGAAATCGCCCTCAATCCACTCCTTTGGTATCTTAAGCAGAAGACAGTCGTTGGCGTTAGTTAGAACATACTCTATGAACCAGCCAGATGAAGTCGAGACTACTGCTGATAACTGGAGAGAGGCTTTCCCTCCAGGAGTTGTAAAGGCTATTAGTGTGAATTTCATTTTGTCGTTGCACACGTTAGTTTTTGATGAATTTCTCCCAGTGTTTTTGGCGCTAGATGCCGATACAGAGAACTGTCGGTTTCCCTTGCGTATTGTTGGAGGGTTAAGCTTTGATACAATCACCATTGGAACATTGGTCTCGGCTACGGGGTTTATGGGAATTTTGATCATTTTGTTTATTTTCCCGTACTTGGACCGTAACTACGAAATGTTGCCTACTTTGAGAGCTCTCATGCTTGTCATGAGCGTTGTATACTTTTTCGTGCCGTTGTCTGTCTTCACCGTACTCCCGCAGTTTCCAAAGTGGTTCCCAATTGTTGCATTGTATACGCTCACCTCTTTGAAAGCCTTGGGGAATGCGAACTGCTTCCCACAAGTGATGCTACTTATCCATCGGGCGTCACCTTTCCAGCATCGTGCTTTAATCAACGGCGCCTCCATGTCGATCTCCTCCTTAGCCAGAACAATCGGGCCTTTGGTTTGGGGTAATATTATGTCATTTTCAGAGAATAACCAAGTGGGCTGGTTGACTTGGTGGTCGTTGAGTTTGTTGTCGCTCTTGGGTACAGTGCAAACTTTCACCATTCAGGATGAGAATGAAGATGAAGTTGGCGAAACTGCCGCCGAAACTGCATAAATATCGATAATGTCTTAAAGCAGCGTGTAGGGCTAAATACATAAAATATAATTCACCAAATTTGCAACTCTTCGAAATAATCCACCCCACCGGGAACTTTACTCTCTTGGCCCAACGAGATGCTGACTAGATTACGCAAATCGTCGCACAACCTTCCGGGCCCGCAACTGATTATGGCCAGATTTCCAGCCTTCCCATTATACTCTTCGACAAGTTTTCCGAGGTTGGGTCTCTGATGCGAATGGAACCTGATAAACGAAAGGTCGTTGACCATGCATTTATCCGTTCGCTGGGCTGTCGCTGGTGTTTCCCCCGAAGCAGTAAATGCCACAGCACCCAGAGAGGAAGTAGCTTTTTGTTTTGAATACTGGAGTGTATCATCTTTGGTCAAAAACACCTCTACCTGTACCAGTGTATGTTTAAGCTGCATCAATTCGGGGTAGAAGGATTTCAACGCTTGGAAATCTCGAATAATCCAGAGCAACCTGACATTCTTTTCCCCCATAGCATGATTTCTTGAGATTGATAGCGCATGTTGGTAAAGGCCCGGGATACCACTGCCCCCGGCAACAAGCAAAACGTTAGAATAATTTAGCAATGGAAAGTGGTTACCATAAGGACCATCCACGCATACTCTTAGAGAGATTGTTTTGGATATGCCGTCTCTCAACAAAGGCGTGGTGGCTGCTTTCTCAGAATCCCTAATTATTTTCTCGCGTAATCGCGATGTAATTCCCTTTTTGACCTTCATGTAGATGCTAACTTCTCGATCTTGAAAAACGCTGTCACATATGGTGAAGGGGTGACTTTCCCATGCCATTCGAGGAGTAAGAAACGTTATGTAAACAAAATTGCCGGGCTTTGGTTGCCAGTGGCTAGGTCTGTCTGTAATTTTAATCACGATAGTTTCATCATCAACAAGGGTTAGGTCAGCTATCTTGATACCAAATCGTAATACGCTGTACAACCGAATCGCTCTGTCCAGGCCCCACAATGTGAGGGCCAACCATACCATCGAGACATCAAATGGATACGGCATAAGATATTGGTGCAAAAGACAAGCTACCAAAAAAATCAAAGCCAAAACGATGTGGCTGATAAGGAAAAGCTCGTAGTAGTACTTCCGCAAATAGTATGTAGAGGAAGCAATCAAAATCCCAGCACTCGCCGTCGCGCACACTCCACATATCCAATAAGGGTCCATGTACTCGGTAAAATATGATTTTTGCAACGCCATATACATCGAGTACGATACGCTGTGAATGAACGCGTTCAAAAACATGCCACGCGCGGTCCAGCGGTGAAAAGCCAGAAAGGTACTGTACGGCAAGCCGGTAAACTTGATGAGTAGATTGTTCCTCCCAGCAAAGAGAATGAGAAGGGGTAAGTGGTCAAAGGCAATAGTTCCAGTTCTATCCGCCAAATATTTCAACATTTGCATTGTTCTACCCAGGAACAATAAATTGGGATCAAAAATATGGTACCGAATCACCGTAAGGTAGACATCCACGATAAGATACAATACAAGAATAATGCTTTCAAAGCGGGTTGGGATCAAACCCCATATCGTATCGGTCTTGTGCCTCCCTCCTTGGAAAAGAGTAGGGACCGTGACTACCGCTCTGAACCTAGAGCTCCACCTGTTTGCAGCGAAAAACGAGTGGGACCATCTAAACCGTTTTAATACGTTGTTGAACAATGACACGGCCAAGAGAATGGAGCCCCAGAATCCTAGAATTCCGCTTGCAAGTTTAGAGTTAAGATCTAGACTGCCAAAGAAGACATCATATGCTTTTTTATATCCCAACACTTTGGCTTTAGGCGGTAGAACTGGCACGTAGAACGGTGCACCTGTCGCAGCGCCGTCCTGGTCCCCGATCACGTATCCACTTGCATTTAGTGTCTGTGCTCGCAAATCACCAATCTCCCAATGATGGAGAGCAAACTCGGAACAGAACTCCTGAATAACACTCAATGAGTCGTTGAAAATATTGGCAGACGGAGAATACTGGGAAGAGCACTGTAAGAGGGCACCAAGCTGCGGGGGGTAGGTACAGGTGCAGCCCCACCAAAGATCGGACGTACAAGCATACTCGTACTGGGTAAGACTGATCTGGCACGAATAGATGATAGTCCTTTCTTCCCCACCCCATTTTTTGGCATCTGTTCCTTTGGGGCTTGCTCCCAAGAGTAGTAGAAGAAGAAGAGGTGTAATGTGTGTGGGTTTGGCGTAACTTATCGGAGATAAGCGCATGTTGAGTTTTTCGGCGTAATCGCGTCGGAGGAGCAATGAAGGGGTGCTATCGGAGTGCCAGCTCAATGTAATGAAAACAGAGATAAGGAGCCAGTTAGGATGAATCTGGAATCGATCTTTCAACTTTTTTTTGTTTGTTTCGCAAGAAAGCCCATAGCGCCAGATCTGTCTGTAGGAAGCAAAGTCCGTACCTTTATGGGTTGTTATGCATAAGGCAAATTTTGGCGTAATAACTATCCAGCCGCACCAACTGTGTCGTTTCCATGGCCCCGGCGCAAATAGAGACGAAAGTGCGATAGGCTTGGACGTCGCAGTAATATTGCAGATGAGAGTCCCACTGTAAGCTGATTATTAAGCATGCATTAGCTGCGAGAAGTGTGTAGACTAATGGGTTTACGACTAATCTGCCGGTAATCTCCTTGGCGACACCATGGGCATACCATTTCGAACTTAGCCGGCCTTATCGCTATAACAGCAGATCTAAACTTTCACTAAGCCGCATGCCCTACTTCAGCGCGCTAGATGCTGCAACAGAAAGATATCAAAATTCAGCCAATTTCGCTTTTGAATTTATCTCGATTTTTCCGCCAGGTAGGATGGTATGACTCCTAATCTGAGATAGCTGGTTTTATTTTATATACTTTTACGGAAAGAGCTTTACATGAGGGAGAGCAAATGCTTGACAGACCGCTACGAGAGGTGAAAATCGTGGGCTGAGAATCCTTACATGTCTGAAATAACACACGTTTACTAGAGGTAGTCGTTTGTGGTTTCGAAACTTATTCTAACTAATTTATTTTCTAGCAGCATAATATCTAAGCTAAGTAATAATAGAGTTCTTGTATCCATGATGAGACCATTGTGTATCTGCTGCTTTTTGTTCTGTTAGCCTGGCTGTCCTTGACTTACTCTACTCGTCACACTTTGGTATAAACCTCTACCAAGGCATATAAAAATGCTATACACGCATATTGGCATATCAGAAGAAGAAAATATGGTATATCTAAGTGGGATAGTGCCTCAGTATCCAACCTGCTCTCTGCGTTTGTATATGGTTAGTCCTTTCCTGTCTAAACCTAGCCATGCTTCCCATTACCCAAAATTTCGCCTCTGACGACCAACATCAAAATCCTTCAGAGTGGAGATATTTTAAAGAAACTAATAAACTCTCTATCACCAAGCTCTGTCCAGCTATTCTGGGTTCAAATGGTCATATCATGATTTCTCCAGAGACCAATCTATTATCTACGTTGGCCAATTTGGGAAACATGGCATCTACGTTTAACGAATCGCTCAGGGCTGTTGAAGAGGCTAAGCAATATGATCCTTATTTCAGTAATAGACTCCCCATGGTGCTAGCTCTTGAAAACACCGCCAGTGCCACTGTATTGGAAAATGAAACTATGGACACTTCCAGGCTGGCACGGGTAAGTTCTAGCGATGAAGACTCTATATTCGAAGATACTTTTAGTCATTTCAGCTTTGATTTGACCTCTCCAGAACCACTGAACTATTCTGAAAGGTTTCAAGAGTGCCCTGTCGAAAGCCGGACATGCCAGGTTCACCTCTCCAATGATTTCTTAGATGACCACACTAGTGCTATGATTAAAAAGGAGTGGAAGGTATGTTGTATTCCTTTATATATACCTCCACCTAACTATATTTTGGAATCCTTTGCCCGTAACCCACACAGCCAGTACAACTCTCTCGACCCTGAGAGTATCATTCCTTTCCCTGAATTACCTAAACTCAAAACTCAAACCTCCTTGTTGCAATTCTTGCATAAAGTTCATGCCCACAACGTCTCGCGAGACAATTATTCTCATCGGTTGGAGTTCCTTAAAAATTTGAATGGAGCAGCCTTGTGGGGTGCGTCCATCAAAACACCCAGTATGAAGCTCAAACATAAATATGACAGCAATCTCTCGAGAACCAACACCTTCCGAATGGGTGAGAATCCGGGGAGATCTAACTCTAGAAGGTATCAGCCCCTTTTCAAAACCCAGCAAATCCAACAACAGCGATCAATCAAGTTAATGAGAAAAAGAACGATGCGGTCTGAGGCGATTCATCAGTCGAACATCGGTGCTGTGGTGGATCTCATTCACATGCATTGTCTGCACAGCATCGATGTCTCTGCTTCCGGTGAATCCAGTCTGCAGCTCCAACCCCGAAGCATTGATGATATCTATCGGCCTACCAAACCAGAAAACTTTAATTTGGAAGCTGTTGATATTGGAACTCCGGGGTTTATGAGGAGTGAGGAGTTCCTCAACTACACCCGTGCTGTTTCGTCGCTTAAGTTCTGGTCTACCAGGTAGAGCACATATTTGTATAAGCACACTTTGAAAACAGTGATACTTTAACTTGACTATTATTTCAAAGCTAGAAGTTCAGGTGCTTGTTTATTTTTTGATGAATAGTATCCGGATATATCCAGCTGCTAAGCTCTTTATACAGTTGTATCCATTGAAGTTCTTGCATATGTAATAGAATACTGATGCGACGCAGAAATTAAATTTCCCTACTGTAGAAGGCAAACAACATTACTTTTATGTGTATCCAACAGCGGCTTTAGCTCAGTTGGGAGAGCGTTAGACTGAAGATCTAAAGGTCCTGTGTTCGATCCACAGAAATCGCATTTAACTTTTTCAAATCCAAAGTATAATAGCACGTGATCAATATAATGCAATCGGCTCATCCACAAAATTGATCTGCATGTGTTTGGTACTCAGCGTGAGTATATCATACAGAAGTGGTTTTATTAGGTCTTCTAGGATATCTACAAGGTGTGTTTAACGTTACCTGTTACTCTTTCTCCTCAAAGCAAATATTTAGCCGCAAGTAAATGAGTGTTTCTACGCTGTTTGGTGGGGTACATGCGACGCCACCACCCAAAGCCACGTCTACTGCCGATGGAGATAGGACGGCAAAGTTGACTCCAATCACCGTCAATGACCTACAGAATAATCCGATGACCCCACAGTTAAGGGAGCAGCTACACACAACGATACAGAAGTCTCAATGGGGTAAAGGGTTTGCTCCTATAGGTGTCCTGGACGAGAACTTCGAGCCAGCGTCCCAACTGCCTCCATCTTTAGAGGGTTCAATCAAACTGAGACCTAAGGTACCTTCCACCAAGTCTCCAAAAGAGGCATTGGTGCCGCTCTCCATAAGCCTTACCAACTCACCAGCGTTTTTGCAATCGCTAGGTCAGCCAAGGAAGTCCCCGACTCGTCCTCTGTTGTCCGTCAGAACTCCGCAGCCTACATCGATAATGACTGCTGGGAATGTGGGTGGTTTCAATATTATAAGCCTGTCAGTTAGGGGCCAAGACTTTGTGGGTGTCACCTCCAGTACCAGGTACAAGAGCCCCGAAGCTTCTTTCATCCGGACCCCAACCAAGCGCAGAGTTACCAACCCCGGTCGTTTACTTAATAGAGACAGGGCTCTATCTGACGGCAGCGGAGAAGAGATTGTCGTGGATAGCTCCAACCATTACCTTGAAGGTGAAGAGGAACGGGTGGGAGCAGTACAGAACCTTGGCCTTCCAAAGTGGTATCACATGGAGAACTTGATGCACAACGCCCAAACCCCTTTTGTCATTTCGCTCTACTTACAGTTGCTTTTCAATCTTATCCTCACATCTATCGTCCTCTATTTTGTTTACATATTTATATCGACAATCAGTGTCGATGTGAACAATAAGGTTGAGGGCTATATCAGTGAGATTTCGCAGAATATAGCTGCTTGCAGCAGAGACTATTACCGAAACGAGTGTTCTCCCGGCCTCCGGAGGCCGGCATTAGAAGAAAAGTGCCTAGAATGGGAGAAATGCATGAATCTTGATCCCAATGTTGTGGGACGGGCAAAAGTTGGAGCAGAGACATTTGCCGAAATCATTAACGGATTTGTGAAACCAATAAGCTGGAAGAGTATCACTTTCATCAGTTTAGTAGTTTTCGGTTCCCTCATCTTGACCAACGTAGCCTTTGGGAGTTATCGGCAGAACCAGTTACGATATGAAGCACCATACAGCCAGCAAGCGCACATTCCGCCTGAAAGACTTAGCGGTGGCCGTTACAGCGGCCACCCTTCACTGCCATACTTTAGCAAACTAGCCTACTCTTCTCTGGAAAGGCAAAGTCCTTCCCCTGTATGTGACTCCTCTAAAAAGTTGGCAAAATGGCGCAGCTAAGATACTGGAAGTTGTGCTAGAGAGACGTGGAAGGAAACGCGCCAACTGGGTACAGCTACCAGTTATAGCATTGATTTATATACACCTATGAATTAAAGATATGCTTTGATAGTACAATTCGTGTATGCGAAGATAACAGTGGAGGTGAGATAGAGCTACAGGGGCTAGAAGCCGAATTAGTAAAAACCTTCAATAACAATCAACGAGTTCCTTCGACAACGTTCATATCATAAACTGGATACCCCAACACCGGAAGTGTCTGCACAAACCAGCACCTACCGTTTTGAAAACACCAATCCGCTGTAACTGTTTGAAGTAGCAAACTTTGATGCTTTTTTCCTCACACGGTCCTGCAATATCTTTTAACCAGGGCTGACTAGTTGATGTAGCTAGTGCTTGAGTATGCAGAGCCACGCATCAGTGTGCAAAATGCTTACATAAGCTCCGACGCAAAGAAAAAGTAGCCAATGAGTAATTACCTTTCTCGATTACGGCTGAGGTTCAATTTGGTATATCGAGACAATACGCATCAACACTTGTGTGCCCCAAGTTAAACATACCATCAACCATAAAGTCAAAAATGTCAGCCGCCAAGTTTGTTTTACCAGTTGCTGTCAAGGAGTTACGTTTCCACTTATCCCAAACCGGCCAAGCTTCTGTTCCATTGAGAACTTTCTTGACCCAACACTACCCAACTTTGAAGAAGAGCAATCCAAATGTTCCGATTTTGATCCGTGAAGCTTACTCTGTTCCACCATCTATCACTGCCAGATTCGAAAAGGGTGTTGAAAGCAAGCAGTCGGTCGACGGGTTGACCGCTGCCCAAGTTGATGCTACTTTCAAGTCTTTGCTCGGGTTGTAAAGGTATGTGTTTCCTCCACCTTAAACCGACAACGGCTTTATCCTCGCACGATTCGGCTCTTCATTTCCTACGTATAATCAGTTCGCCGTTCAAACTTGCTCCTAAGACTCGGAAGGAGTAATGCTGGCACAGTGGTCTTCCATTGTTGGTCCCCAATCTTTATCATTCTGTCTTGAAGGTCGCTGTCATACATTTCCACGATTAACTATCCACCTTACCCATATATTTCTGATGCCTCCGCGGACCACACTTTTGCATAAGGTATTTGCATATCTATTTATTTTACTTTAAACTATGTTTTTAAGCCACTATCCTCTCCCCTTTGTTAAACCTCGGACATTTTTATATGTTGAGCCACTTATATGATAGAAGCCCTTTTTTATAATGCGGCCTTGGGAGAATTTAGCCGACAGTAGAGGACTGTACTTTATTTTGACTCAGTAGCGTATATAACGCTTTTAACCATCTAGTGGTCCCTTGGCCCAGTTGGTTAAGGCATCGTGCTAATAACGCGGGGATCAGCAGTTCGATCCTGCTAGGGACCATTTTTTTTTTATTTCCGGCGAACTGGAACCATGGCTTAGAGGTTTTCAATTAATTTTCTTTTATATTTCTCGTTATCAAACGACAGTTGTAACTCTGTTGGGTATAAAGTATATATAGGAATATCCGATTTGCAGCTTTACTGATACTTGCCGCTGTTGGGTTTGATCTGGATGGTATTTGGATCCTCCATGCCCAGATTCAGTAAATTTACCTAAGAAAGCCAGTTACAGATTAAAGAGGCCAGACACTAGTATAGCACTATAGGGGTGCCCTCTTTCTAAATCCCCTGCCTCTTGAGCTACCACACGTTTTTTCATCTACCATATTGATTAAAAGCTAGTATATAACTAAAATATTGACATGTTACTTTGAAGTCTGCTTACCACAGATTAACTCAAATCTCCACGGAACGTCCATTCTGTCCAACATTAACTCAACCAACTGCAACTGCAGACCGCTCCTGAACTTTTTTTCGTTCAACAACTGGTCCAAGTCGTCTTTTTGGGAAACTTTGGTGGTGAAAGCAACATCACCGTTAATATCACCAAACACCTTGAAGAACTCGCACCACTTCCAGTTTGGTGCAATATCGTTATAGGAAGAGTTTGGCCCGTAAATGATTCGCTCGACAGAATAGCCATCGTTGTTCAACAAGAACATGGTGGGCTTGATATCTTGACGGACATATGTAGCCAATTCTTGGATAGTCATTTGAGCGGAGCCATCACCTTGGATTAAAACCACCCTGCGAGAAGTCTCTTGGTTCATGTCACGAAGTGCAAGAGAACAGCCTAAAGTGGCGGGTAAGGCATAACCGATAGATCCGTAAAACATCTGGGAAACAAAGGTCATGTTGTGCTTGAATTTGAAGTCTGCAATCGCAAAGAGGAAGGAACAAGTTTCCACGACTAAAATGTCATTTGGCTGCAAATAAGCCTCCAAGGCATCCACCAAGTAGGCTTGATTCAAGGACTTGGAAGTGGTCGAGGAAGCCTTTCTAAGAAGAGGCTCTGGCAAAGTGTTAGCTTGCATCTGAGACACATCTAGCTTCTTGCACATTGCTTCCAAGACATGCTGCATCATGTTTTCACCTTCGTAAATCTGGTCCCCGATAGCAATGTACTCTGGGTGTAGCTCAACCACTTGGACCTTATTTAAATTGAAGGTGTAACTCCCGTTATTGGTTTCGACATCAAAGATACCAGCGTGGAGCACAAAGTCACATTCTTCCATAAATCTTGCGACACCTTCACACGACTGCACACCACAGTAGGTACCAAACCAATTTGGCAAGGATTCATCAACAACACCTTTCGACATAGTTGTGGAGAATAGCCTAACATTCGTGGAGAGCTTTTCCACTAACTTGTTAAAAGTCTCGTTGCTTCTGAATTTCGATACCAAAATATCAGCAAGAACCGCAGGCCTTTCGGCATCGTACATGCGTCCCAAAATCTGTTCTGCCAAATCAGAAACTTGTTGGGGGTTAGCCGCCGGAGAAAGCGCTAACCGAAGGGGAGTCTTAGTCAAGCGTTCCAGTGAAACCATCATATCGGCATAGTTAGAGGGTAAGTATAAGTAACCCGGTCTCGACTTTGCGTACACGGCCTCTAAAACTCTATCCACCTGTTCACAGGCCTGGTCCAACTCTTTGATGCTCTCCTTTGCGATGCAAATATCGTCAACCATGTTCTCATACACGTAGTGGTTTGGCGCAGCAAAGAGCTTCTTGTTTGTCACCAAATGGTGAAAGTTCTTCGGACCCTGTTTCTGGCCCATAGAACTAGTACCAACGATGTGCAAAACCGGGGCATACTCGGCGAACGATCCAGAAATGGCGTTGATAGCGGACAACTCGCCGACACCAAACGTGGTGACGACCACGCCCATCAATTTGCCCAACGACAGCTTGGCATAACCGTCAGCAGCGTAACCCGCGTTAAGCTCATTACAGCAACCAATCCAGTTCAAACCCTTGACAGAGTAAATGTGTTCCAAAAAGTTAAGATTGAAGTCCCCAGGGACACCGAAAATAGACTTGGTGCCGACCTGGCTGATTCGGCGGAAGATGTATTCTCCCAAGGGAATAAGATCCCCGCTGCCTTGAGTAGTTTGGAAGTGAGAAGATACGTCAGATGTAGCAATTGGTGCCATGGTAATAATGTATTATAAAGTAGTGTGAGTATCATCTAGACATCTAAAAGGTAGTGAAGGGGGACTGGGCGATTTATATAGACTATGTTTTAATAAACTAGGGTATATGCAGCAAAGGGGGATTCGGCCGGGTACCTACTTTTTGCACCAGTTTACTATGACGTTACCCACAGCGCTAACGTTAAAGTAACCTAACCTTCCGCGGAGAAATGGGTATTTTCAGAGAATCAATGCCAACGATACTTATCTGCAGCAAATAACGTTTACCTCGCATTTTGACACCTGCAGCTTAGCGGTAATGGACGGTTATTGAAGGCAATGGACGGTACCCACGGCAAGGCAAGGTTATCCAGGTCCGAAGGTAGCCTGCTACTGCCGGTTATACCCATAGCTAGCCGTGTAATACCGCGCACAGGGGTTAAGGCGGGAATCGCATCATATCCCTCCATACTGATATGCTTCGGTTGCGTGACAATGCGTGGGCTACGGCCATAGACAAGATACAAACAGGGAGGAAAATATATTTTAATAGTTCTTAGTGGCCTCGTTTAGCCAGATCCGTGCCTCAACTGACTTTATCAGGGCAATGACGCTAGGGTTGAGAGCAGCCGGGCTACAGAGTGCTGCGTGTGAGCACATATATTCGAGTTCTAAATATTTACGCCGTATCAGTGTAGGGCATTATTAGGCTCATAATGCCGTTAGTTTCAGACGGCGATGGCCATGAAGTAGGTAATGCACGACGTTTCACCAATGGGTCCGATATAAAAAAAACCGAGATCGAGATTGATAGCGGACATACGATCAAGTAAGCTTGGGGCCTTTACCCCCCACCTAGATAGAGGGGTTCCACAATATCAGTGGTACATATAATAGGTAATAGTGGATGTCATTAGATAGTCGAGATAATTCTTTTCACAGGTAGAAATATACGGAGGATAAGCCGGAAGTTCTTTTATACTGAAGGTCGATAGGGGTACCGTCATTGTTGGATGACGGTATCTCATAAAAGTGGCTCGAAAAAGATACGATGTTTAAATGTTGAACGATTAGTAGTTACATAGAATGTCGTCTGATCGGAGGTGAAGGGATATCAGTTGACGACACCTGCAAGATTAAATGGTACTTTTTGATAAGTTACTTTCGCCTAGACCTTTGCGTTTGCGAAAGAAGACTTTCCCTTGCTACGAGAAGCGTAGTGCAGTGGGGTATGCGTCTAATATCATTTTTCAAGGTTCACCACCCGACAGGTACTCCCTACCACATCTATTGGAAGAGGTTGGATTCAATTCAGACATACTGGATATTATCGAGGCCACAGGTTTCACTGGGAGTAAAGGAGCTCCACGGCAGAACCTGAACTAAAGGTGGATTGTTAAAAAAAACTATAGGGAAAATCTTTCCAGTAGAATGCACGTTTTTTTAGCCCAATTATGCACCTATCAGGTTAGTAATGGTTCACACGTTAGAAGTTCTTCTCTGTTTTCTTTTAATCATTGATTAAAGTTGTTATTCAAAATCGCTACAGACCGGGTTGTATAGTGTAGTGGTTATCACTGTCGGTTTTGATCCGACCAACCCCAGTTCGAATCTGGGTACGACCTGTTTTTTTTGGTCAGCTAGAAGAGACCGAGGCTTTTATTAATCAGATTTACGACTGCCATTGAGAATACGCAAAAAGTAATTTTGAAGTTCAATTATGATACAAGAAAAAGCTTTAACGAAAACCAAAACCAGATGGCAGGTATTTAGTACCTCCTACCAACAAACAGACCAAAAAAACAAACATACTGTGCCCTATCTCTTTGGGCAGCCAGTTTCTCTAGCTCACTACTCTATCATGATTTCTGATCCAGTACTCAGAGGGGTTCCCGGTGGCATCATTCTTCTGCTTGCGCCAGGCCCTACTGATCATCATGCCCGTCCGCAACTTGTCCTTTTCGACTTTATCCAACAACCCCTCCAATTTCTCCTTGGCCCGCAAAATCTTCTTCCGCTGAGTGTTTTCTTCGGCCCCAAGGGCAATTGGTGGCAACAATTCGTCCAAGAACTGGATCTCACGTTGGATCTTCTGAATCTTTAGTGAGAGATCATCCTTCTGCTGGATCAAATTCTGGAGCAGGGCTTCCATTTGAGGGTCCGCAGCCCTGACTTCTTCCTGAGAAATCTTCCGCACCACCTGGAACTGGCGTGTTGTGCTTGAAGCCGGGCAGAGCAGTTGAGGCTCCGCAGCAGTCGTGGCAACGGGCTGCTCCAGCGGCTTGTCAAAAGCGGTGATTCTACTTGGGACAAAACCGGTAGATATTGGAGTGGCGTTGCGCCCCTGGCCTTTCTTTTCCACTGGTTCTACTGCCGGAGCTACGGCCCTGTGTTTTGGTGGATTTAAAGGCCTGAAGGTTTCGAACAACGGATATTCGTCATTGTCATCCAAATCGTTGAGAGTGGAGTTGGAACTCTGTGACGCGTGTCTACTGGAAGGCGGTCTGTCAGAGGCGTGGCCCGTCTTTCCCGTCTCTTTGCCTGTGAGAATACTCTCAGCACTCACATTCAGCTCGTAGATCTGCCTCACGTGCTCGAATGTGTTCGCCGGGGCGGCCTTCCTTTCTGTCACTGGTCCGAACTGTGAATGGTCCTGCGGGGTAGGCGTCATAGGGCCATCAATGGAGATGATTCTGGAGGATTTAGGAAAGATCGGCAGACTTGGAGAGTCTAACAATGACGTACCGTCAGAAAAGCTGTGACCAGAAGCCGCTGGGTCTTCGAACCCGTAAGCATCACCTGCATACGGGGAAGCGTTGCCAGGCACTGTCAAGGAGTCAACGCGCTTTTGCAACTCTTCGATGCGAGAAACGCGATTTGCAGACGATGGGAAGGCACTAGAGGGTTGAACGGTTGGCGTAATCGGATTTGTCGTTGTACTCGGAATAGTCAAGTTAACAGATACCTCAGTCTCAGGAACTGCTGATGGGTCTGGAGAAGCATTATCGCCGGCGATTGAGAACGACGAGGATACTTCAGGGAGACCTCGGTCCTGAGATTGCTCACTTTCTCCATCGGAGATAGCTTCCCAGGTTTTGGTGTCGGGCTCCGATAACGATAATCCCGGGACCGGATGATTCATGGCTCCAGACTTAGGTTCCACGTCATTTTCTGTATGCGCGGCAACTCCAGCTCCTTGGAACGTGAAGTGTTCTTCAACCGCAGTGTTGCGGTTCACGAAATGGCTGTCGTCAAATTGAAATTCATGGCTCGCAACGGAGGTTGCAATACCAGTTGACGCTGTTTCCTGGTGTTCTTTGCTCATTCTGGAAAGAATGTAATATAGTATGTAAACGTTTGTAAAGCGTGTTCGGCGAGAGGGGGATGGAAAACGGTGCTAGCGAGCGTGGATGTCTAAAAGACCTGTGTTAAAGCAGTTGTGACAAATCCCGGTGAAAATCTCTGGGTTTAACAGGTTGGATATACTTGACGTGGGGTATCTCTTGTTTATGATGACTGGTGTGTGACTATACAAACCCCAAAACACAACAAACGCCTCAGATTTTCGCTAATCTCTTTACGCGTGACGAAAATTTAAAGCCCAGGACCTGTCTGGTATTTGAGACGCGACACACGTGAGGCAGAAAAAAGACGCGTCGGTCGTGGGTTCCATCGTTTCATGGCTTTCATGGGTATTGTGTGGATATACCAGAGGAGTGACATCCAACAATGTAGCAATCAAGAAATAAAGTAGAACAAACTATGACCTCGGGGTATATGCTGAGAATCACTGTAATTCGCTGGGTTCGACGCCAAACAGCCGGATTGAGAATGTACCCCCTATGTCTGTTTACGCAAGCCGAAAAGGGATCTGGAGCATGTTGGGCAGGGGAGAGTTCTGCCCCTAAATACACCTCATTTTCGTACTGTGATATTTCATCGATAAACCTAATCAGATATAATGCTTTATTATAGTAAATACGTAGAAAGTAAGGATCGTAAGTGCATAGTACGAATGGCCATCCATTACGCGGTAACATGAAACCTTCGGGTTAATTGTACGGTATGAAAGCAGTACAATGAGTTTAACTGGTTAAATATGTACCAGTGATGCCCTATAACTTGATGAACGTAGACTCATCCTACCAGACGGCCTGCGATTCGTATGACTAGTTTGGTGCCGAACCCCACATAAGTTACTCCCAGAACCTGGAGAACGGCCAAAAATCAATAATTTCTTTGAAACTAGCAATGCGGAGATGTATCTCTCCAGAATCCCAGCGATGTAGGTGTGTAGGACCGCCGCTACTCTAATAACTGAGCTCGGACTACTCCGTATCGCTAGGGAAATTCCCAGATAACACGGAAACGGCAGGCCCTTTGAGGAGTAATGACCATAAAAGAAAAAGCTTGTCTGCTGTTTAACAATATTTCCCTAAAATTTCAGCGCTGGTGAGATAGTACCATTTATAACGACAAACTATGGTTTTGTTGTCCCTCCTTTTACGACAACTTACGGCTTGTCAAGTAACAAGGGGAAGAGGATCCGGGGTAGCCGCACCCCGTGCATGAGCAAATGGTTTGCTGGGTCATCTCCCGTAGGATATTCTGTGCACATGCTAAATGTCCGCACATAGGCAGAACTTCAAGGCCTTTAAAATTCACCTATATTTCCACGACCCACCAAGTGGATAATTCTTTTCACAGGTACGGAAAGACACGACCAAAGTTCCTGCGCCACATGCCTCTCTTTACAAGAAGGTCACTGGCCCACCGATCCAGAACCCAGGACTACGAAAACGCCCCTTCTGCTCAACCTTCCTCCCAAAATAGGCTGTCTACGGTACGGATTCCCCAACGGAACGCCCCAGAAGGTCAGACCCGAGAAAGAGGCGATGGTCATCTGCTACGTCGTACCACCAGCGACGAGACGCTTACCACCCTAGTCAATACCATCAACGATACAGAGTTTCTCCACAACGGGGCCGATGTGCGTAACCAAGATGAATATGCACACCTGGTGCAGCGGTTAGTTAGATCCAACTCCAGCCCCCCTCCAAACGATACGGAATCTATCTTCGCTACCCGGTCTATTGCTTCTATCGAAACGGTCACGGATAAGTACTTTAATGAGCCTGCCACACACTTCACAGCCAAGCGACAGCTCCCCATTGCGTCGGGGTTTATGAAAAACGGTGTGCTCATTTTCCCCCTGGAAACATCGTTGCAGATCCATCGCTTTTGCAAGCAAAACTTGAACAATAGCCGATTTCTCGCGAATCTCATCGATGGAATGCGAAACCAGGGACTTGGACTCCCGATTCTTCAAACTCATTCACCGATCCTAGGGGGTGTTTTTAAGAAAAATGCGCCCTTTATGGTCATTTACAGGTTCTTACCCCCGGTTGGGACCGATCATTTTAATCCCAACACCCCGCCTTCGCTCAATACCTGCTCCACCGAAAAGTATGAGTATGTCAAGGTCTACTATAAACACTTGAACAACCGGGTTTCAGGATATGCGTTACACTTCATTCCAGACCCTCAGTTCCCAGATCAGGGATTTGAGGTGATCATGTTAAACAACACCGTCAAAGCGTGCACGGATTGCTACGTTAAGGGCACGAAACTCCGGTTCTTGGGAACAACCTCGTCCAATTCCACGTTCGGGTCCAGTTCCATCAAGATGCTAGTGGTGGACGATGAGGTGCCGATCCTCAACGACTATTACAGCGAGAAGAAGGACAAGGAAAAGCGGAAGTTTGAGATTGCCAAAGGCTGTCCCTTACTAAACAACTATTTGCTGAACCCACTACGTAATTTTTTCAATGGCCTTCAAGGGAACCACCGACAACCGTTCCGAGTATTTGGCAAATGGGATGATTCTTCAGACTCGTCGTATGCCAAGCACCAGGCGTCCATGGGGAGTGTGGTGCTCAATAAAGTGGCCAAACACGGAGATATTTCGTTTTTTGAAAACCCCAACCCTCCCCATGACAAGGATGAAGCCTTTCGCCAACAACTCGAAGAAAGGCTCATATCCCTTACCAAGACCGCTAGCTGGCCTACTATGATGACTTTTGAAGATACCATATTTTCCGTTTCCCAGAATGAGAATTCCCTTATCTTAACGTGTCTTTTATTAGTGTTGCAAGACCAAGAAAAGAGAAAGTATCAAGCGAGCAGACGCCTTCTATATTCTGGTACTGAGCAGCACGGGGGTGGTAGAAGGGCACCGATTGCGATGGCCGACGCTCTATTTTAGAGCATACCCAATATATAAGTATCTCGGATGTATACATCGAAACTCTATGAAACTTCTTCTTGACGATACTTCCTTCCTTTGAATGTGAGCCGTGATATCACTATCTCTACGGGTAACCTCACCAGATTACTGGTATATTAGATAGTAGGGCAGAGGGTTCTGCATGTCTTCTTGTGCCAGGTGACACGAAGCTTATTTTACACGAGAATATCAAGCGGGCATGCGACGGCTGGTATAATCTGGGGATATTTGTGGGTATTAGATGGAGAGAGTTACGTAGACATTGGTGGTGGTGGTCGAAGTGCTCGTCCAGATAGTGGTCGTATTGTCCAGAACGGTACTATCGTCATATTCAACAACACAGACGCTGCTTTTGGTAGGGGTAAAAGTTGAAGTTTCGAGGGTATACGATAGAGTGGTAGTCCTGGTAATGGTTGAGAGTATCGTGGTAGTAGACTCATCGGAACTAGAAGCGGTGGAGGTCCAAATCGTTAAAGAGGATCCTGGCGTAGGAGAAGCAGGATCAAGAGTCAGAAATCCTGTTGTTGCTGTACCGGGACTAGGGTTTAAAGTCTGCATCACTGAGGTGGGAGTTGCGAACGAATTTTGGGCCAGAGTAACAAGGTGGTTGAGCGGGGTGTAGGATGAAGTCCCGATAACTTTCGCTATTGTTTGAGAAGTACTTGCCGGACCAAGTACCACCGCTGACTCCGAGGTAGCAGATGGATTGGATTCACCAGATATTTCTAAGATAGAACGGGTGTTTTCTTTTCCATTAGGAAAGATCGAAAGGCTTGCAAGTCCAGCCGTGCTGCTGGCAATTTGGATATCTGCAGAGTCCTCACCGGGAATGGAACTGGAACTAGGTTGCCGACTTATAGAGGCACCATCTGCTGTTCTAATAGAACCATGTTCTGCCTCGGAAGTGGCCTCAGGGACAGAATTCACGGACACTGTCTTAGGTGATGCACTTAGGAAAGCGAGTGTCGAGGGAACATCGGTTACTTGCAGCCCTTGGTGAATAGAATCGGGTATAGCAACGCCCAATTCCGTTGTAGAGGTGCTTTGCAACAAAGAAAGGGAGCTCAGGTGCTCACTCTTAGTTAAGGAACGGGTAGCATTATCATAACTGGCAAGAGAAACAACAGAGTAGTTACCGTAATATGGGAGTGTAGATAATATTTCCGTTTTGGTTATACCTGGTGTAACCGTCTCTGTGAGAATTCTGGTAGTGGTATCATCCTGTGCAGCATTTGTAGCCGTATAGACAGTATTTATCATCACCAGAGTAGTGGTGACCACTGAAGTATACTTTCGCACACTCGACGTTGGCATTGTCCGGGTAGACGTTTGTTGAGCCACGGTATCGTAAATCACAATGGTTTTAGTAAAGTAGACGACGGTTGTCAAAACGGTGGAGTAAATAATTGTGGAGGGAGAGAAGGTAATCACTGGGTAAATGCTGGACGGGACTTTGACCAGTGTTTCTTGCGTGATGGTTGTAGTATGAGAATCCTTCGTTGGTGTTGAAGGAGTGGTCAATACTGAAGTGGGGTTTGGCAGAGAAATGGTTGAAAACTCTGGATTACCTGTCAGAGCGGTGTTTGTCACCGTGATTGTTTTTGAAATCGTTTCATACAACGGAGAGAGCGAGGCACTTGCCCAGGTAGTGGAGGATTCTTCAACGTCACACCATACCGTCACATAGTTTGTTAAAACGGAAATTATAGTGGAGGTAACAATACCGTGAGTAGTTGGTGATCCGTAATCGAGTTCCAGGGTTGCTGTTTGCACGAGAGTACTATTGCCGTAGTATGTAGCCGTATTTACCGGAAGAGTCGATGAGGTATGCGTTTCCTGTGTTCTGGAAGCAGGCAAGTCAAGGGAGATAGGTGCACTTGAAGAAGGAATAGCATTTTCTGAAAAAGGACTAAACGTATAATTTGACGGAATGGAAAGAGCTGCCCCTGTTACCGATGACGCAAGTAAGGATAACAGTAAAAGCAAAGCTGTTTTACTTGGTGAAGAAATCATTGCTGCACAGTGGTACGTGTATGTGTCGCAGGGTAAGTGTACGACGAGAATTGGGGGTAATTGGCACGTTACCAAGTAGATATTGTTTTGTTTCTAAGATCTAGAAGTGGTAATGATATTTTTTGGAGCTTTGGGGGGGGAAAGGCCCGGGAAACTTCTCGCTATATATATGCTAGAAAAACGCACCTTTCTGGCTGAGCCAAGCGGTTTACAGAACCCCTTGGTAGTTGAACATAATGCTATAATCCTTATAGAGATTACCACAATAAAAGCGATGGCTGGTACTTTATCACTGCTTTAAGGCAACTGGATGAAATTACAGGAGAGAACAGAGAGTGTGGGCCATCTATGCAGACAATGCGCATAACCTCATTTACCGGCCTGTTGCAACAGTCGATAGGCGCTGTGCCCTCCGCTGCATTTGGCAATTATTCGGTATTCATCCCGACGATGATTACTCAAGAAGGACCCGGATTTAAACTGAAATGCGCCTTTGCAGGAAGTTTGTACCGATTATCTCTTGGTGGAACCTGGTTTGGTTCATGTTACCTGCACAAAGCCGTATTAGGCGTTTTTGGTCCAGGCATGCATAATATAAGCCATACTATAGGGCTGCAAGGCTAGCCGCGCCGCACATCGAGATGCATACCATGGCACTATCAACTTATCATAGTGGCTGGCGTACGCATATGCAAACATGTCGTATCGAATGTTACAATGGCCAAACATATAGAATCTAACGGTTTGTTGAATATTGGGAGTAAGAATCTCTTTTAACGGCAGTAACCGATCTTAGGCCATCTGGCGATTTAGTTTGCTTCAAGACCGAAACAATGATCGGTATAATGACTAGTAAGAGATTACCGATCTACTTTCGTTATTGAAGACTATGCGTTAGAAGTGGGACGAAAGCGAATTCAGTTTAGTCAATCAGAGACTTTACCGGTAATAAGGGATGTCAAAATACCAGCTTTATTAGCGAATTACCCTCGCTCTGGTTGTGTAATATACACTGATATTGTCCAATTCGCCGTGAGAGTATAAGAAGCAAATCTGCGGACAAAAGATGCCATATCAAACCGGATTACCCAGTTATCATAAAGATGGATGGCATACACGCTCTTGGTAGTTTTTCTTGGGGTATTGAGCCTTAAGATACAATAACCACAGGGGACCAACTCACCCTAAAGTACTTGTAGCCTACCTGTAAACTCAGCCAGAAAGTGGCGATACTTGTATCCACGTCGAATTCATTACCTGACATTCAAAACGTAACTCTTATTTGGTGAAGCAGGAAAGAATCGGCCATGAAACCAAAACATTCAATCTAGTAAATAGTATCTAGAGTTACCAGGCTATAGAATATCCGCGAATGCTCTTTGCCTGATACTATAAAATCCATGGCCTGGGTGCCATGCACTGATAAAGACTCGGGTAGTATACAAGCTTGAACAAAAAAAACACAGTCACATGTATCTTGAACGGTTTAGGAAGGGACTCATTTTTACGCTACGTGTTCTAGAATTTTTTTTCAAATTTTCCTCGAAAGGAATACCCCTACATCTCAATCACGTGCTCTGGAGTGGCCTTACATTTCGGCGTTCGTAACAAGTGAGATTTTCGTGCTCGAAAAGATTTTACTGCGGTGCCAGAAGGACATTTTGAGAGTGCGATTTAGATATCTTCCCTTTTGGGAAGCTAGTCATGGTGAAAAACTTTCATGCCGGTCTCCACGTTGAGAGCGCCCACTGCCACTACCAACCTTTGGCATACGGCCGGGTGACAAGGTAGTGCAGTACTACCGACCACCAGTCAGTGAGTGGACACAGGCAGTAGAATAGTGAGGGCGTAGGGTGGCATTGGTGGGAAAATCTGGTTAAAAAATTTGAAAAGTAGCTATTTTACTGTTAGTACACACTAATTTAGCTGTTCCAGTAAACTCAAATCAATCACAATGGGTATGTCATCCACAATGGTCCATTTGAAGAGGTTGAGAGATATTATTGATAGCTTGGGCTTCCGTGTCGCTTTATTCCAGTCCGAAGTCCTTCCTGTGCGATGAAAACTGAAAGCACCCAGACACTCTACCAAAACACATATCGCTGAACCCATCGGTATCCTTTGATAGATTACACCCCGAACAAAGACTAGGAAACCTCTACATTACGGGTTACCTTTGAATCCGAATGCCACATTCAAAACAGAATACCATGCGGGAAAGTTAGAAAAGGGCTTTCACCGTCCCCCAGATCAAACGTTTGAAGCTTCTCCCAGGATCACCAGGTAGCCTGACCGATACGGACTATCAATAACTCTCAACTGCTCATCTCCCCTCCAAATCAAATACTAACGCCTATGTAGTTAACGTTCCAAAGACCAGAAAGACCTACTGTAAGGGTAAGGCTTGTCGCAAGCACACCCAGCACAAAGTTACTCAATACAAGGCTGGTAAGGCTTCCTTGTTCGCCCAAGGTAAGAGAAGATATGACCGTAAGCAATCTGGTTTCGGTGGTCAGACCAAGCCAGTTTTCCACAAGAAGGCTAAGACTACCAAGAAGGTTGTCTTGAGATTGGAATGTGTTGTCTGCAAGACCAAGGCTCAATTGTCCTTGAAGAGATGTAAGCACTTTGAGTTGGGTGGTGACAAGAAGCAAAAGGGTCAAGCTTTGCAGTTTTAAGCATGCTGTTTCAATTTTTTTACGCCCGTTATTCGGCGGGTGTTTCTCTCATCTTATCTTTCGTTCCTTTTTATCTGATTAGGTACTGATTTTATGTGTAATTATTGTGTGTTTAGATTAGCAAAACATTACTTCAACGTTTTTTAAAGTTGTACTCCACTTGTAGCAACGCAATTATACCACAGCGTGCAACCAAACACTATGAGAACGAAGTGCCCAGTTTAAGCAGACTTTGAAGCATGCTGTAGTATACCAGTAAATGGCTCAAGAGGTTGTACAGTGTGTTCAGGCTTTTGTTCAGACCCAGTTAGACCATTTACTTAACGACGTTTATGTCGATGGCGGGCTAGTCTAGGCCTCTACCTGTTCCACGTGGCTATAAGTGCATCTACCGATCATTCCACGTGATCGTGCCTGGTGCTACTGAGGCGTCTCGCTCTCAGAAGGATGAGTATTGGATAGCGTGTTTGATTAGCTTCAAATACCCCTCGAATATAAACGAGGGGCCTGACGCGATCCTTTTATTTCTTTGCGTATCTAAGGGATCATCTGCAATTGGTTACTCTGTTCAGTTGGTTCTCTGCTTTTATATCCGCTCTCCAACCCATTTTGTCCTGTAGTGGACGTCGCACTTGGTTTCTCCTCCGTCTACGTTGCAATAAGAGTGATCTCGAATCTTGGTCTTCTCAAGCGAGATACGGAATACCCTTGAATCTACCTCCTTCCTACTTCAATATAAAGCCATGGGTTTCGCTCCCGATGGTACTGCCCAGTATTATCAGCAACAACAAGAGCAGTTATACTATCAGCAACAAGCGCAACAACAACAACAACAGCAACAGGCTATAAATGTTCCCCTTACCCATCCGCAACAGATTTATAACAGTACTGTTGGCTCCCCTAGTTTTACTTCCTCGTTACAGGGCGGTGCGATCCCGCAGTTATCGTCGTCGCCGTTTACCCAGCAACAACAGCTTTATCAGCAACATCAATACATGCCACCACCCTCCCCTACCAAGTCTTTTAATAACTTGTACCAGGTGAACTCAAATACCAGCCAAGCATCTTTGAATCACGTTGGTAACTTCCAGGCCCCAATGCAGACCAATTTCTCAAACTTGTATTCGCAAGGTTCAAACAGTTCTTCTTCCAACGTGAATATGGGTAACAGTCAGATGTATCAGCAGAGTGCAGATCAACATGCGTACCAACAGCAACTTTTGCAACAACAGCAGGACCAACAAGCACAGCTTCAGGCTCAGCAGATTCAGTTGCAACAGCAACAGGCCCAGCAGTTAGCTCAGCAACAGGCTCAGCAACAAGCTCAGCAACAGGCTCAGCAACAAGCTCAGCAACAGGCTCAGCAACAGGCTCAGCAACATGCCCAACAAGCAGCATCCACCGACAGTGACTATGTATACTTTGAAAGAAAGCCTGAATCTTTGAGCAAAGCCACTCAAGAGAAGGCCTCTGCCGTGAAGTTGAGATTGGAAAATTTCTACCAGATGAGCGTCAGCCATGCGATCGAAAGAAACCAGCGTAGAATCGACTTGGAGCACAAGTTGATGAACGAAGATGGTTCCGACGAAAAGAAAAACCGTCAATTGCAAAGCTTGGGCCGCAAGGAATCGCAGTTCTTGAGATTGAGAAGAACCAAATTGTCCTTAGAGGACTTCCAAACCGTTAAGGTTATTGGTAAAGGTGCTTTTGGTGAGGTTAGATTGGTCCAGAAGAGAGATACCGGTAACATCTACGCCATGAAGACACTATTGAAGTCTGAAATGTACAAAAAGGATCAGCTAGCCCACGTCAAAGCTGAAAGAGATGTACTCGCAGGCTCGGACTCGCCGTGGGTGGTTTCGTTATACTACTCGTTCCAGGATGCCCAGTACTTGTATCTTATCATGGAGTTTTTGCCCGGTGGAGACTTGATGACCATGTTGATCAGATGGGAAGTTTTCACTGAAGATATTACCAGATTCTACATGGCGGAGTGTGTATTGGCGATCGAAGCGATCCACAAGTTGGGCTACATCCACAGAGATATTAAGCCAGATAACATCTTGATTGACATCAGAGGGCACATTAAGTTGTCCGATTTTGGTTTGTCTACTGGCTTCCACAAGACGCACGATTCCAACTACTACAAGAAGTTATTAGACAACAAAGATGCCCCTCCTTCGAACCCTCTGCAGCCACAGAACGGTGCTAACGGCTCCAGAAACTCCATGATGGTGGATGCAATTCACATGACCCTCTCCAACAGACAACAAATCCAAACTTGGAGAAAGTCTAGACGGCTAATGGCATACTCCACAGTAGGTACTCCGGACTACATCGCCCCGGAAATCTTTATCCACCAAGGTTACGGCCAAGAGTGTGATTGGTGGTCGTTGGGTGCTATTATGTTTGAATGTTTGGTTGGCTGGCCGCCATTTTGTTCTGCTACTCCACATGAGACCTACAGAAAGATTTTGAACTGGCAGGAGACCTTGCAGATCCCTGATGATGTCGCGCTCTCCCCCGACTCGGAAGATTTGATTAGACGCTTATTGACGTCTTCGGACATGAGATTGGGTAGACACGGCGGGGCAGACGAAATCAAGGCCCACCCCTTCTTCAGAGGCGTCGACTGGGACACTATCAGAAGAGTTGATGCTCCGTTCATTCCAAAATTGAAGTCCATTACTGACACTAGATTCTTCCCCACTGATGAGTTGGAGAACGTGCCAGATGCCCCAGCGTTGGTGCAAGCCAACCAGCAAAGCGAACAGGGAGCAGCGGGTGCTAATACCAAGGAGGACTTGCCGTTTATTGGTTACACATATTCTCGCTTCGATTATTTGACCCGAAAGAATGCTTTGTGATGAGCTACTGCTGCCCCTTCTCCCTTTTTATCTGCCACAGTATTCTTTTCATTTCCTTTTATAAAAATACAATTTATGTAAAGCGCTCAGCCTAAAGTAACCAAGCTTTGACTTCGGCACCTTATACAGAATTCAACGAATCTGAATTCAACGAGAACCTGCTCGTTTCAGGTTTACTAAAATCATAATAATTGTCACACACAGCTTCGCCAAACTTCACCGTCTCACCGATCAGTTCATCGAAGTAAGACTGAACCTCAAAGTAAATTTCGTTCAAAATGAGAACCTTCAACTTGGGAAGTTTGTCGACAAAGTACTCCACGTCGTGCCTCAACTCATGGACGAGCATAGTGATAATGAGCCTTAGATCGTTCTTTTTGCAGTAGCATTTCGGGTGCTTGTAAGGGAACATTTGCTCTACCTCGTGGTGCCTGAAGATGTTGTGAAGAGTAATTACATCACCGTTACTGGCCTTGGAGGTATAGCTCTTAGAGTACGCGTGGGGAGTGTAATCTGTGTATTCATTGTACGAGCCGGTAAAATCAGGGTGATGGTTTTTGTGGAAATCCGAAGCTTTGATCACGCTCAATATGATACTGAAATGGTCAAAAATCCTTTCAGCAAAATCAACAATTTGGTTTCTACCGTAGAGCGACACCTCGATCGTTTCATCGTGTCGGGTCAACAAGTTTAACTTCAACTTTGTTAACTGACAGTGATAGCAATCACAGCTGGAGAAAAATAGGTTGGCGGATGCCCGATTTTGGACCATTGATTTCCTATTCCAGATATGGAATGTTTCAAAATAATCAGGGATAACGAGTTTCTCTAGATTCAAACAAGATTTGGTAATTGAGGAGAGTAATGAATGGTCCAATAAGAAATACGGGATGTTTCTCGAAATGCTGTGAATGGGGTATAGTTCGGACTTCAAATTGAGGTACAAGTACTTGAGGTTTGAACAAATCGACGGCTGGAAAATGCTGATCAAAGACTCTTTAAAGGTAGCCAACCCCGTTGTATTGTACACCACGTTGTCACAAACCTTCATGACAGCCAATCGCTCTAACTTGTTGGGATCTTTGGTTAGGGCTACTCCTAAATCTTTGAAGAACGATTCAATGCATAAGCACTCAGGATTCTCGTCGAATTCCTCTCGCTTGTAGCAATGGTTGCATCCGATTCTAAGCTCTAACTCCTGCAATTCGGGCACATCAATCATGGTATCTAGAAGAGAGAAATCGAGTGACATTTCCTTTTCAGCCTCGTAGTGGAAAATGTCCTCCAAGAAAGAAGTTTTGAGGCATCTTGAATTTCCATGAACGTGAGAGATGGCAAATGCGTCTAACCACAATTTTTGGGTATCCCCTGCGGCAACCATACTAGCGAGCTTCTCAAAAACCTTTAAGCCCAACTTGTGCATGGAAAGAATCGATAGTTTCCTAATTTGTTGCTGTAATATCTTGAGGAAACTAGGGGGGATCGGAAACTCAATCATCTCTGTGGAGTTGTACAAAATCATCAACTCCTTCAATTGGGGTGGCCACATGGGCTTGTTTATGAATCGGTGGTGTCCAAAGCTCTGGATGAACTTAGTTTCGTGGTTCGTAGCGCATAAGCTAACACCGCCTGAAACGGACGAATGGACCAAGCCTCTCCCCAAACTATCCCCGCCTGGGTGACAGACCAAATCGAAAATGTGGGCCAAGCTATCGACTGATATGAACTGGATTTTGCTGAAAATTTGTAGTTTTCGGTAGCCGGAATGGTACTCATTTGTGAAGCAAGTTTTGAAATTGAACATGAGGAACTGAAAGTCCGTGGTGTAGATAAACTTAATCTTCAGAAACAACCGTCTATTCTCCTTCAATGACCGAAGTAGTCTATGGGCCTGCGTTTCAGATTCTGCAAACGAATACAGGTCATGTCCATATGATAATAAAACGGTGGTCCATTTCTGGCGCAAGTGCTCGTGCCTGTCCCTATCGTGGTATACCTCATAGCGTGAGCTGCTCTGGCCTCTTTGGGTGGGGATTCGGCGGTTCAACTCAATGAAGTAGAGGTGACGGTAGAGCTTGTTGGTGGCGACTTGGTTGAGATTTTTACATGTAAGCGATAACTGGCACACCTCTCGCTGGCGGCAGCAGTCCACAATATAGGTTATAATGTGTTCTGGTAAGTCTAAGAACAAAGTCTTCCGTTCCGTTACCCTAGCATCCTGCTTCTGTCGTCTATTGGAGATACCCATGAGGGATAGATAATTAATAGTTGTTAGTTATTGGATAGAGGAATTGGATCGGAGAGCACGTAACAAATGCTCTTTCCGAGTAAAGGATCCCATTCAATGCCGGTCTGTAGTGCATTCGTTGCAAATTTCAACCTAAGTGGAGCCTGGGGCATGCATTGCTACAGGCGGTCTATATGCACTAATAATAGATTGTCCCCGTGTGGGGACATTAATTTTCAGAGCCCTGGCTGGCTTCGATGGAATACACATCCCTCTCCGATATCCACATACAACCATTTTACTTTGATTAAAAATGAAGTATTCCTTCTTATAGAATGCTTAAAGAAGAGAAATTTTTGTTCAATCGTAGTGTAGAAATTGGCGAGTAAGGATGTGAATGAATGGGTTACATTTTCCTCCCGTCTCGCTAGCACACCCTAAGCCTTGCCAAAAATGGATAAAAGGATCGAGCCCAGTATAAGCAGATAGAGTCTACGGCTTTTGACCAGAATAACCAAAAATTAATATGCGTTGTTTCTCTGTGGATAAAATATTCAACAGTTTCTAGTACTCTGAGTCCTGCTCCCGCTCCCGTTTGGTGACATACAAAGCTTCACTTAATCGATGACATGCGATGGGACTAACCTCTTGGTTATATCCTAACACCTATGCTGACCTACCTTGCCTAAATAATCATTCTAACCCATACTCTCTCCTGGATTGAATGCTACTCATTACAAACCAAATTAGGCCAAAGGGTTTCAGCTACGTGCACGATGAAGTGTAAAAGAGTCGGCGATTTTGGGACCTGTTATAGGAGGATTCTTAGCTTACTCCCACTCTCTATCTCTTCCGGTAATAACTACACATATATTAACTTCTACGCGCTCCTTTTGCTTTCATTTAAAGGTAATTCTTAATATAATGTGAAATATCAACACACGGCAAATACTAGCAATAAACGTTTGTGTTGAAATCTCCTAACATCGAAACCTCAACTCTCATCGTCTTCCTCCTAGTGCCATACACAACTCCCCCAGATCTCTCAAAAATTCCCCTTACCTAAGTTTGAGTCGCCATACTCGTTCACCAACTACTGCACTCCTAAAAACCACTCCCGTTCTCATCTTTTGAACAACATTTAATTTTGACGTCATATACACGGCGAAGCGCCATTTGGTCACAAAGCTTAGATCGCGTAAGTATCACCCCTCCGTCATCAGATATGAACCTCTAAGGTCGTTGCAGTTCAACCTGCCTCTCAAGCTTACTCAATCCCTACTTGCGCCCACAACTGCAAATGCCATCTCTTGCAACCCCCGCTGCACCGGCCCCATCTCCTCCATAAACACCACAATGTCATCCCGCTGCGCGATTCTGTGCATCCCGGCAACAAAGTTAACCGTCAACGCAACCAACAACCCCACACATACGATAATCGGACCAAGCGGCCCGTCCAAATGCTTTGACCCGCGCTCCTTGATCCACGTCAAGCGCTTGTTGTAAATCAGCCAGCCCCAGTACATGGAGAACAAAGTCAAGCCAAGGTACCCATACGCCAATCCGATGGCCAACTCGGGGTAGTTCGCGCTCTTGACGGAATTGTAGATCATAAACGTCAACGCGGAGAACATCGCAGAAATATGAAGCCAGTGGTTAAGGGTCCGCTCGTTGGCCAACCACACCTTCGGCTCGATCTTCAACGGTCCCAAGTTCTTGATCCACTGGGTAGGAGTCTTGACACCCGATGGAAGCACAACCTCCTCATCTTCTGAATCCACGTCCAACTTGTTCGCGCGCACGTACTCGTGCACGTACGGCCGGCTCTGCGACATTGACTTGCGCGGCACGAGCAATGGGTTACCATTAAGGTGCTGCAGCGCGCCCGGGGAGCCATTCCTCTCAACCGGGTCGCTCTCATCGTAATCATCATCGGATGAGAAGTCCGAGTAGTCGTCGTGGTATGCAGACGCGTACGCCTCCGCCTTCGGGCGCAATGGTAACGTCAAGCTGATGTCATTCGCGGCGGCACGTGCGGCTCCCGGCGCAGGAGACTCAGCAACGACATCCAAGTCTGTAATCCAGTACGGGAGACTGTCCAAGCGGTCGTCTTCAGTGAACAACGCAGCAATACCCTGCACAAATTTGCTAAAGTTGGGCACCTGTCTGACCAAATGACTGTCGAGCAACTCGGCGATCCACTTGGCGCGGTGCTTGGTCTGGCGGACCTGGATCTCCATCAAGGCGTACGGGAAGCGTGTGGACTCGTTCTTGCGCAACAACTGGTACGGATTGGAGATGCGTGAATCAATGTCCGTACGGTGCCACGACGTGGGGTCACGGATCGGGCGCTCCTCGTCGAACGAGTCCTCGCGGATGAAGATGATGTCGGAGTCTATCAACACACGTACCTTGTCGTCGCCTGGGATCTGAAACGCGGTTCTCTTGTACACCGATCTCAACACCGGCTGGAGATCGTTTTCGTGGATTAAGTCCTTCAATTCATTCACTGTGCTCACAAACTGGTCAACCGTCGCTTGAGGGTCACCTCGCTTCTTCATCTTCGCGGCTAGTTTCTGTGTAGGAAATTCGGTCTTGATCACCAAGTCGTTCAAGTACTTCTCCTTGACCTGGAGTTTAGTGTCGACCAACTCGTGGTTGTCGTCCATAATCTTCTTTTCCAAGTAGATGTCCGGCTTCTCCATTAACTTGCCCGTCCAACGCACACGCAAGGTCTTGGACGTATTCTCCTTAATCAACAGATCGTTGTAGAGGTCAAAGCTGTTATTATCGAGATACAACGTGGTGATGGTTGGGTCGTTGTCGTCATCGTCGACATCGTCGTTCAAGTTGTCATACACAAGCACTGGGAGGTGGCGCAATAGCGTGGTCTTGACCTCCATCAAGTTGTCAGGGTGCACCCAGAATTTGAGCGACTGGTAGTTCATGTCCTCGTCATCCTTGAAGGACGACATCTTCAGAAGATTCTCATTCACCGTGTAGTTCTCACGGAGGAAGTTGTACAACCCAGAAAGGCGGTACAAGAGCGGCAGGTAATCCTCCAGGTGGAACGGCAACTCCTTCAAGCGAACGTTCAACACCGGCTGCACCGAATAGGTCGGGTGGAGACGGTCATGTTTGCGCACAATCTTGACAAACCCCGTGAAGTTGACACGCGCGAACTTGTCCAAGCTGCGCGCCTGGAACAACGCCTCCTCAACCGCGGCCGTGAACGGCGCTACGTCAAACGTGCCCGCGGCGCCGTGCGCCTGTGCCTCCAACGCGCTGATCTGTGCATTAACGAGCTCGTAGTGCGCCTTTTGGAACGAGTACACTTTCTCGAGCTCGCCATCGAGCGCTTTCACGAACGCGCTCTCGTCCGCTTCTGTCCACTCGCTCCGCGGCACGATGTTCTCCTTCAACAACCGTTTGAGGTGCTCATAGTTCATGTAGTGCTCCTTCCATGGCGGGTAGATTTCGTTTGCCAACTTGACCCCAAAAATCATGGTAATATTAAGGTCTGAAAAGGTTGACTGGGAAGGGTGGTAAGAAAAGCAGGCAAAAAGCGCGAACCGTTGTCTTATAAGTCGGGGGTGATTAGATTATTAACTGCATGGTCGTATTTGCTATAAACATTGAATGCAGGACCCCCGTGCGCCCACGTGTGCGAGAGGTTTCGTTGGCAAAGCTCCCTGACCGTGCTACGTATCAATTGCAAGTAGTCTTTTTTCACTATATATTACTATTTTCGGATGTTCTTATACCATACCACTCATGCTCCAGTTTATTATGTACCCTGAGTAGACCCCAGCGTTTGTACAGTGGTGTATCCCCATTTTATATTGGTCCTGCGTTAGCTCACACGAGCATAATTGTCGCACGTGGCTGGGTACCAGGACGGCAGGAGACCTAATGCCCCTATCTGTATAAGCTTTACTTCGCGCAGGGATGCAGTCCAACGTGGTGGGTGACTCTGGGTGATGTGATTGGGGAATGCGCCCACTACTGACTATTAATATGGCCCCATACATGCAATGCAGAATTAAATGATCCCAGAAAAAGGGACTCGGAAATCTGATCCTGCTAGACCTTTTAGCTAACCTGCTTGGTTTATAGGTATAAGTTCAAGGGCTTCTACCCTGTCTGGGCAATCCAACCGACGGAGAAGATCCAATTGCATCTTTTAGCGGGAACTTAGAACAGAAGTCCACCAAAACCGTGCTGGTAAACGAACAGTTTGCCTTTACCTCCGGTGCGAAGTAAATTCAAGGCTATTTCAGGTAATTGATTCCAGCTATGCATTTAGTGTTGAAACTTTAACCGTGCTGTTTGTATAGAATCTGGCCCCGTATACCTCTCTGGAGAACAAAAAGTTGGGGGTCGTGTGTTTAACAGGCTCCTCCATGCCCTTGCAAGACCAGCGAGATGCCACCCGGCTCGCCTCCTCACGGTTGACGCACTGTGCTGGATTGCTCCCCTCCAGTGGTACCGCCGTTCGCTGCCGAAGGCCGCTAAGGTTGGCTACCCAAACCCGCAGAAATTCTCCGAAAAGACCTTCTACCGCAAGGATCGAACCGGACATCGTCCAAAACTGTAACAGGAACACGCTCCCCGAAGGGATTGAAAAGCTAACAGCGTTAACACTTCCGCCACGGGCCATCACAGCAAAAATTATGGAAAATAAGTTTACCAAGTCTAGGGTTTTACTGCGCGCTTAAAAAAAAAAACAGCCTTGAACACTTTCTATATACTATCACAGAGCTTTACTATAAGCACGGACACTGTTATTAGAAAATATTGCCACACTCATGGATAAATATTCTACCCATTAGAAATCTTATCCAAACTCGATATAATTGTATATTAGGGATGAAGCTGGTAACAGAACCGGTGGTTCAATTTATAATAGGATATGCCAGTCTGCTTGGCAAGTAGGGTTCTATATATCCTGTTCAGCTTGTAAGAGCTCCATCTCACTGTCTGGATCCCTTTAGGCTCGATTTAAGCCTTGTTTGAAGCTATACTGCTTACGTGGTCTGCACATGACGCCAATAAGCTACAATTTTCCGGACGTATTCACCTTTTTGTGACAGGTAGATGTACCAGTGTCTTCTCTCCTGTCTACGCATTATGATCTAAAAGCTTGGATTGCAGCTAACGTTATCCTTGGTCAGGAATATTTATAGATATGCTATAGAAGCAAAGGAGGTACAAAACTCAATAAGGAAGCAAATCAGCTCTATGAAAAGGCCCTACGTTTCGAAGCCGGTCATAATCCTTACCAGAAGTAGTATTCTACTCATTTTGAAGTAACTCGCCCTGTAAGACCTCCAACGCCATTTTGTTGCGTAAATTCTGCATGTCCGACTGCTTGAAGGTAAGTTTAGCCCCCCGGGAGAGGTATTCAACATTTGTGCACGTGAAAACACCGCAGTCGTAGCCGTTCTCTTGTCTCGGAGCGGGCACGTCTGCATCCATTTCGTACTCGGTGTAGTCAATACCAGTAACACCCAATCTCTTCGATTCGTCTGTCATATAATCACATAGTCTGTTCAATGCATCCATGGAGGACAACCCCCGCATTGAATCGTAGTACTGAAATCGGCGCTCCTTATTATTGATCACAGCTAGGGCCCAATGCGCGTTCTGAATGTTCATGGGAACAAACACGTAGTCCATCTTCGTCACATCAACCTTCTTGCGCTTGGCCCATCTGGCAACACCGGCGTGACCCTTGGCCTTCAATGTGGAGAAAAAATGGGTAGTAAAGGCAAAGCTCTTTGGTAATTTGGAGCCCTTCTTCATACAACGATCTGTGAGAAGCGACAAGTAGAAATCAATAACGGTATCGTTAAGCCATTTGCCGTTTCTGAGGGTCTTCAAGTCTCTGGCAGTAACATCAAGGTTAAACTTACTCAGAATTGTGACGCTGTCGTTTGCACAAGTCCAGTATTTGCCAATTCGGCGTAGCTCGTCGTCCGAAAGCGGTTTGATATCTGAAACATCACGGACAATTTCAGAGATCCTTTCAGCACGAAGCTTATTTTCTTTCTCAAGTTCGTCATACTTCTCAAGAACAATTACATCCGAGGGTAGCGACGGCTCCTCGAATTGCGATGGAATTGGTTGTTTGTAGTTCACATTGGCTGTAGCACTAGACGCCGGTGCAGCCGCTTTAGACTCTGGCCACATGGCTTTCACTCTTTCGGCAGGGCTCTCCAGTGATTCAGCAAGAATAGGTATCAGTAAAACCAGTAAGAGGCCCCCCACAGTGTCAGTAACCAACTTTTCCGAGGAATGGTAAACTTCTGTTCCAGAACGCACACGTATATCCACATCGCTATCCTGGGGGCTGGTCTTTTGTTCGGAAGGGAAGCTTTGTCCGTACTGGGATAGAACAACAACATCCTCAATTCTGTATTGCACAGGGTCAGGCTTTTTTTCAGTGGCATCCACCACAGACAGCACCCCGATGTCATCGCCATTCCCGCGGGCCGCAATCTTTTCAATCGGTCTAGCAACACCCCGCGGTTTACCTTTCACCTTTTCAATGGCTTCAATTCTCATCGTATCAGCTACCTCCTCTCCGCTATCGCTCTGGCCTTTCCCAAAGATGATAGCACGAATTTCTCTCAAAGTGGGCCATTTAATATGCCACTTACTGGCATTAGCCAGTCGGTCTGTGAGGGACATGGACGGGAAGTGAGCCGTAGTTTGTGGAGTTATGAGTGTCTCCTGATAGCTTTGGCGCTGATTCAGAGCTAGAGAGTAGATCTTCAGCGCTCCCAAGTTGCTGTAAGTCTCGGGAGCACAATTGTGGGGCGTGTATCGTAAGGGGGTGTCTAAGAGGCGTCTCTTCGTGGGTGGAGCGGCAGATGGAAATATAGACCGGGAGATATTGTCCCCAGAATAGACCATGGTATCAACTCGGAGTTAGATCTAACTATAAGCTTCAATCAGAGCTTGCCAGTTTTAATGTATTAATATGGATCCCAAATGGTGTTTTAAAAAAACTGTAATATTCCCGGTGCCGGCACGAACGGTGCGGCAAAAACGCGTCTCACGAAAACACACTCAATCTTTCTTCGGTTATTGTTTATCGATGTCTGAAAAGAAAGACGTCACCAGCTTGCTCCAGTCCATTGAAGACGACTACAGACACGATCTTGCGATCCACTTGTACTCCACGTACTTGCTCCACCTCAAGGACCCGTTTTTTCCCAGGCGCGGATGGAGTGGCTGGCCCTTGACATACACCGATGTTCCAGATCCCAAGTCCACAGAGATCTACATTAACGAGGCAAACCCATTCAATGATGCTCTTGAGAGGCCATCTGCGAGCCAGTCTATGCGCGCCTCCCTTGAGCCCTCTCTTCCTGAAACCACGCCGGACGACGACGTAATGTATCGCTATTACAGAAACAAGAAAATGTATCTCCAGGAGGAGCTCACAGATCCACAGGAGGACCTTAGACTTGAGCTTCGGGCGCTCTTGGCGCGAAAACTCAACGAAAAAGCGAACAACGTGATCAACCAAAGAAAAAAGGCGGTCGCGATGTACAAACCGAAACCCGGCGAGCCTCCCCTCAAGCAGGCCGTCACTCGGGACTTGTTCTTGCACCAGTATCCGAAGCTAGCATTGCAGCGGATCATAGACTTTCCAGAGGAGGCTGGGACAGATGGTATACCACGTGAGTTGGTGGATCGTTTACAGGGGAAGATCGACGGGTTAGTGAAGAGCTTGCTTGACGTGCGATCGTTTGCGCTGAACGCGATAAATGAGGACACCAAAACGAAGATTGATGGTTCTTCCCAGACCTATCGGCTCATGGACTGGAAGGATGTGATGATGCAGACGCCGCAGGCACAAGCGATAGACCGGTGTTGCCGACTCTTTGACGACCGAAAGCAAGCGGCGAAGGTGGAGTATGAAGGAAGTGGGAGCGAGGAGGAGCCCCTGCCAAACTACACGGATGAATACGCTGCAAAAATTCGCAAGCGGGTGGCCAAGGACGCAAAGGTGAGACAGTACAAGTTGGAGATGTTGTTGCGAAAACAAGATTTACTCGAGCAGAAGAAGATGTTGGTGGGCAAGGCCATGGGTAGCTACGCCCCGACCACCACCCAGGAGGTCTTACAGGCCAAGGATTATGTGTATACTATTGGGAAGAAGTAGAAAAATCATTAAAACGGTAAATTTTATTTTGGAGAAATAGCAGCCGGAACTTAGGGTATAAAAAGAGCGTCAATAGTGGTCACTTGGCTAAGATGATACGTATACTAGCTGAAAATATAGCAGACAGGGGCTGTAGAGCCATGAATCTCAAAGAGAGTAAACAAAATAGCGAGCATGTTCAAACCACAATTGATCAAACATGGACAAACCTAACGAGGAAGAAATTGGTGTGCACACAAGTAGATGACTTGGAAACAAATATCCAGGAAGCCAAACTGCGTAAAAACAAATTGCATACAGATAGACAACAGGGAGGGTCCTGATGGCTAACAAATGGATTATAAAGTACACGAGGAAACCAATCGGTACCTAAGTCGACAGAAAGAATCGTATTAATTTAATCCTAAGACAGGCTAATCACATATAGGAAGGTCCGAAATAGAAGGAGGGTATGCGTTAAAGTGATGTGGAGTACAGGGGATAATATCAAAGTAAATGAGGCATCAAGGCTTGGCAAAAAAAAGTCCAGTTCACAACCAATAATATATATTCAAATTGCACAGACAATTGTTTGTGTAATTCCCTTAACAAACATCTTCAACCACCAGGACCTTCCCATCATTATCGCCGAGGTCCAACTTCAACTTTCTCTCGAAGAGCTCAAATAACCATGACATACACGCGTCGGTGATGGCACTGTCAAATCTACCCTTAGAGGATTCGTCTCTGATAAACGCGTGTTGGGCATCGTTCACCTCTAACCAGGTCAAGGCAACGTCCTTCTCCATCATCTGGCTTCGGATCAAGGTGCGACCCTCTGGTGGCACGTGGTTATCCTTAGTCCCAAAAATCATGATCACCTCGCCCTTGATATCTCCACAGCGGGCCAAAGAGTCGTCGTTCATGTTCAAGCCGAGCGTCTTGGAGTGGATATCGGTGGCAAAGAAGCATACGGTCGCGGTAACCTCTGGGAGGAACGCGGTACGGTAAGCCAAATGGCCACCCAAACACATCCCGGTAGTCCCGATCTTGCCGGTACAGGTATCCAAGGTTTTCAAGTAGTCTATCGCTAATCTGGCGTCTTCATCGTACGATTCCAACGGCTTTTCGATTTTATACTTGTTGCCAATATCGGTCCCCGGGCCGTCGTACGGTAACGCCTGGTGGTCCATGAAATTGTGGTAGCTGGAGGGACACACGACAATGTACCCACGCGAGGCTATCTTTCTCGCAAACCGCGCCACAGGACCAGTCACCTGGTAGATTTCGGACCACACCACTACGGCCGGAAACTTGGCTTTAGGGTAGTTGGGAATACGGGGATGGAACACCAAGAGACGCATAGTCGTCCCGACAGAGGTCTTCACATCGTGGTAGGTGTCGGTAATAAGCATTGAGGGATGTGATTGGGGTTAAGAAAAGAGATCATGTCTGTACGCTTGCTTTCGTGTAAATTCTTATCTGATGGCACAATCCTCCAGAGACCGGGGAAGTTTCACCACGGATACTCATAACCTCACAGTGCAGGATTCAGTACTTGGTCTCGTGTTACGATTGACGTATCAGACGTTCTGTCGTTATATTTATGTAAAGACTAACTTTACAGACTACCAAGATAATCACGCTAGATATCGCTATGCCTGAATGGAGACGCTCCAGACGAGGCTCTGTGGTGGAACGAATTGCCATGGGAGTTATTCCTTCTGTTGTGGACGCGCCAGTCGAGGAGCACGCTCGCAGAAGATCCAAATCCATGTCGGCGCACTTTTCTGCCCTGACCCTTAGTGACCATGACTACCCGTTCTCAGAAAAAGAGAGAAGTGAGTTGTGGGCACATATCGTGCGATCATACGACTGCGACATCGTGCTCGATCCTCAATTCCACATTAGGGCATTGGAAGCGCAAAACATCAAATTCACGAATTTTCAGAAAAACGCCGAGGCAGAGGCCGCCAACTGCGATAAACTCATTTCCCAGACACGAAGCATTGTAGCTTCCTTGAAGGAGTTAACTGCTAAGTACGACAACGTGGCGCAGGAAACCCACCAGTTCCAGACATCGGCACAGAAGTTGATCGATGACCACAACTCTTTGATGCTGGTCTACAACGAAATCAAGGCCAACTTGCTGCAATTCGAATCTCTCGATGAGATCACCAAGACGCTCAACAACCCCAACGGGGGGAACCTTGTGAAGAAGCGCTCCTTCAGAGACACGTTGCTCAAGCTTGACGAGTGCTTGCTGTTTGTGGAAGCGAATCTGGACTACAAGGAGGTGGAGCTCTACCAGGTTCGTTTCCGACAGTGCATGACAAGGGCGTTGACGATCATCCGAAGCTACATTCTCCAGGAGTTCAAGGGCGTGGAGACGGAGATCTCGCAGCGGATCAAGGACATCTCAGTGAAGGACAAGTCCTTAAACAACGTCACCATTGACGCGTTTCTCTACACCAAGTTTGGCGAAAGAGCCACATCGTATGCCGAGTTGCTTGCCGAGATCAGCAAGCGCGTCGAGAAGCACCCGGAGTACACGGGGTTGCTCCAGGAATGCGTCGACCAGTACATCCGCATCCGCTTCAACCTTCTCCACCCCATCATGTGGGACCATTTAGACCACTCTATTGTGAAGCAGAAAACGCTCGTGCAGTTTGCCCAGGACAACATTTCCTTCTTCACTACCTTGATCAACAAAGAGTTTGACCTCTTTCTGAAGTTTTTCCTTGAAGAAGCTGTGCCAGGTCTGCTAGTGCTGCACGCCCACGAAATCAACCTCTTTTCGCAGTGGGTCACTGCCAAATTGTGCGAGCCGTTGTACGACACGTTGCGGAACAAGATTATCCGCGAAAGCAGCATTAACAGTCTCTGCGAAATGGCCACGTTGCTCCTGAAGTACTACGAGTTTGAAGAAGGCGTTGACATGTACGAGTTCCTGCCGTCTCAAAGCGCCGATAAATTGGACTTTGGCGAGTTTTTCAAGCCGATTTTGGAGGACGTCCAGTCGCGGTTAGTCTTCCGCGTCCAGTGGTTTGTTGACGAGAAGATTCTCAAATACAAGCCGAAGTTTGAGGACTTGAAAATGTTGGGGCACAGACGAAAACGGAAGGCTACCAATTCAATTCCGCCTGATGAGGCGTTGAATTCATTGGCTGAGACCGATGCTTCATCTGTCAGCGCTCGTTCAAACCTGATTGCCGCTGGTGACGACGAATCCCTATTGCCCCCAGCCGAAGGAAAGGGCTTCAACGACTTATACCCGCCGCTTTCTCAGTCGATCCAGCTCTTGTCTCAGATCTACCAGTTGGTCAACTCTTCGATCTTTGACGACTTGGCGCACTACATTGTCCATTCATGCATGATTGTTTTGAAAACGGGCGCCTACGAGCTTGCCTTGAAGACGTTGGGGCCTATCGACTCCCAATTGTACCTCATGGCCAACTATCTCATCTTGCAGAAACTGATTTCCCAGTTCGAAATCGAGGTGATTAGAACCGAAACGACCATTGACTTTACCGGCTTTAGCAATATCATGAACTACGTCACCAGACGTGGGTCAAGCACCAACACTAACGACAAAAACTTCCTAGAGCTTGCCAAGGACTCTGTTCCCAAGGTGGTCAAAAATATGATTGATGCTCGGATGGAATTGACCATCGAGTTGCGAACCCTCGTGGACGATTTCACCAAGACATTCGTGGCAAACAAAATCATGTATGCCATTCAAGGCGATGTTAACTTGGCCACTTCAGTGGAGCAAATCCACAAGTTGAGAGACAACATTGACATCGAGTTGCCTAACTTGCGGAACGCGATGGTTCTTTTTATCCATGACACCCAGGTCATCGACTTTTTGGTGGACGGGATCCAGGAGGCTATCGTCTCGCAGTACGAAGTCTATTACAATGACTTGGTCCATCTTTACTCGACCCCGGGGTCCAACCTCGAGCCACGTCCCAACTTAGATGACGTGATGGAATTGGACACTTTGATGGGCTTCTTGGGCGAAGTTGTCGGCAAGATGTACCGCAGTCGGCAATCCTCTCTAGCCACGGCAGACATGTTGCCTGATGACGATAGTTTGTATAATGTCAGTGATTAGCTGATGCTAAATTGCCGTCAAAATGAAAATTAAATAGAACAACGGCCTAATTAGAGGTAGTATGCCACCCACAACTCTACTATCCTGTATGCAGCTTCTCTCATCGCAAAGCCGCACAGAATTTTTTTCTCGTGATTTTTCATAGTGGGCACTTGTAAAGGCTTTACACCTTGCGTATAGTCCACCCTTTGTAGCCACACCACACAAACACGCACCATGGAATTATTTAAGCCAGAAGGTTGGTCCATTGAAACCAAGGTTGAATTTGCCGGGTTAGGTCCAAAGAAAAGCAATAGAGAAAAGAGAAAGTCTCGTAAACACAGGCAGGATAACAAGATTACCGAAATCTTGACCGAAGCCGCCACCGCTCAGGCCGAGGAAGCACAGGCCCCAAACGCTGAAGATGCCAAGTCTGTTGTTGAACAGGCCGAAGCTGTCCAGGAAGATGAGACTGAAAAGAAGACCGCATCTAAGAAAGAGGCTACCGGGAAGGAACCAATCAAGAAGGAACCAATCAAGAAAGATCCTAAGGCCAAAAACAACAAGCGTAAGAACGATGACTCTGAGGCGCCAGCAAAGGTTGCTACTTTATCTGCTGCTCCTGTCACCAAGTTGACCCCTTTGCAACAGAAAATGATGGCCAAGCTTTCTGGCTCCAGATTCCGCTGGATCAACGAACAGTTGTACACCATCACCTCTGCTGATGCCCTCAAGCTTATTAAGGATCAGCCAATCCTCTTTGACGAATACCACCTGGGCTTTCGTTCTCAAGTTGCCCAGTGGCCGGAAAACCCAGTTGATGTGTTCGTGGAACAACTTAGATTGAGATCCGAAAGACCGGTGAACGCTCCAGGTGGCTTACCAGGTACGGGCAAGGACAAGCAAGTTATCATTGCTGATATGGGATGTGGTGAAGCCCAATTGTCCCTTGACGTTATCAACATGCTGAAGAACGGTGGTAAGACCAAGAAGGGTAAAGGCAACGACAAGAAGGCTTTTAGCAGAAAAATTAACTTCAAGGTTCACTCCTTCGATTTAAAGAAGGCCAACGAGAGAATCACCGTTGCAGACATCCGTAACGTCCCCCTTCCAGACAATTCCTGCACTATTGTTATTTTTTGTCTTGCCCTTATGGGTACCAATTTCCTTGATTTCATCAAAGAAGCGTTCAGGATTCTTGCTCCTCGTGGTGAATTATGGATTGCGGAAATCAAGTCTCGTTTTAGTGATGGTAAGGGTCAAGGTGACGAGTTTGTTGAAGCCTTGAAGTTGTGCGGTTTCTTCCACAAGAGCACCGATGCCGAAAACACTCATTTCACCAGATTCGAGTTCTTCAAGCCATCCTCAGATGTCTTGGGGGAGAGAAATGCCAAGTTGGAAAGAAAGAAGAAGTTTATTGAAGTTGCTACGGAAAAGGAAAACTTGGAGAAAAAGAGAACCAAGAACCCAGAAGGTAACTGGTTGTTGAAGCCATGCATTTACAAGAGAAGATAAGTTAACGGTAATCCCCTCTTAAATGGCTCTTTCTCTTTCTTTGTTAACTATATATTAATGTACATTAGATCTATATCAATTATTTTCGAATTAAAAAGCGTGTTCCTGTAGCCATCGCTAATCCCTATAGGAGCGTTCCCGGAGCTAGCCAGCCTCTGCCATCCCAGTGCACCGCCACTTTGGGTCAAGCCACATATATCCTTTTTGTGACGCATGCACAACTGCAACTTCTGCCGCGTTAGCATGAAAATTAACCTATGCCCATAATGCATCTACCCATGGTGAGATGCTCGCAATTTCGCTGCATATTATTTTGACATATGTAATCATCGCGCATATTGACAAGTACTAACAAGTAGTTTTGTCATATATCTTAGATGGCATTGCCTAGTTGCTTATATATAAATAGGTTAATTGAAGCGAGTTAACTTGTGTGCTTACATTTTCAATTTTATATATTATAAGGAAAAGGAGTTCTTTTGGGTTATATATAATATACACATGTCGTTATAAAATAAACTTCGCATATGATTCAAAACATTTATTCCAAAAATGTTACAACAACTAAAGCAAGCAAATACTTTAATATGAATATGGTATCCTACCATATATATACATAATTAGATATACACTGTAACATATATCACGTAAAACGTACACCAGTACATGCCCCCTTACAACTAGACCTCAATAGCGCCAGCTACCGGGATGCGGATAACCGGATCCGCACCATTATGGTAGACGATGCCCCATGGCAGATGTGCACGTGGGGGTTGAGGTGGGGCAATACCCAGCTACTCCTATCAAACTACCGCAATCGTGTCCACCTAAAACAAACTAGCTCTTAATTCTCGGCACCTTCGGAATTTTGGGGCCGAGGGTAAAAGCCGCGCAATTGGGGAATATCCAATGCGTTTTGCATTAGGTGGGCGATAGTCAGCGCAGCTGGCCATCGCGAAATTACAAAAGCCACATATCCGAAAAGCAAAAAGCTCAGAGAGATATATGACTTTACCGATACCTTTCCCTTTGCTTAGCCTGGCATATTCATATATTCGCTTAGATATGGTTCGTTTGGTACCAGTAGCGACTTTCAAGATATTCCTGTATTACACGGTGAGTGAGCCTATAAGGTACAGGCTATATAACGCAGGCTATCAGGCTATAGACGTATATATGCAAATAGGCGCCAAAAACCTCCCCTAGATCAGGAAACGCCTTCGTTTGTTCTCAATGATGACGTGATCTTGGCCCCCCGGTAGGGGCCTGTGAATGGGTGTTGGTTATGTTAGAGACGTGTTCGGGCAGCCTGCCGAGGAGCGAGTGATCGGTTTTGGCAAGCCCTCGCTGCATGTATCATCCGTGCGCGCGATTTTTCTTCGCTCGCTCTCCGGACGTATGGCACGACGGTGATTGGGCGAGACGATATATAGGGCACAGTAAAGGGCATTTCGACCCAAGAGAGGGCCAGAATAGTACGACTACGCGTTTTGGTTGGATATGAGAGCGTGTCGTATAATGTTAGATCTCTCTGCATTCCAACCGGTAGGGTGATCATTTATGCTTGTCTCCTGATTAGGCCATAATTAAGCAACTGTCAAATCCAGCGCAGGGCATGCTTTTTGTATGAGCCAAAGGGAGGGGTGGCTGCACACTCCCCTCTTTTGTATGCATAAGGGGCCACTCCCCTCACATTCACCACTGAAAGGTAAACACAGTCCACTCCCCTCACAAACTCAAGTCGTTTACATCACGTGAATAGTTATTCCGGTATCACCTTGCGCGGATAAAATATACACGTGACATCTTATCTGAGTACGTACCGGCTTTTTCTTCTCCGTCTAAAAGTAAACACACAATACGTAAACATAGCTGAGGGGAGACTCAACAATTTGTATACATCTGCCGATCGTATATTCGTACACCCCCACATGGTCATACTCCAATACTAACTGCCAGGCTTATCCACAGAGAGCAATGAGAATATATAAATAAATAAAAAACTCCTTATATGGCACGTTATATTATAATATTGTCGAGAGAGCCGGCCCATGCTGTATACTGTACGACTGGCTTGGGGTGAGCGTGCTACCATACGCGCCACTATAGTTAGCACTAACAGCCGCTCAACAAAGTTCCGGGTTTCGCCTAACGGCACACAGACACTACATTTGAAGCATCGATATTGAGCTGCGGCGGTCAGCTCCGGCACACAGATACAACAAACTCTAATTTGCGATGCCACATACAGGACTCTAACTTTAGACTTTGCACAACAGGTCCATTTTGTTGGCTTGGATCGTAACGTGTACGACGGAGGTGCACAAGAAGGAGCTTATCATCCGCTCGGTTTGGCAAAAGCGGGGAGTGGACTTATACACTCTATAGCGTGGTATAAAAGTAGCTGGCCATCCTCCATCAGCAATAGCTCACACCCGTTTTGTAGTTTATCTGATCTTCCCTGGCCAAACTCCTTCGGAACATCCCACACGGAACCCGCCTCAAGTCCGATATACCTGAACTCTCAGTTACCTGCAAGCGTCACGTCCTTTCCTTTACGAGGTCACACGTATTAATATAACCCCGAAAGTCTTCTATCCTGTAAGTTTTCGTCGGACATCTCTATTAGAACATTCACCGGACCAGCATCTTCATTTCAGGATAAATTTCTTTTGCTGCATCCCGATTTTTCGCGCCCAACACGCATACTCCGGCTCCGACAAGTGCTTCCCGTCAGCCCTAATTTTCCAGCCTTTCGTATAAAAGAATTCCTGGTGCCTTCCCCCCAATTTCAGAATTTCCAATTACTTTCTGCCATATAATTCCATCATTATACCATGTCTTCCATTTTAAAGCAAAGAGTGAGATACGCTCCATACCTCAAGAAACTCCGCACCCCAGAACAGTGTATTGAGCTTTTCGAGCACGGCCAGTACTTGGGCTGGTCTGGTTTTACCGGTGTCGGTGCCCCTAAGGTTATTCCAACCGCCCTTGTGGACCATGTCGAGAAGAACAACTTGCAAGGCAAATTAGGCTTTAACTTGTTTGTTGGTGCTTCTGCCGGTCCTGAAGAGTGCAGGTGGGCTGAAAACGGTATGATCTTGAGAAGATCTCCCCACCAGGTTGGTAAACCAATTGCCAAGTCCATCAATGAAGGCAAGACGGCTTTCTTCGACAAGCACTTATCCATGTTCCCACAGGATTTGACCTACGGATTCTATACCAGAGAGAAGGCAAACGACTTGTTGGACTACACCATTATCGAAGCTACTGCCATCACGGAGGACGGTTCCATCGTTCCAGGCCCAGCCGTTGGTGCCTCCCCGGAAATGATCTCCTGTTCTGACAAGGTAATCATTGAAGTCAACACCAAGACCAGATCTTTCGAAGGCTTGCACGACATTGATATGCCGGTCCAGCCACCTCACAGACAACCATACCCATACACCTGGGCCGGCCAGAAGAGCGGTGTCACCGCCATCCCAGTCGACCCATCCAAGGTTGTAGCTATCGTTGAATCCCACACCGGTGACAAGGTTCCACCTAACACTCCATCCGACCAGATGTCCAGGAACATTTCTGGTCACTTGATTGAGTTCTTGCAGAACGAAGTCAACCAGGGGAGATTGCCAGAAAACTTACATCCATTGCAGTCTGGTATCGGTAATATTGCCAACGCAGTCATTGAGGGTCTTGCAGAGTCTAACTTCAAGAATTTGACTGTCTGGACCGAAGTCTTGCAGGACTCCTTCTTGGACTTGTTCGAGGCTGGTTCCTTGGAGTACGCTACTGCCACCTCTATCAGATTGACTGAGGACGGATTTGAGAGATTCTTTAAGAACTGGGATACCTACTCCCAGAAGTTGTGTCTTAGATCCCAGGTCGTCTCCAACTCTCCGGAAATCATCAGAAGATTGGGTGTCATTGCCATGAACACACCTGTTGAGGTTGATATCTACGCTCACGCCAATTCTACCAACGTTTCTGGTTCCAGAATGTTGAACGGGTTGGGGGGTTCCGCTGATTTCTTGAGAAACGCCAAGTTGTCTATCATGCACACCCCAGCTGCCAGAGCCACCAAGACTGACCCAACTGGTCTTTCCTGCATCGTGCCCATGGCCTCTCACGTCGACCAGACCGAGCACGATTTAGATGTTATTGTCACCGACTTTGGCTTAGCTGACTTGAGAGGTCTTTCTCCAAAGGAGAGGTCTAGAGTCATCATTAAGAACTGTGCTCACCCAGATTTCCAGGCCCAATTGATGGAATACGTCGAAAGATCCGAGTTCTACGGTGCCAAGATGAAGTCCTTGCATGAGCCACACATTTTGAAGGATGCCTTCAAGATGCACATCAACTTGGCCGAAAATGGTACCATGAAGTTGCCCTCTTGGGATGCCAAGTTCTAAGCGCTAGAAGGATAAGCGTGTTCGTTGATAGATTTTTATACACCAATAGAGAAGGATACGTAGTTGGAGACGCGTAGGAGGTTTGCATCGGGCAGGGCAGACCCTGGGGCAATTTTTGTCACGTGTGGTCCGGGAGAAAAATAGAGTAACCGGGAAAAATGGGGGTAACGGGAATTTCGGACATGAGCTAGTAATGCAACCTATGCAACGTTACCCAGTGAACATGGGCGGAGAGGGGGGCCAAAAACCCCTTTTTCCAGGATAGTTACATTGCCAAAATTATTAATAATATGATTATTGTTTCTATTGAAGTTTAAGGTACTATAAAATCTTGGGGGATATTGCAGAACCATGAGATACAAGAGTTAGTAGAATGGTCGGATAGAAGGGAGCCAGGCAGAATCGGGGAATACAGAAGAGCTATCAGGGTTGAATCGTTGTGGTTACGTACCAAGCGTCAAACAGTTATATACTCGGGGAAAATTTGTAAAGTATGAACAAAGCTTGGAGGAATGAGAAATGAAAGCCCGCTCTTCAATTAAAAGACGTAGCTTAATTTTGTTTCCGATACATACTGAATTTAGGATAGAGTTGACTCTGGACTGTACTTCGCGCCGCCTTCAATATGACAGCTCTTTCCATCATCAGTGAAATAATATTTAGGGTATCAGTATATTTTTTATGCCTTTAACTGTTAGGCTTGGCTTATTTGAATGTTACTGATTTGACTCGCGATATCGTTTCTTTCTACTAGAAGTATTAAGTCATAAAGGATGAATTGGGTCAGGTTAAAACCATTAAAGCCGAGTCTAGAACGTTCGTTGAGCTCTCTAAAGAAAGGTACAAGTAATATTTGAAAGGATTCAGTTCTAAAATTATAACATTCAAAGTTTTTAAAACCCCCAGAGTTTCTGGTAAGATCAAATCGCCCAATTATTGGAGCCATCACGAATCATCGATTATGTGAGCAATGCACGTGTGCGCGCCCCACACACCAGCATCGGTCATGTCATACAGACTATCGCTTAAAAGTTGCGCGGCTATCTCATCGCATCTAACATAAGAGATTGTCTAGACCAACCCATCAGTTAGTCTAATACCCGAGCTTACACTTATACACTATACTCACTCTGTGTCATATTCACTTAGCACTTGCCGCTTAAAGTATTCACTGCCCGTTTACCACATACCTTACCCCGTTACCTACTTAATACACCCACACCCACATACAATGAACCTCGACGGCCTTTTCCCACCGATAGACGACGCAGAATCATTTGCTCACTACCAGGACCTCTTCCGAGGTCCGACAGGCCCGCCACTGAGTACTGGTGCGAGCGCATGGTCTGATGAAAACGTGCTCAGCCCGACACTTAGCGAGGCAGGCGACATGGCTTCTCTCGACGAATCGGTGTTACGGATGATGCGGGACGAGTGGGGAACGGCACCATCGCACGACCGCTTCTACTACTCACAGGTATACGACCGACTCCTGCACCATGCGCCAGCTGAGGTGTCCGACGACTTTGCGCAGTACAACCAGAAGGTGGTCAAAGAGATGGCGCTCCGCGCCCACTTTGCCGCGTGGCGCCAGGAAAAAGCCGATGCGCTCGCGGAAAATAATGTATTAAAGATTGTTGACTTAGACGAGAGCTTCCAGCCTACGTACTTTAATCGCACAAAGTATTCCGCCAGCGGCGCTGTCAAAACACTGAAAAGGGGGTCTGAAGTGGGGCTTGAAAGGGGGTCGGAGAAGAAGTGTGAAAAGAAAAGTGATTTAAAAAGGTCTGAAACGAACAGCCATCTGAAAAAGGAATCAGAATTCAAAGTATCAGAACCCAAAGGCCCAGACCCATTTACCTTCTTCAAACGACTCCGGAACACCGGAAGGCCAAAAGAATCCTCTCCCGAGCCCAGTATGGGCACTAAACGCACGGCAAACGTATACGAGCTATCCACTATTTCGTCGCGTGATACCAAGGTCATCGATGAGACGGTCGTGGGCCAGATCCCAATTGATCTCCAGGCTAATCCCGAGGCAGCTAGCTCCAGCGCCTTCCCCGAGGCTTACTTCGGTCAAAGCGATTGCTTCAGAAAGGATATGTACGAGAAAAGCAGAAATGACGGGAGCTACAACCCCCCTACCCCTCTCCGCTTTATTCCCCACGATTCGGCTCCGCCAAACGTGTTGCAGCACAAACTCCGACCACGGCACCTCCAGATGATTGCGTTTGGGGGCACGCTTGGTGTCGGACTCCTCCTCGCTATCGGCAAGAGCTTTACGATTGCGGGCCCATTGGGGGCTATTATTGGGTTCATGTTTTCCGGGGTGATTGTGCTCTGCACGATGCTCTCGTACTGTGAGATGATCACGCTCATTCCGCTTGCGGGGGGGTTGAGCGGAATATCATCCCGTTTTGTTGATGACGCGTTCGGCTTTAGCCTCAGCTTCAACTATTGGCTCAGCTACACCATCGGGCTTCCCACGGAGATTGTCGCGGCAACCATTATGTTGAGTTACTACCGCAACTCCCACGTCCCAGAAAGCGTGGGTATCACACTTGCGAGCATATTCACGTTTATGGTGCTCACCGTGGGCATCAACCTCTTCGATGTGCGTGTTTACGGCGAGATTGAGTACTACTCCTCCATCGTCAAGGCGGGGATGCTTATAGCATGGATCATCTTCATGATTTGCCTCAATCAGGGCCACGCGGGGGGTGACGGTGAGAAGATCGGATTCCGGTTTTGGGACGCGTCCAAGAGCAACGAGGCGATCGGCTTGACTTTTGGGCCGTTCCGCCCAACTTTTGACGTGAATGATCATGGAAGTGGCTCGCTTAATGGGATTACCGGGAGCCTGGGCCGGTTTTTAGCGGTCATTGTTGCGGCGGTGGTTGCGGGATATGCCTATTCGGGGACCGATATCGTGCTCATTGCGGCAGGTGAGGCGCGCGCACCACGCACCGCGCTCCCAAAAGCGTCGAAGAATATTTTCTGGCGTATCGGCATCTTCTACATCCTCGGCGTTTTTGTCGTCGGCCTCAACTTCTACTCTGGAGATCCGCGTCTCTTGCGCTACTACAGCAAAGCTGGCGTCAATAAAGAAACCCAAAGCGTCTCCAGCATCATTCTCTACGTGTTAAGTTCGATCCAGAATAACGCACACAACTTTACCGTCACCACTGACAGCCAGCGCGAGGTGGCAGACTATTACGCACGCAGCCTCTCTAACTGCGATCCCACCTTCATCAAATGGGCCGGCTTCTCCAACGGCAACCAGTCGCCGTGGATCATTGCCATTCAGGGCGCAGGCCTCTGCCTGTTTTCCAGCGTCTTCAATGGGCTCATGATGTTCTTCGCCTTGTCATCTGGATCGTCACAGCTTTACGCGTCTTCGCGTACGTTGTACTACATGGCCATACAGGGCAAGGCGCCCGCGATCTTCCTGCGCTGTTCGTCACGCGGAGTGCCCTACGTCGCCGTCTTGTTCCTGGGCATGTTTGCGGGTCTTGCGGTGCTCTCCTGTACCAGCAATACAGCCGTTGTGTTCCAGCGCTTCTTGAGCGTGTGCGCCACTGCCGGCTTGCTCGTGTGGTCGGGCATGTGCCTCTCGTTTATTCGGTTCTATCACGGCTTGAAGTACCGGCCAGACATTATCTCGCGTGACGACCCCGCGTACCCGTATCGCTCGCCATTTCAGCCGTACCTCGCGTACATAGGTTGCTTAGGAGGCCTATTTCTCGTGTTTTCGAGTGGCTTTGTTGTGTTTTTGAATGGCAACTGGGATACCTCGTTTTTCTTCAGCTGTTACGGCAGTCTTATTTTGTTCGTGCTCGGCTTTCTTGGGTACAAGTTTATCCGCGGAACGAAGATTCACCGGCTAGACCAGTTAGACTTGGACAGTGGAAGAAGGGGGATCGACAAGATTATCTGGGAGGAAGACAGGTTCAAAAGCAATGCGAGTTTCAAACAGACGGCGTTTAAGATTTTTGAGCTGGTACTCTAGAATTGAGAGGTTCCTGGTTCATTTACCGAAATGGTTTGGAATCTATACACAAGTTCGTTTTTTGTGATGTCTGCGGTAGAACGATGTCTGTATTTTCGATTTATGGCTGAGAGTTATGCTTGTGTCTGGTTAAAGGCTGTATACACCGAAGTGTGCGGTACTATCGATTACTTTTCGTAGGTTTTCACGAGCACTGAGTTTATATTTAATTGAGATCCGAGGTTTCCACAACTCCCACCGTCAGCCGCGAGGACCCGGCAGACCAAAGACGGAATAATAGCTACCGAAAAGTCTTAGAACGTAGTAGCTCCTCAGATCACAAAAAATATAGGCTTTCTAATACTTTTAGAGCTACAAGTAGTCTATTTGTGTACGGTTATTGAAAATCATATTAAGTACTGATGATCGTGACTTGGAATATCAACCATCTTTGCTGAGTTTTCTTACTGTGATGGACTCCTTATTCCTGTAGTTGCAAAAATGGGGTGGGCTACTCTGAGATTTGATGATTCTCAGATTTTTCAGGCTGCATAATGCGTACTGTCCAAGACAGCTAGCAGGTCGGCTCAACTGTCCCGATGCATCCGACCAAGCAGATATGCAGTGCCGTTTTCGAATCAAACTGCTAAGGAAGTCCCAGAGACCTGGGAAATCTCCTCATTGGGGGTATAGTAAAAGTATGTTTTCCGGGCTTAGCCCCCAGTTTCTATAGTAGACAGACAAAGCTTGCTAAGTTCTTCGGGGATAATTGTGCGGTCAACCGTATGCAAGAAAAAAAAAAGATGAGATGTTTGTGCTTGCTTCTTTCGAGAATGTATGTAGAATCACCCCATGGTGACTCAATAAGGCTCCTAGGACTTTAAATTGGCGAGACCCACGGATAAATATCCATCTATTACTGATAATGGCATAAATCTTATCCGCCATTTTATTTTTGAATGATAGCAGGTAGAACTTGAATGTGGCTTGTGCATGGGCCCTGGACTACTGCCCCATGTTTACCAGGCATTCACGGAACTTCCGGGAATCTAGCTTCCCTGCTTTCTCTCATTGGCGACCCGCACCGGCTAGCCCCGACCGGATATGCACACGACCATCGCTTCCTCTTGGGGGTGCAATCCTGCATTCACATTCTTTACAGACTACTCGAGTATAATTTTCTCGTCTTGCCTCCCAGCATACTACTTCATTGTCAGTTCAGTCATACATGCATTTGGATCCTTTACAGGACTAATCAATCACACGCTTGTACCCTCACCATACTATTCATGCCCAACATAATCTCCACGCAATGAGTTGAAGTACACGATATCTGTCTGCTTAGCGACTGAGAAAGACGTTAGGGCGTTGCTATAACTGGAGAATCTTTTGCATACAAACCTTATTGTGATCGTTTGAGCTGCATGGCCTGCACTGATGGCAACACCAGGGCGGGCTTGTGTGCAAAATAAATTCTAGGTGCAGGATTAAAAAGAAATTTTAGAGAAGGACCTTTCATCTGGAGCTAAAAATCTTACCTAGGATTACGTAAAGCCTGCACATTATGTACGTAGGTGCTAAATCTTCTGCTTCCCCGGCTTGCCGGGCAAGTCATAACATTCGCTCTTTTGAGCTATATTGCATTTACATAAAATTGCTCACTTTTGCTTTAGCCGCCCATTATCCACTATATATCTCTCCCTAACCGCCCTCTCCCCCTTCTGTTTTCCTCCGGTTCTGTTTAATTCTTGCCACTTTTAGATCCACCAGGCCAGTACCAACACATCTGACCGCATTCTCAATCTTATCTTACATTTCAGCGGCCCTTACCCCTAACATTCCTTCCGTAATATCCCGAATGAAGTTTTCATTGTGTTACCTCATTCCCACCTTGAGCATATTGCTTGCCGTTCGGGCACACGACGATGATGAAAACGGCATGGCCGGCATGGACATGGCTACCGAAACCACTGTCGCCGCTGCTATTGCCACCCAAAATGCCACTGCTCTCAAACCGGTACCGCATAGAGAGATGCACCACCACGGGGTGCCAATCTTGCAAACCAATTTGAAGCCTGAAGAGAGGTTGTATTGGGAGGCCTACAACACCACCACCTACCTTACCATTGAGACACCGCACAAAAGCTCCCTCTACATCCACATGGCTTCTATCTTCATCCTTGCCGTCTTTATGCAGCCAATTGCGTTGGTTTTGCATAATGTCCTGTCTAACTGGTACTTGCCGGTTGCATTGGCTAACTTGGGCCTTTTGACCTTCTCTATGGTCAACTTGGGGATCTTCAGCGGCAGTGTTCCGGAATTGTACCCTAACAACGCCTACACCAAGATCACATGGGTCATTATTGTTATGGGCTACTTACACTTTGGCTTTGCCGTCATCCACTACGCGGCCAAGTGGTGCAACGGTGACTCCACCATGCCCCCCTTCAAGAAGTACGAGTTTGTCCCCTTGGCATCCTTCAACGAACAGGAGGGCGAAATGCCAGGTACCCCAACCTCCCACTCCTCCACCCTTTTTGAGGCCAACTCCCCAAGCGAGTCGTTCGAGTTGGAAAATGACGAGAATATGCAAAGTTTTGCCGCCCCTAAGAAAACCAGGGTTCTGACTTTCCGCGACAACTTGTTTTCCAAACTATTTCAGAGCCCTGCTATGCAGAAGCTTGTAAACTTGTTCGGTACTTTCGGGTCTATTGGCTTTAATGCCCTCAACTACCCATGTTGGATGATCATGTTTGTATACATTCCTACCGGGCTTGCGACCGTTGGCTGTTTGGGTATGGGGAACAAAATTTTCAACATTTTGGCGCACTTCATCAAGGGTGGGGTATTTTTTGCCTTGGGAGTCTTATCCTTGGCGAGATACTCCGGAGCCTTTACCAACAAGGGTTGGGCCTGGAACCAGCGCACTATCACCAGCAGAAGCACCGCCTGGGAACGCATTCAGCCAAAGGGTTTGATCACCATGGAGATGATTGAGAGCAGTTTGATCTTGTTCTATGGTGCCACCAACGTGTTCATGGAGCACTTGGCTTCTCCTGGTGGTGCTTGGTCCCCTAAGGACTTGCAGCATGTGTCCATTGCCTTCTTGTACATTGGAGGTGGTTTGTGCGGTGTTATCACCGAGGTGAAGCTCTCCCAGTGGCGCTACGAAACCTTTATGAAAAACAACCACTTTTTGAACAATGACGAGAACGGTGCTTCGCACATTACCGGCGGTTGTGTCGGCTACTCCCCCAACCCATTCCCGAGCTTTACCATCTTCTGGACCGGGATTTTGATGAGCAAGCATGCCCAGGCGTCCCAGCTCGCTACTGAAATACACGTACAATGGGGTACATTGTTGAGCTATGGTTCCTTCTTCCGGTTATTCACCATTCTCATCATGTACTTGAAGCCTACAGAATCCAGAAACTTCAAGCCATCCAGGCCAATGACCGAGTTGATCACTTCTTTTACGCTTTTGGCTGGTGGGGTCATTTTCATGGAGTCTACCGATCCGGTTGTGTTGGCTATGGAGTACAAAGGCTTGACTGCAATGTTTACCTTGAATGTGAGTATTGGTTGCGTCGCTTTGTTGATGGCCTGGGAGATGTCTCTTTTTGCCTTCAAGGACTGGATGGTGGAGCGTAGGAAGAAAAACGAGCTGCACATCTCCGCGCAAACCGCCTAACCGCCTTTCCTGGCCCTTACAATAATATCGGGCCATGACCGTCTTTACTATGCTGTTCATCATTTGCTATCGCTTTTTGCCGCGCACTTTAATACTTTCATGTGCTGTTGAGCTAAGCCCCTTAATTTACATCTAATACCATTAATGACGAAAAGACCAAAACCCACGCTTGAAGTCCATCTAAATGACACTTGAGCTGTAAGTTTGAATTCAATCAGGCGGCCGTAACAAGTATAGGTCCTAAGTAACAATACGTCTAGGGTTTTTGTCAACACTAAGGTTCAGGTGTAGGAAGAAAGGCTAGGACAAAATACAGGTTTGCTTGTAGATTTTAACCACGACTGGTGGAACGAGAACTTAGATCTATCTTTAGACCTACGAGAGATCTCACAGTTATCTAAATTTCCACCTTTTAGGTCTTAACGCCGCAGTTGCACATATCATATCCTGCACTTAACCCTTCCCGCCTACACGTACGGCACTTTTGGCGCCCCCTTATAACTGCCTCCTCTCACAAACCACTACAATTCCGTCCATTGTTACCAATTGACCTTACAAAATGAAATTACCTACCCCACCACAGGCTGCACCAAAATGGAAGCACACGGCCGAAGAAATTGTCGCAGAGATGGACCAGATTATCGCCGCCGGTAAGCAGTTGGACGACGAGATTGCCGCCATTAGCGCCCCGACACTCGAGTCGGTCATCACGCCAGCTATTCTCTTGGAAAATACACAGTCTGGCCCGATCAACCAATTGACGTTCTACCAGCATGTAGCGACGGATAAGGCGCTCCGTGATGCGTCCACCGACGCGACAAAGAGCATCCAGGACTTCTCTATCGAATCGTCGTCCCGTGTGGATGTCTACAAGGTATGGGAAAAATTGAGCCAGGATGAAGCGATTCTAGCCGAGATTGAAGCCCAGCCCGAGCTTCCGCGGTACCTCCGCAAGGTCATGACCGGGTTTAAGCGTGACGGGTTGGCGTTGCCGGACAGTAAGCGCGAACAAGTGAAGGAGTTGAACAAAAAGTTGGCGGACTTATCTTTGAACTTCAGCAAGAACAACAACGAGGAGGTTGGATTCTTGCTCTTCTCGCGCGAGGAGTTGGAAGGCGTTCCGGCTGATGCGTTGGCGCAATTTAAGGAGGTTGACGGTCAGCTCAAAATGACATTCAAGTACCCGGACATTTTGCCAGTTTTGAAGTACGCAAAACATGAGGAGACAAGAAAGCGAGTCTTTGTGGCGAACCAGAACAAGGTGCCTGCGAACAGTGCGATCCTCGTAGAAATTGTCAAGCTCAGAACGCAGTTGGCGTTGACATTGGGCTATGACACGTACGCGAACTATGTGTTAGAGGAACGTCTCGCCAAACGCCAGGACACAGTGTTGGAGTTTTTAGACGACTTGAAGCAGAAATTGCAGCCGTTGGGCGCACACGAATACGCAGCGTTGCTCGCATTGAAGAACGCGGACTTACGTGAGCGCGGGCTTCCCACGGCTGCGGAGTATTACATCTGGGATAACTCGTTCTATGACAACTTAATGATTGAGCAGAACTATCAGGTAGACCACCAGAAAATTTCCGAATACTTCCCGATCGAATCAGTTGTACCAAAGATCCTTCACTTTTATGAGACCTTGTTTCAGTTGAAGTTCGAGGAGGTGACGAAGGATAAGTCGGTTTGGCACGAGGAGGTGATCCAGTTTGCGGCTTGGAAGTTGGACAACGAAACGCCGGAGTTTGTCGGTTGGCTCTACATGGACTTGCACCCCCGCGACGGCAAGTACTCGCACGCGGCCAACTTCGGGCTCTACCCGGGGTACCAGCGAGCGGACGGTAACCGGAGCTATCCAGCTACCGCCTTGGTGTGCAACTTCTCCAAACCGGCCCAGGACAAGCCGTCGTTATTGAAACACTCGGAGGTGGAGACATTGCTCCATGAGGTAGGGCACGGTATCCACAACTTGGTGGGCGAAACGGCCCTCGCGCGCTTCCACGGGACAAAGGTCGCACGCGACTTTGTCGAGGCGCCGTCGCAGATGTTGGAGTACTGGACGTGGTCGCCTGCCGAATTGAAGAGCTTGTCGCAGCACTATAAGACGGGCGAGCCGATTGACGATGCGCTCATCCGGGCGTTGGTCGCGACAAAGCACGTGAATGGTGCCATGTTCAACTTGCGCCAGTTGCACTTTGCGCTCTTTGACATGACGTTGCACACGGTGAAGTCAAACGCGGAGGCGGATGCCTTGGACTTTGACGCCTTGTGGAACGACTTGCGCGAGGAGATCTCGCTTGTCAAAAATGGTGGCGAGGTGACGCATGGATACGGTACGTTCGGGCACATCGGTGGAAGTGGTTACGCTGCAGGCTACTATGGATACCTCTATTCCCAGGTGTTTGCGGCAGACATTTACTACACGTTGTTCAAGGCGGATCCGATGAACGTGGTGAATGGATTGCGGTACCGTGACATTATATTGAAGCGCGGCGGATCTAACGACGAAATGGACAATTTGGTTGAATTATTAAAAAGACAGCCAACGTCCGAGGCGTTCTTGACCGAGTTGGGTGTGGCCACCAAGTCAAATTTGTAAAGACGAAGCTATTGGCGTACTAAAGGGAGATTAGCTTAAACTGCACCATATAATACGGTTTTTGCTGGATTTTAATCGAGTAGTTTAGGTTACTGGCATGAGAGAGCTGGCCTTTTCTAGCCTTTCAAAGTGAGTGGTAAAGACGCAGGAGGAAGACTACGAATATACATCTTTAAATAGCAGATATTCTAAAGGAACTCTTTAAAACTACCCATATCCATAAGCGTACAATTCTTATTCCAAGTTTACTTTAATCTTTGGAGATTCAGCCCAAGGGGGATGCTCAATCCCGTTCAGCTTTTCAGTAAATAGCTCTTTAACGTTATACTTTTATTTCGCATGAGATAATTCACTATAACTCAAACACGAACCTGGAGCATGGCGAATACTGTTGCCCATAAACTGGCATATTTCGAACATTCGGTTTACTGTGTTGGATCTGGGAACCAGAAGCAGATAGGCTTTCATTGACATTAGTACTATTGTATATCGATCAACAATACCATACCCAGGTAGCACCACAGAAAAAAAACGCCCCCTGGACTCCCAGACCGTTAAATGAAGCATTAATCATCCTTTATAACCTTTGTTGGATATCCAACGTAGCTTATTATTATTTACTAGAAGCTTAAACCGTTCATTTTTCATCTTTCATCCCAAACGGATTATGGTACTACTCCCTACCGGTGTGCGCCTACCGCCACGTGATCCTCAAGCCAAATTTTATCCTGAGTGACAACGTCAAATCAGATCGCAAACCCGATATATCTACACCCCCATACTCGTACGCCCTACCTCCATCGCTTCACCGTCAATTCACATGTTTGGCAGATCTGCAAGCACTAATTCTGGGTTCGGTGGCTTTGGCGCTGCGAACACTACGTCACCATTTGGCGCCACGCCCGCCGCTAACACCGGGTTGTTTGGCTCCACGAACACTGCAGCCAACCAATCCTCTGGGTTCGGTGGTTTTGGTGCCACCAACAACAACACCACCTCCGCGTTTGGCGCGCCTAGCAATACTGGTTCTGCTTTTGGGGCCTCCAACACCACGGGGTTCGGCCAACAGTCCGCGTTTGGCGCCACAAACAATGCTGCGCCCGCGTTTGGCGCGCCAGCAGCCGCCTCCAATCCGTTTGGGGCCAAACCCTCCGTCTTTGGCGCTCCAACGAGCACCTTTGGTGCGCCAGCGGCCAATGTCTCGCCTTTCGGTGGGTCGTCCAACGCGTTTGGCGCCTCAGCCATAAGCCAGGGCCAAGGCACGGCTGTGAAGCGCTTCACCGCATTTATTGAGAAGGATCCAACGACTGGCACTAACAATGTCTACGAGAACATCTGCGCCATGCCAGAGTACAAGAACTACTCCCAGGACGAGCTTCGGCTCCAGGACTATGAGCAGAACCGCCGCCACGGCACCGGAAACGCCGCTACTGGCACCGGCTTTGGTGCCGCTAGCTCCCCCTTCGGGGCGAGCACGACCGGGAACACGGGTATGTTTGGTGCCACAAGTAATACCACCTCTGCCTTTGGTGCCCCTGCGACTTCCCCATTTGGAGCCACCAACACAACCTCGCCGTTCGGTGGGGCCGCCACCTCGTCTCCGTTCGGTGCAAGCAACACCACCTCCGCTTTTGGTAACAACAACAATAACAACACCTCCGCTTTTGGGAACGCCAACTCTGGCGGGCTCTTTGGCAACAACGCGAATACTACTTCCGCGTTTGGCAACACCGCCAACGCTGGTGGGTTTGGTGCCAGTCCCACGTCTGGTGGGTTTGGTTCTAATGCCACCTCCACCGGGTTCGGCTCCAACAATACCTCCACCGGGTTCGGTGCCAACGCTGCTCCTTCCACTGGTTTCGGTGCTACCAACACCGGTTTCGGTGCCACCAACACGAATAACGCTTTCGGGCAACCACAGAGCTCTGGATTTGGTTCTACCAATGCAAGCACGCCATTCGGGGCCTCCAACACCACCTCTACGTTTGGAAATGCCCAACCAGCGTCCACTGGTTTTGGTGGATTCGGTAGCGGCTCCACCGCCCCTGCTACCAACGCCTTTGGTGCTAGTAACACTGGAAGTATGTTTGGTAACAGCAACAACAGTAACAACGCCAATAATACCAATGCGTTTGGCGCCAGCACCAACACTCCTGCTTTCGGTACGAACAATACCAACTCAGGCTTTGGTACTAATACTGCCTCGCCGGCTTTCGGTGCTGCTAAGCCAGCTTTTGGCGGATTCGGTAGCACCCCTGCTGCGACCACTTCTACCGGGATGTTTGGTAGTGCTACTGCGGCCCCTACGGCCCCTGGGATGTTTGGCAGCACCCCGGCCGCCTCTACGACGAACAGCATGTTTGGTGCAAAGCCTGCGGCTCTGGCCTCTGGTAGTCTTTTTGGGGCCAGCGCCACTGCTGCCCCGGCCTCTGGTGGTCTCTTTGGCAACAACGCTGCAGCAGCAGCCCCCGGTAGCTCGTTTGGTGCCAAGCCTGCTTCCTCGGCTGGCAATTATTTCGGAAGCACTGCTACTCCAGCGGCTCCATCCAGCAGTCTCTTTGGAAGCTCGTCTGCAGCTCCTGCTGGCGGGTTATTTGGCTCTAAGCTGGCAGCTCCGGCCGGGGGGCTCTTCGGGGGCACTCCTGCCGCCTCTACCTCCGCCGGTAGCAGTTTATTCGGTGCCACAAATGCCACGTCCGCCCCTGTCCAGCAGGCCATCGGCCCGCAGCTTACACAGAACCCGTATGGCAACAACCCGTTATTCTCCAGCATCACCGGGGGAAGCACCGTGGTCAAGCCGATGGCTACGCCAGTCTCAGGTAACGAGAGCAAGAAGACTGTCTCGTTGGTGTCTGCGCATAGAATCTCGCCGTTATTCCAGCCAAGTGCGACCAAGGCGGAAACCGAGAGGGGTTTGCTCTCCAAGCCAGACGTCACCGTATCCAACCAGGTACTCAGGGCAAGCAGAAACTCGAGCAAGTTATTCAACGTCGTCACTGACGACGCAATCATCACGTCCAAGATCTTTGCGCCAAAGATGGACTTCAAAAAGTTGGTGATCAAGAGATACGAGTCGCCAGAGGTTGAGCTTGTTTTGGGCGCGCAGCCACTCCTTGAAGCCCCAAAGCAGGTCTCCTTTGCGGTGGAGGAGCCACAGATGAACGACATTTTGGGCGACTTGTCCCTGGCGTCGAAGCCTGTGGATGAAGTTAGACCTGTGGAGGTTGTTGAGGAGTTGGCGGATGAGGAAGATATCGACGACGACGGCTACTGGATGTCGCCAAAGTTGAGTTCTTTGGCAAGATTATCCAAGAAGGAGTTGTCTGAAGTCAATGGCTTCACTGTGGGGCGCAAGAACTATGGGAAAATCGAGTTCTCGGCCCCAGTGGACTTGACCACCATTTCCTTGGAAGACATTACCAACAACTTAGTGGTGTTCACGCCAAAGTCATGCATCATCTACCCGGAGGCTGCGGTCAAGCCGGAGGTTGGTGAGGGCCTTAACTTACCGGCCAGAATTACCCTTGAGGGGTGTTTCCCGTATTCCAGAGACACCAAGTTGCCGGTCACTGACTCCAAGCACCCGGTAGTGAAGCGTCACATTGCCAAATTGCACAAGATTCCTGAGACGACCTTTGAGGCATACGACCCAGTTTCCGGTACGTGGGCCTTCAAGGTAGAGCATATGTAGATACGGAAGTACTCCTGTAATATTATTGTATCATGTTGTTTGGTAATGTAGTTAAACCGTTTGGAGTCAAAAGATACTACACGTACGTTTGTTCTTAGTGAGGCTATCATATAACTGGCACGGCCCAAGAATACAGCTTATTTATATTCATGTATTAATATACATCTATTTTGTTGAAATGCTTGGGGCATTTAATTTAGTGGCACCCATAATATTTGGGGTAGAGAAATTCTTGTGGCTGCAAAGTTACATACATACCACTGCTTGCCCTAGCCCTACACTTCCAGCTCTGGAAGGTCCCGTTTTCTTTTTACTGATTGCCGCTAATAGTCTATTGTGGCAATGCGCCTCTCACACTAGAAGGATTCATTCCAGTAGCTTAGAGTATTCCGATCATTGACTGGAGCCTTCTGGTTATCGATAGAGCTTCAATTAAAAAATCACTTGAGCCTCCACCGTGCGAGGTTACTGCAAAACATTGTACCGAACATAAAGATAAGTAGATATCATAAGCGCTTTTTAATCTAAGTACATATTCTACTCAATTACAGGAATAACCGCCTTGTTCCCATGGATTTTCTGTTTACAGTTTAACCGGCTTAAAGAATAGATATGATCGTTGTGCCCCGGACTTTTCCAGTCTGCCGCAGCCTTTTTCCTGCATATAAGCATGCCTTTGTGCTATATGACATCACCGTACGGCTCTCAATCCACGCGTGCAGCATTCCGTCTACATGCTTCCGGCGAGCAGGGGCGCTTTTTGGTACCAGACTAAGGAGTCTGCCTCTACAACACGCCACTCAAACACCGGGGAACAGTGTATTGTATAGCCCAACCGGATAGCAACCACTAACAAGGATTGAGGTGCATAATCAAAGAGCTTGTTTTTATTTTTCACGCATCGGCTTACCAATCGTCAATCGTTCACCCGCAGATCGCCTCCACACCTTTATTAACTAACCAAAACTTATGAATCCAAACAAAGAGGTTCCTGAACTTGCACAGACTGATCCTGCAGAAAAGGAGTTGGCATCCCCAGTTCCAGCGCCTGGTATTGTGAGAACTGCGGGTACCGACTTGAATCCGCAAAGTCCTGTGGGACAGCTACCACAAACCGATCCCGTGCCAAGAGCTCGTTCAGCGACTACCCGATATCTGGAGGGGTCGAGACTGATTGGCTCGCGGGAGGGGTCGGAGGACCTGCAAAAACACCATTTCCTAGGCAGTATCTTTCATCACCTGGGGAAGGAAAGGACCCCCACTGATTCCAAGGAAGGCTTTATTTCCCGTGTCCAGGACAAGCTTTCGCTGGGGAAAAGCAGTAGCCATGTCAATATGGGTAAACTCAATGATGCTCTGTCCTTTTGTCCCCCTATTCACAGGAAACCCTCCATCGTGTACAACCCCTACGGAATCAACAACACCGTCATTCCGCCAGCCATCTTCGATTCCCCAAAGGTAATTCTTGACGAGAAGGAGGACTTGGTTGCGCTTCCTGTTAGGTCTCCAAACGAGTTCTTACCCCTTGACGAGCAAGAAGACAATGTGGAATTGCTCGACCAATTCAAGATCCCGGGCAAGGGCTCCCATCGTGACGGGAAGCTTGGCCTGGGGGGTTCGTCTGAGGTTCGGCCTGTTATTGGACTTAAGAACAACATCACTTATGCTTTGAAGAGGTTCAGTAAGTTCCCGAAAGAGGAGGACGATGCGTTTTTCCTAAGAACGATCGAGGAGTATCGCATCACCAAGAAGTTGTCCAAGTCTCGCCATCTGGTACACATTGAAGGGATCTACAGGTTTCAATCCTTGCCTGACTTGCATAGATCTTGGGGTCTCGTTATGGAATATTGTCCGGGTGGTGATTTGTTTACAATGATCGCAAAACCTGAATGGATGGGTGCTCCCCTTGACGAAAAGTACTGCATTTTCAAGCAGCTCTGCTACGGGTTGAAGTTTATGCACGATGCGGGAATCGTCCACCGAGACTTGAAACCGGAGAATATCTTGATTGATCTCAACGGGTTTGTAAAGTTGACTGATTTCGGGATTAGTTGTTACGGGAACGAAGCTCACGGTGATACAACCTCCCCGGTGAAGAAATGCTATCTGCACGTTGGTACAGAGCCTTACTGTCCGCCTGAGGTTTTTGCTTTGAAGGACAAACCTGAACTGGAAAGAATGAAACATTCATATAATCCGTATGGCATGGACTATTGGGCTTTGGGAATGACCTTATTTTGCTTGGTAAACCAGGGAACCCCCTTTAACGTTGCAGATCAAAAGAATAAACTTTACCGGGAGTACGTGACTTCCTACGCCATTCATAAGCATGCGTTTCCTCTGTTTTTGGAGCATAACAATGCCTCCCAAGCACCCGGGATGGAGTATCGATTTGCGCGGAATTTCCACTCTAAAAACGCCACGACTATTGCCTGGCGATTATGCGATCCCGACCCAAAAACTCGTATGACCTTATTGCAAATTTTTGAGAATGATTGGTTCAAGGGGATTGAAGTCTGCAGTGAAGAAGATGATTTTGAGTATTCACAACTGCAAGGTGGAGTCTCGAGCGCCAGTAGTGCAAACGGCGAGGTTCCTGAAGGGATGCTTGAGTCACGTCGCTCGGTTCCCGTGGAGGACGGCCTGTCCGACATAGGATTAAAAGAAGCGAAAGCCACAGTGTACCATACAAGCATGTTGGATTTTGTTGATAGTTCGGAGCTTCCTTCCCATGAGGAACTAGTCCCCTCGGTCCAGACATCTTCTGTTTCTCCTCCGTTGGGGATAGCCGTTGTGACCACTTCGCTCGGCCAGTTATCTGTCTCGGATAAGCGTTGGCCCAGCAAGAAGCCAAAGAGACATAATCACTTGGGTATCAATCCTGTTGCAAGCCTGTTGGGCGATTTTTAATGCAAATGCTTTGAATATTGGCGAGGCTGTTTTAATGCGGTTTTTTTTTCGCTTAATTCATACTGCCCTCTCTTCTTGTTGGGTAGTTCCTTAAAACACGCTACATATACCCTCCATTATAATAAAACAACCTTGATTAAAACCTAACAACCGGAAACAATAAATAAACAAGTGAAAATGGAAAGGAAAGGTGAAATGAAAATGAAAATAAAAATGCAAAAGCGAAAATGACGGCCCTAAAATGAGAAAATGTCAAGTGTTGGAAAATAGAGTACCAGGTGGAATATACGAGCATTTGAATTAAAACGAACGTAACGGTCCAGTAGTAGGCTCTGGCCGGCGACAAGTTCGTCGAAGAGGGCATGAGAGTTGAGTGCTACCACTTCCCATCCTAGGGGTCAAATGGAAGTCGAGCAGCTAATTCAAACATGCACTCTCTTACTCTCTTCAGGGTACCCTCCAAGCTTCTTTCTCTTCTTCAAGTCGCTATCCATGCCCGCGACACCAACTCCATTCAGCATGCTATCGTCCATCGCCAATTCAGCCACATCGAAGCCCGGAATACCCTCATGAGCGTTTGTTTTCTGGAACTGTAGCGCCCTTAGCAAGGTCTTTTGTCCTTCTTCAGCACTGAACTTCTTAATCACAACCGGTGGCATGCCTTGTTCCACCTTGGTTGGTTGGAAAATAATCCCAGATAAGTTGCGCTCCTTGGGGATCTGGTGTTTCCCCGGGAGATCCATCACATGTCCCTTATACGACTTCCTCAACTTGACTCCCTTTGATCCATCGGCATTGAATCGAGCAACAGAATCTGCCAAGTCCGTCAAGGAGTACAAAGACAAGAGGTCCTGGTTGAGCAGCGGAGCTGTCGGCTTGATAACGAACGACGAAACCAAATGGTAGTCATGTGTCTTGTCCGACGGAACAAAAGGCTCTTCGGAAGGCATCTTTGGTGTAGTATACCTAAGTATTCGATATAGTCTGCGCAACTCTTATCTCACACGCCTTATGGGGTAATCGATACTCCAAATGAAGCAACACAGAATAAACAGGGTTGATTATCACGTGGGGATATTTAGTGTGTGACAGGCACGTGATATATTTTAGGGCACAAGTCTCAAATGCTGCAGGTCTTAGTCTTGAAATCACAGTCACAGTAAAATATTTTTTTGTTGAGATATTTCACTTCTCCCCCCCATGCAGTGAAAAAAACCCCCGCCACACCTTAAGCTAGTCGCGAACGGGAAAACACCGGTGTGTATATCCTGCATATTATATTACTACAGGATATTTTTCAGAGAGAAAAAAGAAATTTTTCGTGTGCCGCACAACCAGGAAGAAAATTTTGCGCGTGCGAGCCCTGGGGTCTCATAGTATCCACACTGAGTGGCAGTAGTGGGAGGCCGTTAGTGGGCTGCCATTCCAAGGTGGGAGAGCAGGAGTCGGAAGATATACTTGAAAACTACGGTCTAATATAAGAGGTGTAACCTAATCTTTTGGGTTTTAAAAGGTCGTATATCAATAATCAAAAGTATGTGACCATACTGTGCAATGGAACGACGTATTATACCTGTCAAACAAGCAAAAAGCAAACTAGCGAGGAGCCAAGAACAAGAAACCATCCAATTGTGAAAAGTGCTCGAATGAATCATTGCAGACTATTGCTTAGGTGGCGGAATCGGTTACCAAAAGGTGCTATCAGGATGAATGGATCGCTGCTTATGGGGCGCAACTTCTGTTCGTATGGCACAACCTCAGTACAGCTTGGAAAATTTTCACCCCAGTACGATTCCAGCTTGTGCGTCCCTCGGTCGAACCAGCCAGTCCAAAATAAACTTGTTCTCTCCTGTCCTTAGCTTTTTGCATTGTCAGATAATACGTTTGTTCATACTCCAAGCTACGAATTAATACTAACAACCTCTAGATGGCTGCCTCTTTACCACACCCAAAGATTGTTAAGAAGCACTCCAAGAAGTTCAAGAGACATCACTCTGACAGATACCACCGTGTGTCCGAGAACTGGAGAAAGCAGAAGGGTATCGATTCTTGTGTCAGAAGAAGATTCAGAGGTACCATTTCCCAGCCAAAGATCGGTTACGGTTCTAACAACAGAACCAAGCACATGGCTCCATCTGGTCACAAGACCTTCTTGGTTAACAACGTCAAGTCCTTAGACTTGTTGTTGTTGCACACCAAGACCTACGCTGCCGAAATCGCCCACAACGTTTCTGCCAGAAACAGAGTTGAAATCTTGGCCAAGGCCAAGGCTTTCGGCTTGAAGGTCACCAACCCAAAGGGTCGTCTCGCTTTGGAAGCTTAAATCAAATCCGAAACTTAATTCTTCACAATATTTTATTGTTTTAATGATTTAATACTTTAAACAGTTTATGTTTGGTTTTGTATATTTTAACAGCGACTCGCTTCTACGTAAAACTGACTGTAGCTGTGTCAAGACAAGGACTGAAGCGTAAATACCTCTCTGGGTCATTACTCTTTGTCGCAAAGGGTATGGAGGTATATGCAAGTTTTGAGGAGTTTACTTCTCAAGTTCCAAGTACACTGAGAAACGTTGTCCATGGTCGGCATCTTTGATGAAAGTCCCCCGGGACAATGATTAATCCCTGAGCCAACAAGATGTTGGTATCTCTTCTGGAACCGAGTGTATGTAGTGCAGCACTATCATTCGGTCAATAAATGTGAGCTGGAAATCTTGCACGTACTGAATATAAATTGGTATAATTTAGCAGCTCACCTACTCGACTGCTTCTAGAGTGAAAGGATCTCTCATTTTATAATCTATTCGAATTTATTTTGAACTATACATATCTTTCATCCCGTCAGCTCAGCCCGGAGGCATAAGTTATAGACCACCCATAATAAGTCTTGACTCAAAGATCAGAGTTGTCACGCATTTGTAAAAACCTTCGCTTCGGTAGTCTTTACTTCGGTAGTCTTCATTCCGGTGGAATTCACTTCGGTGGTCTTCGCTTTGGTAGTCTTTGCTTCGGCTGCCCCCACTTCGGTAGTCTTTGCTTCAGTTGCCTCCACTTCGGCTGCCATTGCAGTTGTCTCCGGCCCCAGCTCTACCTCTGACTTATCCCCAACCAAATCCATCGCTCGGGTAAAGTTTGCGTAGTTTGTCAATGGCTTCGCGTGTGCCATCACCTTTTTCGTCCTGTTGTGGATCTTCATCTTGTTCCCCAAGATCTTCCCTGTTTGGGCAAGCAAAGCCTTGATCACATACTTCTTAAGCTCTAGAGCGATGTCCAATAATGTCCAGAGCTTATTTGCAAACGCAAACTCTGGAAGGTTCAATAACAAGCCATGCACGTTTACCATCCGCTTGATACCACTCACACCGTTGTAAGAGAGTTTCAACGTCATCGGAAACACTTTCAAGTGGATGATGGACATGTAGCTTGACGCACGCTGCATCATCTCGTCCACTTCATCGCCAAGCTCCTCGTCCATCCTCGTTATGGACGCGTCGCCAAGCTGCGATAAGTTCTTGTAGCCTGACGAGCCTGAAGTGGCGGACTTTTCCGGAGAGTGACCACTTCCGTCCTCGGGGCGAAGTCTTAAACGACTCTCCCGGTGCTCTGGCTTTCCTATGAGATCCGCTTCTAACGACTTCGGATCAGACTTGGCAAGCAACGGGCTTTCGCCCAATTTATCGTCATCCGTCTGGAAGATGTATCGAACTAACTTCTCGCCCATTTCCTGTTCAAGCTCCACGCTGAGGGGCTCTGCCTTGATCACAAAGTCCTTCACGATCTGGATCCCCCCAACGGTCTTGCCCAAATCCCACCGCACCTCAACCATGTTCTTATCCCGAAGGTACTCCGTGGTGTCCATCGACTGAACTGAAGCGTTGTCTTCTAAGGGGATAAACGGACGGAGAAGATCGGGGTAGTAGGTGCTTGGGGCAAGGTTGATGGCCTGCATCACACCGATGGTCACGCTGTTTCGGTTGGATCCGTCGGAGTTCTCTACGCGCTGAAACGCAGCGCGGGCAATAGCTAAGTCCACGAACGAATGACTGGTCTCGTCCAACATATGGAGGATGATCAGGTCCGCGCAGATATTCCACTCCAACAGCTCGCTGTTCGCCTGGTTGCCCATCGTAATCGCCTTCATGAGGAGGTATAACTCAGCCAAGATGTTGAGCTGCTCCATGGAGATGGTGGTGTAGTCGTTGAGCTGCTCATTATCAAGACAGTGCTGGCGGAAATTGTAGTTGTTGGCCATCTTACGCAATGCTTGGAATGAAAATACCAACAGCCGAATCTTGGTCGGGATGGCCTGGAGGTCGTTGAGGTCAATCAGGAGAGAGAGCTTGGCTAGGCGCTCGCTAAGCTCGTCCAGCATAGGCTCTGAGTAGATGAGGAGATCTAAAATGAGAAGATAGAGCGTGAAGTACTGTTTTGAGGTGCACGACACAACCACACGGGGAATATCCACCGACATCCGACTCCGGGCGGAGTCGGAATCAGAGGTTGTATCGGCATCCTGGGGGTTCCTTTCCCTGGAGGCCTTCTTCCGGATCTTTGTTTGGGCGCTCACAAGAGCATTCACCTGGTCATATCGAAGCATTATCGAGGTCTGCTCAATAAGTAAATGCTGCGCATGGATCGCCTGGTCCGAGAACACTCGCAGATCCAACCACGGCGGCCATTTGTCACTGCTGCCATAGCCGTCGCTCTGGCACAACTTCTCGCCGGCCTCCCTCGGCAAGAGGTAGATCGTGGCATCGTGGAGCATCACGCCGAAACGTTTCTCCACCACTTTGTCGTTAATCAATATCGCAATCAGCGGTTTCTCGAGCACTGCCACGATCTTCACCTCTATAAGCGGTGAAATAACGTTAATAGACGCATCTGGCGTCGCGATACTCGTGAGCTGGATCTGCGGAGAAATAAGTTGAATCAATATCTCATCCTCAAACACCTGGTCAGCCAAAACCTCACGGAGAGCTGTGTTGAAGCCGGCGAGACGATCTGCGCAAGTGGGCTCCATGTGATCAGTGACCGTGTTCGGAGAGGAGTCACCAGAATTGGACGAGTTGAGGGAGCTGGTATCATTGATCATACCCATAATAAGGGTCTCCTGACGCGTCATCTTACGCTGCACCACCAGTTGCATATCCTGGAACGCGTCGTGCTTGAGGAAGCTGAATATGGCTCCGCGAAGTTTGATGTAGTGGACAAACTTGTAGAGCAAGTTACGGGTCTCATTATCCCATTTGAGGAGGATGTCATGGAGCGTAAACCGGTTCTGGAACGCGTCGGCGTTGTCCGTGTGAGAGCTGATACTCTCCGACAGAGCAGACTCAAAATCGGCAGATCCAGTCCCTGTCACCTTCACACCTCCAGTCGTTTCTTCACATTCAGTATCCGCAGCTTGGAGGTCAATGGCTTGATCGGCCTGAGCATGCCTTTCTGGAGCTTGAGCCACTGCATCTATGGTAGTGGTTCGTGCGGCTTCGCCCGTTTCGGCCGCCTTTGCAGATCCGGTTCTTGCAGATTCTGTATGAGGTACTTCTGGCAGGATTTCCCGCACCCTATCATTGTCTTGTTCGCGGCTAGCACAGCCTTTGTTATCGCCAATTAAGCATTCGTGTAGAGGCTCGCTCCCCAAAGGCTTACCGTCGGGCTTGCTGCGCAGCGGCACGTCGCAAACGTACACCATCCGCGGCACTAACATCAACGGCAACACACGCACGCGACGTGCATGGCCTGCGACCGATGGTTGGAGAAATTCCTCAAAGTCTGCTGCCTCGACCCAGTCGGAGCTGTCGTCAGAGCTTTCACCAGAACCCTCGGAGCTGCCACCCGGACTCAGCACCGCCTCGACCAATCTCACGTCAATTTTCTTCACGTCCACTTGCCCTACATTGAGTATCATCTTCATCACCTTCTTGTTTCGTCCCAATGCCTCGTGGTGCTCTACCGCTGCTTCCTTGCGCTGGTGCAAGTCAATGGTGAGCGCCTCGACACGACCCTTCACCCCGATGCACATGTGGTCGCCTGCGATCGTATCCTGGTCATGGTACATGAGCAGAACAGTGATTGGGGCGATAACAAACTGGAACTTGAACGTCGCTAAGCGCTCCGAGAGCGCAGTTGTCAGCGGCGGCAGTCCAAAAAGGCGGCCCTGGCGAACGGGCAAATCCATGTTACCCGCAAACAAATGCCACCAGTCTATGAACTGCCGCAACGACCGTGGCGACAAGCTGATGGCGTTACGGCTTGTTGGTCCATCGGCAGTGACGGTAATCGCCATGTGGACGTATTCACTGCGGAACCCTGCGTACGCGTCGTGACCCTCAGGCACAAGGGCCGGGTTGCAAAGCTGCAATTTATGGAACGGGACGGATTCAAACGTCCGACCTTCCGCGGCGTTGCGCTCAAACATGTACCCGAGTCCGAAGAAGATCCCTCCAGTGAGTACCACACAGGTCTTAGCACCAACTATTGGCGGCGCGCGCCCCGCAAGCGCCATATCCGCATGAAGGAAATATGCAAACGTGGAGTTGAGGAACGCACGCGTGGTGGGTACGAGCACAGCCTTGTCGGTCTCACGACACCACACCAACAACGGCTGTGCGAGGTGGTTAGGCACTGTCCAGTTGACCTCGTCTGCACGTACCCCAAGGAAATCGCGCAGATCGTCGGTAGAGTTGATATCAACGCGCACGTCGCGCACAAACCCGAGTGTGAAGCCACCAGCAGTCCCAAGCAATGCGTACGGGTCGCGTGAGCCTTTGAGGTGGATGTGCAACTCGTTTGCTACTTCTAACTCGAACCGCCCGTGCACGAGCTGGCGCATTTTGTCCCACACCCCCACTTTTGGCGAGCGGTCCACTGGGGGCTTGGTAACGTTGTCAAAGCTCAACAGAAGCTGCTTCAATGCCGCCCGGTACGCGACCCCCCATGTGCCGGCTGCTGGCCGTTGTGTGTCGATGCGCGCCGCCATATCCATAAAACACCACATTGGAGCGAGCGTACGAGGAATCACCGTCGACACAAGAGAAGCCATCTCGGCTGTCCTATCACACACCGGCACCAACGGCACCCACACGTCACGCATGTTCTTGGGGTCACTGTCGAACTTCTCGCCCAACACGAGGTGGCCCTTAACCGAGAGCGCTGCCGCTGCGCGTGGCACCCAGAAAAGAGGCAAGGGATAGTCTCGGATGTGCCCACGAGCCTCTTGCGCCGTGAGCTCCACGTACATCGGCACGAGCAATGTCCAGGGCGTGTCGTCCGGGAGGCCTTGCCCCATGCGATAGAGGAAGTACCGAAGGTCTGCGAATTGGGGCTCGCTCAACCGCACATCGACCTCTGCGAGTGCAACTGAGAGGAGCGGCGCAAGGGGCGCGGGCGCCAACACATCGCGCGCAAACACCGGCGCAAGTCTGGCCTCTCCACCATACAAGTATTTTACGTTGCGTATGCTCTCTGCGCGTGACTTAGCCTTAAACGCCCGTACGCGGCGGATCCATGACCGCGAGAAGTACGCCATCAATGTGGCGTGTTGTGGGGTATTTTCGTCAGCGGTCCTGAGCGCAAGTTGGCGGAGCTTCTCGGTGCGCTGTGCCTGCTCAAGTAACCCTAACTGGAAGATCCCATTCAACTCACTCTCGAACGGATCATCCTCCACAGCCATCATCACTTTTGCTGTATGGAGTGCCACGTCAGGAAGCTGTACCGCCAGTTCAATCTCCAGCTGGACAACCAGCTCAACGTTATCATGGCCCAACGAGTATACGAGCTGCTTGGCCACCTTTGCCGTGAGCGCAAGCAGGTCAAAGAGTCGATAGAGGCGGAGCTGGTTTGGCATCACGATACGAATCGCTGCGGTGCGCACATCGATACTTGGCGGCTGTTTTTTCGTGTCGATGGTTGCCTCAGCAGCGTCTACACACGCTAACCGTGTCCAGAAGCCGGGAACCGTCGGAGACTCAAGGAGTAAGCGCACAAACTGCACCGCCACCTCGGCCGGACGGCCTTCACGGATACACGCATGGGCTTCAGAAACCTGGATGCGCATCTTGAGCAGCTCGGAGAACTCAAGAACCACATCCAACTCCGCAACCGTGACATTCACACGCAATAGTAGCGGTATTGGATTGGAGTGAATAGTATTGCCAAGCGCTGCGAGCGCTGTGGCCTCGCGGAGCGGCCCCACGACCGTGGCCTGGAGTAAGCTGGCCGCACCCACCATCACAAAGAGACAGTACACGCTGTAGTAGCTCTCGACACGAGAAACTTCCACGTCGAGGGTCAAGCGCCGCGAAGAGGGAGGGCCATTCGGGTGATATTCTACCGTTTGCTTCGATCCCTCGTTAATGTTTTCCGGATAGAACTCCAACGTTACGTTAGGAACCCGTAAGAACTTCTCGTACTTTGCTGTAGCCAGTGTGTTTTCATATACCGGCACGATCGCAAGGCCCCGCGTCTGCACCTTCACCCCCCATGGAAGGCTAGAGCCCTCGGCCTCTTTGGTAAGCTGTGCGTCAACCTCTGCAATTTTGCATGCCACGCTGCCAGTTGCCCCAGCGGAGGTTATGGCGGGGTCGAACACAGACTTGGATCCAAGCACGATGTCCACCTGTGTCACCGAAATGGTGGCGGTTTCGAGCCATGGAGGGAGCTCGCCGAATCGGTCGTCGACGCTAGGGCTCTGGAGCGTCTGAAGCTCATCGGGCACGCTGAACGCATCGGAGGCTTTGAGTATGCGGAATTCTCTCAGTGTCTCGGTGAGAAGCCGTGAAATGCCGAGCAAGACAGGGATGGCACAGAGGTCAACCCTGACACCGGTGACTGTTACATCCACGCGCGTTGCGAACCGCCCGCTCTTCTGGGAAACACCGCGCACACCGAGGTTCTGGATGTGGAGGATGTCTGCGAGATGGGTGTCATTTTCACGGTACCCCAAACGAACGTTCAACACGTCAAGAGAAGTCTCGTAGCGTCCGCCGCGCGAACCGATCTGGAGACTGAGTAACGCGAGCGAGAGCTTTGTGAGACGCAAGGTGTCGGAACGATGTTTGATGATGAGCGCTGGTTGCTCAAGTGTCAATTTCACGTTGACAACAGGAAGCAGAGATGATGCCATAGCCAAAGCGGAGGGCATAGCTGCACTCCGAGGAATATCCCAATCCGAAGTTCCTTTCCCTGGCTTTCCCATCTTGTAGAGTTGGTAGCGTTGGACCAAAACACCGTTGAACACGGCCAAGGCGAGAGCTGCCGTGGAAAGGTCCACAGTCGGACTGGAGACGGAGGCGGCACCCACGACACGGCACGCGGCCCAGCCGCTATCGTACCTTAAATGAACACCGAACTGCTGCCAGAAGTTCGACTGGATAGAAAGGCTGAGGCTGGGGATGGCAGCGAGCGGCACACGCTGCGGTTTCTTGCCTGGAATACGATGCCATAAGTTGAGCTGCACGAGTGACGAAGTGGATACCACCTGGGATGCACGCTCATCTAGACGGAAGTGGAGGTCATAGCCGGGGGAGAGAGGGTCTAGGTGCTTGTGCGTGGTGGAACTGGACTTCACTCTGAACTGGAGGAAGTGGTTCAAGGAGTCGGTGAGACCAGCCTCGACGGAATGGAAGTTGGAAAGGAATGGAATATCGTCCACCTTAATGTTTTCCAAGTGGAAGGTGACCTCATCAATGGAGGTTTCAAGGAGTTCCAACCACATAGCCATAGAATCAAGATCTGAGGCTGGGCGAAGCTCTGAGTCCTGTGGCCCAGTATTGGCATGTAGTTCAAAGTCCTTCGAGTGGGGCTGTAGATCGGAGCTCTTTGGAGGGGATTGAATCTCTACTTGAGGCTCATTTATCTTAAGTAAGGTCGCCAACGACGCTGTCAACTTGAACACGAACACACGCACCTTCGTTCTGGAGAGTACCCCGGTCTTCCGGTCGATTAATGTGGACACCTCGAGCCGGAGAGTATCCAAGTACTGCCCGCTCCACTCAACCTGACTCAACAAAGTACTAAGACTGAGTTTCCAGGAATTATCGACTGTCGCATGGTCTAGGGCACTCACTTCGAGCCGATAAGCTGTGACTGGTGGAAGCTTCCCCACCAACACAGACGTGTCCTTCAAGAGAATCTTGGTGGCTGGCAAGTGGGCGAGCAAGAACTGCACTATCGCTCGGCCCTCCCTTGGATAAATCGAAAGGACAGGTATGGGTTTCTGGGCGTTCTCCATAGAGTCTGGATTATTCTGATTCGTATTGGTCGAGACGTGCACCACAATGTGGGTGCTGTCCGCCACAAACTTGAGGCGCTCCTTGCGATCCCAGAGGTTTAGCCTGAGATAAAGGCTGCGGATATTGATGGAAACTCCTGGTTGGGTAATGGAAATGGAGCTCACCCGGAGCATGAATGGGTTGATGGAGCCAATGTATACCCCTGTAAAGGCGTACAACCCCCATTTGGCAAGGACTGCAAGGCCAACAAGTATTAGCGCCAGATAGGCCAAGTATGGCCAATAGGCACTTTCAAGCCCAAACATTTGGTCTTTTGGGATTTAGATGAACCAATTCCGGGAACTGTGAACGAGACACTTTTGTTATCCGCCACAGCCGGTGCCTCCCTCAAGGTATCCCTCCAGCTCGACGCATACGGCGGACATGTCCAGTGCATTACGTGCAGGCGGGCTTGCATGGTACAAAATACGCACAAAAGGTAAGAATGGGTAAGGCTATGTCCAGTGTTCAAGTTGATGTCAAACTTTCCAGAGAATCGTGGTTCATTATCTTAGGATTTAACATGTTTAAATTCCAAGATAATGGACTACTAAGGCCATAAGGGATGGTGAAGTTGGCGGCTGGTCCTGATGAGTCCAGCAATGCATACGCTATATGCAGTTTAGATCTACGGGGAGAGGAACAATTAGCTACAAGCCCCACGGAGCTCAGCGTTGTTGAATATAATAAGGGAAATGCCAGTTTTGCTTGGCAAGGAATAATCTGAGTAGAGTTATCCTTTGGACCATCGGCTGCAGACAATTTGGCCCAAGTTAGGGGCAGTTCAGGCTACTGGGAAATAGACTGTCATCGACAAATAGGGCATCTTTTCCATAACGTGTTGGTGTTATACTTTGTGTCCTAGGCTGGACACTTCATATTCTGATATATGCCTGGGACAGGCAAAATTCCTAAACTTATAATCCTTTCTCTTTTTGTAATATGGTCATTACCGCCTAGGATAGGGTATATTTCATAATAAATAGGCATAGAGTAAGGACTGTGACTCTATATACTGCGGGGTACTGACACTAGCCTGTCGTCTATGTATGACTGGTAGTGTTTGCGGTGTGATACACACGGTGGGCCAACCCTTTTAACGGCCCCGGTCTCTGCACGAAAGATTAGCTAAACTCATACTGTAGCCGGATTTCCCGTCCAGCTGAACCACAAAATGCCAATTATCTTGTTTCCATCGTACTGGTAACCAAAACTACACCTATCTAATTAAACCTTTTTTATTCTCGGCAGCATCTATATACGATAGGGAAACGCTTCAGATCACCCTTAAAATACACGATTATTTCTTAGAAACAACCTCCCAACCATCGGTGCCGACCTCGTTGATGGTCAAGGCAGCGGCAGCCTTTTCCAACTCGGTCTGCTGGACCTCCGGCTTGGTCTGCTGGATCTCAGCAGCCTCCTCGGTTTCGTCGCCAGAGACAGACAAGGCGTTGAAGGCAGACTTATGGGTCTGTAGAATCTTTTCCTCATTCTTCTGAGCAGCTGCCCTCTTCGGAGGCAAAGTCTCGCCACGCTTCCAGTCCATGGTAGCAACTGGCTTATCGGCACGAGGCTTGAACTCTCTCTTCTCTCTCGGCGGTAATGGACCAGATCTAGGGGCAGACCAGTCAAAGACTGGTTCTTCTCTCTTTGGCTTGCGCTCGAAGTCATCGTCTCTGTTTTCTCTTCTGAAACCGCCCTCTCTTGGTGGTAATGGTCCTCTGGAAGCGGACCAGTCGACGTTAGGATCCTCTCTTCTTGGCTTGCGCTCGAAGCCCTCGCCTTCCTCTCTTTTAAAGCCACCTTCTCTTCTGAACTCGCCTTCTCTTGGAGGCAATGGGCCACTTCTAGAGGCAGACCAGTCGATTTCTGGCTCCTCTCTTCTTGGCTTACGTTCGAAGCCCTCGCCTTCCTCCCTTCTGAAGCCTCCCTCTCTGTCCTCTCTTCTGAAACCGCCTTCTCTTGGAGGCAATGGGCCCCTGGAGGCAGACCAGTCCACGTTTGGTTCCTCACGTCTTGGGCGGTCACCTCTATCGTTTCTGTCACCACCTCTGGATGCAAACCCTCCTCTCGCAGCACCCCAGTCTAATTCTTCTCTTTCTGGAGCAGCAACGGAGACAAAGACTCTTCTCTCACCCATGTTGACACCAGTAAGCTTCAAGGATTCCTCCAACAAGTCCCTGGATGGGAAGGTGATGAAACCAAACCCTCTCAACTTTCCAGTCATGGTGTCGATCGGCAAGCTGACCTCACCAACATCGGACTTAGGAACGTTCAACTGTCTAGCAAACCATTCGGCGATCTCTTCTTCGGTGATTTCCCAAGAAAGGTTGCTGACTTTGGCCTTGTATGGACCAGATTCTGGGATTGGGTACTCAACTCTCTCGCGGCGAGGCTCCTGGGAGGCAAAAGACTCGAAAGAGGTCTTCTGGCCGAACGGAGTGGCGGCGCTCTTGGTTGGGACGGAGATGGACGACATGTCGACATCATCATCGGCCCAGGACCCACCGAAACTGTCATCGGCGAGGAAGGACCCCAAGTCCATCTTCTTCATGTTCTTCTTTGGTGGCATGGTGAAAGTTATTGGTTGGAGAAGTGCTGGAGAGTGTAGGCCCAGGTGCGCCAGGTGTCGTTTTCTGTAAGATTTTTATATACCTGAAAATTTTTTGAGGAGTCCGGCTTAGGTAAGCAGCGCCACCACCACTGCGGCTATAGGGGCGCATCTCCACACTAGCCACAGCACAGGGCGAGCGGAGTGTCGAAGAGGGTCTTTAAAAGGGAGGAATAGAATTGATTCTTTGGTTCAACATATCCTATCTGATGTGAATTGCACTATGTTCTAGCTTTTGTTAATAAAAGAAAAATGGAGCTGGTGCGCAGTCTTTTCTCTGTAAGCCAAAGCACTGGTCAAAATTTAATACTGGCTGCATCCGTAGAGCAGAAATTTATAAATATTCATCACGTTAAGGGGGCTTTAATGTCAGTATATTTTAGTATTAGTCTTTTTCTTTTTAATGATAAACTGGTTCTTTAATGAAAAGGAAGTTCTCTGCCACGGTTTAGTGGTATTTCCAAATAGCTCTGTGGCCATAAAAAGGGTAGTCTCGAGTTTATGGGAATAAATCTCAAACATAATACCATCTATTTTAAATCAACTCGAGCACGGCAGTACCAGGAATTTTAACCATTGCACTAGGCAAGCCGATTACTGGTGGGGACTGCTTGGATGGGCATTATCCAGGCTAACTCCCTCAACCCTAATTGCTCTTTCAGTACATTTATCAACTCATTATATTGGGTTATTATAGCTGTAGGGCGGAGTTTTATATTTCTATTCTAACAAGTATTCACACCTACCTACCATTTTATCACTGCTTAGCCTCGGGGATTCCTTTGTGAATTCTCCCTCCTGGATATACTCAGGATAGAACCGCAATTTGATATATCCCACATTCCCTTTACATTACTCTATTTTTTTCATGCATCTAATCTGTTCTTCTATAGAACATTAATCTCGTACACTAACAACAACTCAGTGCTAACACCCAGCCAGCCACGGTTTCCACTCGCACTAATCATGAAGCGGCACGTCGGATCAACGTAGAGCGTCGACAAGACCCCGCCATGGTGCCCTGGAATGATCGAAAACGGTGTCTTCTTGGAGCCCAGATGGCGCCGCAAGTCGTACAAGCGGACATTATCCTGCGACCCACACAAAACGTGGGTGTTGTTGGGCATGATTTCGACAGTGGAGACGGCCCCAGAGACCAGTGGGAATCTTAGCGTCTTGGTCACGTTCGGAATGTTCAGCTTCAACGGCATCTTCAACGAGAACTCCTCAATGGTGCTATTTCTTCTCCCAGCGTAGATAAACTCTCCATCACCGGACCAGCACGCACTCATACACCACGGCGGGGTGTTCTTGGGTACCGCATAGTGGATGACCGGCTGGCTCGTACGGATGTCCCAGATATCGATGGCCCCATCAATAGATGACGACATGAAGATGTTCTGATCCACTAGCCTCACAGACTGTGGGGATTCCATTGCCGCTTTGACATCTTCGGGTGTTTTGTCCTCGCTCTCAAGTTTCACCTGCTCTGCATCGCTGGCATCCTCCTTATCAGAGTCGCCGAATAACGAATCAAGATCGTCATCCTTCTTTTCCTCTGTGGCATTATCCTCTGGGGCTAACACCAACGCGGTGCTACCGGTTGGCCTGTGCTTGATGCTCGATATCTGGCCCCCAGCGCCGCTGAAGTCCCTGATCTCGCTTCCAGTATTCAAGTCCCATTGCACAATGCTGCTATCCCACGAGCCAGACAAGAAACTCTTTTCGTCTCCTTCCAAGCTTAGTACACTGACAGTGCTCTTGTGTCTGCTAAAGTAGTGCTGGATGGATCCCTCAGAATGCCGTACCGTCTGTAATGTGATACCCCCGGACCTGAGCCCGGCCAATAGCCACAACGCGTTGCTCTCCACTGCGAGAGAGTACACGGGCGAGACCTGCGGCTCGTATGTGGCAGTATCCGCGAGGTTGCCGCGAAGAATCGGTTGTTCGTTTTCCCAGTACGACGTGACGACCCCGGCGTTGACGATGGAGTCCACGAGCGAGTGTCGCTGCGCCACCGTCAACGGGGACTTACCCTCAATCGTACCAATAAAGTCGATTTTCCGTATAAACCCGTCCTCACCACCCGTAAACAACCACTTGGGGCCAGCCGAAAGTGCAAGTGATTGAATCGCAGTGCTCTGCGCCACAGCAACGGTTGGTGTGTACTCGTAGCCGTTAGCTAGCTGAGCGTTGAGGTGCAACTTATCTCTGTAGTTTGTCGCCTTGAGCTTGGTTTCGCCGTCGCTGGCTGGCGAACCCCTCAGATCTTCGTCCTTGCGAGGCTCTTCCATGGCTATATCCGCATCGTCTGTATCTTCCTTTAGAACATCATCCTTGGCTGTGGCAAGCTGGGATTCATCTCCTTCCACCTTGGTCTCCTCCTCTTCTTCCTCCTCTTCCTCCTCCTCTTCTTCCTCTTCTTCTTCTTCCTCTTCCTCCTCATCCTCGTCGTCCTCCTCCTCATCTATTGGCTGGCTCGGAGCGTCCATTTCGACGTCTTCTTCCTGTTCGTCGTCCTGTTCGTCGTCGTCGATCTCCTGGTCGTTGAACAAATCGTCTTCCAAGTCCATGTTGTGTATGTAATGTCGTTTAGACTTGGGTCAATTGTGGAGTTCTGGTTGGTATTTATGAAATTTGTACACGGCTGGTGTCCGGTACAGAGGGAGATTTGGGTAGCGAAAAAAAGGTCAAATGATTTCGCCCAGGATCGAACTGGGGACGTACTGCGTGTTAAGCAGGTGCCATAACCAACTAGACCACGAAACCATCCGATACATCTTTTTGAATACGGTTAGCCCTGAGCATGGAATACTGTACTGATTCTGTGTCTTATTTATTTAACCAGCACTTTCAGGATATTACTTCTGTTAATATTTCTCAATAAATAGCTATACTGTATATATATAATCTAAGTCATATGTGCTGGGCTATAGTATATATCAATAATCTAGAATTCACGCACATTCATAAATTAGCTCTTAAAACAATTTACACAATCTACAAGAGTAAACAAAAGTTTACATTTATTCAATATATATATATATCAGATATTTGAGTATTTAGACAAATAATTGTTTTCAGGGATTTAATTAAGATACCAGTAGTTAAGATCAAATTAAGGAGCTATATACATATTTACCAAAATTGAATTATCTTCTTAATTGTGGCACCAATGGGTGCTACATGGCGGCATCGCGGCTGCTAGTGTCTGAAAAGTGCGAATTTTCGCTTCGTATTAGCATGAATTCGAAGGATAACGTACAGGAGCTGTCTACACTGGGATACGGCGAAGATACGTTCCTGTGAAGAACGGTTCATTTTCTACAAATGGGGCAGAAAATAGCCTACGGTAATAGTTACTTCAAAGCTTCAGACTTCATTGAAGCCCCAACCTCTCGCGATTTGCCTTCACCACAGGCCAAACCCCTATGTAACCAGATAACACTGTAGATCTCCACCCTTGCTTGCATGCGAAGGACAGAGTCACATCAGATAACTCATGCATATTAGATAGATACTATGAATAGTACTGCTTGTAAATTCATGGCCTTAAAAGATTTTTGATATATCAGCGAGCTAACTCACCTCCGGACTTGGATTCCGGGGCATTCCTATTGTTCCTGGCTTGTCACCTGCACATAACGTAAAAGGGACGTGATCGGATAACAGCGTCCCTGGAATTTTTCGCTCTGCATTGTTTACATTTAGCAGAGTTTTTGGCGTCACAAACACAGACCTCGTCTAGCAAACACGTAAGAACAAACACCGATCAGATCCCTCTCTTTTATAGCCTTATATTCCTTCTCTTTTAGCCATGACCAACAAATCTTCCGGACTGTTACTAGATCGTGAGATGGGGAAATTTGAGATCAACCAGACGGCCGATACTACTCCCAAGAAAAGCTTTCTTTCTCCATCCAAATCATATACACAAACATTCAAGACGCCTGTAGCACAGAAAACCGCTATATCCACGCCTTACAACGGAACAGAGACCCCGCTAGTCGCTAGTGACAAGGAAAACTGCTTGTCTGGGAACAAGCGAGGCCCTACCACTCCTATTACTCCTACTTTGGATACCTTGCGGACCAGCGTACCACGCAAGAGGCTCACCAAAATTGGTGACATCACTATTGACGAAGGGTTTCTGGACTCATCCATGGACACCAACATGCGCATGTGGACCAAATCGGCCGGTGGAAAGAAGCAAAAGGACAACCTGGTGAACCGCGGAGAGGGCGACGGGCTCAATAATTTGGTGCAAAGACTTGCTGATCTTGCAACCCCTACAAAAGCTACTTCCCCCTCTGCTCGTTCTGATTCGGATGTTGGGAAGACGCCGCCGACGGAAGGAAAGGTGAGACGAACACTGAGACATGCGCTCAGCTTTGGGGATTTGTTGTCCAAGTCTAATGTGGATATGGAACACTGGGATGCTTTGGGCGATGCTGAGTTGAAGATCGATTCGGATGAGGACTGGGTCTCGAACCGGAAACAGGTGTCTAATGCCAACTATCTTGAGTCAGTGGAAGCCAGGTACTGCTTGTGGAAAACCAGAGCGGAGTTGAAACGCTCCAAGGAATTGGTGGAGTTTTTGACGATGGAAAGAAAGTTTGCCTTGGAAGAGGCTCTTTGCCGTTCCTGACGATTGTTGCTAAAAAGATGATATACCAGGAACCTAGTGTGCAGAGGAGGCTTGATACGTCATGCTCTTTTAGAAGTCAACTCTGAGGGTACGTTATTTCTGGTTTCATAATCTGCTGGTAATGGAAAGTAACAAACTTCACCAAACGTCGTGCTAACAAGTCTTCTGACCTTACTCGGATTTTGAAGCCGCGCGACGTCATCCTCTTAGAGTTAGTTGATCTGATTCACCTATTTATCTTCTTTCCCACATGAAAGTGGGCTGTCTTTCCGTGACATTCTCCACTCAATATCCTTATCCCTTGACTGGTTCCTGATAAGTAATAGCTTGTAATTTATATCTGTATCACTGATGGTTTTGTAGGTCTACGGTACAGTCGGTAAATCCAAATTAACCGGGGCTTTTAGTCGATATGGTCACGAGATGCTTTCATACTAATGCTCTACCTAACCAACTTTACGGTAAGTGGCATGTCCAGGAAGCCTCATGAAAGATCAGAATGTAGTTCTCTAATCGGTACAGCGTTTGATACGGACCAAGCCATAGAATACAGATAAATAGTAGCCTAAGATCTTGTCTTGTTGGGGAGTAAGCCACGTGAGCTTATCCACCATGAACCTGGCCATGTGTGAAAGCAAGATCTCTTAGACCATTACCTGTATAGGTGTGAGTCTAGTCGTGTCCAGGAATGTCAACGATGTGCGGTAAACGGTCCAGTGGAATGGCCGGGGGCTGTCAGCGTGAGAAGAAAAAAATCCTACACCATATATTCTGAAAATCACAAAACCAAGCCTTTGTACCCCAGGGAAAACAAAGAAACAAGGATACAAACATATACGTAGAGGGGGCTGTGGATCCGTCGGTGGGTTAAAGAGAGCCACGTGAGCTTTATGAGCACGTTTTCTCTATTAATTAAACGCAGGCTTGGACCAGGGACATGCACGTCGTTATAATTTCGCAGCCCTAAAACCTGGATTCTCCAATCTCTTGGCGGAAAACTGGCCTCCACGAAGCTCTTTATTACCCGTTTTTTCGGTCTTATACATAACTAATTTACAGTTTGTATTTTCCAAACAAAGGGACAGCTTACAGAAAAACACCGAAGGGTGATAAAGAGCTTCGTGGGGATGTGATGGGTGGTGCGTTGTGACGTAGATCTTTTTGTTTATCCGTACAGCATATGTTCGGTGCGCTACAATCGCCGGAGAGGCTGTTGCAGAGAAAACATATAGCATTTGTCAGAATCTAAATAAAGTTTATACTGTAATTGAAACTATTTTTCGGGGACGGGGCAGGGCGTAATCTACCTAAGGGTCTATTGGGTCGCGCGAGCGTACCGGTAAAAACATGAACCAATAAATGTGAAAAGGTTACCGCCATACGCGGCGAAATTTTCGAACCAGCTCATAATAGCAGAGGTATAGACATGGAATCAAAGGTTAGAGTGGAATGTATATGACCGTATTTTTCTGCCCACGTTTTCTCGAAACGCCAAGTCTTCTCAAAAGGCAGCCACTAACAAATTTCTTAGCCTAACCTCACATGTGGTAACAGCACAGGAGTAATTCGCGGTTTGCCAAGGCTACCATACGATCTATGGTAGGGCTCTAATTAACAACTATTAGAAGTGGATTACCATACAACTTAATATCTTTCCAAGTTTTGCAGATTAATTAATGAATTCTTGGCGAACATGCAAGACAGCTTGCTTTCCGAGTGTATCTAAATAGAGGGCCACTCGGTAATTGTATAAATGAAACAAAAATCCACGATACAAAAAATCTATTTCCAGTAATATCTCAAGATAACAACAACCTAAGAAACCTTAACAGGAAACACTTACCCAGTTTTAGCTCTTTCCATCACTGACACATAAACAAGTGAACTCTGAAGGATGCAATTACAACAATTTGACTATATCTTCGCGATTGCGGTGATTTTCGCCTTCTTGGATGCCTGGAACATTGGTGCCAATGATGTTGCCAACTCTTTTGCCTCCTCTGTTTCCTCCAGAGCTTTGAAGTACTGGCAAGCGATGATTTTGGCCGCCATCTGCGAATTTTTGGGTGCCGTGTTAGCTGGTAGCAGAGTTGCGGATACGATTAGAAATAAGATCATGAATATCGAAAAGTTTGAGGAAGACCCAGCCGTTTTGATGTTAGCCATGGCTTGTGCTTTAGTCGGTTCTTCTACTTGGTTGACTATTGCTACCTCCATCGGTATGCCTGTTTCCACTACACACTCTATCGTTGGTGCTTCTATTGGTGCGGGTATTGCTTCTATCGGTGGGAAGAACATCCACTGGGGTTGGAACGGTGTTTCCCAGATCATTGCTTCCTGGTTCATTGCTCCATGTATCGCTGGTGGTTTTGCCTCCATTATCTTTTTGATCTCCAAGTTTGGTGTCTTGGAAAGAAAGCATGCCGTTCGTAATGGTTTATGGTTTGCTCCATGTCTCGTTTACTTGACCTTCAGCATTTTGACCATGTTGATTGTTTGGAAGGGTGCTCCAAATTTGAAGTTGAACAAGTTATCGGGTCAAACGATCATCTCATCCATCTTCGGAGTTGGTGCCGTTGCCACCACTTTGTATATGATCTTCGTATTCCCTGTTATGCAGAGAAAGTTGATCCACGAAGATTGGACTTTGAAGTGGTACGATGTGTTCAGAGGTCCAATCTACTACTTCAAGAGCATCGATTCTATCCCACCAATGCCAGAAGGCCACCTCTTGGTTATCGATTACTATAAGGGCCGTCGTGGTATCACCGAAACAACCGAAGCTGCCACTTCAGGTGCTAGCACCAGTGAAGAAGATGGCTTGAAGGAAGGCAATGCCATTGAGTTTACCGAAGAGGACTCCCTTGCTGTTCGTGAAACCTCTAACGTGAATGCTCCTGCTAAACTTGACACCGAGCCTAAGATGTCTACTCGCCAATTATGGTGGTACTTGTTCAAGCAGGGCCCAAGCCAATGGGGTCACTTGGGTTGGTTGATGCTCAAGCACGGATGGGACCAGGATATTATCAATTCCCAACTTTCTGAAAAGGATGCCTTGAGTGGTGACTTGGCTGGTATGCACTCCAGATCGAAGTTTTACGACAACAAATTGGAACACTTGTTCTCCTTGTTGCAAGCCATTACCGCCTGCACCATGTCCTTCGCCCACGGCTCTAACGATATCGCCAACGCCGCCGGTCCGTTATCTACTGTTTACACCGTGTGGAAAACTAACACTGCGGGCTCTAAGGCCGACGTTCCAATTTGGGTCTTGTGTTTCACCGCCGGATCCTTGGTTTTGGGTTGTTGGACTTACGGTTACAGAATCATGAAGAATTTGGGTAACAAGTTGATTTTACAATCCCCATCCCGTGGCTTTGCCATTGAATTGGGTGCCGCCATCACCACTGTCATGGCTACTCAATTGGGGATTCCAGTCTCCACCACTCAGAGTGCTGTCGGTGCTACCGTCTTTGTTGGCTTGTGTAACAAGGACTTCAAGGCTGTTAACTGGAGAATGGTTATCTGGTGTTACTTGGGGTGGTTAGTCACTTTACCATGCGCCGGGCTCGTGGCTGGTATCTTAATGGGGATTGTTCTCAACGCTCCTCACTTTGGTGGTGTCTACACCCTTCTGTAGGTATGGACAGAATAACCTTGACACATGTGTTACATTGCTTTTTAATATTTTCATTTTCTTCCTTTTGCAGTTCGTTTAAATACACCTTCGTTTAATTTTAGTTTTCTCATAAGCGAATTTCAGCAGCTATAAGCACAGATCCGCAATCCTTTAGAATTAATCGAATCCGTCACCTGTGAAAGTACCTCCACGTTCATCAAGATACTTCGCTCCACATATACCTGCTTTTACCAAGACCGGAAAAACATACCCTAATCATAAACTACCCAGAGCCATCTCTAAAGATGAGGAAATGACATGCTCCAAGGATTAGATTGGTGTCGCTACTCGCGGAATTGCCACAGGGGTATGTCCGCCACAGTGTTAGCTACAGAGAGAAGATTCGGTGATACACCAAGGGGGTAACATATTGGAAAGGAGGATAACTAGATAACGTGCTGTGAAATTTGTATATAATAATTGGAGATGCTTGCCTAAACCTTCGTGCTCCACTTGGAAATGACGATTAGGTACCACAAGAGCTGAATGCTTGCTTCTAGAAAACGAAACAAGTGATTAAGGAACTTCTAATAAGGACCGAATATTGCACGTACACTTGAACACTTAATGCGTGATTAAGAGTCAGTTGAATTTCAACGTCAAGCCATTCATGAAGTATTTCGTATGGTGCATCAAAAGCCGTTAACATAGTATTGTACCTGAATGCAACTTTTGTGCTTCCATATCTTGTCCATAGGCGGGTCTCTGTCAATGTATATTACCGTGAGATTCGAGCCCAGCGTACATCGTAGAAGAGAGGTAGCCTGTGTGTGACTTTAGTCCATGAATCAACTCCACAAGTACAATATTTATAGCATCTTCGTATCTTAGTTAACCGTTGCATAATCTGATAGGACACTTGGCCCTTGAATGGCCAGTTGAATTGCAATATGAACACGTCTTCTTGGACATCTTCTTCAAGTATCTAGGATTCGTTGGGTTTGGGGATTGTTGTAGAACGCCTCCATTTAGAAGCGGTGGCGAATTGGATGGTGTGAGCTTGAGTCGTGTCTCAAGTTGGTTAGCGAGCTCTAAGCCCGACTCATCCTTAACTAGTGGTGGTATCCTCTCAACTTTGGGGATTAATAAGTATGGAAATTTATCGATATGAGATATGTTCCAAATCTCCAGGTCGCAGCTTTGGCACTTTTGACTCTCTAGACATCTGCTGATTTCGAACAAGTCTGTCCGAGTGGACTGTCCATCTACCTGCGTTCCATAGGAGGGTTCTAGCTCCTTACCATGGGACTGCATTTGAGCTTTCAAAACGGCTGAATAGTACTCAACTTCATGGAGCTTTCTTTCATACTCTTTCTTCAACAAATCCAAGATTTTGTTCTTCTCATTGATGACTTTGGCAAGCTTATCGACTGAGTCAGATACTTGTGGAATATGGGCATTATTCATGATTATATGCTGCGTGTGACTTCTTTCGTTACACAATATGTCAAGGGATTTGTGCTGGATGTAGATAAGAGCCTCTGAAGATGTTTCAATCGGCAGAAAAGACCCTTGGTAGATTGAGAGCGTCTACACCTTGATTTTTCGTTATACATGCCCTGCATATAGGCCGTTTGGGACCCCACTACTCCTCTAACTCCACCCTGAACCAAACCGGGATGTATTATGCTTAGTAAACGGTCAAATTAGAAGATACGACGGCTCAAAGGCCTCCCAATGACAGACAAAGAATCCGAGGAAATTTTAACCATTATGGGCCAAAGTGCGGCGTTGGTTAAGAGCGATCTTCTAGAAAATATTCTGTCATGTGACCAGCTTGGCCGACATGCACACCGAGAATTCGGCCTGTCAAAAAAGCTCAGCTTCAAAATATAACACATGTTTAACGGTCTAAATACAGTAAATTACGGGGGAACGGCTGTTGAATTGTATGTCGACCGATACGGGGGTTCGTTCTGACGTCTGGAGCTCAATACCACGAAGTGAGTCCATTTTCCCGCGAAAAGACCTACAAATGCACAATTCGGATATAGCACGTGCGATATTAAATTTAAGGTATGGCGGAGAGAAAATTATTTTCAACCGCACGTGACCCGTAGGAAATACAAAACGATAAGCCGGAATGGAAAACTATTTCCGACTCCGAAGCAAGTGTGGTACCGAGCCGAAACCACTTCAAGGCTTTATTTCTCTTTCATTTGATATCGGAGCTAATTCTTCAACCAGTATCGTATCTATATCCGAAGTGAGGTCGAATAAGAGGAGGGTTGATACAGGATTGAGACCGCATGAGCTGATACAATTTAGGATAGATTTTTTGGTGGTATTCATTCCAGCCTTACGCTGATTACTAATGGCACTCTGAGCTATAAGCTATCCACATTACCACCGATGCCTCAAAGCGTCACGAGATTAACAGCTGCATAGGCGTTATTCTGATTGTGGATAAGGATTAGAAATTCCTCGACTAAAAACAAGCAAACACTCACAGGCTTTTTACAAAAATAGAATGTAACAAAATATAAAACTGTCCAAAAACCTCTAGTTCCGTTTCTGGATATCAACATATCTAGTGATTGACAAAAAACCAGGCAGGTGATAGATCTAAATACCTAAATCAATGCTGCTGCCAGCAATCCATGAAACATTAACTGGCAGTCTTGGCGTAGGGATGTTTAAATATAGCTACAATAATGGCACAGCTTCGCCAATGCTGCTTCTCGCGTAAACCCAACTACGTAGGTGTTATAAAAGTAGATCAAGACAGCAAGGTCTTAACCATTATACCATAACTCTCCGTGAGTCTGAGTAATACGATATCAGCGAGGACAGTGAGATTATTATTAAGACCCTGATTAACGTTTAGCGTACCACTCCGCGGGAACCCGGGCCCATACGCGGCTAGTACAGCTGAGCACCCGTACGTCAACGTTCTACGTATATATAAGGTACAGCCTCTTCCGAAACCAGTACACCCTTGCTTATCTCCTTCAAGTGCGTCCATACTACGCCGCTCTCTATGCCTAAAGCCGTACTAAAGCGACAGAAGTTCGCGAAACTCTAATCTAAATGCAGCTACTTTCCGTAAAATGTCGGCTTTAGGCAGCAGCTGCAGATATTTGTTCAGCCTCTTTGGATGCCTGCAGCACATTTGTAAGCGCGGCTCCCTTTTAGCTAAAGGCAGCATGGGTAGAAGGGCATAAGCCGCATGAACCATGCACATAGTGTTTTTATTGCTGTGTTTGGGGGAAATTTCACGTTTTCATGTTAGTTTCGGCCAAAATTCTTATCCCCTTTGCTTAGACCTCAAAAAAGAAAAAAAAAAAGACTCAGTCAATGTTACCAACATATATATAAACCTGTTCCCTCACTTGTCTATTTTAATTTCCGATACCTCCCTTCTTTTCATCTCCGCTATATTACTTACCCTTGGTTCTTTCTACCTACCATATACCCAGATATAAAGCTAATATATACCCTTTGCACACAAAATGCCGGATCATGAAAGTATCGGCCTGTCATCAAATGATAGTTACAAGAACTCTCCCCAAAACCCCATCACAACTTCGGATATAATGGCCAACGATACCGCCATCGACCGCGTCATGGACAAAGACCCAGTTGCTTTTGTGGGTGATCCTGAAAAGGGCCGTTTTTCCGGTGACGATATGGACCGTATCGAGTCTAATGACGAGGCTTCCAGAATGATGTCAAGAGCCTTGACCGGTTCCCAAGGCATCGAAGAAGCTGCTTTGGCGGATGAGGGTCCTTTGCCAGCTATGGGTAACGGTAAGCCATATCCTAAGCCCGTCGGCGACAGAGCTCCTTATGCTGTTGCCTTTGACGGTCCAAATGACCCTACCCACCCGCATAATTGGCCAACCAGGACGAAGGTTTTGTACAGTCTGACCATAGCTCTTGCTACTGTCAGTATCACCTTCGGTTCCGCTATGTTTTCAACTGCCACTGAGGTTATTTCTCGAAAATTCCACATTGGTGAGGTAACTGCCACCTTATCAACCTCGCTTTACGTTTTGGGTTTCGCCTCTGGCCCGATTATCTGGGCCCCATTGTCTGAGTTGTATGGTAGAAAGATTGTCTTGATCCCTTCGTGCTTTGGTTTCGTTTGTTTCAACTTTGCTGTCGGTACCGCCAGGGATATCCAGACTATTATGATCTGTAGATTCTTTGCTGGTTTCATTGGTGCTGCTCCAATGGTTGTTGTGCCCGCGGCCTTAGCCGATATGTTCAACGCCGAGTTCAGAGGTACTGCTATGAACTTGTTTTCCATGACTGTGTTTGGTGGTCCGTTATTGGCGCCAGTCATAGGTGGTTTCATCATGAAAAATTCCCACATGGGCTGGAGGTGGACATGTTACATTACTGGCTTGGTGGGTATCCTTTCTTTGCTCGGTATTGTATTCTTCTTGGAAGAAACCCATCATCCGTTAATTCTTGTCCAAAAGGCCCGGGTTTTGAGAAGAAGAACCGGAAACTGGGGGATTCATGCTCCACACGAGGAGTTTACTATCTCCTTTAAGGAGTTGGCCGAGAAAAACATTACCCGTCCGTTGATCATGTTGTTCACCGAGCCAATTTTGTTGTTTATCTCGATCTACAATGCCTTCATCTACGGGTTATTGTACTTGTTCTTGACAGCTTATCCATTGATCTTTGCGGGTGGATACGGCTTCGGTGCTGGTGAGGCTGAATTACCGTACGTTGGTATGTTGATCGGTATGTTTATCGGTGGTCTTATGTGCATGTGGTGGGAACAAAGATTCAAGGCAACCTTGGCAGCCAATGGTGGTAAGCCAATTCCAGAAGAGAGATTGCCTCCAATGATGGTTGGTTCTATTGTCTTTGCAGGTGGTATTTTCTGGTTGTGTTGGGCTGGTAACTACCCCGATAAGGTTCACTGGATCGTGCCAACCATCGGTGGTGCTCCAATCGGCTTCGGTTTGATCTCTATTTTCTTGCCTTGCATAAACTACTTGGTTGACTGTTACTTGATTTTCGCTGCCTCGGCCTTGGCTGGTAATACTTTCTTGAGATCTACCTTCGGTGCCGTCTTCCCGCTTTTTGCTACTCAGATGTTCAAGAGTATGGGTATTAACTGGGCCGGTACTTTGTTGGGCTGTGTTGCACTTGTCTTGGTTCCGGTTCCATTCTTGTTCTACAAATACGGCCCTCACTTCAGAGCTAGGTCGAAGTATGCCTTCCTTCTCTAGGTCCAAGAAAAAAGCAAACCTTTTGCATGGTTCAAACAGTCATAGAACGCGATTCGCCGCCCCCCTTAAATCTTACACATCGAAGTGTCTATGGCTTCCACTTTACTTCTTTAGCTTAATCTTTAATATGTATTTTTCATCCCAAAACACGCAATAAAGAGTATGCGACAACTGTTTAGTTCCACAGGGTTAATCAACCAGAATGAGGTATACTTAGGAGTGAACACAGCTAAGAGAGAATACTGTTTACTTTATAAGCAAGAGGGCGAAAAGGTCCTTATACGCTGTAAGGATAGCTGTGGTAAGCGTGTAGTCGTGTGGTAGGGATCGATACCCTATATAATGAGATCGATCCCTCCTCTATCCTATATACATTATAAGGCTAACCAGTATACTACTACTAAAGTAGACATCCCACCCATTAGGTAGAGATGTACCACAGATAGTCACTCTTGGATTTGAGTTAAGTCAGGGCCGATGATACGGACCTATAAGTATTAAAATATCGGTACACATGTTGTACACACCATACGTAAATATGCCTTTAGCGTACAGCTCATTACCGTACTTTTTTTTTCGAACGAGTTCCCTCTCATGTCCTCCCTCTTTTATTTGAGCCTTCTACGTCTAGCATCCAGCCCAGTCCTTTGGTTTAGTCTACCTCCTATACAGCAACCTAAAGCTCCATATAGTAAATAACCCCCATCGTCTCACGCCATATATATAGTGACTTATGCTTAAAGCTAACCTTTCGGAGGAATAAAAATAGTCTGCGTACGAAGCGGAGATAGGCGAAAGAGAGTCTACGGGCAACCTTGGCATACTACAGATAAACGCTTGTACCTGTACCCCGCACCCTTAATCACAGATTGCTCCGGGACTTTGGGACTCGTACCGTCAACTTTGGACACGGGTGGACCAGAATGCCTCCACAACCATCGCCGCATACTTTTTAGTTTTTTAAAGCGGTAGTGAATATATAAAGCATATATATGGTCGAACCGGAACTTACCAGTAAATACCAAAAGGCATTTGGAGGAACCGTGGATGTGATACCATCCGCAGCATGACCAGAGGCTTTTAAGCCACATAATGTGGCTTGTGGCGCATGTAGACAGGTGCAGCATGAGGAATTACCCCGCGTAAATATGCAATCGCCTATCACCGCTGCGTCAGAGGATTTAGCTACCCCTCAGTCAAACCGGCCAGACCATACTGGTACTCCTAGGGGCATACTGACTGCTACATTCTACCGCAGGACTTTATGTGGTGAATTCTACAGGTGAAGTAGTTGGTCCTCATATAGGGCCTATTCGGGATAAGCCTGCTAAGATGAGGCGACGACTTTTGTAAATTACAAAACGCCGTAGTATGATAGCACCTGGGAGGGGGAAAGGCCCCGGTTGGTAGACTAGGAAGGCTTACTTGTGCAGGAGATTTGCCGATACAAGTTGTTTATAATGAGGATGCCGCCTGATGCGGAAATTTTAAAGTGCTCCGAACTTCGGCCGCAGAGTAATGCGCTCGCACGTCGGCTCGGGGCATTCGGCACGGATGATCAGTCTGCAGCATTTTGCATGAAACGCGGCAGAATCTCAGCTGCTCTTCAGACAAATACACAGCAGGTGCCATGGGCCCTTAGGTGTTTTGATTTTATCGCGTGCTTTCTTCAGTTTTAATTTGCTATGTTCTGATCATTCATCCAGTTACTACGACATGGTGATGCTAGTCCTGACACACGTGGTAATAGCTAGGCCTTTTTGGCTGGGAATCAAGTGCAGGTTATTCGATTTTATTTCATGAGCAGCCTCTCCAAACTGTGTAAATTCTGCGAACGTTTCTTTTACCGGGAGTGCACATTAGATATGCGCAATCCGGCGCATAAATTTGACTTCCGCACCATAATCGCACCCGCCCGCGAGCATTGCTTAAGAACCCAAATCTGCTGCAGCCTGGATATGATGGCTGCACAAAAGTTCAGTTTCAAACGACAGACTACTTCGCCTTTCTTTCTCCATCAGCTCCAAACCTAACACCGAAAGGACGATAAAGCAACACAACTAATACCATTTTTTGTGTGTTTCCTTTGATTCTCCATCGATAAGTGCCACGCCCCCTTTCATCCTTCGATCCCGCGGAAGCTCACCCCTCATAGCCCCATTCTTGATTTGGCTCTTTCATGAACCCAGGTCATCTAGTTTAACCAAATAATAGCACTGACTGCTTCAATACCCCCTACTCTCTGGCTTTTTCCACGACAGGTCCTGTTCCCACAGCAGACACCGTCTTTCCCCGCCCCGTTGCATCCATGTTTTTGAACAGAATCAAAGTAGACAAAAGCTTGTCGCACTTAAAGGTAGACGCCTCGCTCCAGGTGCCGCTGAACCCCCAGCCGTGCACGAACTACTTGGCGGTGCAGGAGCAGAAGAGCCACTCCACCAGAAGCTTGCTCAAAAAGAAAAGCAGCCAGCTTTTGAACTTTGGGGGCTCTTCTGCCTCGCTCAAACCTCCAGTTCGCTCGCACATACTGTCCCAGGCCTCCAGCGTAGCCTCCAGCAGCTGGGATTTACGCAACCCGGGTAGCCCCTCCACGCCGGCGATGGAACGCACGCCCTCCCACACGTCTATGGCGTCGTTCTACACCACCGACGAAGACGCTCTTTACGATGTGTTCAACGTGATTGACCCAGTGCCGGCAGCTCCGCCCTCTTACAACGATTTACCGCCGGGCGGTATTCCAAAGTTCTGCATCTTTCCGCGCCACACCGAAGGCAGCGAAGCCTTGCCGTGCTATATACCTTCAGTGTACAAACTCTTTCGGACAGAGCGCAAGGTGGAGTGGATTTCTCCGTACGAGCCGTCCACCAGCAGAAGCTGGAAGGACTGCATCGTGGAGATCAACAACACTCAGCTCAATATCTACGGCTTGGTCGACCAGGTGAAGCACTTCAAATACGACTCAACTAAAATCTTTGGCGAGCGCGGCGACTTGCAGGACTACACCAGCCGCTATACCACCGACGAAGACTTACAGTTTATGATGTACTGCCAGAACTTCAAGGTGTTGGTGCCGTCTAACTTGCTCCGCTCCTACTCGTTGCAGCACGCAGTGGTCGGCTCCGCCAACGACTTCACCAAGCGCAAGAACTGCATGCGTGTGCGGGCCGAGACGGAGCAGTTTTTGTTCCACTTTAAGGCGTTGGAAGACATGATTGATTGTCACACCGCCATGTCAAATGCCCGTGACGTGTCGTTGGACTTGGCCCTTCGCGAGATGCCCAAGTACCGCACCGTTCCCAGGCGGAGAAGACGGGACCGCCGCGGCGGAACCAACTCCGGCACCGGGAACAGAAACAGGTCCTACTCCGACACCGAGTTGATACGAAGGAGCTTGAACGAGCGGTTCTTCAAGCGAGGCAACAGCGCGAGCTCCTTGCATACCTTGTCCATCAATAATCCGCTCAAGAACAAGTTGTTTAGCAGGATGTCGTTTAGCAGGTCCAAAGATCGCACGGCCTCCTCTCCGTCCTCTGTTGCTTCGTCTCCTGCCCCGCAGGACAGAGGTTACAGCACGCGTGGAAGTGCGACCCACTCCCGAATCAGTTCCTCTGCCCACTCCTCCATCACCGACATCATGTCTAGCAATGCCCCGCATACAGCTACCACCGAGTTGACCCCGCAGTCATCTTCAAATGAGAATGAGAGATTACTGCTTAACCGGAGTAGTGTGGAAGAGCAGGACGAGCAGGAGCGCCAACAGAACGACGAGTATCAAGAACTGCTGTTCGAAAACGAGAATCTTGACGACATGGACGAAGAGGACATCGACGATATTCACGATATTGCCGAGTCAGATGATGAAGACGAAACCAACGAAGGAGCCTCGGGGATGGTGGAAGTTGCCTCTGCACCAGTCACCAACTCACCTTCCTCCACCCATCTCCATCCGTTTATGTTCAACAACTTCTACGAAGACGACGGGGACCGTCGTGGCACCAACTGGAATTCCGATATCAAGTGGAGACCGTTGAAGAAGTTCTATCCACACTACAAGACGGTGAGAAACAAGGCACGTTGCTTAAACTTGTTACCCGTTGACGAGCAATGGGCCGGGAAGCCGGTGGTTTGTGCCACAATCACACCCAACTACATTGACTTCATCCAGAATATCAACTTCAACAAGTTTGGTTCGTCGCCATCACTGGTGTCTTTGTTCTCCAAGGGCTCCGCTATAAGGGGCGACTACCAGTCCCCCAGAAGTGGTAGCTCAGCTAGATTTTCTAGCAGAGACATTAATTCCAGTGTTAACAAGGCTGCGCGCATCCCAGAGCACTACACCAGACAGTACACGGTTAGCCCGGGCGGTCTAGTTCCTGCTTGATCCCATCTCATTATGTTTAATATGATTCTTTATTCTTTGGTTTTGGTTTCTTTTTGATTGTATTTTGTGTCTTCACTCATCTCACTTTATGATTAATTTCTAGATCGTTGATAGTTACCGGTCTGGGGACGCATGCAAATATAAACTATGTCTATACGGAAATGTAGCCGCATATGCTAGCTTCCTAGACCAGGGGTAGAGGTTAAAAGATTCGTTGAGTTTCTTCTATATACATCTTTAGAGCAGGTTTCTTTTTGCGATTGTCGATCAACGGCTAATTGCTATGGCCACAGATTAGCTAGAATTCTTCTTTTTCAGAGCTTGCCTCTATGGCCAAGTTGGTAAGGCACCTCACTAGTAATGAGGAGATCGTCAGTTCGAATCTGGCTGGAGGCATTTTTTAGTTTCATCTTGCCTATTGGTGTATTTAACAGCGATGGATATTTCAATGGGTTTGAGGAGGAGTGTCCGTGGCAGAAGACTTATGAGCTTAGATCTAGCCGTACATGTATTTAACACGTTGCCTGGAGACTATAGAGCAAAAGTCGCGAAATGAGCGTGTTGTGAGCGTTAGTGCTTGTTATGGAGCTTCGTTTAGTAAAAAAAACATGCTACTGTCCCTCCTATTGGAACTCTATTACTTAGTCTTCGATATTGGGATTGTAAACATACAACTCGATTCAAAATCTGACCTTCAGAATAGCCGTTCCAGAAACTATACTACCGTTTTGCTTCAATAGCAGCCTCAAATCTATATAAGCATTTAAAGTGAGAGTGCTTTACCCTATACCTGAGATTCAGATTTCTTTAGGTTTACTTAACTCCCCTTCTCCGTTGCCTTTCCACACTCTGAACCACTATGAGATTATTAACTATCGATTATAAAAAATGCGTGAATTATGATGATAAATTTCAATAATCGGCCCTTGAGTATATTTGTGCAATTGGTTTGGCGCGGCATGGATGATTCAGGTCATCACGCTCCTCAAAAACAGAGCTCAGTAAACCATACTGTTAATTAAATGACCTTGTAAAAAAAAGCATACGGAGTGATGTCAGGACTCCACTAGGCAGTTTAAATAATAATATAACTACAGAAAAGACTCTGGACTGACGTAAGTAAAAGTAAATGTGTCTGGATCGAATCGTATGCAAAACGGGGAGCCCCCTTCCGGCACGCCGACATGCGTCTTTGCCGTATGAAGCAATATCCGGATGACAACAAACTTTTAGCAACTTGTTAAGGAAAGGTGATAGTAAACGGTAACCGGATGAGATATAAGAGAATATAGATAGAAGCCTGGACAAGGATAGAGGTTAGTAAACGGCGTGTGTGACACACAGTAGAGCGATTGTGGTACAAGAGACAAAGCAAGACCAGTAAACGATAGCCGGTGATATATAGGAGACTATACACCAATGCATCGTAGTATAATAGAACTCTATCGCTAGTTATTTACCGTTTAATGTTAAATGCCACTAGGCTACTTTTCACCCTCCATTCAATCATATTGCTTTGTCCGAAATCCCAGGCTCTACGCTGTATGGAGGTTCCTTTGATTTTCGTCACGTGCCGCCCACCTCAGCGAAAGAACACGTCTTAAGACATTTCAAACAACCTGCTCTCCTCCCACTCTTCCCAATTCAATCATAAACCATGTCCATTTTAGCTGCATCTATCTGTACCCGTGGCGGCAAGGCGATTTTATCCAGACAGTTCCGCGACCTCAGCAAGGACCGTGTGACGGCGATGTTGCTGGCGTTCCCGGGCTTGTTGTCGGCGTCGAACAGCCAACACACCACGGTCGAGGACGGCAACGTCAGATATGTGTACCAGCCGATGGAGGAGTTGTACATTGTGCTCATCACCACGCGCCTGTCGAATATCTTGCAAGACATCGAGACGTTGCATCTCTTTGCGCAGACGGTGGCAGCGCTCGTAAGACAGATCGACGAGCGTGAGATCTTTGAGAACGCGTTTGAGATCTTGAGCGCGTTTGACGAGCTCGTCACGCTCGGTCACAAGGAGAACCTTTCGCTCTCACAGGTGCGGACGTTCTTGGAGATGGACTCCCACGAGGAGAAGATCCAGGAGATTATTGAGCGCAACAAGGAGTTGGAGGCGACCGAGGAGCGCAAACGCCGCGCCAAGGAGATTCAGCGCAAGGAATTGGCACGTCGTAATGAGCATGCACAGTTCGGCGCGGCTGCTAACAACACCTACAGCACGTACCAGGCGCCGCAATACACCCCACCGCCACTGACATATAGCCAAGCTCCTTCCTCTTCGCTCGCCAAACCGCATGCCCCACGCGGTAAGGGTTTGCAGTTGGGCAAGAAGACCAAACCGGTGTCCGAGTTTGCGCAGCCGTTGCTTGAGGTCGCACAGCCAGCCCCAGCGCAGGCTCCAGCCCCCGTCCAGGACTCGCCGGTGCCTGCCAAATCACACAACAACGGGATTCTCGTGACAATTAATGAAAAGGTGTCTGCGCAGATTACACGTGACGGGTCTGTTGTCAACTCCGAAGCCAAGGGGGACTTGCAGTTGCGCATTTGCGATGCAGCGTTGGCGCACTCGCGTCTCGTTCTTCGCGCGGACGGCGCGGCGCATGGTGTGCAATACAAGACGCATCCGAACGTGGACCGCGCCGCTTTCACGGGTTCCGGCGTGATTGCATTGAAGGACACGACCAAGCCGTTCCCGGCGAACGACCAGGCGTTAGGTGTGTTGAGATGGCGTGCCGTGGGCAAGGCCGACGACGCCACGCTCCTCCCGTTGACCGTGTCATGCTGGTTGGCGCCGAGCGAGGTTAGCGGCGCTATCGATGTGACGCTTGAGTACGAGTTGAACGGCGGGTTCCAGGGCGTGTTGCGCGACATTGCGTTTGTTGTACCGCTCGCGACCCACAATGTCAAGTTGCGCACCGAGCATGATGGCTTGGCCTATGACGTTAGCGAGAACGGTGTGCTGTTCAGCCTCACGGAAATAACCCCGGAAGACCCGCAGGGTGCGTTCGAGTTCACCATTGAGGCCGCTGATGATGACGAGTTGTTCCCAATGGAGCTTGCGTTCAACGTCGAAATGGACGGCTGTTTCGGCCGTGTCGCGGTGCAAGACATTGTGCGTGCCGACGCGGACGAGGAGTCCTTGCCATTTGACTTGGAAAGCAACATCGCCGCCGAGGCTTTCTACGTCGTGTAGTTTTTTTTATAGATAATTTACGTTTAGTCAGAATGGCACCCCAGGAATTGGCACGAAGTGCCAGGAATAGCTGAGGTTATGGTTGAGTGCAGAGAAGATAGGACGGAAAAAAGATTAATGTTTAGTTTTTGGAAAATACATATTCGCTGATCCATACCAAGAAGCAGTAGCCTTGTGCTATCACCTTTTCAGAGTAATGTCGTAAAAGGCCGGTGACGATCCGCAGTCTAACGTTAGATTCCATATAGTTTAGGTATCCTATAGTACATCGTATGCACAGGCCGGTGAATGATATCCAAATCCATAACTAAGGACATTGCACAATAGATTTTGCGTTAAACCTTAATGTTAGTGCGTACCGTGTCACAATCCTCACTTTCCGGCCCTTCTTGAATGGCGGGATAGTGTTGACGTTTCGCAGTATACAAAGGACCATGGCGCTTATTCTATGCTTTGACTGATTAAATATAATGTGCTTGAGCTGTAATACGCATATTATTACCATTAGAAGTATCATAGTATTGCTCTTTTCATAAATATTCTGCTTACCATATGGTATTGATGATCTAAGTTGTATTATAAGAGTCATTCCAATCGAGGCTTAGTGACTATGTATTCTCCAGGTCCCTAATGGGTGGATTATAAGTTTCGAACTCCAGTTTTAGAGCGGATATAGTTCTGCGTTTGTATCGGTACCATTATATTCCGCTATATCTAGATAACAAGCGTGCTAAATATCTAACCCTATAGCTATCGGGGATTGTTCATGCTTTGTCGCGTTTTTTAATAAATACTATGGCTGTGCTTTGCTTCTACAGCCCATATTCGTCGTCTCACGGGACCTCAACAGAATTGAAGGATTATTCGAGTGCTTCAACTATGGTTGGGGGCTTACAGCCTTTTATGCGACGCAGAATCCCCGACAATGATACCACTGGTTTCTTTACCAACCATTTATCTTCACTTCATCACCCCGCACGCTTCCGCCTTGCATGCTACTCCCTATACGTCTACGCCAGATACCCAATACACAGTGAATCTGTAGCAAAGGTGCCATTTAACTAGACAGAAGTCAAAGTCCATTATCTTCTTACCTCCGATAGGCGGACACCCTGACATAGTACCCGCCTCAGTATATAAGGCCACCGACTACCCTTCTCATGTAGATATCGCAGATAAAAAGTATTCACTTTTAGTTAGCTGACAGTATCTACTATTACCTACTAGATACACCACAGACTCTATATTATCAGCTCCTTATAGTAAGTAGGTGACCCCGGGGAATGCCACAGAAAAAACAATCCCCATGTTGTACCTTTTATTCAAAGCCTCTAGCTCGGACAAGATCTTTCTTCTGGGGTCGCTCGAAGTGAACAGCTCTTTGACATGGTAGATCAATATATTTAACCCCATCAAGGGCTGATTGCATCCGGGCTCGACCTGGCGGACACATCGCTCCAAGGTGAGAAGCTCCTGGATAAGGAAGTCGGGTGACAAATGACCGTACAAGTTGATACAAGCGGCCATACTGGGGGTGGAACATTCGATGATGATCGACTTCAACTTCCCGTCGCGAATCAACGGCGCAACGCCGGTCCACACGGCGAAGTTGCGCGGATGATCACTGTGCACGTCGGACTCGCAATCGCCAAAGACCAATAAATAACTGTCGGTGGTGTCCTTGAGGAGAAACGCGGTGCTGGTATAAACATCCTTGTCTCCGTTTGTTTTCCCGTGGGCTAGCTCGTAGGGAAGCACGGAGTAGTGCAGGTTTAGCGGGTACCACTTTTCGGGCTCCATTACGCTCATGGAGAGGAAGTCTCGTGCGAGGTCCGGCCAGATTACCCCGTTGAAGCAGTGTTTCTGGAGCGCTTCGGTGGTCTGACGCAAGCCGTGGATCCGCTTGCGGGGAATTCCGTAGTCGCAGAAGACCGGGGAGTTGATCACGAGGCCAGCTACGTGATCAAGATGCGGGTGGGTGACACAGTAGCACGAAAGCAAGCGCAAGAGCAGAGCTGCGTACTCGAGCGGTGCAAGCTCGCAGAGTTCCTGAAAAGGTGTTGTAGTGGGCACGTTAATATACTGCTTGAGCGGTAGTGAGTCGCGGTAAAAGTCCAATAGGAGGTTGGTCTGTGGCGAGTTTTGGAGATAGAAGTCACTGAACGGCATGTCTTTCAGCGTCTTCGGCTGCAACCGCTGGTGGTGCATGATGGCCTCGCCAATACCCGACAAGCTGGTCCCAGCGTCAATGGCAACCACGCTCTCGCAATCATTTGTCGCCAAGATTTCCGCATAGGAAAGGGAAGCTGGTTTGACAAGCAACGCGCAGGTCTTTCCGTCGATGGGGCCTCCGGAGGCACCCAAGACTGTCACTTCAAAAGATGACATAAAAGCTATTGGCGGGTGGGATCGGCGTCGGTGCAAAATCAGAATCTGGTGAGGCTAACGATGTAATCTATGCTGGGTTAAGATGAAGCAGTATAGTCAGGACTCGAGTGGAACGTAATCTCCTATTAAGCGAAACGGTAGCCGAGCAATGCAGATGTAGTGTCTGCTGCGCAAACAATGCTAAGGTTATCGAAGTGGCTTTTATTTCTTTTTTCGTAGAAAACTTCCCTCAAGGATCTTTTTAGAGCCCAAACTTTGTTTGGCGCAGGGAAGTTCGATGTCGGACGTCGCTGCGCGAATGGCTAGGCTAAGCAGATAGTCACGAAGAGGGGGAACGGGCTGCCGCGCGAGATTTAGATACTCGTGTATGCAGCCACGTGCCACCCCCACTTCTAGAAGCCTTCCTGATACAGATAAATATCGCGCTTTCAGAGGGTTTAGTAGAAGGGCCAGGGACTAAGATTGGAGTTAGAATATTAAAATATAAGGCTGTACCGATACTCCTAGTTTGAATGTCGAAAAAGAAAGGGGGTGACGGGACGTGTCAGATAATCTTTGGGGGAGTGCGAAAAGAAGCCGGACATGAGCGACTACTACAAAATTTCAATCTGTACATTCGCTAATGTAACACCGTAGAGGGCTCCGACATGAAATAAGGACTACTCTCCGTACTTTTCGGCAATCTGTACGTAAGCGTAGTGCACTAAAATATACCAGACGGAAGGGCTGAAATTTTGGTTTATTTACGGATTAATAGCAGGCCGTGTACTTTGTAGCATTAGCTATAAGGTGCTGTTACATAACCTTGGATTAGGTCAGATCTCATTTTATTTGTAGAGAGAGAAAGAAAAAAAACCGATACATAGCCACTTCCCCCGTGAGGGCATGGTGTAGACCACCTTTTGACTGTCATGAGGAGTTACCTTGCCTTGGTACCGTATCAACACGAGTCCGTCATACACCAACAACGCCCATTAGGGGTTTGGCGCCCGGAGTTACTTCCAGTGGGTAATTATTTTGCAGCTAGGCTTCTCACGTTCGTGATGTATTGGTAGTTTAAACAGTATTCAAATAAAATGCTCCACGACTGATCCCCAGTATACACTACACCTCATTCTCGGAAATCTTACATATAAACGCATCAACAGACATTACGCACTCTAGACCTGGGCACTGCCGTAACCCTTGATATCCTTGGCAAACCCCCATTGCATGTTTTCCACTTTCAAGTCACTCTCAACCTTGGCACCGCTCTTCTTGATGGTCACAAGTGTGTACTTGTCCATAGATCTTGCGTCTCTGTAGAACAACACCTTCATACAGTTGACCATGACCTCTCTGGCCTGCTCCTCGGTCAACTTTTCTTCGTCACCGTCGTTTTGAATCGCCTTTCTCAACAAGGGGATGGCCAAATGTGCACCAAAACCGGAGGCTAAGGTAGGGGCAGAGTAGGTAACACCTAATAAGTCCACATACGCCAAGAACGGCTTGTCCTGTTCGTCGAAGCCGCCGACGATGACCGAGTTCCATAGTGGGTCCATTTTGGATCTTCTGTTATAAAAGACTCTGGAGAGGTATTCATGGATGTGTGGCGCCTTCAATTCGTGTCCACTACAGTCGTAGCCCTCAGAGATCCTAGAGATGTGTTAGTAATCGGTCTTAGCGACTCGCTCAGAAATAAACTCACTCTAAGTCATCTAACAATCTTTCGATCTTTTGCATATCAGAGATATCACCGGAGATACCCACCCAGGCTTCGCCAACCTGGATAATTCTCTCAATGTCCGTGAACCTTAACAACGAGCCGTAAGCACCTATAGTTGTTAGTAATTGCTACTACGCCACCCACGGATGGGCGGGACGGGGGGAGGGAATACATACCCATGTGGTCAGCAGCAAGCATGACACCTTCGTTGAACTTGATCGAAATAACGGAGGTACCTGTGACAATTGGCTGCTGGGTGTTCATCTTTGGGAATTGAGCCAAGTTAACCATGTCATCGCGTTGCTTTGCGTTGGCAATGTTATAATTGTAGTTACCGTAGGCATCATCACTAGGTCTACCCCACTTAAATGGATCGTGATTCATGTTTATGTATTATTGGCTTGGATTGGAATTGTTACTGAAACAAAAACTGTACTTGTATGGGGCGAACTGTCTTCTGATAAACGCCATCCTGATGCCTTTTCTTCTGTGATAGCCAAGTGGCGACGTAAGAAAAAGTCGCTGACGTAAGCAGGGGGCCACGCTAGTCGAATAGTCTGAGTGTCTTTAATACGGGGTTTAATTGACATTCAGGATAATATCGGCACTTCTGATATAATTATCGGGTAACAAAATGTATAGCCAGAGTGAGGTCCGCTGGTCCATGTTAATAGTTGGGGGACGATAGTGGGGCGTGTAGCATTGCCCTCTGGCATATGTCTATCCCTAACCTCGATCTCCGTGCTACTCACAAGATACTGCTTATTCTATCGCGATATGCATAGCATTAGTCATATATAAAATTCTAAGTACAAAATAGGAAGAGATATCCGCACAGGTGCCGTTCTGGATCGATTCTTTGAGCTTTGGACACCCGGCCAGCGGACCAATCATGGCATGCGAAATAATGCATCGCCGAGTCCGTTGGCTTAGGCCAAAATTTCGGCACCACCAGAGTTGATATCGTCGATTTCAGACTCTTCAATGACTGGGTATCTAAACCTCTGTGGCAATTCTGCTCTGGAAAAGAAATGGCCGGCTGGAGGCAAGGTGGAGGAAGCGTAGAAAGCACTAGTGGCACCCGAGGAAGCAGAGCTACCAGACGGCAAGACGCCGTTTGGAGCACATGGGTGTGGCTGTGGAGCGTGGTTGATGTGTTCTAGAAACAAACATTGTTAGTACTGGGACTCTTGTTCTGCCACCCTCGGCTATATGCGTGGGCTCTTCAAAGTCAACTCACTTGGGGCAGTTGGCTTCCCGAACTTGATCAACTGGGTGTACTTGGACAACACGTTAGAAGGTCTCATGTTTACGGTAAGTTTTTTTCTTAACGTGAAAGGCTCTGCCCATCTGGTGATGAATCACAGTGCTCACTTCTTTAAAATGCTTCTACTCCGGGCCCGGGGACGACGGGTAACTTGCAGGAAGGCGTGTTCACACCATAGCGCACGTGTTTTCCCGGGCTTTTACACCAGCTCGGAACTGCATGACCGGACAAAGAGAAACATTATATACGCTGGATTGTATTAGGTCGATATAAATATCTGACAAGAAATGGATATATACGTATCTTTATAAAGAAAAAGTACCGTTTGCTAGAGTATTTTCTGAGACATTTTGTATTTTTGTTTTGAAAACGATGTGGTAATTACGAACACACCCATACGTAACAGGTGGTGGATTATTCATCTCTTTTGGTCTTCTTTGTCGCATTTTCCGATCCATTCTCCGTGTCGTCGCCAGCTTGATCAGGAATTGACCGCTTTTTGGTTTCAAGCTGGGAGTTTTCAGAGATATTAGCGACGGAACCGGCAAGTACGTGCTCGGTGACAGTTTGGATAATGTGGGTTTCATCAGACAGGTTTGCACGACTCGTATCTTCCGGTGCTGGTTTAGACCCCTTGACAGCTGAAGCTCCTTCAAACTGGCCTTCGGCTACCGTAGCCTCCTCCTCGTCCTTGTTCACACCATCTTTCAATGCAGCTCCATCCAATTCATCTTCGAATGGATCCATCTTTGGATCTTCAATAGTGACAACTGCAACCTCAACTTGCCTGGCTTCGTTATCTCCGGGAAACGTACCCATATCCGCAAAACCCTTACCCTGACCGACTAGTTCAGTCAACGCGTTAAACCCGGTGATAAATCTGGCCTGAGAGTGGAGGATAAGAGTGAGAGAGGAGGGGCATTCTTGGCCATTCTTGTGCGAGTTTTGCTTCAATCCCTGGAAGATGTACACAATGTCGTTTAAAGTCAAGTCACGGGCGTATACGTGGTCCTCATTGACAAACAAGTTCAATTCGTGAAACTCAAGCACTAATTCTTCATCCACTTTGAATGCGGATCCGTTCACGCGGAACACTTCTCTAAGGGCAACAAAGAGGCCCTCAAGTGAGAGACGACAGGCAGACGCATCTTCCATCAATATGGGCAAGTGGCTGCTGTCACCTCTGGAACTGTGCGGCATTAGCTGATACTCGGTGTCGTTCGTTTGCAAGGTGATTGGAACCGAGGATTCTAGACCGTGATCTTCTTGAATATCGTCCAGAGAGACTTCCGACTCATCAGCACTATGAATGCTTTGTCTCCGCTCTTCCTGCTCGAGCTCTTGTTCAAGTCTCCAGATCTCTGCCTCTAGCGCTTCCTCAGATTGTTCCTCCGTGTCAGGGGCCTCCGCATCTGCGGCTTCTCCCGTTTCGTAGGCCTCTTCAGTTACGTCCTCTGACTCCTGGTATAACTGAACATTCTCTTCGTAGCCCTCGGCTGCTAACTCGAAGTTATCTTGCCTAGTGCCGGCAGATTCAAGAATCTCCCCAACGTCATTGGCTTGGGGTTCTGGTAATGGTTCGGCAATGAGATCAAGAATAGGCTCCGTGTCTGACTTTTCTACCGTTTCAGCTTGAGTGGGCTCGGTGATGTTTTCCTGTACACCCTCAAGTATCTCGTCCTCGGAAAATTCCATCTCTTCGAAGTCTGGCTCGTTGGCGGCCACAGAATCCTCAACGGTTACCAAGATTTCGTCACCCATCTCGACATCTCCGAGGTCCAATGGTTCCACGGGATCAACTTGCGATGCATCGTCTATCTGCTCGTCTTGATCATCGTCCGGGAGCGGTCCCAGAGCTGCGAGGGGCTCGTAGTCAATCATGTTTCTATCGTCGGCCGACCCCTCCAATCCTACGGGTTCTATATTTTCGTCAGTAGTGGTAGTATCGACAGTCATACTCACTTGGGGACCTTTAGTTTCGTCCATAATGTCGTCAAGGAATGGGGTTGTGGCGATGCGCGTGCTCAGCAAGGTGGTTAACATAGGCTCCGTGTTCATCGTGTATTGGACTGAGACCTTTAGTGGTCAATATGCAGATTGTAGTATTGGTATCGTATCAAGGGGATAGTATTAACTGTTGTTGCGTCGTTAAAGTATAAATTTGAAAACAGCTTGGCGTGTGGATGGAGCGAGACTCAAAATTTTAGCAGCAGGGAAAGACACATGACAGCCAAAACACACAGCAGAAGTGTGGACTAACCAATTCTCGTGATGCGCTTATGTTTAAATGCTAAGAAAAGCTGCAGTTTCTGCGGCTTCGGCCCATATGCATAATACACCATGGCGGCAATCTGGTGCGTTTTGATCCGCTGCTTGCAAACTGTAACACTGCTCTTAGTGCTATAACAACAATTCGAGAAGCATCTATACGGATTTAACATTCAACAGCCTCTAAGCTTCATTTTGGATTATGTTAGTTATAAGGTGTTGCTGTTACATCAGTGGGGTTAGACAGCTTGCAGTTCCCCTCTTATACTGATAGCAAACTGAGACCAGCCTTCGTCACCAAAGAACCATACATGTTAAGGCAAGCCCCACACTTGTTTAGGTATACAGCTAAATATATGGTCGAAAGGAGAGATTCTACTACTTTATCGAGTCTATTAGAATTTAGTAGAACCGTGAACGCCAATGAGATTGGGGACAGTTAGCTGGAGCCTCAACATCACACAGTTCTCAGTATTTGTTGCATCACGGACACCCTGGTGATGTAACCCATACTGAGCCCAACCCTGTTTCAGATACATCAATTGGAATTCACAAGTGGTATTTGAATTAGGAAAGACAGCTACAACTTCTTCATATAAAAAAAATGACGAAGACAACTTGTAGCAAGGGTACATAACCAAGAGCACTTCTGGACCACTGCTAAAACGTTATACAGTTTAAAGCCATCTTAAGACAGTTCCTACTATACCCCTAAACCATTGGATTCTATTATACATAACACCCTGTCCCCTGAAACTCTAATACTAAAAGTTGAACTCGTCATAGTTCTCGTCAATACTCTGCGTGGTTTTGTCGGCCTTCTTATACACAGGCATCGCCATGCTGGTGCTGGTTTTGACGTTGACACCTTTCAATTTGTCCATGGGGATGACCCCACCTATCGGTCTGAACTTACCGTGGGTTAAGAAGGTCACAACGTCATTAATATTCTCCAACAACTTGCCGCATTCCCAGTCGGAAAATCCAACCTTGATGGAGATACAGTCACCGGAAGAGGGAACGAAGTAGGTATTTTTTGCAATAGACTTCAACTGTGACTTGACATACTCTGGGTGGCATCTCTCATCCTTCAACTTTGGCGACTTCTTGCCCTTGACAAGCTTTGCTTCCGGGTCTGGCTTGGCCATCTGGACCATAAACGGCAACTTCTTGTTCTTGAGATAGAATTTGGCTCCCAAGATGTTGGGCAAGAATTTATAGACACGGTGGTCGGCCACAATGAGATCGTACTCGTTGAAGAGTTTGGTCAACTTTCTGTAGTCTCTGGCAATGGATTTCAACTTTTTGAGGGTCACAATCTCTTTGATGAGCTCGTCATCGGCAATGGCGGAGCCCTTCTTGGTCAAGGCATCACGGTATGGAGTGGATGGGTCCTTTGTAATAAGCAAGACTCGTTCTTCGGAGAGCTTGGATAGCCTATTTCTCAACGGAATGATGCGGGGTGTGTGATCGGATTGCCTGGTCAAGGGTTCTGCCGTGTTGAGCATGAGGTAGATGGGCACGGCCCTGCTGGCTTGTTCGCTTTGCACATGTGAAAGAAGCGCTTTGACAGATCTTTCAGCATCCTGCTTTACGGTGTCACCCAAAACAAAAGACATTGTGATTGTGTTATGGTGGAAAAGCTGTTGAAAAAAATGAAATAATTTTTTTTAGCGATCCGGTACGCGAGTCTGCGGCTCAGGCAAATTGGGAAGGGGTGCTCTTGGCACATCCGTTACGGAGGAGAGTAGTTCTCAACCTTCAGGCATATCGGAAATTTCGGACTAGTCCAGAAGTTTCCAATTTTCAGCCATAACGCCTAATGACTGAAACCCTGGGTGCGTACCAACCAGCGGCGGATGCTCGTGCGTCCACAAGCTCCACCCACCACTTCGCCTTACCTGCCATACTCGAGTTCGAGGACGACAACGTGCCAGACCAGGTGGAACACTTCAACTACAAACAAGAGTTGAATCGAAAGCTCACGGTCACCTCTATTATCGGACTCAGCTTTGCGCTTATGGATGTACCCTTCGGGGTGTCCTCAACTATCCACATCAGTGTCATCAACGGGGGTAGTGTGACTATGTTGTACGGGTGGGTTGTGGTTTCGGTATTTTCCCTCTTTGTATGCTTGTCACTTGCGGAAATATCTTCCAAGTTCCCCACCTCCGGTGGTATCTACCACTTCAGCGCTTTGCTCGCAAGCCCACGGTACTCCCTTGCCGCCTCGTGGTTCAGCGGCTGGTTCCTCCTTTTGGGCATGTGGACGTTGACCGTCAGCTACATTTTCTGCGGTGCGCAGTTTGTGTTGTCAATCTTAGGGATGGGCAGCGAAGTGTACCATAAGAAAAATCCGTTGATAACCCTTCTTGTGTACTACGTGGTGGTGATCGTGTGTGGTATCGTCAACTTAAAGCTCTCCAGAAAGTTGGACTTTATCAGCAAGGCGTGCATCCACTGGACGATCTACACAGTGCTTATCATCGATGTGCTTCTCTTGGTATTTTCCACCTCCTTCAATGATTTGATGCACATTCTCACCAACTTTGACAACTCACTCTCCGGAGGCTACCACCCCGTGCTCTCGTTCCTCATCGGCCTCCAGCCGGCATCCTTTACCCTTCAGGGTTACGGTATGATCCCTGCCATGGCCGAGGAGGTGGAAAACCCCAAAAGCGACATTCCCCGGGGCTTGGTGTATGCCGTTATCATTGCTGGCATCACCGGGCTCATTTTCATCATTCCCATCTTGGCCATCCTTCCTGAACTCACGGTCCTCCAAAAGAGCTCTCCTAACGACTTATACCCCATCGACCTCATCTTCAAGCTTTCCACAAAGTCGCTTCTCATCTCCATCATGTTTGTGGTGTTGTTGGTCGGCACGTCGCTTTTTGCCGGTATCGGTTGCATCACTACCGCGTCCAGATGCACCTACGCCTTTGCTCGTGACAACGGTCTCCCATTCCAGGAGTACTGGGTCCACGTGGCGAAGGATAACGGTATACTCAGAAGTGGAGAAGGCACCGAGCCTACACCAGACGAGGCCACCGTGCCCAAGAACGCCATCTACCTTTCAATGGCGGTCCCAATCGTGTTTGGACTACTTTCACTCATTTCGTCCTCTGCTTTCAACGCATTTATGGGCTCGGCTGTCATTTCCTTGTCGATTGCCAACGGTATCCCCATCCTTGCCTTGGTGATCAACAAGCGCAAGAAGGTCAAGGGGGCTCCATTCCGGTTGAAGTCAATCTTGGGATTCTTTGTCAACTACATGTCGCTTTGCTGGATAGTCTTGTCATTTTTTGTGTTGTGCATGCCAACCAGACTTCCAATCACGGGGCGTTCAATGAACTACAGCATTGTGGTGATTGTGGTGATGTTTGTATGCATTCTCATCTCGTACTATGTCTGGGGAAAGAAGAACTTCCACGGACCGTTGATGGATAACGCCGACCAATACTACATTGAGTTGGATACGCTCGGAAGTGACACCACCGGCAACGCGAATGGTACTTCCCTGGAGGCTTCAATGCCCAAAAGACAGAGTAAAAATTCACCGAACCCCGCTGATTTTGACTTGGGAAATCCACCCAGCCCTACTGATTTTGACTTAGGAGAGGGGGGTTCGACGATGGATGAGCACGACCTTCCACCGTATGAACCTGAAGAAACCCTCCGGTCGTAAAGGCTATATAGGCCTTTGTATTTTCTGCATATGGTTGGCTAGACCCAACCTTTTAAATAGTAAGTATACACGCGATAGACACATATATGAGTGACCGGAAATAGGAAGTGACTAGAAGATTTTTCCATGATTCCCCGCTAAAATAGTCTACAATCCGAACAGGAAAAGGTCCGGGCTAATCAAAGGACGCGCAGGAATGCCATTGATTAGCCGGACATACGGTAATGAAGTAGCTCACCTAGAGACGGAGTTACTCTAACACAGGAATTTTTTTGGAGTGGGGTTGTGAATCTTGATCACGTTGGGGATGATGCCACGTTTTGTGAAACGGTCACTGAGTGTTCCTTATTGTCGCTTTGCTATAATACAGATTTCACTTTAGTGGTATCGGTTTGGGTATCCAAACGCCATTTAGACCTCTCTGTAAAGGGTTTAACATGCTATATCAACACCTAAGCAACTCGGCCACATACAATTGGTAAATCCTGCGAATGCCCTAGCTGGGCATCGGCTTACTTTGTTCAGATATGAGGAACTTAATAAACCGAGGGAGAAACCGAGGGTCTACACGACGGATCTTCTGGTGTTGGAAAATAGGTGAAGTGTCAGGGCATTCGGTGAAACAGGTAGAAGAAAATGAAGAACAGATATATAAAATACTATATCTTTCAAGCTTCTCGGATTACTGACCGGTATCTGAGGAAAGCATTACGAAGCTCATACTTGCACAGATACTAGGTCCCAACTTCAATATGGAATCAAGCCGCTATTTACACCATCCTGCAAAGCGCTCTAAGCGTAAGTCCTGGCATAATAGTTAACCAAATTTGATTATTTAGGGTGTCAGACCTCCGCTTGAAAGTAGGGGTACAGTCGCAATTAATCGTACATTCCACGGTCTCCCTCGCGGAAAAGTAGTCAAACCCACCAGAGCATGCACGGGATAACATAGCTCCGACCAATAAAACCAGGAGCACACGGGTCCGGGCATAGATTTAGACCGGCAGGACTTTACCCCTATGATAATACAAAAGAGCAGTATGGTTATAATAATGCTATCTTTTTTTAAATCTAACTTCTACTTGGGCTGCGGCAAAGTCTCCCAGGAGAGCCCTTTTCAGGGTGCGTAATTTACCTGACTGTCGATCTGTGACTTTATAGGATGTGAACCCTCAGAAAAGAAGGGTTTTACCACTGTGCTTCGATTTCGAGCCGAAAACTACTCCGTATTAATAATGTTACTCTACGTAAACCATGAATAGCACGAACGGTCATTTATGTTTTTGAAAATATACACCCAACGATTCCAGTCTGCCGTCTTATAATAAGGTTTTCCTTTTTGGCCGCCGTGACGTCTGAGAGAGCGGCCGCAGCGGTTGAGGGGAATATGCACGAAAATACCCCTCACCTGGAGATTGCTTCTGTTTAGGCGTCACTCCCCTCCTTCGTGGCCCGCCATGGTAGCCCTATGTGCAGGAAATATCTCCAAGCGGGCATCTTGCCGTGATTCTCCTCCCCCGCGAATGCAACGGTGACATTTATGCGGGTGAAAGTAGGCAAGCCAAGATTCAATACGAGGCGATATATATACGTCAGTGGGCCATATCCGAAGGGTTTGAGACCTACACCAAATAGAGCTTCGCTTCGAAAACTTCTCTACGTGTTTCACTAGATACTTCCCCGTATCTACTTATTCCACGATACCAGGCCCAATTGATAAATAAGTTGCTCCGTCACCCGCCAACGCAAAACGCTTCACATTAACCCGCCTCGGGATCCTTCCACCAACACGCCATAGTCTTTTATGCTAAGATATCCAGCTATCTAACAAAGTTATCTAATCTATCTTAGGGGCTTCTGATCTTAAAAAAAAAACCTCCCCTCTCACCCCCTAATGGCCCCTCAGAGAAAGTATATCTGCCAGTTTTGCGCCAAGGCGTTCTCGCGCAGCGAACACAAGGCGCGGCACGAGCGCTCGCACACCAAGGAAAAGCCGTTCCGGTGCCAGCAGTGCGATTCCTCCTTCGTCAGACGCGATTTGTTGCAGAGGCACTGCCGCACGGTTCATGGCACAATCATCAGCTTCAACACACGCAAGAACAGCCAGGCGTCAATTGTCGCGTTGAAGCAGGAACAGGAGCACGGCGAGGCCATCTCGCGCCAGGACATTAGCCAACATGGCGTTGTGCTTTTGCCCGACAGCGAAGAAGAGCCGGAGTTCACACAGCCGGAATACGACGCCAGCAGCGTCTCCAGTCTCTCGTCGCTCATGAACCCAAACGTGTCGCCGCGGGGCTCTGTACACAGACTGACCAGCGATCAGGCGGTAAAGAGTGAAGAGAAGCTCAGCCCGGAGGCTGCCATCGTGCCTAAAATTGATCGCAAGGTCTCAGACGTGCAAAGGTCTAAGAGCATCGATATGAAGGCCGTCTCCGACGCACCTCTCAGTTCTTCCCGGAAGGCAAAACAGCACCAGATATACCCTGCTGGTAATAACACCGCGCTCACGAGTGAAAAGAGCGTCATCACGATCCTCTCGCTTTCCAAACGGCTCCACCTGTCGCTCCTCAATACCAAGTTCCACGTGAACCTCTCGCAGCAGGAGATCTCGCAATACTTCATCAGCTGGTCCATTGTGTCCAATGAGCGTCTCCCTATTGTCAAGCTTAAAGAGTTATTGCCCGTTATCAACAGCTATCTGTTCCAGTCCACGCTGAACGTGCTCCCCGCCAACATGTCGGAAGAGGAGCTCCGCAATAACGCATTGGTTCTCGCGATTATCTCGTTTGGCGCGGCTGACTCGCACCAGTTCCACAAGTCGCTCATCTTTTTCAAAAAGTCGTGGTACTACTTGGTCAACTTTATGAAGAACCCGCGAGACGCGATGCCGGTGCTCGCTATTCTCTCGTACATCTCTCTAAACTACAATTTTAAGAGCGTGTTACACAAGTATGGCCAGCCGCCGCTCAGCGGCACCATTAGCACCAGCGAGTTCATCGAGAAGGAGAAGTACGGTAAAGTCGATTTCGAGCACCTGCACCGCTATCAGTTTGGTAGTCGCATCGACACCCGCTACACCAATTTCAACGCCGACGATGCTGAGGACATGACAGTGATCCCGACCGAGGTAGTGCTTGACTACTTGAACCATATCAGCTACTTGGTGTTGCAACCACGTAACGGGCCCCCGCCGACAAAACTGGATGAGCAGTTCGACTATTGGTGGGTGTACCTCATTCTCTCGAACTACTCGTTGCTCTACATCAAGCCAGCGCCGAAGATCCACGAGGCATTTTTGGAGAGGGACCTCCCACAGGCAATTGGGAAGAGCGCCGTGCGGGGCCCCAACGTCAAGCTCCGTGACTACCTCACGTTGCTTACAACATCCACGTTCCAGATTGACAACTTTACGATGCTCGAGAAGATCATCATCATGTGTCTCTCCAACGAGCTCAAGTACCTCACGGAGAAGGAGCATGTGTTGAACCAGGCGGTCATGGCGGACTACCAACCACAGGGCCAGCGCAACTTCTTCCGCACGTTGAGCTTTTTCCACAACGCCATCATCCTTGCCAACCGCTCGTTCAACCACTTGATGTGCTCCCCGTCGGGAATCCCCGCGGGGGCCAAAGCTGTGTCCAACGCGGTTCAGCGCCAGATGGACAGCGGGAACGGCTTCTATAACCAGCTCATTGACGAGTTCAACAACTTAACCATCTTGAACCAGAAAAAGTTGTTGATCAACTGCCCCGTCAAGCTCCACGAGTTGATCACCTCATACAACTTCATCCCTATCAACGAGTACCAGTGGTACTTGCTTCTTATCACGCTCAAGGAGTTCAACCTCAACATGGCAAACACCTCGTGCGAGTCCGCCGTGTCCGAGTCCGCCCGACGCTTGCACCGCCAATTTAACAATACATACAACTACCGCAAGCTCTACTACGCGCTCTCCAAGACTAAGTTCGACGACGTGTGCGCGGAGGTCTCGAACCAACAGATCTACAGCTACCACGATCTCATCTCGTCCGACTTGTACTTGAACGAAAACGAGTCTCGCGAGCTCACACGTGAGTTTGCACAGTTCTTGAACTTGCTGAGCTCCAAGTCATCCAACCACTCGAACTCTTTGCACAACACCGGTCCGCGCGACACCGTTTTCAACAAAAATTTGATTGTCAATAACAATTTGGGGTTGGTGTCGATCCCCATGTTGTTCCTTTCGTTCAACTTCAATTTCACGTTGAACCGTTACAAGATCCTCTTGAATCTCCCCAAGTTCAGCAACGGCGATAATAACTCAAAGGACTACTTCAACTTGTTCTTGGTTGAGTGGATCCTCACGCTCTTCCGCGTCTTTCTCAACTTGAAGAACCTCAACCTAGAGGAGAACTACATCATCCAGAGTCTTGTGTACATGATCCAGGAGACGGGGTTCAGTATCGACGTACCGTTGAACGTGACCAACCGAAACTCCTTTAACGATCGTTATAACTCGCTCAGCTCGTGCAACCTCAATCTCGACCAGTTCAAGGACGATAAGGTTATTTACTACTATCTAAAGAATTTGGAGATGAGCTTTGATATTTGGTACCGCTTGAACAACAACATCAGCTCTGAATTTTCTGACCTTGAGGAGTTTTCTGCCTCCACCGGTCGTCGCCGTGGCCAGCTTTCGAGCAACGAGGTCTTCTTGCGCAACTTCAAGCAGCTTCTCCGCACTACCGTATACGACAACCTTGACCTCTCGCTTAGCAACTATATTTCGCCCATCCACCCGTTGTCGCCTTCGTCCATGTCACACCAGTTGGCTGGGTTGCACGGCCAAGGTTCCTTCCGCCAGCCGGATCAAGAGCCCTTCCGCCAGACCGATGCCTCCACACTTGAGAGCATCTTGAATACCAATTACATGCCTTCGCCTTCGTCCGCCATCAACACGTCGTTCCTGCACTTCCCAAGCGGGCCCGCCAGCCAGCTCCCGATTTTGCCCGCCACGTTCCCGTCGCCGATGGCCACCGTTGCTACGTTGTTCCAAGGCGACTCACTCGCGACTCCGACCTCTGGCATGCTCAACAAGGTGATGCTTCCGCCGATTAACCGTGAGCCCGAGGAGAAACCAGCAGAAACTGAGACTCCGAAGCAGGAGACCCGGCCAGAAAACTATCCACCGTTGATGGGCCTCTCTTTGAGTGGGTATAAGGAGTTGATGGTGATGCGGAATAACATGGTTAACTAGGATATGTTTATGTTTTAATAATCCGTTTTCGACCTAATGTAAGTTTAATTCCGGCTGGCCCGTTTGAGGAGACTGGAATGTATGCTACCGTTATTCAGAAATATCTGGAAAATGCTTAGAAATATGAGAGATCTTAGCTAGTTTGACAAGCCATAAAGAGGATGGAGAGAAGTGAGAGATAGCCCCGGCATATTTGCCTCTATATAGCTTTATATACAGTAGTCATTTTTAGCTCAGCGATGTTTTCTTGTGCTTGAAAGAGGGTAGGAGAAGAGTGGTAAATAGCTTGATCTTTCCCAGCATTACTCATAACTCAGAGGTATTCTGAATGGGGCTAAAAGTTTGCCCAGAAACGGTTGAGAGATCGAAGGAGATTTTCTCGCAGTCCCATACAAGCCATCAGTGCTTTCTCTATCGATAAATAGCCCATAGGTTCACTGAGAAAAATTCTATACCTAACTCAGTTACGAGCGGGATTATCAAATAGTTCATATCCGTTACTATTTCATCACACACGAAAGAGACGCTGGATAACATCTCGGAACGTCTTTAAATCTCGTCAAGCTTCGATTCACATGTCCAGTAGCACTCCCTGAGACTCTCGCTATAACACAACTTAACATTGACTTCAAGTAAATCCCTTTCTCTCACATTTGCCATCTTAACATCCACCAACGGATACCCTGCCAAGACCTCTTCCACCTCTTCGAAGCCCAAGAACCGCGGCACGTCCACCACCTCTGCTGAGAACTCGTCGGGAGACGCAACACGCCCTGTTGTAACACTAGGATTGGCAAACACAAGTCTAACAGGAAGCAACTTACAAGTGCGTTTGTACGGCTTGACAATGAGGTTTCCATCGGGTTGCACCCCTACCAATCGAACTGCTACCCGGAAAACATCGCCAACATGTCTTTTCGTGGCATAATTGGCCAAATCACTGAAACTGACCTCCTGAATCATTTTACGTTGACGGGACTGCGGTGGCGCCATAACTATCTCTGGTGTTTGACGTGAAATGTACGCTACTTGTGGATGGTCATCCGGACTGCTATTCGTTGTGTGTATCTGTGGCAGGTGGTGCAGCGGGAAGCCGGCAGGATGGGCTGTAGTGGAGGATTTAGACACGCAGTCACCATGGTGGATAGTTGTATGCAATTTCAGCAGGTCGGCCTGCGACAGTTCTGCTAAATGGATCTGCTTGGACGAGGCTGGCACGCCTGATGGTAGCTGTCCGGCAGGGCGGATGGTTATATAAGAGCTTGGCAGATGTGATGTTTGGGGAAAGCCGGCCAACTTATCATTTTCAGAGGTAGGTTTCGCACCGGGAATTTCCAGTCTCAATTCCTCCTCAACGTTCCGTCTCACACGCTTGTTCAAACCCTCTAGTGATGGGGCGGGGCGTGACCTTCCGGCCCTTGTGCTTTCAGACGTATTTACCATATGTCTTCTTATCCACACAGTAGATGCAACCTTTTGCAACCTTGTAAACAATGGTTCTAGCAGCACAAACTCAGATTCTTTAAGATCGGGATAAGTTGGCATTAATCTCATTTCTAGTCCATACGCTTCGATCCGGTGTGAGTAGACCTTGAGGAAGCCCACAGCGCTGATAAGCACACAGTGCTCGGAAATATCCATGGATGAAGCATCATAGATGTCAGGCTCCATGCCTCGCTGGCGCTTGAGTTCTTTCAACAACGTCGTGGTCCGGGAGGATGTTAGCGACAAGGTCACGATCTGGTTGTCTGGCAAGCCAGGGGTCTTGCCCAACAGGAAAACATGGTTGACATCCAAAAGGTTATCGTGGGTAGTGAGATCCGTGACGTAAACAAGGGACGGTCGATTCCCTGGCCATGTGCGATCACGAAAGATTCCAAGAACGAGGAACGGGATGTCAAACTTGAAGCCGCGAGCGTGAGGGTTCAGGATGATCTCGTCTACCGAGGGAAACTCGCTGACGCAGCTTGGGTTATAATCCAAAACTTGTCCCAAGGGGATGCTCATATTAACAGAATGAACGAATTTTGGAAAAAGTGGAAGGTCATCTATTGCGAGGATTCGTTTTCCAAGGACGTTTTGTTATTCTCATGACGCGTGGGTGACATTCAAAGTCACGTGTGGGTAACGGTTCTGCGCGTAATTTAATCGCAGCCTGCAGTCACGAAGGCGATGAGTAGAAGAAAGCTATCTGAAAAGGCGAGAACCTCTGCGTCGCCTAACTCATAATATTATTACTATGAAGAGTATGTTTGGACTATTTATAGGAGGTTTGGACCTTTATTGGTGACGTGTCGTTAAAACATTTGGTCTCATGAGAGAATGTTTGACGGAAGAGTAGGGAGGTTTGGATGTTGTCGCTTGAAGGGCTCAAACTACCAGAAGACCAAATCCGAGCATGCAAGTTTCAATACTTGGAAATTGACTAGGTTTACACCCGAACAACAAACCAACAGTGGTGTTGTAACGATATCCTGCCATATTTCTGATCCATACCATATTTTCGGTTCGTGGTCTTCTTCCCTGTTGAATGTCAAGCCTTCCCATTCAGTACCATTGCCAGCGAGAGCATTATGTATTGGCTCTCATTAATGTACGGGGCTCAAAGAAATTTATTTCTTCCATCAACTGTCATACCTTTCCCCTCCAATTATATACTCTTGGTGACATTACCAGCTATATGGTTGTGCGTGGACCAGTTGGCATTCGATGAGCGTTTCCCATCCATACTTCCCGCGATTGCCACATCCATTTGCGTCACCATCGTTTAAACGCATGCTTCTCTTACCAGTTTTAACACCTCATTCTTGCGTCCTTCATGACTAACATCTCTAGAAAGCTTCAAAATCCCCAAACTCGTGCAGAAGGCGGCTGGAAAGGCGGCAAAGCAAACGGTGCTCATTACCGCAGATGATCACCTCTTTGAAGGAACCGTGGAAGAGGAGTCTGGTGATCGATGGCTCGCGCTGGACCTCAGCAAAGCACTCCGGTTCTACCAGCGGGCGTACGACCACTACAAGATGGCGTACAGTATGGCACCGCGACTCGTGGATGCGCACTATAACGCGGCGCGTTTGACATTTCACATCTACAACCAGTATACGAAGCCAGACCACGTGCGCTTCGAAGACTTGGAAAACGTTGGGGACGTTCTTGGAAGCCGAAGCTCGGTAGTGCAAAGCTTGGAGCAGATCGTGAAGGCCCATGAAGACATACTTGTGGTGGCTGAGAGCGTGGGGATCCCCTGGGATTTGCGATACAATACGGCGTTGGCGTATACCGAGATCCTTGAGCAATCTGTAGAGCGTGATCTCTCGATTGAGACGGTCGGAAATCTCGCAGGGCGTACAAGCACGATGTTCGCAGAGGTCTTGGACACCCAAGTCAGAGAGCTTGAGGAGTTTGTGGCCGATATCACGTCTGAGGAAGACTCAGCCCCCGAGGATACCCCCAACGAGACGAATGATGGCCCCAAAGAGGTGTTTGTGGATGTAAGAGATACGGTGACCCCGGTTGTCCTCTTGGAATCCATCCTCAGTTCTTACCGTTTTATACAGAGCGTGTATGAGGCAGTCTCCACTGAACACATTCCCCGGATACACCAGCTATTGGACTTATTTCTCGCCCAGTTAGACTCGCTCGCAAGTAAGACCGTCGCCGCGTATGGTAGCGACTTATCTGAGAAACAACACTTGAATTTGCCGTATCTCTCGGCTCTGATGGTCGATGACTTGAAGATTGCGCGTGCATATGCCACCAGCGCCTCCAAGACCAGTTTTGACGAGTTGCTAGCCGTCTGGAAGGGTGATATTCCTAAAGTCCCGGAGGCATATATGTCGACAGCCGATAGCATCCAGACACTTCTTGATAAGGAGTGCATTACACCAAGCTACCATATGTTTCTCCCCTCCTTACATGCTTCCCAACCGGAGCTCGTCTGGGGATTGCTTGGGACGATGAATGTGTACTACAAAAAGGCCCAGGACGTGTTGATGGTAACGATGAAGCAGCACCAGGTGGCAAATTCGCTTTTGTTGAGTCCGGTGATTTCAACTATTGCTGCCCTTTTGGTGGCCCGCAGCGACTGCGAGCTTCAGCGCGCATTGTTGGAGTTTCCAGCGGCCACGACCCACAGAGAGGTTTTGTTGAAGAACGCGCGCACACTTTTGGTGAATGCTGTGAATATGGCAAATATTAGCGGAGGATTGCGGGAGGGTGCGTCTGATAAACTCATCCGTGCTAAGAGAAGGGTTGAAGCCGTGGTGCGGATCTGTGTGATGGATGGAGAGGTACTTCCAGAGCAGCTTGACAAGCGGATCAAGAGGACGGACTGGGCCACGGAGATACCAAATATCCGTGAATTAGGTTATTATGGGTTTTTTACTTTGCCAGTGGTTCCTCTGCAATTTTAGACCGGTTGAAGTTAAATTGAATTGGGATTCTGAAAATTGTGAGTTAAAGCAAATATTTACAAGCATGGATAAGGTGCTAAAAGGGGGATGCTGTGATTGATTTTACTTATGGCCGGATAATGCCATACTCAATATATGAGGTCTGTAAGCAAATGCGAGACAATAACCAGCTTAACTGGTTCCTATAAAATTGAGAGAGATTCAAACCTGGGAATGCCAGAAATTTAGATAATATATCCAAAGCGTATCGTAGTAAAGGTACCATTTGACTAGACAGAAGTCGGAGTCTATTTTCCCCTTACCTCCGATAAGCGGACACCCTGGTATCGTATCCGTCTCAGTATATACCATCGACCACCATGTAGATATCTTACAAAAAAAAGTATTCTCTTTTAGCTAGTTAACAGTATCCACTATTACCTACTAGATATACCACACGCATAGACGAATGCATTGATCCCCTAAACAATGACGCATCGGAATATACACTGTCATTCCGTCTTGGTATTTCACCACTATCGAGCTCGTCTCTCTAGGTCGGTCACTTACCAAAGCATGGCCGCAGTTTGTATGTTTAATAAACCCCGTGTACGCTTCTCACATGTCAATCCCCATTGTCCAGTCATTCATACCGGGCTTCCTTTTTATGGAAGCACGCTAACCCAGTGCAACTATACTTTGGTTCAAACGTAAATTCAGCTTCATTAGGCTATATACATTGGTGAATTTTACCGGCTCCGCGGAGCCAAAAGGAAAGAAAAACGACGGAAAGTCTATTTAAGGATCTTGTCAAAGGCTGGGATCAAGGACTGGGCCAAGGCGAAGGAGAAGACCAACTTAGGACCGGTAGTCAACAACTTTGGAGTCAAACCCTTGAAGAACGCGCTAAAGCCCTCGGTCTTGAGCATATTCTTCAAGATTGTGACACCAGACTGCGGGTTGTCAAAGTTTCTGTTCTGGATTCTGGTCTTGATGACGTCCAACGGGGCGGAGACAATCAAAGAGGCGGAGGCCCCGAAGATGGAGGTGACAAAGTTCTGGGACCAGGTGGCAGTGTTATAATCAGCCAAGCCAAAGATGTATTCCTTGGCGAAAGCGTTACCACCAAACAAAGCAAAGGAGCCCGGAGCATTTCTGGCCATGGTCCAACCGATACCTCTGTACAAACTAAAGCCTTCATCTGCGATGATCTTGAGGAAGCCTCTCCCCTTGAAGGATTCAGGGTTTGTTTGACGTTTGATTTTCAAAACATCTAATGGCAAAAGCACAACCTCACCAATCCCGATCAAGGAACCAGCAGTGGCAGACATCAAGGCCTTACCGTTCTTGGCACCGAAGGTGTTCTCAAAAGAGTCCTTAAAATTACGGTTCAAGAACTCGTTGGCAAATGGCTGACCACCGTACTTGTAGACTCTCTGGAGAATCTTGTACACAGCGGCGTACCCCAAACCTGGGAAAAGGGTGAAGAGTCTCTTACCGAGCGGCTCAGTAGCGTGGTTACGGAAGATGACGGAGTTGAGCTGCCCAACGGAGGTGACCTTGGTGGAGTTGGACATAAGTCTCTTGGAGATGGTATCAACCGGGTGGAAAACACCGATTTCGCAGATACCAGCGGCGGCTGGGCAGGTTAGTTTGTGTCATAATAACGGCCAGAATCTATATAGATCTTGAGATGGAAAGCGGCTTAAATAAAGAGAGAAAAGTCTCGCTACCCGTCTCAATTTTTCACATACCAGAACCGAGAACTCTGGCAATACCAGATTGCTTCTTGTCAGTAGCTTGTGGAGACATTTAGTGTATAATGGCTGGCGTTGAAGGTGAAGAGAAAAAGGCACTGTTTTATTTATGTGTCCGGCGGATTTTTCCTCGGAGGCTTCCTCAATTGGAGTGAAAAAAAAATTGGTGCGAAAAAGGTCGTGCGAAAGAAATTACTTGATTAGGACGAACAGCGCGCTAAAGCTCTTGAGTCACACTGAGTGGCACGTGCTGATAACACCAAGATTACAGAGATAGATTAGGTGGGCATTTTTCATTGGCCCGGCGGTGTGCCGGTCTGTAGGCTCGCACATGTCACAAACACACACATAACTGACTCTGGATAGTAACCGCTAGTGAAACTCTCAAGAGACCTGGATTGTATCAATTTCTTCCTGCTCACTGCCCTTTTTTATTGGCTATGAGAACATAAGATTAGTGGCTTTTATATAACAGGCGTATTAACGCATTATTGAGCATTTAAGAAGTAGGCTAATCTCACGTATGTAAGCAATATGACTATCGTTTGTATATAGTGTAACTTCTTCTGGGGGCATTATATTGCATCTTGTATAGACGGGTACCAACGAGTGGAAATAAAAGAATACTTATACTTTTTGATTGTTGCAGATATGGAAAATAGCCTGGAGTCGATTAAGCATCAGGGATTGGCAAAACAGGAAAATTTGGTCTTCTATTTTAACTCTCAGACCTTCAGGTATATTCGTAAAGCTGTGTCGGATCGAAGATGGTGCAGAAGGTCATAACATATACGGCGCTATACCCATGTGGCATGAGTACGGGCTACGATCGTATATGAATATTGACATGCAGTTTAACCGACCCATAAACGAGCTAGGCGTTTCAACAGCCGTAAGGAATTAGCTGGCAGCTGATCTAAACCAGGGAGGAATATGTCACGATGGGTATCAGCAAGGCCATACGTCAAAATGTTGTACTTCACGTTAAATTTAGGTATACTTTAAATTGAGCATTAATCTGCCCGCCATGTATACGACCACAACACTATACGACGTATACGCACCACCCTCGATCGCTTTGGCTCCTGTGCGTAGCTGTTTTAAATAGTATTGTGGTTGAGCACAGCTGAACGTTGTCATCAGGACCTGGGAAACACAAAACCTGAATTCTATTTTATTTCGCCTGATCCTACACGATTTACGATCTTCAATGACCATCATAAATCGTGGTTTCTCATCGCCAGCTATGAGTAACTTCTAGGCTTGGTTGAAAATCTTCACGTGACGGGATCGACAGCAGTCTTTGCCGAGCTGCCGAACGACGCGTCATGCTATACGAGCGTAGCCCATCACATGCCCTGCGAACGAGAATCATTTCTCCTCCCTGCATTGGTGAGCCTCTGGGACATGCTCGAAACCTGGACCAGAAATTATAAATACCACCCGGCTTCCAGTTTGAACGAGTCTGGACTCCACCTATTACTTATTAGTTGAAAGAGGCATCCGGTTCATCACTCATAAACGCAATGGCCACCAACAATCCTATTCCATATACGTCGAAGAACACCTTCGAAGAGAAGTACATTGAGATCAAGGGCCTCAAGTTCCGTACGCATAACTGGGTATGTATTTTATGATTAAAGGAAAGGATAGTCTGTGGGAAGCGTCCGGACTAATTCAAACTGGGAGTCAGGTGGGTTGCTTCGGGGGTTTCAGAAACCAATTTCCTTTAGGGGTAGCCATCCATCGGCCGGGAATGCTGAAGACTTTGCAATTGACCCCATGGCATACGCTCTTACAAGAAACCAGGATATCGCATCTACCTTTCCCATCTTTTCAGTACTAACGACATAGCCCGTTCCTGCTGATGTGCCGTATAAGGCCAAGATCATTATTGTTCATGGTATGTGCTGGACTCTATGATTGAATTTTGAACTGGTTGAAAGGAAACAGTTGGAAAGACTTGGGTTGAAGATCATGTAATGTCTCTTGTAGCTTGAATTCTTATTCATTTACCCTGACGTTCCATGAGGTACGGATTGCTCTACGAATAGAGACTTGGTCCATAACTATGCCCGCTTTCCCCCCTCCCCTTTCAACTATTTTTCACTCCCACCTTACTTTTGCTAACATTCCAGGTTTCTGTGAACATGTCGTCCTCTATACCAAAGTCTGCGACCAGCTCTGCTCCGAAGGGTACGAGTGCTTTGTGTTTGACCAGCGTGGAGCTGGTCTTACTTCTCCAGGGAAGGAAAAGGGGATCACCAACGATGCGTTCACCTACGCGGATCTCGATCAGATGATCGGCCTCAACCTCAAGAGCTTACCTGATGGAAAAAAGCTCTTTCTCTTTGGCCACTCCATGGGCGGTGGAATTTTGTTGAATGTCGGAATCAAGGGCGTGTTCCGGGATAGACTTGCAGGGATCGTTGCCATGGGGCCGTTGATTATCAGCCACCCTAAGACCAAACCCAATCCGTTGTTGCGTGCCGCCCTTGGCCAAGTGTGCAAGATTCTTCCAAACATGAAGATCGATGCCAAATTACAGGCGGACTACATCCTCGGGGACAGCCCCTGGAAGCAGTACCTTATCGATGATCCGCTCTGCAAAGCCGTCGGTAGTTTGCGCCAGATGCAAGATATGCTTGTTCGTGGCGAAAAGTTGTTGGATCCAGAATATGCGTCCAAGATGAAAAAGGACTTACCGGTGTTGATTACCCATGGCGAACAGGATTACATCAACGATATCAAGGGCTCCCGTCAGTTCTTTGACATGTGTGGCTCTACTGATAAGAAGTTGACCACGTACGAGACCGGTAGACATAGCTTGTATCTTGAAGGGGACGAAGTGTATGTTCCGTGGTTCAAAGATGTTTTAGAGTTTTTTAACGGTCACCTTTAAAGGAACGTTAAGGTTATCCATCCCGGTCACTTGGCTACAAACACGACCCGCAACCCAGCTACTTCTTTCTTTGCATGTTTTTGTTTTTATGTCGCGTCAATTGAAATACTTAATTTCTCTAGTTTTATGACTTATAGTCAAGGAGATGGTTTTATTATACGGTAGCTGGCCGGTTGATGCTATGCTGATAGTATAGCCTATCTGATGTAACATCGTTAGAGGACCAATAATTTTCATCGAATTTTATGCAAAAGTTAGAATGTCCATTTGTTATTGTCATCAGTCATATCCTGGCCATGTTATTTGCCTTCCTACGGTCCTCACCTACGAAGTATTCCCTGAGAGTACTTGCATCACACTCTGGTTTTTATAGATCCTGAACGAACTGTATAATAGCTCTGTTGTCAGCGTTATCTTCACCCTGCCATATATAGGCAGTAGAAGTTTCATGTATTTTTTTTTTTTTGTGAATCAGTGATACGACTAGTAGCTTATCTGAGTTGGCCATAAAATTTTCTTTGCACTCTTATTGGGTCTCATTCCTGCAAGCTGGATCAATTAGACACAATCGGTACCTATCATAATATTGAATTCGATAGGCGACTATATGATTATGAAAAAGAAGGTAATGGTAAATAGGGGATACAGAGAGCCACTGCCAGCAACTTTTTAACTGACTGTACACCAGAGTCTCGGATGTGTGTTCTTTCTGCCACTGCAAACCTCATGCGTGAAGCTCATTCCCCACGTTTCACGCGTGCTGGCTAAACCACAATCCTCATTTTCCCAGATTTGGGGCTTGCCCAAACTCCGTGATTGGGATTACGCAAGGGCCCGGAAGCCTGTGAACTCTATCCGAAACATCTTACTATCTATATCGACCACTAGAGCATTTCACCGTGTATGCCCCGTGGACATTGCAACATACATCTGTGCATACTTTTCACGGATACTAGAGACCAGTCATGGCGCAGGAAAACTGCATTCCCTGCGGCATTTCGCAGAAAAATCCACCAGATAAGGAGTAAACTGCAGCGGCCCGGTTTCTACCAGCTTCAGTTAGCCTCGTGGCAATGCGACATAAACTACATTTTTTAGGCTGGCTAGATTTCCAAGTTACTTTTATATCATGGATTAACTTCTGCTATCCGATTGTACTACATAGAATGATACATTAGTGCAATTCCGATAATACTGTACTCCTGCCATGGGCGGACTGGGGCAGGTTTCCCCGCATTTCCCTGTGCGGAAGTTTGCGGCGCATAGCCGATTGTTGACACGCGACTGAGCTCTCAGTGACTACGGTGACATATATAAGTCCGATCTCCACTCCAAATCAGTTCCATTATTGAATACCCCACAAATACCATACAATTTAATACCATGATCGTTACCGCGACAACGTCTGTGTACCCTCATGACTACACCCAGGTAAAGGCGCTCATCCACGCAATGCCACCGCCGACCTCGCTGGTGGACACGGCAGTTGCACTTCCCGACTCTGCCGAGCCTGGGTACTCGCCGGTATACCGCAACCGCTGTGCGCGCGACGGTCTCTACGCAACGCTCCACCCCGCGCTCACGACCTTGCATGATGCATTCGAGTACGCGCGCGCGACCTACGCGACGCAGCCATGCCTCGGCGCACGCCTCCGCACTGGCGCGCGCCTCGACGACTTCTACACGTGGGAAACCTATGAAGAAGTTTACCAACGCAAGAACCGCATTGGCGCGGGCCTCCTCTACATGGTACATAACTGCCCGTTCCAGCCAACCACCACCCCGTTCATCGTCACGCTTTTTTCCGTAAACAACACCGAGTGGGCACTCACAGACCTTGCGTGCCAGTCCTACTCACTCTGCAACACTGCATTATACCCAACTCTTGGCCCAGACACGTCACAATACATTTTAGAGCTCACTGATTCGCCGATAGTGGTATGCTCGGCTGATAAGCTTGACTACTTGCTCGACCTCAAGGCGCGCGGGTGTCCGCGACTCACGGTGCTCGTGCTGCAGACGGGTTTGGTGCCACTCGTGCGCGACGCGATTGTGACGCGCGCGCACTCGCTCGGCGTAACTGTTCTTGACCTCGCGGATCTCGAAGCTATCGGCGAAGCCAACCCTCATCCCTTTGTCCCCCCAACCCCCAACACGCTATACACCATTTCATTCACCTCGGGCACCACTGGCAGTCCTAAGGGCGTGATGCTCGAGCACCGCCAGGCGATGGCGCACGTGCTCTTTCTGTTAACAGTTGCGGCGACTCCAAAAGGCCGTGGCACAGCGCTTTGTTCCCTTCCGCTCGCGCACATCTACCAGCGGTGCTTGATCATTGTGAACTATCTCTCAGGCATTGCGCTGGGGTTTCCGCAGAGCTCATCTCCGAAGACGCTTGTGGACGACCTTCGGGTGTTAAAGCCGTGCTCGTTGGCGTCAGTGCCGCGCGTAGTGAACCGGATTGAGGCGGATATCAAGGCCCTAACCGTGGATAGCGAGTCAGCTGTGACACGCGCAGCGTCGCGGCTCGTGATTGCGCGAAAAATGGCACAGAACGAGCACGGGCGGTTTTCGGGGATTGACTACCTTTCCACCCAGGCCTTCCGTCACGTTTACGGGCTCCGCGCACGCTTCGGGCTCGACGAATGCCGCTTCATGCAGTCGGGTAGCGCACCCGTCGCGCCCGAAACGATTCGCTTCCTCCGCGCAGCACTCGACATCGGCTACACTAACGCGTATGGCTTGACCGAGCTGGCTGCAGGTATCTGCCGTAGCTTCCCTTTTGAGGGCGACTATCTGTCGACCGGTCCGGTAGGCATCACATGTGAGGCGCGCCTCAAGGACGTGCCAGAAATGGGATATACCTCCACCGACAAGGGCGGGGCGCGAGGCGAGCTACTTCTTCGTGGGCCACAGATTTTTGTGGGGTATTACAAAAACCCCGGTGAAACTGAAAAGGCGTTACTGCGTGATGGCTGGTTCCACACGGGCGACATTGCACGCATCGGGCGCGGTGGCCGCATTCACATAATAGACCGGCTCAAGAATTTCTTCAAGCTCGCGCAGGGCGAATACATCACACCCGAGCGGATCGAAAACCTGTACATGAGCTCGTGTTCGGGACTTGTAGCGCAGTTATTCGTGCATGGTGACTCACTTGAGACGTATTTGATCGGCATCGTGGGCGTAGATCCCGTTGGACTTGTCCCCTTTTTTGAGAAAAATTTTGGGATTGTCCAGTCGGTGGAGGGGTTGATGGGGCTTTTGAAGAAACCAAAATACAAACGGCGATTCCTTATGGAGATGAACGCTCTTGTTACCGGATTTGGTCTCCAGGGCTTTGAAAAGTTGCACAACATTCAGTGCAAGTTGGAGCCGATGAGCGTGGAGAACAACTTGGTGACCCCCTCCTTGAAGATTAAGCGCCAGCAGTGTCGGACACACTTTGAGCCGGAGTTGAGGGAGTTATATGTGGAGGGGAGTTTGTTGAAGGAGATGAGGTTGTAGGGCGAAGCTTACTAAGCGGGTAATTTAAACCTTTTAAATAGTTGAATGGGTGGATAGCTATAGTGATTTCTAACTGATATTGCTTTATGGCCAGGGACTGAGACTGCTCCTTGATTTCTTGGGCTTTATATCAACTTTATTGACCTCTGAAGAATTAATACAATACACTCTAAGAACGCCTACAACAAGCCCCGGCTATAAATTAATCCGATATCGGTAATGAGGCGTGCAACTGAGGGCCATGCAACATATATCATTGGGGCGTTCTATTGTCAGTAAAAAAATACCAGAGAATTATCTTTTTTTTTATAAATTTGAACGCTTTTTATCGCTTTTTTTATCTATTTTTCTGATCTATGCCAATAGCTTTCGCATTTTTGTTGGCGAGTCGTTCAGAGATAATTTCGCCTTCTGTTAGCAAGCCTGCTGGTTCTTTATATTTACGTGCACCTACCAGTCCTGCACACTCTGGGCATCGAAAATTGTTACATGACCAGAGATAAAACAGATCTCACATTTCTCTTCCTTCTTCCCTTCCCCTTCCTTTCTGTAGTAACCTAAGATGCCCGAGGATCTGCTCATCACAGACTACACGCAATCGCTCGAGGAGCTAACCTTCAATTCTGCGCCGTTGATCAAGACGCTCAGCGTGATAGCGGGTGAATCCGTTTCGCTGGCCTCCGAAATCGCCCTGGCGGTGCAATTCCGCATCAATAAAGTGCGTATACCCTAGAAGCTCATAAAGCTAAATACTAACTGATCAGTGCCCACCCACACAGAAGCTCTTTGCCTTCTACCTACTCGATAGCATCTGCAAAAACGTGGGTAACCCGTACAACATCCTCTTCGGAACATCTATTTATGACCTCTTCACGCGCAACTACACGCTTGTGAGTGACCAGGTCAGACAAAAGCTCATCAACTTGTTCACAACCTGGCGTGACACCAAAACTGCCACTGGTTCGCCGTTGTTTCCACAGGACCAGCTCGATCGCATCGAGGAATTTCTCCTCCGTGCGACGCGCAGCACGACGGAGTTGTCAAAGGAATCGCTCATAGCGGAAATCGAGCAGCTCATTCCGCTTGTGACAAAGAAGATGGCCGTTCTGCCGCACATGATGGACAAGCTCCGTACGCAGCTCGAGGGTTTGAACGATATCAAGAAGTTGTTGGCTTCGACGAAGCTCCCGGTAAAGACTCTTGCGCAGATCAAGGATAAGCTTGGGGGGTTCAAAAAGGAGATAGAGACACCGGCCCCTGGACAGCAACCTCAATGGCATACCAATGGGGGATATCCAGGGAATCCAGTGAATGGCTCAAATAATCCAGGACAGTTTAGCGCTCCGGCACCAGGAACTCGATTCCAGGCCCCTAGTGGAAATCAGCTACCAATTAGTAATTCCCAGGTAAATCCCCCAATAGGCAATCAGCTCCCGGGTGGCCAACTCCCAGCCAACGCCGTGATGACCCCAGAGATGCTCAAAGCAATGTACGAGCACTTCCAGAAGCTGCAACCACAAGCTTCGAGCATTACAAACCCTAATCTTAAGGTTCCAGCCAATATTCCTAGCAATATCCCAAACGCCACCAACACAAACCCTATGTCAGTTCCTCTGGAAAACCCATCAAGCATGAATCCCGGAATGATGGCCATGCTCTCTGGGTTGGTGAAGCCTCCCGGTCCCAGCTCAGACCGCACAAAGGATGTTTTGGCAAAGCTCTTCCAATCCGGGCTTGTAAACCCGCCCAAATCCGCCCCTGTTCCACCACTATCTGTTCTCCAGTCGCTTCTAGCGCCAAAGTCCGAAGGCAACGGAAACCCGTTGGCTGGGTTGGCTGGGATCAAGCTCCCGTCTCTTTCCTCTAATACAACACCACTCTGTACAAACGAGGCAGAACTCACCCAAGCGATCGACACGGCAAATCCAGCAGCGTTCATCAACGAGCCAAGTCCGTACTTCCAGAACTTGTTGTACGGAAATCGCTCAAAGAAGTGCGGGACGTGCGGGAAGCGCTTTAGCACCGCTAGCAACGTGGAGATGAGTTACTACGAGGCCCACTTGGACTGGCACTTCCGAGTGTCCAAGAAGGTGCTTGAGAACAACGGCAAGATCATCCAAAACAGAGTTTGGTTTTTGGACGACTTGGAATGGGTTGCGTTCCGCGACCGTGAGGAGATCTTGGAGTTTTCCGTGAGTTCCAATAGGGCAAACAGCGGGATTATGGAGCCACTTCCCACTCAGGCTACTCCAGAAGTAGCGCTTCCGAAACAAACCTATGTGGTGATTGGTTCCAGTGCAGACACCAATACTACATCTTGCTATATTTGCAAAGAAGCAATCACGGGTGTATATAACGACGATATTGGTGAGTGGATCTGGCCAAATGCTGTCCAGGTGAAGCAAGCAGGGCAGTTGCGGACGTTCCACTATTCGTGCTACGAGGAGACGTTACGAAACCAGACCCTGATAGGCATGGAGAGCGGTAAAAGACCTGCCGAAGGGGTGTTGAACGAGAAGGTCAAGCGGGAGAGGTTGGAAAATTGAGGAAATAAGTTGAACTGTGCTGGTCGGTCATGATTCCTGAAGTGTATACTATGAATTTAGTAGCCAAAGAAGCATTTAATTTTCATTTATAACGGTGCAAGAGTAGGGGGATAAAAGTTGAGTGTATTTGCTGGTAGAGGTTTCAAAGTATAGGCCGTCCTCTCACAAACTAAAATGAAAGTGAGATAGGAATCATGTTACTGCTTGTTTTTTTCGGGTATCTATACATTAATATATGAAGTGAGTCATGATGATCAAATTTCTGGTCAAACATGACAAGAGTAAATGAGTATTGTATAATTAATTTATTTCAGTAGTTCGACATCTCTTATTTATCGGTACTGCTACCTTTTCTGTATATTAAGGAGCCTTCTATGTCGTAAATATGATCAAGTTTTAACCGAGAGCACTTAACCTGTAACTACGCAGATCATTTGATCAAACCCACATGCGTGTCATATTGGAGACTACCTTGCCACATCCCACCAATTGAACAATTATTGCCCTTTTTACATTCTTTCACAAATGGCCCCTCGTATTACATACCTGTGCAGGTTCAGTGTCATTGACATTTAGTTCGTATTTACACGGAGCGGGCCAAAGGACCGATTTACTGCCCCAAGCACTTCAAAATAGAAGTCCAGACGTTATTTGGGGCCTGGGAGGCGTCAACGCCGGACCAAATACCATTCTTTCTGTAGTATTCGACAATCGGCTCGGTCTGCTTGTGGTAGGTGACCAATCTCTTGGTCAAAGCCTCGGCGTTGTCGTCGGATCTCTGGATCAATGGCTCACCGGAGACGTCGTCGATCATGTCGGTCTTTGGTGGGTTGAACAACTTGTGGTAGGATCTGCCGGATGCTGGGTGGACCAATCTGCCGGTGATTCTGGCGACCAACAATTCGTCGTCAATCTTCAACTCGATGGCGTTTTCCAACGGAGTCTTGCGCTCCTTCAACATACCATCCAACTTTTCAGCCTGTGGAATGGTTCTTGGGAAACCGTCCAAAATAAAGCCAGTCTGACACTCCTTATTGCTTTCTAATTCAGACTTAATCATGTTGACCATGATCTCGTCGGACACGAGGCCACCCCGGTCCATGATCTTTTTGGCTTCGATCCCGAGCGCAGTTTGGGCAGTAACCTGGGCTCTCAACATGTCACCGGTGGCCAAGTGGCAGGCGCAGAACTTTTCCTTCAAGTTAGGCGCCTGGGTCCCCTTACCGGCGCCTGGTGGGCCAATCAAAACCATTCTGATGGACTTTGGCACCTGCGGGATGATGCCAGCCTGCTTTTCCAAAGCGGTAATTCTTTCTTGCAACTTGGAGACGGTCTTCTTCAATTCTTCAACGGCCATTTTGATGTGTGTGTGATGAGAAGCTAAGCAATGCAAGAGAAAAGCTCGCTTTAAATGTAGGCGAAATTTTCAACCTCCAATCCTGGAGAAGGCGCGAGTTTTTCGGGCAACATCGGCACCGGGGGCAGTCCGGGTAAGGCGAGGGGCAGCTTAGGTAAGCTAGCGTGCCCCAACATTTCGCTAAGCTGTGTCGGTCATACAATGTTTATGGGGGTGGAATATGGGAAATAAGAACGATGGTTTATATACGAATTTCAACATCAGGATTACAGCGAATAAACACCCCTTTTTTTCTGACTTTAGGATGAGCCGAATGTAGAGCTAGCTACTATACCTTCATGCAGCGGTATCGACTTACTGGAGATTGAAAACACCAAGAAGCTCATGAAAGTATTGCATAAATAGCTGCTGGGTATTGTAATAGTCTTCGGGCGAATGGTAGGGGCTTGGGAGCGAGAGACCGAGTTAAGGTCGAGCGGAGTGGTGCGCGTGCGACATCGGAAGGAATAGTCCGGGGAAGCCCGGCGCAAGCCTGGCGGTCTTAACATTTGCGACCTCGAGTGCGTGCACCTATTTTTAGTCCAACCGTCGTGCCATATGGTCTAACTGGCAATCACGGTAGGCCAAAATCAATGTCACAATATTTAGTAATGTATACAAATACTATTTCATTGATTGCTAGTCTAAGTGAAGGTAAAGAATTGGAATGGGAGGGTAGGTTGTTATATACGTGCGGGGCATTTGTTCCCTTTAGATATGTGTAGGTGCATCCTAATCGGAGAACTGAGGACTTGTAATTACTCTTTCTGCAACAAATCACGGGAGAGTTTGTAATGGGTATATGAAATATATGGAACACTTTAGAAACTAATACCTCCTAAACAGGCTCCGGTTGTTTCTTGCTGCTGGTATTGAAGGATTGAAATTTCCAATTGTGTTGAGGTTAATACTGGCCCTTGGAGCGTTTAGTTTCCAATTGTTCAATTTCTGAACTAATTTACGTTTCATCTAGTCATAGGTATTTCTAATACAAAGGCAATGCCAGGCCTGGTCGTATTTATAAATTTACTAATTCAATTACTATTTATACTCGTACCAGTGGCTGAGGGGCGATATGCGGACAAATAGGTTTTAGGCTATCTAAGCTCGCTCTTAAGCTTCGTAAGGTGAGGAAACATTATACCTTATTATTTCGCGTAGCATGTGTAAATCCCGCTCTCGGCTTGCCTTGTCAGATCAGCAACCTGAACTCCAGGCCACCGATTTAATTCGTACGCATCATGTACACAGCCTTGCTGGTGCATTCTCGACGTCCTGTAAGTCTAAATTGCCTTTTATAAAAAATATTCCTTCACCCCCTCGATCATCAACTTGAATACCTTCCATGCCAATAGTTATTGTTACAAGTCCCCCGGTAAATACCCAGAAGATTGTTCATAGCGACGCAACAACACAGCCGTACACACTCCCAGGTGAAATTTCACAGCCAAACTTCCGTTTTCCTGTAGAGGATGTGTTCCACTTCAGGTTGCTTGTCTGTTTCTGTGCAGGATAAAGCAATTTAGGTTTACAGCCCAATGCTTACCAAAAATAAGTCTGTTTTGATGTTATCTAGCTCTTGTAATCATCAGGTTGTTTTTATCTTCTTGTGACACCACTCTGATTGATATACTACTTGTTCCATTGCCTGTTATCCACCTGTCTGCCTACCTGTTTGTTTGTCCTGTTAGCAATTCACAGAACCATTTCTCTGACCTAAACTAGCCGTTTGATCTCTGTCTTCAGGTCCAGTATATCCGTTCCTCGCTTCAGAAATCAGTTGCCCCAGAGAATTAGAATAGAATAGTCCCCCAGAGAACTCCACTCCATTGCTAGTTTGATCGTCTACTAACAGATCCGAGATTCCTCTGATCCACGCACTCGACACCATCACAACACCATCACGGCTCAGTAAAACTAGAAAAAGTTCACTGCCTAGCAATCCACCTCTAAATTCCACATATCCTTTATTTCACTGATGGGCCTCTTTTCATCTGTATGTATTGATGCAAGCGACAAAGCTGGAACTTGCCATTTGAAATCATTTGACACAGCCTCCTCCAAACACTAACATAGTCTTTAGAAAAAGTCCAGACAGTCAGGTTACGGCTTTCAAAAGTACTCACAGGGCGGTGCCGGTCTCCACGACTCCAACGATGCTGTTTCGGACCACTACAGACGAGCCTTGTCGCCCTCCATCAACGATACGCGCACCAACTCGCTCAATGTGTCGTCTCAAGCCGCGGCAGCTGCGATTATGGCCCATCCTCCGACCAAAGTTCAGTACATCTACAAACCTATCGAGCCACAACTGCGAACCATGTCGATGACCTCGTCTCCGTACAGTCAGCGGGTGACCGATCGAGGCAGCCCCAGCGGACGTTCTAACTCTATGATGGGCTTGCGAACCATGTCGCTTTCCAACTCCCATACTGGTCTAAGAGGTCCCAACCCCGCCCACAATGCTCCGATCAACGGCGTCCCTCGAACTTCCTCCATACTTTCCGACTCAAGTCCCAGAGGTAACAAAAGCTCTTCCCTTATCAATAACGCTAGTACTCTTCGCAAGCCCTCTCTCACTAATGTCACACCTCTACGTAATTCATCGCTCACCAATTCGATAACAGGACGTAATCGCCTTGGAGCCGTTCGTGCTAATTCGCTCTCGTCTCTCAACTCGAACGGGTCTGCCGGTGGTAAGTACATTGTCAAGACCACCAAAACTACCGATGGGCAAGGAAGAACCACCTCTATCACAAAGAAGACGATGCAGCAGCTTCCTAACGGTTCTGTCAGTGTGCTTAAAACCGAAACAACCACGTTCGAGCACATTGAAGAGGAGGAAGAAGTGTTTGATGAATACAATTTCGGAGAGGATTTTGATGGGAGTTATGACCAAGATACGTACGTTCCCGAGGGCTATGCTCAGGACGACTACGAGTATGACACCCACACCCCTCAGTTGCTGCCAGTCCGGGCATTCCAACAGCTTCTGCCACTTCTCAACCTGCCTCCGCGACCGTTGGCCGACTTGTCTGAAGTTTCAGAAGAGGAAGTGGTTGTCCCAAGGATTCGTCGTACCCCGGAAAATACCAACGGTTTAATCATCGCTGGTGGGCACCATGTTCCGTCGCATAAAAGCTTGATCCCGGTTAAATCCATCTTGAAGAAACCGGAGCCTGTCTTAGAAGAGAGCCCAAATATCGTCCCTAATGGGGTCTTTAAGGCCAAGGAGGTTGCTACGTCGCCTGTTCCGCAAACTGTTCTGGACAAAGTAGATGGAAATAAAGTGGCTCCATATGCCTCCTTGGGTGAGCCAAATCCCAAATCTCGTTCCAATGATACTGACTCGACTTTGACAGAACCTAACGATTCTGTTCCAAATGTTAAGGCTCAGACTGAAATGACAGCGGCCAACTTCTCTCTGCCAGCCTCTCCGTTGCTCGAGAATTCTTTCCCTGGTGCTCTCCGGGACAGAGACGTGCCATGCTCTAGCCGCCTGTCGTCTATGAGTTCTGAATTTGCCGATGCCTTGGAGGAACCAGCCAAGTATCAACCTACTTTGCAGGTTCCCGAAGCTGTTCTTCGTACCGGCTCTATAGATGGCAGCAGTTCGGTAGAGAGTCTGACGTACAAAAGATCTGAATCGACACCGCCTTCCGGTGACGAGGCAACTGCCCTTTCTAAAAAGCAAGACAAAGAAGAGCTCAAAAAAACAGTAAAGAAAGCTCATTCTGACGGGATTCAACCGCGCATGAACTCTCTCGGTTCCTCCCGTGAGAAAACAATTTTTTTTCCGATGGCTCCCTTCGGAAGCGAGATTCTACCACGCACGAACTCGCTTAGCTCGTCTATTAAGAAGGCAAGTTTCTCTCCGATGACTTCCTTGGGGAAGCCGATCTCTGATAAACCATCCCAGCTTCAATCACTGCCGAAGGCCCTCACTGACGAGGAAATGTATGCTGCCGCGTTAAAGGTGGCAATGACCCGTGTTTACGGGGATACCCCGCCCTCCGCTGCTGTTGTCAAGATGCTTGCCGAACGCCAGCCTGTCAGGGAGTGGGACAGCGAGGGCGATATCGAGGCTGAAAGCATTAGAAAAGTTACTGCAGAGAATACTCTTGCTCCACTGCGAATCTCTGCTGAGGTTCCGAAGAAAGGTAGAACATTCTCGTTGAATGGTGGGTTTTCGTTCAAAAAGCGCTCCGAATCGGATGCTTTGAAGACCACCGAAGATGCTGCTTTATCAGATAGCACGACAAAAGAAGCTACCGCGGTTCCTAAGGCCACTGGCTATTTGGGTACTGAGTTTAATGGTTTCCCAGCCTATTCTATGCGAAACGGTGCAGCTTTAAAGAAGGAACAAGAGAAAGAGAAGAAGGAAAAGGAAAGGTTGGCGAAGGGGCTAAAGGAGGCTGAAGTGCGGGAGAGAAAGAAGGAAAAGGAAAGGCAAGATGCCGAAAGAAAAGCCCTGAAGAAGGAGGCGAAAAATCAGAAGGTGTTGGCTGAGAAAGAAGCTAAGAAAGAACGAGAACGCGTCGAGCGTGATCTGAAAGTTCAGAAGAAGCTTGAACGCAAACTTCAGAAGCTCAATAACACAGAGAAGCTTGACGTGCCATCTGAACCTTCTTTGTCACGACGCGCTGCTCTGGTTTCCACAGACCGGTCTAATGCTGAAGCTACACCGGTCACCCTGTTGGATCAAGAAATTACCCCTACTACAAGTTCGGCCCCTCCTGAGGGAGCCCCACTTGACCATATATCTAAACCTACAAGTCTTCCTCAAAAAGATTCCTTGCGCAGCTCGTTAGCCCCTGCCAGGCCTCGGTTCATCCCACCAGTTCAGAATGGGACTCTTGCATCCTCCAAATTGGTTAATCATGACGCACTCCATCCTGAACAGCTTAAAACTTTGGTTCCCGATACATATCCTTCGCCAGCCACACCCGATGTGTGTCAGCCCTCAGTAGCGAAAGCTACGGTCCAAACACCGTTTCTTTTCGCAGGCTGTGGCTCTGACCCAGCCTCTCCAACCGCTACTACCCATGACACCCTGGATGAAACATTCGAGTCTTACCAGAGGGAGCCAATCCCAGTGGATGCGGCACCAAAGAAGGAGCCAGCGCTAAAGGAAAAGCCGCGGTCTAAGTTCAAGAAGTTTATGAATTTGTTTGTGACCGATTATCATTAAGTTTTTAGAGCCATGGTGCATGCCCTTTTCACTGACTCTGGTGCTGCGGCCAATCTAATCAAACCTCAATACAACAATGTTTTAAGTGAAAAATACAGTCGTGTTATAGCCTCCCAGAGCTCCTAGTGTGTTTATGTCTTTTTCTGGGCTTGAGTTATCCCGTTATTAGGTAAGGTTCGATACTTGCCCCCTCATATACATAATCAAGAAGAGTAAAAATCGTGGCCGCTTAGACTGCGGGGAGTCGGCACTAGCAAGCCATCAGTAAAAGGCTGACAAGGGAGATTTTTCGCACGATAGATTAGCTCTTGGCCTACTAACGAGACTTTAAACGTGATAAAGCTATAATTCAAACCAGTTCATAAATGGCGTATACATCAGTCCAAAAGAAATAGCCTTTATCTCTACCTATACCACACTCTTCCTTGTTCTAAATTTACATTTCAGCCGTCCCTCCTGCACCGACAAGTGCCCTCGACAGAAGAGAAACAGACGCGTCAACACTCCACGTTTATTCCTCTCCAGCACCAATATTACATGTCCATTCCACTTATATTTTTGCGTATTCGGAATATTTACAATGCCCGGCCCTGAATGTCAAATCTCACAGCTACCCTCAGTTTTAGAAATCCTGTCTGCACAAAAGCCGCATTACCGCCGCGTCTACGCGATGCTTCTCGCGACAAAACTCTCCCACCGAGTATCCAAGTTCTATGTGACCGATTTTACCCTAAACGCCGGGATTGGTTCTCAGTTTACGGAGGGGATCCACCTTGGAAACGAGACAGTGGCAGCAACGCTGGTACTTCAGGTGGAACTCTTTGCCGAGAAGCTTGCAACGTTCATGGCGCACTTCCTAGAGATTCGCGGCCACGCGTTTCACGACTCCGGCGATAAGACAGAGGTTGCACTGGAATGTATTTTCCTTGCAATGGAAGTCAAGGTCAAGGCCTATATGGGAGTAGTAGAAGCGAATGTTGCCAGCATCGAGATCATTCAGCCACCCAGATGCGCCGCCTTGGACCGAAACGGTGGGTTGACACGTCTCTGGAGCAGCTTTTTTGCCTCGGTGCCCCAAGGATTCATTGAAGATCACTACCAGCAGTTGGTGCTCTCCATTCCAAGCAATTATTGGCCCCAGGATGCATTGAGGGTCCATCCAAAAATGTCAGATACCACCATCCCGGTCAAAGAAGAGCCCCTGAGCCATATTCCAGAGATCCCTCGCGATATGAATCACTCCCAGGACTTCCAAAACTCATCAGAAGAGGAAGTTCCGCTCACCGCAACACCAATTCCAGCGTATGAGCCGCCCCAGTCCCCCTCCCAGGCCTCAAATAACACCACCTTTGTCTCCAACATCACTCTTGACGAAAATTTCTTCCCCGTCCGTTACTTGAACGAGCACATTGACAGCTTCCTGCTGACGTTGTACTACCCGGTGAAGGTGCGGTTACTCGGGGTGTATCCCGGATCTGTGGAACTTTTCTGCCCCAAGCAGTATGAGTACGATGAAAGCACCCAGCGCTATGAAGTCCATGATCCTAAGGTGAGATCCCTCGAATTAGTAGTGACAGATGTTGAGGACGAAAACCACGAGGGACGGAAAGACAACTTGCGATTGTCCTTGGACGAAGAAGACGTCTTGGCGTTCTTTGGATTTCGCTCCGTTGAGGAAATGTACGTATCCCCGGGTTTGGTCCAGGAGAAGCTAATCACCCTCAGCAGACCACAGGCCCCACCGTTTGAGGTGAATATCTACCTCAAGGAAGTAGTGGTAGGTAATCGGAGCTTGGTAAGATGGGCTTTAAAAAGGGTGAACATCAATGACTTAATCTTGCAACGGGGATGAAGTTTGGGTTTAAGCCGATGCTAGATCCATTCCGTGTCATCTAGTAGTCTCTGAGTTAAGTAGGCTTGCCTCATTTCAATGACTGCCACATATTTCAAGTCAACGATCTGATTACCTTATACCAAGCCAGGCCCTGGGCTAGGAATGTCGCTATGGTCTCTTCAAGAAGCCGGTCTCATATCATCGCCACATGTTTCAAAAAGTGCCGTGTATTCGGTTGCTAGTCATGCTGCGTGGAAATCTCGGTCATATTGAAGTTGCCGTTAGTCTGTATACGCACACCGTTGTACAAATGGCAGATAACCAACAAAATTAGTTACAGGTGTGAATTAAATCCAAGGGAACTAGAAACAGCTGGCGTGATAAGAAATATTTTAGACAATTATTATCGACTGCAAAAGCCCCTCTGGGGCTAGAGTCCCGACTCTTAGAACTAAGTGACATAACAAACTAGACTCCTAGCCAGTTCACTGACTTTTGCATCCACCGCTCCGCCATTACAAATCGCCGTAATACACGACCCTTCTTTACAATTGTTCATCCTATTATACAAAGTTGGCAGATATAGACCAGAAAATATCTCCTAACTGCCAGAATTTATGCATCTACCGCTCTAAAAGCTGAGAACGCACTGTCAACTTGTGGAGAACTTCGAGGCACGCTGGCCGTTACTAGCGAGAGCCCTTATACTAAACTCAAGGCTCTATAATCGCTGTTCAAACTCAAGAGTCCTGAGCTTAACGAAGAGGAGGCTATTCGAATCACCCGGCTCGTCTGTTCACCTAAGAATTTCCCAGCTCGCGCCGTTCGCCGGCGCTTCTCCCTGAGCAAACATGCTCCCGCCCGCCGCCTCCGATTCTGGCTCATCCTTGTCGTTCTTTAACACCTGGATCAAGCTCGAGTATAACGAGTTCAACTCGTTCAACTCAGGAATCGAGTTGGGGCGCATGTCGTAGATGATCTGGCGGAATGAGTGTGACTTGACAACCGCGATCGGGAGTTTGTTTTCAGTCAAGAACCGCATGATGTTCTTCTGGAACTTCATCTGCGTGTACTCGCCGTTGTCAAACTCCTGCGAGTAGTAGCGCGCTTCGGGCGCGCGCGTAGGCGGTGCGCCTGGTGCGTACGCGAGGAGCGCGGTCGCGTGCATTGACTCCTCCATACTCGGATGGAGCACACGTGCAGAGTCGTTGCCTTGCGGTACGTGGCCCTCGCGCGTAGGATTGATAGACTCGCGCGAAATCTTGTGTGTCTTGAGGTGTTCGCTCAACTTCTTGGGCAGGCCCTTGTCCAGCGCCAAGCGGAGAATGGTCTTCTGGCAGTGGTCACAGACAGCAGCATTGGCGTCTGCGTGGTCCTGAACGAACCAGTCCCACACCCACGAGCGCTTCTTGGCGCCGTTTTTGACGCCGGGCTTCTTGCGAGGCTCGAGCGGGCCCACGGCGTCCGCGCGCGCCTGCGCAGGCGAAGCTTTATTCGTGGGCATGACTGGCACCGGCGGAGGGGGCGGAGGGTTGGTTAAGTATCCTGGCACGTTGCCGTAGGCACCGTGTAGAATGGACTCCAAAGAGTCCTGTTGGTTGTTTGGGCGCTGGTAGTTCATGTTATTCCGAGCTGTCCGATGGTTGGTTCCGGTAGAGCCTCTGGTGTCGGTTGTTTTGTTTCGGTTGTTACGACTCAGAAAAGGGGGTGAGAGCCAGGGGTCGGTGCGCGCGCGACGGGCAACATAGACATTAACATGCCGGGAGGCCGCGCTGATTGGATGCGGCAGCCACCGGGACCCGGCCGGAAATATCTGGCTGCATGTGCACGTGATGCTTGTATAGATCGCTGATGACGGCTCAAGATTGATACTACCCAAGGCTCGTGGTATTATATTGAGCAACAAAGGACTTTTGAATAATGCGAGAGGTTTACGAGTGGCTTGTAGGATCTTGCACGTTCTGGAATTCCAACTCTCTTAAATACGATCCAAACAGGGGCTCTAGTGTCAAGACTAGTTATAGCAGATATCCTTTTTTCCAGAAATTCAGAGGTTTCGGTTAGTTGGTTAGTGTACTATGAACAGATACAAAGGATCAAAAAGGCAAATCTGACGTGGAGCTCAGGTCCGTGATCTTTTTCTCGCGTACTACTAAGGGTCACAAGCTCTACCGGTTGGGCTAGCCAGCGATTATTTTGTATCCCTAAGCTGTGTTACGAGATATTCGTGGCAATCTGTCACATCTAGACGTTTTGGTATTTTTCACTGAGATAATAAGCCTATTCAATCTCTAGTGGTCTCACAGTTGATTGTTTATTTGAGTAATCGCTATTTGGTCTACAAATAGCTAGCGTTGAACGGATTTCGGAGATCAGTTTGTTAAGAGTTGACGAAGTAGCTTGCTGTATACTAGCCATTGCTATATATAGGTCTGATTTTTGAGGTATGTCCTGAAATTAACCACACTGAGTCGTGGTGAGTATGAAAGGCAGAGTTAATACCTCGATGCCACGTGTATTAAACACCGCCAGAAGGATGCTTCTGACGTAAGAACATGAGTGTATTCATAACGAGATCGTGCTATGACTTTCAAGGGGAGCTGGAACTATAGAATAAGTCAATGGAATTGGATCCATATCCTATTGTTCCACAAACTTAGTTGTACCGGAAATGTGCATACTCCTTTGAATATAAACTGCAGGTGCTAGTTTGGTTTTGAGACGAAAGACTAGAGGCTACTTGCATGTGTTGTTGATTTACTGGATTAACTATTACTCTTATCTGTGTACCGATGCCCAATTTAGACTTATCCTATTACTGAAACGAGCGAAACTAACTAACCCACAACCGTCTCTTGTTTAATCGTAATACTCTCTGTCAAAGATAATACTACGGGTACTGTTGATGTAACAAAGGCAATAGGGAGAATTCCTCAGTGAAAGGAAAGATAGAGACGATCGATACATAACCAGAGATGGCTGAATTCTTGCAGGTAGTGAATCTATCTCCAGTAGAGGAGATAAATTTATTGGAAGTAGGCCGAGTTTCGCTTGGCTAACTTTATCCTGGGTTAGTATCGAGGATTATCAGTAGCTTATTTCGAAATCTAGCAAGGTTAATCACATGTAGTAAAGATCAAAATCGTAAGGCGGAGATCAACTGGCTTGAGCATACAGAGGTAATGGTAAAGTTCAAATGCATAATTATAAGGTTCTATTCGATCGAAATTGATTCTATGCAGCTGCATTAAAGAACCAGGAGGGTGTGACGATGCTCACTCATCCTCGACTATGCCCTACCATAGCACCTCAGGACTGACCATTGGCGTTTGCTCAGACTTAATAGTATTAATTTTTGGAAAAATATCGTACGCGTAGATTTCTGCTCCCAGTAGCCAATCGTACTTTTCATCAATCCCTTCCAACAACCCTCTGACAGAGTAAAGCGATATAGCTGGTGTTTCAGCACAATAGTTGTTAACACTATACCCCTTCAGATATAAAACAAAATTTCTAATGCCAGTTTGTCAAACTTTCAGAGTCGAACAATGAAGATTCCAGGAATGTCCTTTTTTAAGTAATTTGCCTATCTCCAAATAGTATCATGTTTAGAATTTTAGAATTAAGACTGAGCATCTGGTTAAACTCCTGTTAGTATACATAGCTGTACTTTAAATAGAGGGGATAGAAATTCTAGCGACACACTTACGGCGAGAAATATACCGCACAAGGAATATAGACGTGTTAGCCAATTCATTGGCTAAACATGTAATTGGGTAGGTCGTTGCATGGCTAGGCAATCAAGGGAATGTACCACCTTTGTGTCCCTGGTTTGACTTAAATGACTTGTAGCTTGCATTAATTTGTGGCCATTTTCCGGCGGAACTCCGTCCGTACAGGCTTTTTAATGCTATTCTCACTGAGTTGACAACCCGCTGGTCCTACTTATCTTGCTGTTGGACTCTGACAACCTCTCTCTTATGGAAGAACTCTGACGGCAAGGGATATTATAAGTATGCTACAACCTCTATAAATATACCTCTTCACATCAGAAAGCTTAGTAAGCCACTCTTCGGTGAGAACATCAGTCTGTTTCAGAAACCTGTCCTTCGACACTTGGTTTTTGTAAAGACAAAAGCATCGGAAGTAGCGGTCTTAGCCTTACACGGCGTTCTGTCATATTTTCTTTTTCGCTGAAGTGCATGTGACGCTTATCTTCAACGCGCTAACAAAGAACCACACTAGTGGATTTCCAACACCCGGGTCTAAATCTCTTATACAGTTTCTCTTTTTTTAGTTTATGTCTGATGCATATTCCAATAATATTCCGCATCGTTTATAACTCACCCCTATATATGTATCGTTCTCAGCATCGAGGTAAACTCGTCATAGCCCATCTTTCAGAGTGTATGGAACAATAGAAGCCGTCAGGAATTCCCCACCGTACATACGGGAAAAGTAATATGCTTTACATCTCAGAAGCTTCGAAAACTGGGGCACAAACTATTTGCAACTTCGCATTCTCTTTATTCACCCCGTCTTAGGAGACTATAATTAGAAAACTTGTTTGCATTGGTTTGCGTATGTTGTATCAAGTTGCCACCTAAGCCATTACAGGTACGACTGTGTGCAGAACACATTGCATCAATACGGGCATGGTGCCGGGGAAGGAAAGTCATTTCTAAAATATGCGTCCGAGATTAGAGGTTCTGCGTATTTATATTGGCTAAGGGAAAGCAAGAGCTAGCTAGCTCTTTTTTCAACTTATTGTAGTGGCTCTTTGCATCTAGCAAGAGGAGACGAATGAAAAGCAGAAGTCGTGCATGATGCAAAGTAATTAAGGGGGGTCCACATGCGTTGCAAAATCATTGAACGGGTATCCACTAGAGTCTGACATAAAAGCCGTAGCTGAATTCTGTTTTCATCGACAAAATTAGAGTTCCAGACCGGCATAGGGTAAATGATTAACAATTTGAATATAGAGTAGTAAAATGCCGCACGTTACGGAGTTAGCTACGGTCAGGGGGGGGTGGAATTTTAGTAGGAATATGCACCTGGAAATTTTATGTCGGCATAATCCGGTATCACACTTTCCGTAAAACCAACCCTGCTCAAATCACTTCCGCCAGCCAGGGCGGGTACAATAGTTAATGGCTTGGTGCTTTAGTGTGTTTAAGCATCTAGGCCCCTGCTAGAGCCGTCTCTATTGTCATCATGGGTAGTTGGAGACGGCAAGTTCATCTGAGCCTTTGTAATCCATGGATTTAACTAACCCAGGCTCATGGATGCTACTTCCATGCTTGAAGTTATGGATCTACAAGTGTTGGAAGGTAGTTGGATCATATCACTATCTTAGCCGCCATGTTATTTGATCCTCTCCGTCTTCGAATTCCAATTGACCCTTTTTTTCCCTGCCTGAAAATTTCTCGTATACAGACACAAGCCTCATTCATCACCCTAGCCCCCATGGGCCAGCGGACAAGCTTTTGGAAGAAATGGTTTGAGGGTTAGCAGTATACGTAGTCAGAGCACCTATGTCTATCCCTGTCTGAAACAGGATAATGGTTATGAGATTTCCCCTAGTAGGTCCGAAGTTCCACCCCTGTTTGGTCTGAGAAGAATGGCTAGATACCCCCTGGTCACCGTGTCCAAAACTGGCCAAAATTGGTAAATATCCCTGGTAACTCTAATTTTATCCCTGAAGCATGGTCGCATAGACCTCACCCCTGCCAAGACAACTACTTGATGCAAAGCGATAGCCGTGGTTAGAATAGCAGAAGCTACAATATCGTGATCGATGGTAAAGAACCTATGGAGAGATCTACACCCACTACCTTTTATCCCTTTATAGTGGTCTGTAGTCCAGGTTCTGGAAGGAACAGAAAATTTAGAGAGAAATTATTTATTCTTGATTTCTCATATACTAGTTATACTATGAGAAGCCAATTATCGACTTTAATGCAATTATCCCAGAACTCAAAATCCTCGAAAATATGTTCATTGAAGGTTTACCAGGGTACACCAATCTACCCCGTAAATAACTAGTTACGACCGCGGTTACTCTTCTACGATATGTCTTCAGCCATTCTTTTTAGTACCTGTAACCGCCCTCTTACCGCCTCAAGTCTAATACAAAAAATAAGAGGATGTATACATTCTCCGAAATTAAACCTCGAGGTGGTCATGAGCCATAGTTTGTTTTTTTTGGTAAATACGTCAATCTACCTATCCGTATCGTTGTGACACTTGGCGAGAATACGCCCTACACCCCGCTGATTATTTGACACCTCTGCTAGTCTCTCAAGTATCGATGCTAGTTTCAACAATCTTCTCTCGAATAAAGTAATTTATAGCTTTTTTTACACCACTCTGCATTAACTAAAATAAGCAATATCGAAATCGTGGCTGTACGCCTGAAATTATGTAAATAGGCTGCATATTTTTCAGGGGTTTAGACAAGGATTTTTCAGGTTCCAGCCTCAAAGAATCTTACAAAGCATAATCCGCGGGAAGACTCTTTTTACCGGCTTCGAATTAAAAGAAAAAAAAGTCACCGAGCTAACACACACACTAGAAAGGAAAATACCGCTCCAAACGACGGAGATTATTCCTTGTGTAGCACGTATTAAGATGTAAGCACAATACGAAGTTTTGATTACGGATCTGGCTTACAAAGAGCCTAGGAGAGAGCAACCCCTGCCCAGTCCTATATAAGCGATACAATAATATTATGCTTGCAAACAGAAAATTTCCATATGACACTGTCACATATTAGTGTTGTGTAAGACGCATCCTGTTTGACATATGCCAAAAAGGTACATTCCCCTGCCACCAGAACAAAGTGAACGACAAATACCATTGTCTATGAATTAAGTGCGAAAAAAGGTGCGCCGTACAGCCATAAGGTCTTAGATGTTCTAATAATAGCATCACACCTATGGGTACCCTCTAGGCGTTCAGCACTCGTGTATCAGCAGAGGTGGACAACAAAGGTGATCTAAGTCAAGTAGCTGCTTAATATGCACAATTTCTTGGTCTATGGAGCCTAGAGAGTAAATGATACAAGGCACAATGATTAAACCATGCAGAGGTTTTAGCTATTGCCTGCGTATGCATAAAGGGTAATACCCCTCTTGGGAACACTCGTCTATGCAGATGAAGGATGAAATGGGACAATTGTTCTCTTTCAGAAACTTTGTACGACTGTATTTGGCCGAAGAATTATTTCCTGGAGCTACCACTCTTACATGGTAGGAATATTCTTTTGGGAGATAAGGTCGTGGACGTATGGGCAAATTAATTTACCCTGCGACAACCTCTGTCTACCGCTTGTTATGTTTACAGTTCTCTAGAACCACGATTTAGGGCTCGTCTGTTATGTTTCCTGTTCTCTGCTTTAAGCTCTGCACTCTAGCTCCGTACCCTATACTGCTATATCTAATTATCTCTTGATTATTCTAGAACTCTACCTCGCCTCAGCCAGTCTTGAGTAGATGCCACCCATCGTACGATATAGCCGTAGGGCCCAGGAACCATATTCAGGTCGGTCGTCTACCTAGTTTAAGTTTCGTGTACCCTGTATGCACAACCGCCTGTGCGGAATGAATAGGTGTCGAAGATCGAACTCTGAGCTGCATGCGTATCCCAGGATAATTACACGTGACTCAAATGTGCTGAAACTTCCTGCTAGCGTAAGTATATCATTATTGTAGCTCTTGTCCAGGAACGGACAAGGGTTACTTCCTCAGATCCCCTGTAAGCCCAATCCGTAATCAAAAGTTCGTAGTGTACTTATGTATGAATGCATGCTACACGAGGAATGATCCTCGTAGTCTGAGATAATGATTCTTATCCGAACCGTCGGAGTCCAACCAAGGAGATTTTGGAGATTGTGCTCAGCAAAATTCCCACTGACTAAAGGCCAACAAAATCAGCCCGCGTACATATATTGAGAACTGAGCATTCGATACCCCAAACTAACTCTGTAAGATTGCATATTTAGTGCCGTGAAAATAAAATAGCCGGGGTGGCTATTCGAAGCCTGTAGCCATGCTACAGTAGGGACTGGAATACAAGGATCAGTTTCCGCCCACATGTGGAGTAAAATAGCTTACCATCTATCTGGTTTGAAGTCGTTGTATTTCTTCCTCAATTAGTAAGTCTGATACCCAGCTACCTACCAGGTAGGTAGGTTTCAACCGTATGGTGGTCACACATGGTGGCCTGAGGGCCATACGCTGATCCGCGGTGCGCTAGGCGTCTCGTGTAACTCAACCGTGGCAGCAAGACCAGTCCATTAGCTGAAAAAAAAGGTAAAATGATGGGGGGTATTGGTTCTAATCAAAGTATATTTTGGTTCTACGAATGAAAATATGTTCGGTGGACACAAATTGATTTCTCTCGCAGTGCTTTTTACGGGCATAATATGGTGATGTAGCCCTGCGGTTCCTTCATTGTCAGGCTCGCCCATAAGCATAACTCCCCGATCCTCTACAATCTGTTTTCTGTACCGCAGCTCAGAGAGCTAATCGCTATTGTGAGAATATTCCATTCACATGTGCATTTGTAAATACTGGAAAGATTTCTGGCACCACTAGTGAGTCTTGAACTTAGGTGCAGGTTCTCGCTTTTGGTTGAGACAACGAGCTAAAATGCTCTGCGGGCTGACTACCCTTGCTCGCATACACCCGTTGTGGCACTAATGTACGCATACATAGAAAGAGTATATAGTCTCGCTTCGAAACACTAGTGTGCTAGGGCTGCTTTAGTACCAGCCCCAGCAGTCTGCATGCTTTGGGAGTGGTTGTTGGGACTGAGGCTACATGGCCATTAACTTTAAGTGTGTTCCAGGGTACCGCCCCTGGTAGCAACTAAATAGACCTGAAATACACATCCCATGCTTCGACATGGAATTGTAGAAAGTGCCTTCTACTATTCTCCAGAATATGTAACCAAAAGGGGTGAAGATCTGATGGCACAGGTACCACGGCGTTCAGTGAAGCCGGGTGTGCGGATTGCACACATCCATTTATTCCCGCAACCTATATTCGCCGCGTAGGAAGCGAGATATGTTTGCCTGCCTTCCTTCATGAGCTGTATCTTCTGGGTTTACCGCTCTGCACATCAAGGCTGAGACCGTTATTCCCTGATCTTGCTTGCTTTCCAACTCGTCAAGTCCCTCGGACCAACAATAAAAATCTATGTAATGTTAACGAGCCAATGCGGGGTCCTGTAGGAGGAGTTACAGGCAATGAATATGTCCAGATTCGGAAGTGGCCATGTCCAGGACGCATCTACTAGCTCAGATTGGGTTGCCAGCCCGTGTAAGTTCTTGTACCTAGCAACTAGGTGCGAACAGGGAATCAGCCAGGCATGCTCCCAGACAATAACGACCAATGGAGAGAAAAATTCACACCGGAAAATTGCTTACAAAGCGGACTTTCGAAGGGCGCCCTTCTAGTTTCTGCAGCTGTCGCCCTCATTCCAGTATGTTATTCTATTTTTACAGCACATGTTTTACTGTTTTCATCTATTTCTCAGCCCTTTTCCCGGGCGGCGAACCCGCCATCTCTCTCTCTTCCAGACGTAGCGGCACTCCGCCTATGTACCATGTACGTATTCCGCGCATATTCCGCTGCAGTTTTAACGTAGCGCCAAATGACCAGAAGGTCAGGTAAAGATATCTGTACGGTGGCCAACTATTAATGGCCACTGCTGGGAAGAGGTGAAGTACGTATGTCATTCTCCGGGACACGTGCCCAGTGAGTAGATTCTTCCTGGGTAATGCCTGGAGCCTAAGAGCCACTTTGAATGCTCGACTACACGGTGCAGAGACGGCCGCCGAAGCGATTGAGGGGAAGAAGGCTGAAAATACAGACGAGGCCAGGGCGGCGCATAGACAGGGTCGCTAAGTACGTGCATTGGCTGGAAACGGCAACTACGCCCATCCGTATCCAGAACTTGGTACGAACTATCCTCCCTGGATGTGCGTTCTGGTTCACAATAGGATTTACATATTCACTCCCGCAAACGGAAGAACCACCCGTCTGTACTTCTTTTCGACTATGCGGATCGTAAAAGGTTTGTACAAGGGCGCCTCGATGCAGTACCCATGCCGCTTGCCCTTCATTTGCAGCTCTAGCTTCCTTCGCTGCCATCCAAGATAGGTACACTTCCAGTCACTCCTTGGTTCACATTGCCAAGCATACACTAAGTGACTGACCTGAGGCCGAGAGTAGCAGATCCGATCTATGCCCCGTTTGAATTCGTAGAACGAGTAGGGAAGCGGCAGAATAGATAGTACCACTATATCTACCACCTTTTACGGTTCCATCAACGACGAAATACTGCTTCCACTTAAACCCACGCGAAAAACCTTGCTTATCTCCCAGGAATCTATTTTTCGTCGGTAGGGTAGCATCCCATATCTACTGCAGATCGGTTCTATCCAGCTTAAACAGCAGATGCTCTCCGTGAAACCGATTGCATTGATTGTGCGTACATGAATGGAATTTCAATATTCGAGCCGCCTCAACCAAGTGGATCTACGATACATTAATGAACTGAGATCCATGATAAGGATCCATCGGATCCGCCCAGCACTGCTGGATCTAAGTTCAAGAAGCACTAAGGCACCTACTGCTGCGTGCGGCATGTTCCGTCCCGCTTCAGCTAAGTGCTATGGCAGCCAAACGAGTGCATGCAGAGGAAACAAAGACTTGCTTGCAAGATGTGGGTTATAAAGCTGAGTATCGATCTATAGGTAGTGTCTAGGGCGTGAATTTCATTTTCCCGTCAGACACATGGGTTTGGTAGCAAAGCCTTCGGGTTTAGTATGGCGTAGCTCCAGCTCACAGCGTGATCGATGGCGCTACGGTCAATACAGAACTGAAGTCAGAGACAGCCGCTAAAGGCCGCTGACACCTGTTGAAAGACGAGATGGTCCTAGGAGTAATTGATACGACTCTTTCACACGTATATTACACGAGGCGATATCTCATTCGTTGTGGTCCACCATGATTCACATGGCTTATGATTGTGCCCTCCGCTCAGATCGTAACATCCTTGGACAACCAGAATTCCGAGATGTCTGTAGGAAAGAACTCGCAATTGCAGCTCCGCTGAATAATTGGGGCAGTCTGGACCACCGATACAAATTAGGCTGTAGGATACGCTGCGCTGCTTTTCGGAATTTGGGAATAGCTCTCCGGGGCCTAATCTACTCCCATGAACGCAGCCCCACAGGAGCAATTCCATGTTCACGCATATGCACGCACATGTGCAGCTTAACCAAGTTCTGCGCATATCTAAAATACTTAGTCTTGGCGCATAGATTGTAAAGCTGCATTATGCACTTTAAGTTGCATGTGCGTGTCCGAAAAAGAAAGCCCAAAAACTCGCCTGTACGAAAGCCTACCCGAGAGCGAAAGTGTTCGGTGCAGATGTGAAAATGTGATCTTTTGCATTAGGCCCTCTGCGCATTGCCCATCGTCGCTTATATATAAAAGCATACCCAATTCCCGATTTACTGATCTGTCTGGTTTATCACTTATCACTCCACTAGCCCACAATGAACACTATCCCTACCTACGACTTCGAACAGATGATCCACTACTCGTTGCTTAACCAACAGCCTCAAATGCAGCTGGCGCAACAGCCCTTTGAGGAGGCCCGCACAGTGGTTGTTGATGGCTACGGTTTGCCAACCCCTACCCATGGCAGCTTCAGCATGCCATATCAGGAGTTGACACCATACCAACAGTACCAACCAATGATGCAGAAGAACGCGTCCTACGAGTTCTACCCCTCGGTCTACATGGAGCCGGTTCAGATGAGTAGCTACACCTATGCAACCCCAGAAGTGTTTGACTTTCTTCCACCGGTCGAAGCCTGCACTCCTTCCATGAGCTATGCTACCCAGCCACAGGGCTACTTTACCCCCTCTCCATCTCCAGTCACATTCAACGATTTGCCACAGGAATGTTTCTCGCTCAACTCGTCGCCACTTGAGCGCAATCACTTCTTCATGGCCTTGGACAATGCCACTGTCTCTCCTTCCCAAGAGTCGACAAAATCCAAGCACGCCGGTTCTAGGTGTCACATGTGCAATAAGTACATCAGACGCGACATGACCAGACATCTCAGAACCCATGAGTCGGTCTCCAGATTCCAGTGTATCTTCCCAAAGGAGGAGTGCTCGCACAAGACCCACCAGTTCAACAGGCCGTACGACTTCAAGAAGCATTTGTTGAACTCTCACTTTCAGTTTACCAAAGCCTCTGTCAAGAAGTTGCACAACTTGAACGAAAAGTTGCCATTTGAGGGTACCTGTCCATGCAATAAGAACCGGGTGTTCACTGCCAACGAGTGGTTGCACAACCATGTGTTGTCTGCCGACCCTGCCCAACGTTGTCCTATCGCCAGTGACTTTTAGTTGCCCTCATTTCTGCATATTTTTATTTTCTATCTTTCGCGTCATACCTGGCAGGTTTTCCAGGGTTTTTTTTTGGTGGGGTACTCTCAGTACATAGCATAATGGCTTCGTTTTTTATCGATCACAATAATACCGCTATATAAACTGCTCCTTGTAATTCTCTGATAACGTTTATGTTAAATACTAAGCTTATTTGGTTATACTGACTCATATACCTTTCAGAGTGTCCCGCCATTCTTAGACGGCTGCTGTATTCAGATATTGCAACATTGTTGGTCCAGCCTTTTTTACCCACACGAGATCTCAGAAACTTCAAGGTTAAATACGTATCTTCATTTAGGTGGTTCAAAAGTTGGCCATGCAGAGTTGGTACCACAATAACTATAGGTCTGTTACTCTCTTGCCTAAATGGCATATCCATTAATAATGTCTTTATATGCATAATTAGGGTTTCTATTTGGTTAATGGCTGTGTTGACAGTGCCCATAGTCCATAATAAGGTTAGCGTTCACCCCCATGGTGCCGTCTGAGCGTTGTGAAATTCAAAGTCAGTCATGGCATGGAGTTGTATTATTTGGTCTACCTACCGAACAGTTTGGTGTATCCTCTCTATAGGGAACGCTGGAGCGGTCGCGAGTTTTTATTATGGCGTTATATGAAGTCGTTTATGTAAGGCACGTTGTATCAACGGTGTCGACTGGTAAAACGCTATTGCCCGTCAGCTGGGATTCGCGATGATATCAGCCGACGACGATATAGGTCCGAATGATGTTATAGATACACGCTGGAGGGAGATCCACGCATCGTTTAATCCTAGGGATTTGCAGTGGCCTAAGGAGTAGACGAGTAGTATATGTATCGTAGCTGAATGTACCAGCAGCAAATGCCAACGCAAACATCTGTAACCTCCCTGCTATATCGGTACAGATCTAATTGTGAGGCTACTGGGGTTAATTCGTGGAAGCGCGTATGTTGCAATTTGAGTATTTTGCCAAGGGTTTCTCTGCTCTAAAATGTTATGAAACACTATACTTAAAAGTCCCGGGTATATTACCCCTTACTTGGATACCCCCAACGGGGAAATATGAATCAGAGAAGTTTCTTTATAACGCAAATACGAACATTCTCATTCGATGCCTCCCGTACGTGCGTATCAGCTATGTGAGAGTGTACGTCGTAACTACAGTTATTGTGTGAATCTTGTGAATGCTCCAACGAAGCTGGAGTATGCTACAGGGAAAAGAGAGCATTTTAAATGCAAATACTAATAGGTATAGTTAAGCGTATAAAAACCGGCAATAATACATCGTTTATCCCTCACCCCCCCCCCCCCCCCCCCCCCCCCCCCCAATGGTCAAGAGAAACTCAGGAGTAATTAAGGCTATATTCTCTCGGTTCGCCGGAAGACAACTCCAGGCCGGGATAGATAATAGCCTGAGGTGGGAGTCTCAATCTCCGAAGAACACAAAGATATGTTAATAGCTCCATAGCATAGGTATAGGGTGCACCGTGTCCAACAGAGGCAAAATTAGTACTAACGCCTCGTCTAGAAGTACGACGGTCGATGTTCGAAACGGGCCATGCGTAGAAACCTGAGCCGCTTGCAGGAAAACGCACTGTTAGGCTTTAAAAGAGACTCGGACTTTTAGCTCCTGGAATAAGCTATACAAGAGGGGCGCCGACCCCTCCTCCGTTTGTGTACATTGTATCTATAAAAGGTATCCACTATTACCTACTAGGTGTATGGCAAGGGGAGATGGTATGATGTTTTTAACGGGGTGGGAAAAATTCAGCACTATCTTATAAATATACCTGTGGGCCCAGGGGTTTTCAATAAGGAGTCTTCCTATGGGCCTTGGAGATAGGCCAAGATAAAAGACTAGTTTGATACATCCAGGTCTGGGACATCGGCCACCGGTCCATTTCGATTTTCCGCTAATACCTATGTTCGTGGAATAAGCATGAGCACTCTTCCAGCTTCAGTTATAATATTAATATAGTTTATCTTACCCCATACAAAACCTACCCCTGGTCTGTGATTTTCAATCCCAGGATGCATAGTATAGTTTTCCGTGTGAAACATCAAGAGTCCACAGGACGCGCAAGAAATGCACTTGATTAACTTCACCTACACCCGGGGATCCTAGTACAGAGACTGGGATTGGATTTCAGCACCAGTGGTATACCGAAATAGCCTTTGGTACTTGGGAGTAACGGCATGACCTATACAAAAATTTAAGCGTGTGAAAATCAACGTACATGAAGATCGGCGTATAGCTTGAAGCGTAAATGTGAGCGTCTGGAACAATTTTTCATGCCTCAAGCTACCGCACACATGCATATGTACATGAGTAGCGACTGTGTCTCTATACCCTTAGCTCATTTCAGTACTGCGTATCGACGCAAGGGTGGCATTGAAAAGGTATACATTCACTCCTGACTATGCCATCATTTGTAGCATGGTGGTACTTCAGCGTTTTTGTCTCATATTATCAGCAACAGAAGTATCACTAGTAGTTACTAGCTGCACGGTTGAGGAGCCTAATTCGATGATCTCCTTATGCCCATCTCTCGCCTTACGCCCTTCGTTCTCCGCGTGGTCACTCCGGGATGTGCACCGGTAGAGCAGCACAAACGCATAGGAGTTGCAGGCGGTGGATTAATGTTCAATTAGGAATTCAGGCATGCGTATGCCGACGGGGAAAACAATTGCTTTTCTTCAATTAGTGGACAGTCAGAGTCCATACAGGGGTCATGGTAATTGCATCATGAATAGTTTATCTAGCGGTGTTTTCTCCTTCTTAGCCTCCCCGTTTCAATAAAAAGAAATAAAAGAAGGAGGGCCAAATACCATCATTATTAGTGGCACTAGGCCTGCATAATAAACGGAAAATATTATGCTGCATCGTCTAGTACTCCGTGTCGATGGAAGAACAGATTTAGCATGGGGGCCCTAGGGAGAAATGACCGTCTAGAACAGTTATCGATCTAGACCTTGGGCTTACGTTTATCGTTCATGACCACACGTTTTGGAAAAATATAAGCGAAACGAAGCCTGAGGCATCGTATCTCAGCTAAAATTGTCTTGAGGCATGCCAATCACGTGCGCTTATTTTCTACACATCACCAATCCTTGACACGGGTTGATTCCTATGATTTAAGCACAACAGGAGGAATTCCATGGCGGCGGTTTAAAGACTCGGTCTGTCCCGGGCTATCATGGTCTTTGATACCATAACTATCGCCCCTCTTACCGTGGTGCTATGATAAATAATTAACGAGTCTAGCTGTTTGTGTCCTAAAACTGGCCCGAAGAGATCGGTGCCTAAGATGGGGCGGGTAACCTGCATTCGATGCGTACCGTTGAAATGCACGTTTCTCCCAGGCAGCCCTGTTATGCGGGGAAGCCTTTAGCTTTTAACGGTCACGACAATCTATCGTCCATTTAATTACCTTCATGGAGCTTTGTAGACCTTCGCAGAGATATACCACATATCCTTGTTCCAGCGAAACGGAGAATGTGTCACTGCCAATCTTGATAGACGCAGGTGCCAATCCATGTGTATTCAATTTAGCCTTAATGATTAGCGGTCAGAAAAGGATACAGCGGAATTACACGGAGAATCAAAATCAAACCTACGACGGTGGCTTCCTCCCCGTTTGTTCAAATTTTTGGCTTTGATAATCTAAAACAGACATGGGTACTAACTAGAAAAGCAACACGGTGGATCCTGTTTCTCTTGGTTGATAAAGATGAGCGCGGTAACTCTCCATTGGGGAATGGCAACCTTATTTTTCAAGGTTCTCTTCTACTCCGAAAAAAACCATTAATACGCATCGAGAGAGAATTTCTTTTGGTAAAGGCTGCGGTCAGCGTTCCCACCGAAAATGCTAGACCACGCACATGCATGTATGTCATGCATGACCTTCCAGGAATTTTTTAATGCACCTCGCCAATCGCACCTTAAGCCACCTTCTGTGCATGGAAAGACTTTTAATCCTGTATATAACTATACCCCCCGTGGCTGCACCACCTATATTTCACGGCACTAGTCTCTATTAGCCAAAGGTGCTACCAAGAAAGGCACTTGTTATTAAATCTCTACTTGAGTTGATACCTGTGTTGCAAAAGCCTAGAGGGTTTGATTTCACACGGCTAACGAATAAAGTTTCTTACCTGTGTTGTCTTTTTCAGTCGATTTTCCAGAGGCTGTGTCTGAGCAAGGGCTACATTCTCGGAACAATATCGGGAGTGGCCTATTGCTCTAAGCGTTTCACATGCGTCAGCGCGTGGAACTGGGTTTAGGAGCCTATCCTGCCTATGTCTATCCAAGCCCGATTATCGATGTATCGACGGCTCGCAGAAACATGGGCATTCAGCAGGTATTATCCCTGGTGCGGAATTCCATTCTGACTACTTCGTAGTTGCAATTTCTTGCTACAGTAAGCAACCCAGACCAAAGCTTCGCGAACACAAGCTTTGATTAATACCAGGTTTTAGCAGATTCGGGGAATTTACACTGAAATATCCTTTGGAGCTAAGAGACATACGAAAGACACCTCGACAGTATATTAACATTAGTATCATAAGCGCTTCATTAAGATGCATATGCATTAATACCAAATCTATTCTACCGTATAAGAAAACTCTAAGGTTAGCGATATATATATAATATATCACAGTTAAGCTATGGTTAATTAACTTTCTCGTAACTAATTATGATATAAGCATTAAATTATTATTAGCATTAATCAGCATAAGGTTTAATCCAGCGATACGGAATGGCTTATTACCAGATATATACAAAGGTATAAATATAATCGAACCCTTTAATCTATATATACAAAGTTATATATATATATCAAAATATATCAATGGCTATAGCTAAGTAATTTTATATCAAGAAAATAATAACGTTAGTGCACTAATTACGCACGCAGAATATACCGTATATAACCCTCATGTACATAAATGAACTTTTCTGTATCCATAGCTACAAATACCATGACCCCGGTCTCCAATCCTGCACCCAAGAGATTCAACTGGTATCGGGCGTCCGATTCAATGAAGCGCCGTTGGAAACATGATGTCGGTCAAGCTCCTTTCGGTTTGGCAGGCCTCGATGACCGAGGCGTCTATGAAACCCGGTTTAACCTGTAATGGAGGGTAGAGCCCCCGGGAGCGCAATTTGGCGAACCAAGATTGATGCGAATATAGCATTCTATTGCACTGCCCGTCATAATAGGGAAAATCACAACCATCCTTAGCTCAGCCGTCTTGGCTCTCGGTCGCTAATAGAATCCTTATTGTCGTCTTGTATAGCCTACAATAGACCCCTCAACCACATCAAGCGGAAACGTTTCTGAAATGAGATAAAAAGCTGCTTGTAAGGGGATGGCTCCCCTAAGAACCACCTTTATCAGTGACTCTATAGTGCCAGTGCCTTCCACCGGAATTTAGTAGGACGAAAAAACGATATCGTATTGACCGCTCGGTGCTTACCACCAGCGGAAATTCTTTACCAGCCTACCTCGTAACAAACTAGTCCTATTCCATGTTTATCCGTCAAAATAGTTAGGTTCTTACACTCAAAACAAGTGTGATAAGCCCACTTCGAAGGTGAGGTCTAGAGCCAACACCAATAACCTTTGAGGTACAACCACGGGCGGTTATATAGTACGCACCGTAGGTCAGCCCGTCTGAGATGAACCGCAGGGAAATTCACATTGGCCAACCCAATTACAAATTAGAAAACCGCGGGAATGTCGATACAGTACCCTTAGCATTCTTTAAATATTATTGTTCGCTCAACTGAGCCTAGCCGACAAATCGCGGACAATGTGCCTTTTTTTCCCCTCACGCCTGCCTTCCTCAGTGAAACCAGCGCTGTGCAGGCCGCCTTTTGATAGGGAAAAAAACCAAAATCGCTTGACGCCGAGCAAAAACAAATACACCCGCAAAAAGCCACACACACTTTCCCCCTTCTATACTGTCTCAACGCTGGTACACACGGGGAAATTCATAAATCTCGTTAAACAAAACCCAACCACACGTTAGTTGCTACAAAGCAAACGCGACCAATATAGACTCCAAAGCCATAAGAGGTGCCCATCCCGGAATTCTCCACACGCATTCAAGCCACCTCAACCAAAAGCAGAGATCCAGCAACCAAGCAAACCCCTCAAGATTATCCCCTTTTGTCCATTTTTCTAAACTACAAAAGAGCCTAAGGGAGACCGATTTTCATCAAGCTTAATCACCAACCTATTCTCACAGATAGCAAACCAACAAGTAAAGAGCAGTCCAAGATTTTACGTTTCTTGCACTAACGCGCAAGGTCCCCTAAGAAACCACCACTAGCTTGCTTCGTCATCTTCACGTCCGAGCTAAGCGAGAGCAAGAACTCCTTATCGCGAGAGCCAACGAATTACCAGCTGAAACCATCCTAGTTTCTTTCCTATAACGATATCTCTTTACCCGACCAACCTAGCTATGCCAGAGGTGCCATTATACCCGTTAGCACACTTCAGTGCTCCCCACTCGCTCAAACAAGTGGCTGGCGACGAACGACTCCGCGACCTCTCCCTCAACAAACGCTGCTCCAACTTGTCCATTTCGCCGGGAAAACAGGTCGAGGTTCCCGAAGACTGTGACGACCGGATGTTACGCAAACGCCATATTGATGGAGACTCCCGCGAGTTACTGCCGCTAGACATCACCTCTCCCCCAGTCTCTGCTTCCCAGTCAGGTATGATATACTTCTTACCCTCTGAGGCAGAAGAGACGGAGGACCCACCCTTGAAACGGAGACTGACCCTCAAGGGGCCTGCGTTCTCTATGGATGACTCCAGACCGGTCACTGCCAACCCTCCGAGCGCCCCAGAGTGTATGCCTCCGCCGATTCTGGAACCAACATCCGAGGATGTCTACCAGCAGTTGCTACAGCCGCTTCCATCTCCCAGCGCCTCTCCGATCCAATCTGGAGTGGAGTCCATGTCGTTTGAGCAGACTTCCAGCGAGCTCATTCACATTCCGAGCAGCGCTAACGAGTTTATCCACTTGATGGCGAATCTTTCCCTGTCGTTGCTCTCCAAAGGGGCCCAAAACAACTTGATCTTCCACATGTTGCAAAGAACCAACCGAACGGATCTTTCAGCCTTTGTTACCATTCTTAAGGCGAGTTTGAAGCGTGACTTGGTGGCAGGGTTTCCTGAAGAGGTCACTCTGAAGATCCTCGGGTTGCTAGATCACCGAAGCTTGTGTTCCGCCAGTCTCGTGTGTGAAAAGTGGAGGCAGCTAGTTACCAAAAAGGCCACAGCGGACACTCTCTGGAAGAGGTTGCTCTTCTCAAATGGCTTTGTCAAGCACCAGAGCGAAATCGATGCCGAATTTGCCCATGCGTCACAGTTGCTCACGGAGTGGGGGTCTGGACAACCGGAAAATCTCTACCGGTTGCTCTACAAGAAACGCCAATTGATCCACAGACGGTGGATGGACCCACATTACCAGCCCAAACGCATCAGCTTTCCTGGCCATAGTATTCATGTGGTTACCTGCTTGCAGTATGACGACAGGAAAATCATTTCCGGTGCCGATGACCGCATGATCAACGTCTACAGCACCGACAACGGCCGGCTCATGCAGGCTTTAAAGGGCCATGATGGTGGCGTTTGGGCATTAAAGTACATCGGCAACACTCTTGTCTCTGGCTCCACCGACCGAACCGTCAGAATCTGGAACATTAAGCAGGGAAAGTGCACCCACGTGTTCAGGGGCCACACTTCCACTGTCAGATGCCTTGATATTCTCCAACCAACCCAGGTGGGAGTTAACGCTGAAGGATTGCCAATCATCTTTCCTCCCCAGCCGTTGCTTGTTACTGGTTCCAGAGACAACACGCTACACGTGTGGAACCTTCCGTTGACGGAGGAGGATGACGAACTTCCAGAGCACCCTATCGACGTCACTGAGCACGAGAACCCGTACTTTATCAAGGCTTTGACTGGCCATACATCCTCCGTGAGAGCTATTGCTGGGCATGGAACGACGGTGGTTTCTGGTAGTTACGATCACACGATCAGAGTATGGGACCTCGTTACTGGCGTCTGTAAGTTTGTGCTTAGGGGGCACAGCGACCGAATCTACAGCACAGTGTTGGACACCAAACGTAACCGGTGTATTTCCGGGTCTATGGATGCGACTGTGCGTATCTGGGACTTGGAAACGGGTGAGTGCTTATATGTTTTAGAAGGGCACTCGTCTTTGGTCGGTCTTTTGGAGTTATCTGATGATACGCTTGTTTCTGCTGCCGCAGACTCGTCGCTTCGTGTTTGGAACCCTGACAACGGTGCCTGTGATGTGTTGCTCAGGGGTCACAGCGGGGCCATTACGTGTTTCCAGCACGATGAACACAAGGTGGTGTCGGGAAGTGAACGCATGCTCAAGTTGTTTGACATCAAAACGGGCGAGTTTGTGAGAGACTTGCTTACTGATATCACCGGTGGCATTTGGCAGGTTAGGTTTGACTACCGTCGCTGTGTTGCTGCTGTCCAACGGAAGTTGCTCGATTCAGAGGTTGAGGAAACTGTGATTGAGATTTTGGATTTCAGCGAGCCGATCAATAAGGAGGACCACACAGATGTGGAGAGCGAGGGTGACCAGGTGTTGTACGATGAACGTCCTGAAACATCCCAAACCATTGCAACTTTGCAGCTCCTCCCAGCGAGCGAAATATCGGACTTTGAAATGAGATAGCTTATAAGAAAACCCAAGATTTTAATTACAAGGTGGAAATGTAAAGAGTGCAGGGAGGGTCTAAGCGAGTGTTGGTTGGGGATGAACGAGTCTTCTCCCCTGGTTTCATACACTTTTCATTATTTACTCGATTTACATAACAGAGTGAAGGTTACCTTTCCCAGTTATGAATGGACTGACCTCCTTGCTGAGTAATATTAAAGGTACTATGGAAAAATATTCCATTAGAAGTATCGGTCTAGAAAGACCGCGTTTAGATTCAAGATCCAAGCTGGTTTGGTTCACTTAACTTCTCACAGCTCAAACGAAGGTATTCTTAATAGTTGGTATTTCATTGGGAAAATATAAATTTATTCGTAGTCACGCCAAAACTAGCATCCAAATATTGAGGTAAGGGCATATCCAAAGTTAAACCAGCAGATAGAGATTAGAAAAGGGTGGTGAATAAAGAAACCTGTCTGAGGAGGGATTAGGAAACCCCGGAGCTACTACTGGCAACTTCTGTGGGGGTGACATCGCGCTTTTAATCATGGAATTCCTCACGGTCGCTTTCGTCACCTCCAACGCGAAACTCCAAAGACATGTCGAAGTATCTGTAGGTAATCGTGGTGTAGGCTCCGTAAGTGGCAGCCAAGATATACCCACCCATAGGCACCAACATCCCAAAAACATGATCAGGCAGGGTCTCAAAATCTGCAGGATGGACTGTAAAGAGGGTATGCTTCTATATCTGGGCATACACTTAGCTGGATATGTATTTAGCCAGAGGTACAAGACACATTAATGTTTACCAATATGGATTATACCAGAAATACACCTGGTGTCGTACTCATAATCTCAAACCCATTACATGATTCGAAAAGTGATTCCTTCATTCACTGCTACGGAAATACGATAGTAGATATTTGTTGCTTTAATAAGGGCTTTTGGTTAGGTATACTGTCACAGCTCCTTTGGGGGGGGGGGGGGGGGGGGGGGGGGGGGGGGGAGGGGGTTCCGTACTGTTTGCATATAACCAACTTCCTTTTAAGTTTGTTAAGACTTGGGAGTATTTTTTTATCCGGTATTCCGTTCTCGTGCAACACGCTAAGAAAAAATACAAAAATGGAACCGATATTTCGTGTTTCCAACTTAGCGCAACAAAGCAGATATACTCTGCTAAGGAATTTTAGAATTACATTCCGTTTCCTTTTTCAGTTTAAGGTTATGGCAGTGAACCATCTAGCGGAATAATCCGAAACCTTCACGTAGGTCCAGAGTCTAGACCGTCAGTCGTGGTGACCTAATGCGGAGCTGTTCACCGTGAAGTACCAGGCAGAACATACCCCGGCAAGGTAAAGCCTTAAGACTCCGTATTGACGATTGGTCCAATTCCACAATTTCGGAAACCCCACCACCTGACCCAGACAACATACAACATGAATGACATGGGCTACAGAGTGTTTCCACGTGGTATGTGCCAGGAATCCTAGGCTGTTTCTGCACTTTAAACCGCCCTATTTTTATCGCACTAATATTAATCTAGTACTATATGTTGGTTCCCTTTTGGCTATCTTACAGGCGAAGCTAGCAACACTTCGGGCGAGGACATGGGATCCTGAGCGAGGCTTTCATCGTTATTCTCTGCGATCCTTGTCACGCCATGCGCGCAAGCCTTTCTGTTGCTACTTAAGGGAGATTTTGCCCGACTAACGCGACTTAACTTATAACCGGCCCAACCAGGACCAGTTAGCATTGTACATGGCCTTCGATTTCTTAAAAACCGGAAAAACAATTCCCCGCAGTAAAGAGCAAGGGATCGATCCTGTACTATATTTCAACCTGCACGTTGTATTGTGGCCAAAAACGCGCTGCTAGTTCCTAATTCGGAAGGGTATTGGTAACCGTAAACCTTATCCTAGCTTCGAATGGCGTTCATAATCATGAAACTCAGAAGGACTGGAGCTATCCTCAGAGCTTAAAAATAACCAAGAATTACGGTAACTAAATTCTAGGGCATTATGCAACGCCACGAATTATTTTGTTGAAAAAAAAAAACCAAGGCCGGCCCATAATGCCCCGATGGCAGATTAACATCGAAACATCTAAGACTATGTTACCTGAGCATGAGTGTATAGGTATAGATACGCTACTATATTCCAGGACTTTCTGTTGGCATCAGCATATCGATGCTATCTCAATACCGATTTAAACCTGGGGTTTCCATCATTGGTAATTTGTTTTATCAGATTCCGGCAATCTAAGAAAATGGCTCTATTCATGCCCGCCGTAGTTTCATATATACAAACAGTAAGTATCATCTAATCCCTGGCTCTAACCATCCATGGATACATCGGAAAAGACGCAAAATTTTCGTAACCAGTATTATCCTTCAGCACGCCAACATTTTCATCTATCAAAACATATCACAAAAGAGATTTCTAAAAGCAGGAGTTATGCAGCATGTCTTATAGAAGCCCACTTCTGCGAGCCATTGCTTACGTAGACTTTCTTAGTTCTTCTCACTGCCTATTTCTCCTTCTTAGCATCCTTCTTTTCGGCACCCCCAGCTTCCTTAGCCAACTCTTCGTTAGTCTTCAATGAAGACTTTATTTTTTCGTTCTCTAATTCCAGGATAAACCAAGTTACCGTACCCCACAAGCAAAAGCTGATAGCCAACAAATTGTAGAAATGGATGGATCCGCTGAGGTAGATCAACATGATAAGCGAGAGCACAAGGAGAACAAACGAGCCGTGCGTGGCCTTGATTAAAGCAGGGGTAGTTCCCGGGGTGAAAACAGATTCCCAGAGTTCAGTAATGAAAGTAGCCATTGTAGTTAGGTGTACGAAGCAAGAGTAAAGGGAAAACTTTGTGATCAGGACACTGCTTAGTCTTGAAAGTTCGAAAATGAGGAAAGCGCTGCGTCGAGAAATGCGGCCACATTTCCGCGGAAAGGAGATTCGCGGAAATACAAACGACTCCAACATCGGAGCTTTTATCTTGGCTAAGATATCTGTTCCCCGGATTCTTCTTCACTGATAATCCACCACCCATAACGCAAGATGTCCCCAAACCAAGAACAGGCTACCGAGAAAAAAGAGAAAGGCAAATTCATGCCAAAGGTTCCGGTTCAGTTGGACCCCCCTAAGGACGCGTGGTTCACCAGAGAGGAGTTGTCCCAATACGATGGTACGTTCGAGACGGCGATTCAATGAGGCCGTGTTGCTATTTTTTGCAAAAAGGGAAAAAGGAAATACTCTGTTAAAGAAACCCGAAACTTTACCCCTGTTAGACAGCTATATCCATGTGAATCCAATCATTGTCGATTCCAGAACTAACACTATTAGGTGTGAAATCCGACAAAATCTACGTTGGGATCAAGGGGACCGTGTTTGATGTTTCCAAAAACACAAAGTCATACGGGCCTAATGCGGGCTACTCCAAGCTAGCGGGTAAGGATGCCTCAAAGGCCTTGGGAAAGACTTCATTAAAGGACGAAGACGTCGATCCTGCAACCTGTTGGGACTACAGTGACTTGAGCGAAAAACATCTCAAGGCACTTGATGACTGGTATACCTTCTTTGAAAATAGATACAACATCGTGGGGAAGGTTATCGACCATCGGTGAGAAGGCGGCAACAGAGGTATGGTACTATGATTAATACTGGCCACTCCAAGTTGAAATTTCAAGATCGTGACACTCAATGAAATGTTTATTTATTACAGACTTGTAGATCCGAGAGACCTCTCTGGGGGGAGGGATCTGGCAGATGGTGTGGGGGTGAGTGTGGCACATAATGGAACGGAGAGTATCAGGGGCTCCGACAGTTTTTGGAATATCATTTCCAGCTTTTAATATGGGCTTATAAACCGAAAATCATCACTAACTTTCAATCAAGTACCGACATCCCTCTATTATGGCAATTGACTGACACCGCTGGAGGTCAGTCTCTGGAATACGAGCTCATTACTGAGTTTCGGTACGAGCCTTGTACTAACAGATTAGAGGGACTTATTCACAGACAACACGCAGCTCAGAAAAAGATAACCCCATGTTATATATTCTAAGGAGGTTGGAAATATGATGCAATCTGGCTACAAGCTCGCCTCAACAACCGTATAAATGACCCAATTCGATCTTTACTTGGTTTTCTCGCCTTTTCCAAGGAGCGCTTTTTCCTGAATGCTAAATCTGTAGTGCGTGGACTAGACCTTTAGGCCCATACACGGGGGCGGTCCTAAGCCTGATAGTCAAAGCTAACATGATCAGGTGTCTGATACCGCAAAGCCCGCTCACTTCTGGAGTTGCGGGACTCCGATGCACAGTGCCCAACCCAAATTTCAACTTTTTCACGAGTAACGAGAGGGAAGCCCCGGGTAGTTTTGTCTTTTCCAGTATCCCTTTTTTGATACTTTCTATAAATAGATTCCTTAGTTTGTACTAGGTTGCGCCGTTTACAACAGGAGTCTCCCCACAGGAGTACATGCCTAACGTGCACTAACTACATTGCTATTATGAATGCCAGAAGACGCGAGTTCTCAATGAGACCATCTTCCAACGCTGCATTATCATCAATAAGCAAAGGTGATTGACCCCGGACCCTGAGCTATTGTCCAATAAGATTGCCTTGCTTGCCTGCCTAGTTCGCCCGCGTATGCGTCTCCTGAAATTAGAGAGCAACGTGCATTCTCGGCACGGCCGGCTGGAAACGTTTGGTGCCGAGCTACGATGGTGAAACCACCAGAACAGCAGGGAATTCCACAGAAATTCCAGAAGAGACATTGCAGATCTGGAGACCTATAGTTTCATCCGGAAACAACAAAGCAGCCCCGGAGTTTGTAGTCTTGAGGAGGTCTTTGCGTGTCTCACAGTGCAGTCTCTTACTGAAACTGCGCTAATTCCTACAGTGTAATGCAGTCTCACCTGGCGTGCGAAAAAAATTACGCAAACCTAATATTTACCCTGTACCTAGAAAAAGTGCTTGAACACTTGCCGTCGGTATTAATGTTTGTTTTTGATCAAAGCATCCAAGAATTTACACTGTAAGAGGTCACCACGTTACAAACTTAATTAAGCTCTCTAGTAGCTACACTCAGTTCCATCTTCGCTATTCAATTCACTATGGAGGCTGCCATGTCATTAACCTCCAAGAGGAGACCCCAGATGTTTGGAGAGATCGTCGACGAACAAACTTTTGCCGACAACCGTGTCAGAGATGACCGCCAAGACCCCTCGAACCACTTCCAGGGTCCGAGGAACCCAGCCAGCCAGCCACACTACGCCAGCAGCAGTAGTCTTCCACCGCAGAGCGAAGAGTTTTTTCCGCACATGGCGATTCAACAGAAGTCAAAGGGCTCCTTCACGTCGCAGACATCGGGCGCTGCCAAGTTTTTCAGAGGAAGACACAGCAATGAGGCCGTTTTTAATGAGGATGAGGGCCAGGACATCATGGAAAACAATAACCTGACATTTGACGACTTGTCTGCCATCCGCAAAAACGGCAACATGTACGGAATGGGAACATCGTCGCTCGACACGACGCCATTTATCCCCACCATCACGTTCGGGCTTCCAAGCAACAAGTCATATTCGATGACGCTGGGCATGTCCAACACGCAATACCGCAAGCAAATGACGAACCAGAAGAAACTCGCTATGACTCAGGCTGCCAAGGGACTTGCTAACGACCCCAGAGCTATGTCGATGGGACAGGACCCTAGAGCGATGTCCATGAGTCAGAACCCCAGAATGATGTCCATGGGCCAAGACCCCAGAGCGATGTCTATGGGACAGAATTCTAGAACGATGGTCATGGGCCAAGACCCCAGAGCGATGGCCATGGGTCAAGATCCCAGAGCGATGGCCATGGGTCAAGATCCCAGAGCGATGTCCATGGGTCAAGACCCCAGAGCGATGTCTATGGGACAGAATTCTAGAGCGATGGCCATGGGTCAAGACCCCAGAGCGATGGCCATGGGTCAAGACCCCAGAGCGATGGCCATGGGTCAAGACCCCAGAGCGATGTCCATGGGTCAAGACCCTAGAGCGATGGCTATGGGCCAGTCGTTCCAGGACAGATCTATGACTTTCAACGGTAGGCCCGACCCCAGAGCTGGGTCCATGACTGGCCAGAATCAGCTGAGATTGCAGCAGCCCGCCAATGGACCCAGAGCCATGTCGCTAAACTCTGCACCAAGATACCCCGGCCAGAACTTGCGCCAGAATCCTCCAAGAGGCCAATCAAATGGGTTTGACCAGGTTAATGCCACAATGGGCATGAATGGCCAACACCACCCTAATGTAATGAATGGGGTTGGTCCTTATGGCAATAACCCTGGCTATACTCCATACAACGGTAATACTTATGGAAATAACGGGAATGATTTGTACCGCCCACCGATGGGCCAACGGGTTTCCTCTGGCTCTTCTCCTGGCCAACGCCAACCGTCCACCCCTTCCTCCAGATCTAACTTGTTGCTGGACCTGGTTCCGTCCCCCGCCCCGACTCCTGCACCAACAACCCAGGACGCTCAACAGCCTCTCACCACCGTCTATGAATCGTCAGGCGTTGTTCCGCTTATCCAGCCCAAAAAGCGTTTGAACAAGATCGATTTGTTCAAGGCTAGCGACGAAGAGGAGTCGCCAAAGCGCAACAACAGATCTTCTATCAGCACCGTCAAGACCTTGGGCGCAGAGTCGATAGTCTCGATGGGAGAGGATGTTGAACTGAAACAGCAGTTGAACAATGAAAAATTGTACCAATTATCCAACAACGAGACGCAGAAAGATGTGTTTTACACCGCCTCAGACCTAGTGACGTACTCTACTTCTGCATCGCCGGAGCGGGACCCGACGAACTCCACTATAAAAGCTACCGCCAATCTGTTCGCCAACTCGCCAGCCTTCACCAATCCATCGCTTTCCAGCCCGTCACATTTCCAGAGCCCGTCGTACACGCTGTCACCGGCCAGACTGGTTACACTTGATATCCCCGTCGCAACCAAGGCACCGGCCGAAGAAACCAGAACTTTAGAACCCCAGCCCGACGCTTTGTCGAACGTGCGCAGCCTGAACGTTGCACCAGCTTCAAGCTTGCGCTCATCCGTGCAATTTAACAGGCCGAGGGACTCGCTGAGCGAGCTCTCCAACAAACTCAACTCGTCGAAAACGGTAACAATGGATATCGACAAACTGTCATTGGGCTCCAGTTTACCGTATGATAAGTCCAACTACAGCGACCACCAAGTACTGGAACAGGAAATGGACAACCGCAGTACCAGGAATGGCTCTATGGCCATACTGGAGACGGAGCTTAGACATAGCACCCGAGAATCTGTGGACAGTACCGCGAAAAACGGAGCGGAAAGCTTGAATAGCAGCGACACTTTCATCCAGTCCAGTCCCGCTCTGAAGCGACTCCCGTCTTCCTCCTCCTTATCTTCCAAGTTATCCAAGGGCACAAAGGAAAAACGGTCGCTGATGACCAACATCTTCAAAAAACTCTCGCGTAAGAGCGAGAAGACCCCCGAGACCGTATCTCCAGAGACTCAGAGACTCGTGTCGGATTCTTCCTTTACTTCATCCCCATCGGTTTCCAGTTTGGCAACGAAGAAGGCTGCTAGTGCTACTAATGTGGTCCCAACCGCTCCGGGGTTACAGTACTATCCATCGAGTGTCCCGAGACGCAATCCGTCCAGGACTTCGTCGCCTAATCCGCTTTCACACTCAAGGTCGCTGATAAACATCAAAAACATTGATGAGACGGAAGCTTCACCCACACTCGTGAGATCCCAGTCAGTGACTTCCATTCTGTCGAACCAGTTCTACAGGCCGGTTTCGGCACGCCCCGACTCTAAAATCGTCAGTGGTGCCTCTTCTTCGTCCTCGGTGAACCGGAAAGTCGACCGCAACTCATGGAATTTCAGTAAGGAAGATATGGGGATTATCCAAGCGAATGGCTCGCTTATGAACGAACTCCAACTTGTGTCCAAGGAGCTAGCCAGTTCCATCAAACGTGAGTTTGCGTTGGAAGATAAGTTAAAACACTACACTTCCAATGGCCACGCTCCTCCGGAAGCCACTCCTACGAAAGTTGCTGCACAAGATAACTTTTCAGAGATGCGCAAGAAGGCGGAGGAAATTTCTCGTTTGACACAGCTGTTGAACCAAGAGAGACGGGCCCGGTTTATCAGTGAGGAACACGTGTTGCAGTATGAAAATGGCATGGACCCTTCGCCGTTGAAGTTGAATCAGGAAAAGATCGAGCTTGAACAAAGGTTGGTCGACAAGGATGAACTACTTAAGCAGTATGGCCGCAAGTTAAACGGCTATGAGAACGAAATTCCAGAGTTAAAGGCGCATGTGGAGGCGTTAGTGGCGGAAAACCATCGGTGGAAGAACGAAGAGGTGCCAAAGTTGAAGCATGAGCTCTCTGAGCAGCGGAATAACACGGACAAGTCCGAGATCTACGACCAACTCGAGGCGTTGAAGCTTGAGAACGAACGGTTGAAGGCTGATATTGCGTCCAGTAACGTTGTCTCCGTGGAGAAACAGCGCGACGAGTTGCGGGAGTCACTCAGAGTCTTGCGCGAGAAGCATGAGACGGAGATGAGCTACGCCGAAGCGCTGCTTAAGGCCAGTGAGTTCAAACGGGAGAAGCTCCAGGCATACTGCGACGAATTGAAGAGGCGGGCGGACTACTCGACTGCCTCTTCGGCGGTTGCCAGCCCGCGCGTTGCGTCTCAGACGTCGTTCGACGAACCACCACGTTTTGCAAAGTTTACGGTCGTGTCACGGTCGTCATCAAAACTGGCTATTTAGATTTGGTATATGAATTATGTTGAATATATTAATCTGGTGGGTAATCTACATAGAAGACCTTTATGCCTGGTTTACGGGGATTGATATCTAGCGTTGGGTTTGATGACCCGTTCCATCATGCTTTCAGTTGTATCTCTTATACAGCAGTATTACGATCAGATGGGAGATATCGATGAACAGGCCGTATAAGCGTATACCTTAGCTTTTTAAGCTTAGACCACCTGGTGAATAGATACCATTTCTGCAGTGCCTCTCACGTCTCCGGAAACATTTTCCCAATTTCAGGCTCTTTCGGGGGACGAGCTACAAAATTTACACTTAGAGTTGAATAAAAAGTGCACTTGATCTAAAACTCTAATTGAACACCGAAGATAAATAAAATGGAGCCGCTATGATCATCAATGGGCTATTAATTCCGTATACTGCTCCTTCTGTCATGGGTGATGCGAAAAAGAATTAGACACATATCAATATTTGAGGAACCGAAACTATGGAAAGAAAGCACCAGATAAAAACTTAAAGTTATTAAAGTGGTTCAAATTTTACTATCATTAATACCTTTAATAGTTATTTAGCTTTGATCTGTTAATAAACCGCAGGTAATTAAACCGCCTTTCCTCTTTTTTTGCTGGGTAACTGGAAAAGGCAGAAAGTAATGCATGTGGTGAATACAGGATATAGTTCAGCTACAAGAGACAAGAGAACTGACTTGGCTTAGCCGACCCACTGTCTCTTAAATCATCGCGGGTGAAAGAATATAAAGCTATTCTCTTAAGACAAATTAGATTCCAAATCATCAAGGTATATGGTCATTGGCTCGTAGCTTATCACCCGGAATCTACTTTCTCGACTGCATGTTCCTGGTTCGTACACGCATATAGACTGCTATTTTTCACGCTGCGTTTGCGCAAAATAAGCAATCCCCTTCTTCCTTATACACATTTGCACTATGGACTTTAGGGGACAAAAGAGAAGACATTTTGGTAAGTGTCCCAATTCATACCACTCAATATATACTAACCCGGCAGATGGATCGCCGGACCGTGAGTTCAAGAAGCAGCAGAAGGACCCGTTCGTGGAATTGATGGAGCGGATGACCAAGGACATCCGCGAAATCGGTGAGACGTCGCAGCATGAACTTGCACGCGACCTCGAGTACATTACGCGTCCGATTGCGGGCGAGTTGGAGAATGAACCGCGCTTTCGCGCGCCGTTCTTCGAGACGTTGTACGCGGTGGCTATTGAGCAACCGCATAAGATCCCTCTCCTCGCAGCGATGATCCAGGTGGCGTCTTCAAAAAACCCGGCCGTGGGCCAGTTTGTGTTGGAGTTTTTGCACCGCCAGGCACAGGAGTTGCTTGACTCGGAGCCAGAGACGGGCACGTCCAGCGAGCCCGGCACGTGGAACCGCTTAAAGCTCATCTTGCGCTTCTTCGCAGCGCTCTCGCCGCTTGTCGCGAACTTTGGTGCGGTGGCGATTTTCCGCCAGTTTTTGATGCTCGCAAACGACGTACAGGCGCGCGCGGTGACGCGCGTGCCGTTGGCCGAGGCCGTCCACTACAACACCTTGGTATCTTTACCGTACTTGTTTGCGCTTGGAACGTCTGCAGAGATGAAGCAGAAGGCGGATGAGTTGCTCGAGGTTGCGAAAGAGTTCAAACCTGTGCCTACTGCCATCGATGTCATCCAGGTCTTTAGCGCGAATAGCGCCGCAGACACGGTGCCACATGTATCGCAGTACCACGTGTCGAGTATTCTCTCGGCGCTTTTGCAGCTACAGGCGGAGGGTTGGGCCACCGGATTCTTCTATGACTACGAATCCGTGCTCGCACAAGCGTATGCGCTCGTGGAGCAGCCGGCGGCCACGTTGGTGCAGCACAGCCTCCCACAATTGGCGATTCCAGCAGCTGAAACGTTAGTGGCACGGTTCGGTGCAGGCAACGTGGATGGCGCGTGGAAGGCGCCGCGTGCATGGGTGCAGATGTTTGCGCCGCTCGACTTCAGCACGCAGCCTGCGTTCGACTCGTTTATCGGGCTTCTTTTCCGTGATGTTTGTGTTGACATTATCGCAACGTTGGATTTCAACAAGAAGGAAGCGGTCAGACAGCTCAACACGTTGGATTTATTTTTCCACGAGAACCTCTTTGCGAAACCCGGCTTGAGTATCGACGACTTGACCGTTATCAACAGCATGAACTTGAACGGCGAGTTTTCGCCTGCCAAGTCCACGTGGAAGATCGAGGACATGCTCGTGGAGACGATTTTGAACTTTATGATGGAATTGCCGCAGACCCAACACCGTCTTGTGTACTACGCCGTGTTGATCATCGAGTTTATTGATCGTTTGCCGCAAAATTTTGCTCCCGTCATCGGAAGAGCGATCCGGTTCCTCTATGCAAACGTGCACTTATTGGACTTTGAGTGCAAGGGTCGCTACTACGACTGGTTGTCTCTCCAGTTGAGCAACTTTAACTTCCAGTGGAAATGGCGCGAGTGGATCGGCGATGCTGAGGCGTTGGCAACGTCGCGCTTCAACCCGAAGATCAACTTGTTCCAAAACTTGATTGCTAAGGAGGTGGGCTTGTCTGATAAACATACGGTGAAGGAGAGTTTGCCAGCGGAGTTCCATCGCTTCTTGGATATCTCACTTGTTTCTCAGGAAAAGGTTAAGCAGTACGACACAGCGCTCTTCGGGCAGCCGATTGCGGGTGGCTATGACGTGAACTTGACTAACACGTCGTCGTTTATCGAGGAAACAAGGTTAGTGTTCATCCAGGAGAAGATTCCTTTCCAGAAGCAGTCGTTGCGGATTTATGACCACTTCAGAAACCAGGATCCTAACGAGAACTTGGACAAGATTGTGGCTGAGTTCAGGGAGCAGCACGAACAGGGAGAGGAAAAGTTGCCAAACTTGGACAGATTTTTGACCAACGCAATCTTCCAGTCATTGTGCTTCTGTGCGTTCAACTCCGTGTACAACGTGGAGAACTTGATCAGTAGATACAGCGCCAACTTGAAGGCTTTCATCGGGGTGAAGAAACAAACAGAAGCTGCTAAGAATGAAGCGGAAGAGGTCCAGGAAGATGTTCAGATGGAAAAGGAAAATGCTCTTTCTTCAGTCGATATCCAAAAGAGACAGAGCTGGGTGGTGGAGGCAATCTTCCGTTTCTGGAACCACCAGCCGCAAGTGGCGTTCTTGATCACCGAGATCCTCATCACGTATGAGTTGGTCACGCCGAGCGCGCTCTTCGACAAGATTTTCGCTCACCAGGACGCTATTGTCATTGCCAATGTCAGTGGCTACGACTGTGTGTCGCGTGTGATTGCCGACTCCGACAAAGCTGCAAAGATTTTACAGTCTGTGTACCGCACCGTGTTGGTGCAACTCGACACGCTCACCACACACATTGGCGAGCCCGGCGCGATCGAAACGGAAACTGACGTATTGAGCTGTTCAGAGCAGCAGGAGTTGAGATGGAAGTACGTGGGCTATTTGGGCTACCTCAAGTTGCTCTTGAGAAAGTACCCTGCGATGATCGAGGATCAGGAAGATGTGTTCCAGCGCGTGTTAGAAGAGACCGTCTCTCACGGCCCGTCCCGTGCCATGATCACCCGGTGGATCAGCGAGTTGAAGGCGATTTGATAGGTGGAGGATGTAGTTTATCCATGTATACTAGAAGGAAGAAGTGTAGCAGGGAAATGAAGGCCGTGTGAGGGGAACGAGTGAGTGGATGGTGGCGATGGAAGGATGCCAACTGATAATGGAAGGAAGAGAAGGTGAAAAGAGTAACGAAGCCAAGTGAGATCATCAAATAACTGAAGGTAGGACTGATTACTATAAGGTAATAAATCGGAGATTAAACTGGCTGTAGGATGCTATGTTGGGTGAGTAGTAGCACACGTACACCAGCGCATAGGGCGAAACAGTGCGTAGTTGCGTATCAATGCTCAGTCAGATAGGCATAGCCAGCGATTGATTACTCATTATTGATGGATGTCCATGTTATAGCTCTCGGTTTATTTCAGGAATTTTTCCAATACATGGATACAATGGTACTGCACTTCTTGGGCACCCGAATACTACAAGACGACGAAAGAGAAGACAGCTAAATTCCATGCCTTTATCAAAAGGTACTTTAACCAGAGATCGTATTCATCAATCTATCTTTTTCTACAGATATTGTACAATAGGTTAATATCCAATTCTTATCAGAGTAGACTAAGCGGTATACAACACTAAATTTATTCGTAGATCCAAGCGTTCAAGGCGGACTTGTAGTCAACCAATTCTTCGTTCTTGAACCACAAACCGATTTCTCTGTTGGCGGTTTCGACAGAGTCAGAACCGTGGATGACGTTTCTGCCCATGTCGATGGCGAAGTCACCTCTGATGGTACCTGGAGCAGAGGCCAATGGGTTGGTGGCACCCAAGATGACACGACCCTGCTTAACAACGTCCTTACCTTCCCAGACGGTGGCCAAGACTGGACCAGACAACATGTAGGACAACAAAGATGGGAAGAATGGCTTTTCCTGCAAGTCTTCGTAGTGCTGTCTCAACAAACCTTCGTTGGCCCAAGTCAACTTGAGGGCAACCAACTTGAAGCCTCTCTGTTCGAATCTGGTCAAGATTGGACCGATGAGGCCTCTCTGGACACCGTCTGGCTTGATAGCAATAAAAGTTCTTTCAGTGGACATTGTAATAAAGTATTGAAGATAGGGAAAAGAAAAAGAGAAATTGAAAACCCGCGGGTTTTTGACACCAAGAAGGATTTTTTTATGCCAGAGGTCGGAATGGGACGGGACCGAAGCCAAAGCGGTGAATTTTCCAGCGCAGCCCGCCGGGTAACTTTGATTCTCACTGGGTGCAGGGAATTTTCATTTGCTACATAAATTAGGGGAGAGACTCTATCCTGCACAATGCCTATGCTAAGCAGTAGGTGGTTGGTGCACGTACAAGTGAAGGGAATACTAGGAGGTGCAGAACATGGCAATATGCACGACCTCTATAAGCCTGTTAGAAACAGGCACAATTATTGGGCCGGTAAGCATAAACCAAGACTCATCATAACTATTGGGATATATTGACCAAAATAGGAAATAGAAGTTATGATGTTTCTGACTTTGGATGAACGGGGGTGGTCATTCTAAACATGGTACGTACATAAGGATTGGAGCAGTTCAAGAGTCAGGTGACTCGGTAACAGCGCTGGTGTAGCTGCTTCACGTAGCTTAGGTACCAGTGCTATTGCAACACCAATTGAGTGATGGGGAAGTATATGCAAAAAGTATCTCCTTTCCATTATCATTTAAATTATCAAAGAAAATCATATTCGTTTCATGCCGCATTGCGTTCTCACAGTCAAGCATACAGCATTAAAGCCGCTTCAAGCTTGGTATGACGGAAGTATTCGCCATACGATGTAGTTCCATAGCCCCTCAATGGGAATACTTAGAAGAGATCAGAATTCCTCTGAACTTCTCCAGTTACTTAAGCACTCCGTGGGATTGCAGTTCAGAAACAACAAAACCGGAGACGGCCCGGGAGAGAGTCGCTGGTGCTTTGACAAGCGATACAATGTTATCTATCGGAGTGCTCTATATGAATTCTTTAGGATACCATTTAACATGCCATTGTGATAATGATGCCGGTTTTTGGATGATTGCAACCGATAGTGATTAACAGGGGTTTTGTCATTTACCAACGTGAATATGAATTGGTGTACCAAAATCCTGAACGGGTTTTTCGAGCATTGAGTAAAATGTAAAACCATGACTAACTCTAATAAATATTTATCGATTATCTATCTGTCAAGAGAATACGGAGCGGAATGATTTAGACAAAAAACTTTAGGAACACAGCTGGAACAAGCTTGGCAAAATGTAAAATACACATACCGTATAGCGTGGTTATGCATCCCAGTGCCCCAGGAGGATTTAATACTGGTAACTGGTGCTTCGAAGCGAAAGGACTCCAAGCAGAGTTATAGCCAGTTAAAGGTAATAACTTACTAGTATCAATTATGTATCCCGTAGTACCTAGCTATAGCTGAGTGTTAAAATGACTACGAGAAGTTGAGGAGGCAGGACTTAGAAAAAAATTTTTTTTTTCAAGAATGAATAGCACGGAAACTATTGCACTCTTAAGACATAGGTTCGATTTCCTCCATACATGTATAAGCTCTTGCCCGTTTGGTATGGCTCAGATTTTATCTCTGAGATGAGGCTGAGCCGTACCAAAGTGCCTTGATAACCAGGGTTATGAGCCTATCCCTTAGGGTCATGGTTCTGTGACAGCCACCGGGGGTAACGAGTGCCAAGCTCAACGACCATTCATTACCAATCAAGAAACTCAATCCTTTTTCTGGATCTATTTCCCGCGTCCTGCTCACCATCACAATGACTGATCCGAAAAATGACCCAAATAACAAGCCAAACTTGCCTGAGGGCTGGTCCTGCCAGTTTGACGATGAATACAAAACCTGGTTCTACGTCAATCTAGACACCAAAGCGTCCCAATGGGAGGCGCCTACTGGGACTACCTGGGGCAATAGTTCTTACCAAAGACCTCCTGGTGCCGCTCCACCACAGGCCAAAGCACAACCACAGGAACAAGCTCAGAGAAGCAACTACCAACAGGGCTACCCACAACAGGGCTACCAACAAGGTTACCCGCCACAGGGTTACCAGCAGGGCTATTCACCGCAAGGATACCAACAAGGATACCCACCGCAGGGATACCAGCAAGGTTATCCGCAACAGGGATATCCACCACAAGGCTATCAACAAGGCTATCCGCCTCAGCAAGTGTACCAGCAAAAACCCAAGAGATCCGGGTTGGGAGCTGGTGGTGGTGCCGCCATGGGGGCCATGGGTGGTTTAGCAGGTGGTATGTTATTGGGCAGTATGTTACTGGACCATAACATGGGTGGCGGAGGCTACGATCAGGGCTACAACCAGGGCTATGATCAGGGCAACAATCAGGGCTACGATCAGGGCTACGATCAGGGTTACGACCAGGGCATGGATAACGGCGGTTTTGATGGCGGTGATTTCGGTGGTGGTGATTTCTAAAAAAAAACCCGATTACGATCTGTTTTTTCGATGTCTCCAAGCAGTTGTTGAAAACCAAACATTTTCTTTTCGTTTCACCGTGCGATGCTGTATTTTAGCTTAAATTCGACTTTAGTGATCCAGTTATGAGAAAGGTTGAGCTTGATTACTTTTGACGGGTATACGTAGGGAATGGCAGTTTACCTTAATGTGTCAATATACCAACTGAGAACGAGCCTTGCTCTTTTATGGATTACCCACTTCGGCACAAAACAAAAATATTGAAAAGTACCAGGAATACAGGTGTTACCATACATCACTTCTTTCTTACGTCGATTTAGGAGGATCGGGTAGTGAAGGACGATAGCCACAACTTGGATGGAGTCAAAACTGACGCGTAGAATCCCATCTCTACACGTCTGATATACTAAGCTTAAATAGATACTATAGGAACTGCAAGCCTTGCATTGCTGACCTTGAGCTCTCCACGAATGTGCAGGCCCTTCGTAGTTGCTTGCTTCGACTGGGGATGATCCTCCACCTCAGGGATAATTAACTTCGCCAGTCGTACCTACTTAGTTTTATTTTTCAGAAAACTGAGTTATGCAGAGAAATGGAATAGTTTCGGAAAAGAAATTCCGTCGCTTTCTGATTGATCTTTCTGTATCTTCCTATGAGATATAACCTTCACATACACTTACGTCCCGTGAATTTCCGGGGAAACATGCGTCATTAACGTTGAGAGGCTTACTAAGTACAAGGGCCCCGAAAGCCTTCATTAAAACCATGTATCACCCTCGGCAATACCTTCAAAAAACAGCCGCAGAGAAAAGTATGAAGAAAACGTAAAAACGAAATTCAAAGTGAATATCCTCAAGTATGTCATACTTGACTCAGGGCTAGTTCTAAACGGTGCACAATGACATAACTTGGCGCAGATATAATTCACCCATGAAAAATGCGCCGTAGCGGTATCACCCGAGATGAACTTTTTATGGCTTCTGGCTTTTGCAGAATATACGCAGTATTCACCTTATCAACGTAAACTTTGTTGACCTGACCCATCTTTTTTGTAGTTCGGATGCGCGAGAACCCACCGGCTATCGCGGAAGCTCGGAATTAGGATAAAGGAGAAAACGTCTTTCCGGGGCCGGCTATGCAGCAAGAGATGTCGGCAGAATACCCTCATCTTGCCAAGAAACATGACCACGATTGAGACTTTAACGATACCTTTCCAATAACTGGCGGTTTGATAGAAAACTTGCTTTATTTAGGACGAAATAAACGCCGGAGGTTTAAAGTGGCTGGGTTTCCCATAGCGCACTCAGCATCTGGACAAGGCTGATTTGTAAGATATTTGAGAGCACACCCTTTCCGGCATGCTGCATGCAGCAAAATGCACGTAGTCAAACATATGTGAAAAACGTGTCTTTATGCAGCCTTTAAGACACAAACGTTATGCTGCCCAAACTTGCAAGTTCCTGGCCGTGACGAAATGCCAGGGGAGGTGAGTGGTGTGCAGCGTGTAAAACAGACCCGAACCCTTATGTTGGCATGCTTCGCAGGTGAAAGCTTGCCCCGGGGGGAATCGGCCTTGCAAGTTACTTGAACAAAGATGCGTCGAGAGTTATTATAGTATGTCACTCTTGCTCAGACTTTGAGTTACGCTTAACCTTATATCTGTTGCTTCCATCTTGAAAGTGATATAGGGCCGGAAACACCCATCTAAAGCAACACTTTTGTTTACCTTCTCCAAAGTCATTTATTCGACTCGCCACCGAGATTACTATTGGCCCACGCTTCTATTTCTTGGTCATTTACAGAGCTCACATCTTCAGTTTCATATACCTCAGTGCAACCATTACTTACTAGACTCTTCGTCATGCGATTTGGCCATAAAACCCTCGCTAACATAAGCGAGAAGAAGCATATGACCCCGCCGTCTCCCATCAGCACTGACAGTTTATCCACCAGCTCCAGCAGATGTCTGGACGATACCCGCTCAATCCAATCTGAGGCGTTCAGCTCTCATACCACCAAGCTTATCGGCTCCAGTCTGTCACTGGGGACATATTACTCCATCAAGAAGCTCATATCCCGCAGCTTCACGCCCAATACCAAAGTGCTGCCCCCTGCAACCCCCGAAATAACGGGGTGGACTACAGAGTACGACCCACAGATCCGGGCGTACTACTACCGCAACAACCTGGATGGCTCCTTGCAGTTTGACCACCCGATGGAGGAGGTTGTCTCTAGAAAACACTATTCGAGCCATGGATTGTCGATGTTTAAGGTATTTAGCAAGAAAGGACAGACCCCAGTGGCATCGCCACCTAGGCAGTCCAGTGTGAGCCAACACCTGGAACAGACCCTTATAGAGCCAGTTATACCACAGGTATCTAGTACACTTCCTCTTCAAGATCAGAACGAGCCTACGCCGTTGCTCGCGCATCCGTTCAGGAACCCTTCATACTCCCATGACTACCCAGAATATACCCACAAAGAAATAGGAAAGTCCAGGAGAACAAGCGGCCATGGCGAAACGTTTTTCATCAACGAGTTTCTCATGGACAACCCTAAGGGAAAAATTTCGCGATATGCCCCACATTAAGTGGAATTATATGCAACTAATCGGAAGGGTTTTTCTTCTTCCAGTTTTGCATCAGCTGCGAGGATAGTGAGAGAAAGGACAGCCCAGACCTGAGCATACGCGCTTTGGATGCATCTCGCCCCTGTAAAGGGCTCATGATGATCATGCCTTGTTTGTTCCTGCCTAAGGCTAGAAAAGTGAGGAGTGGGAATGCAGACTGTCTTAGAGACGTATTGAGATCGGTTTTTAAAGACTTACTCTTTACATATCCAGCTCCCATCATATATTTGCGTCGAGCGTAAACTGGTATACCCGGTGACTAATCATCAAGAGAAACTTCCAGCACAGTTCTACACCGCAACTTTACATGCATGATCGAAGCACCCCTCGTATTTCACCATAAAGCCTCAATTTTGTTTAGACTTGGACCTTCGGGTACGTATCTAATTTTATTATCGTTAATATACAGTCCAGCTGCTCTGCAAATGGACGTACAAGACCTCAGCATGAAGGACTTCGACCCACTGGCCGTGTAGCTCTTTCTCACCTGTTTTTGTAATGTACATGGAAGGCCTCCTTCCTTTTTAGCCTATACCTCCTCTAATATGGCGCTTCGTGGCGCCTCAACTGGTTCAAGATCGATTGGAGTTCCGGATCAGAAATCTTGTCTTGCAAGGATGGAATCAACGTCTTGGCCTCATCGGCATCATCGCACATCAAACTGCCCAACTGCGCCTTCTCAAACGGGTGGAACTCCTGCTTGTTGCCATCCACGTCGTTGTACTCTCTTAACAACTCTTCCACGGCGGCAATGGACGAATCATCCTTGAATCTAGCAAAGTTGTTAATGTAGTTGATCGTTTTTCTCAAGATTTCGTTAGCGTTCGCGGAGTTTGTGATAATGTCATCTTCCTTCAAGTCCTTCTTCTCCATCTCGTCCTCATCGTCGCTGTGCCCACCGTTGGCGGATCTGCGGCCCTTCAACGCCTCTCTGATCAAAATCTTTGCCTCAGACAAGTTCAACGCTGTGAGTGGCACCTCGTGGCCCAGATGGCTGATTTGCTTCAAGCTGAACTCTGGGCCCAACTTCAACACCAGCGCATTCTCCTCGAGGTCCTGGGTATTATTACTGGCCCCCTTTCTTCTGCGGGTACCCAAAGTCGACGTTGAAATGTTCATAATAAATAGTGAATAGTTTTACATGGCAGCTGCTCTCACTACTCACCGACGCCGTTTTGATAAACGCGCTGAATTTTGCGGTGGCTATGCATCACGTGCGATATAGCCGCGCACGCCTTCTGACGTTACCCGGCACGCTCGAGCGGCGCCGAAAAGTTGCCGTTGGAAATTTGTGCTTCAGCTAGACGTGAAAAATCTGGAGGTTATCAGAAATTTAAACGCAGAGTCACCACCTCAAGGGTATCTATCCAATCACACACTACACAACACAGCTATGTCTTCCGACCATTCCAGAGATCCTTGTCCTATCGTTATTTTGAACGATTTCGGTGGTGCCTTCTCTATGGGTGTTATTGGTGGTTCTATCTGGCACGGGATCAAGGGTTTCCGTAACTCGCCTTACGGTGAAAGACGTATCGGTATGCTTTCTGCCATCAAGGCCAGAGCGCCAGTTGTCGGTGGTAACTTCGGTGTCTGGGGTGGTTTGTTCTCCACCTTTGACTGTTCCGTCAAGGCTGTCAGAAAGAGAGAGGATCCTTGGAATGCCATCATCGCTGGTTTCTTCACCGGTGGTGCCTTGGCCTTCAGAGGTGGGAAGAAGCATACCTTGCAGTCTGCCATCATGTGTTCCATCTTGTTGGGTGTCTTTGAGGGTGTTGGTTTAATGTTCCAGAAGTACTCCGCCTGGCAGAATAAGCCACAGGCTATGGCTTACCCAGACCAGCCGCAACCAATGGCCTAGCCGCCTTGGCTAGAACTGTCTTAAAGCGGTATCCAAAACTGGCCACCATTCATGCCATTTCATGTCCCCACATCTTTTCTGTATTCTATTCACTCCTTCCCATTGGCCGTCCGGAAAAATTCTTGTACATATATGCCTCTCGGTGAACGATTCAGTTCTACTTCATTAATCCTATGATATTAATAGCTAACATAATACCTGTAAGGCTAGAGCACCTCTGAGCCTTGGGTGGCGAGAACTAGCAAATGTATACGGTTCCATGCGGCTCTCGGTTGGTTCAGTCTAAAGCAAACTCGCATAGTCTCTAGTGATTGCTATGGTCAGAGTATTCCCGGGTATTCGATAAATAACCACACGTAGTGTATAGAGCTAACACACAGGGTATTGCGCCACAGATAATTTGAATATGTAGTTTCATCACTCTGGTTTTGTACACGTAGGCGCCATAAAGTATAAATGCAACCCCCGGGGCTCTGTCGGTTCAATGCTCAAGGTAGTTTCCGAAAGTATTTCGACAAGACTGAGATGGCAAAGAAAATCTGCTTAATAATGTTCCTGATAGTCTTAAACCCCATTGGTTCTAGAGTGAGACTACTTTCAGGTGGGATTGCATCTTGATCTTTTTAATGTACTATTACTATCCCAAAAACCTCCTCAATAATTTGTAAAAAAAAAATATCGAGAATATCTGTTAAAGGGTCTAAATAAAACTAGAGGTTGTGATTATCGATCCATGTAGAAGCACATCAAGGTGACTTTGCCAGGGATATATATTACCCTTCGACCTTTTTCTTGGGTTTCTTCATATATCTTAATCTCTATTTCAAAACTATATCGAAAATAACCCAATAAATGAATCTATGAGATATACACCGCGTATTGGGCACTCTCTAATTGTTCAGCTCTAAGCGTGGACAAAATATTCTCGTAAATAACAACTGGGGGATGCTCAGACCTATTGGAACTAGGGGGAGTAACTTCCATACCATAGTGTTGCGCTTCGATACACGATTCAACTGACGCTTGTGTCATCTCCTTCGCCTGGATAAAGAACTTAATGATGTCACAGTACTTGGTCAACGTCCGATCGCCTTCCTTTCTTTGGAAACTTTCGAGCTGCTCCACAATGTCCTGGTATTCACTTAAAGACCGTTCCCCAATAATTAACCTCAACCATTTTCGCAAATTCTTGAGATATGATTGCAACACACTAGACACAAGCTCGTCAAGACACAGTATCAACTGTGGTAACTCATCACGGATCTGGTTCTCGAGCGAAACGTACTTTCGGGCCATGACAGAACCCTTGCTGAAAACTGATGCTAGAAGGGAAGTGGCTGAGAAATCAGTCACATCTTCTTTGCTGCCCAATCTGGTGGTATGTGAGGTTTGGATGTAGTTTGCATACGCCGACCGAAGCTTGCGATGCTCGTTGATTTTATCTTTTGTAATCTCACAGTACCGCATGGCCAAGTCCATTGACGTCAATATTGTCATCCGGATATCGTTTATAACAAGTTTTGTCTCAGATCTTTGCCAGGTGACTTTTTCAACATACGCAGCGTAAATTGATCCAATATAATTGTTGGTCACACCTCGGGCGCTGCTATCCCTTTTAAGAGTACTGGGGCGTTCAGTGTAGTACAGCAGGGAGGCCGACCCTTTGGTGACTATCGACAAGTTATGAGAATAGTTTCTTCTATGCCTCGAATCCTTATCTAAAGGCTCGTTTTCATGATTCCAAACTGTACTAGTACCAGATTCGTTTGATTTCTGCCAGAGCTTCGAGTACTTTATATTGACATCCATCAAATCCAGAATATTTTCTAGTGACTTTTCTATTGTAGCTTTAATTCTAGTCAAGGCGTGGTATCTGGGTTTGAACCCTTTCACTAGATCGGCGTACTCTCTTCGGTGCACAGAGGGGTGTATATCCTTCTGGCCATCTTCGGTGCTACCTTTGTTCGCAGCCTGGATGGTGCTCTCCACCTCGACTATCGCGCACTGGAGCTTGACATTCTCTTGGCTGCTCAAGCTCTCTCCAAATTGTACCGACAACTCCTTGAGTAGCGCCGGATATTTGAACAAACGTTGCACTGGGGTCATCAATAAGGAATCGAGAGACCAACAATTTGTCTTGCTCTTGGATAGGAACTGCGCTTCTTTTAGCCATTCTGCGACCTTGGGTTCCCCCATTCTGGATAACCGATTCAATGTCTGTATTTGTTTGACATAGTTCAGGAAATAGGTGAGATAAAGTGGTTTCACAAAGTTGATAAACTCAAGCAAGATAGTGCCAAGCGGGATTTTTGCGATACTAAAGTGGGGAAGGGTAGGAGAAATATCCCCCGAGGCGATATTTTGTGAACCGCTGATCTGATTAACTAATTGATTACCGAGGGTGATGAATTGGCATATGGCTGATGGGAATATTACATCAACATCTTGTGCGGAGACAGAATTTGCGTACTGGTAGGTCAGTAACAAGGATTTGTAAACCGATTGGACAACCTTCAAGTCGCCAGTAAAGGAAAGCTCAGATTGGACGAGCTCAAGGTGCGCTAGCAGGGGGATTGTTATTGGGCCGACCTCTTGCTTCAGAGATGCTTTAGCCTCTGTATCAAGTTCCCATTTCTCAACTTCTGGCTGAATTTGTTTCTGAGACACTGCCAATCTATCGATCGTGTCCTTTTGACATGTCCCTGTTACAGAATACCAAAGGGAATTTGCATAGGGATTGAAGTTTGAGTGGGTATCCTTTGCATAGGTACTATCCGGAAGAATATCAGGGAAATCTCCACCTTGAACCATGAAAGCCTCGGGGGATAACTTGGTATCTTTTGGATGACCCCCAGTAGCCAGTGCATTCTTGAGCCACGATGGACAGAACTTATCTAGATTTTCGGAAGCCATCTGGGGTAATTTTTTTATAACTATTCAAGAATTATGTGATTAGATGTAAGTATAGCCATTGACTAGAGGCATTTTACAGTCACTACTTGGGGAGAATAGCTGGATAAATACGACTCAAGTTCGGAAACATGGCACAGATTTGTAACAAACGGAAACATTTTCGAAACAACTTACTAAGACAGTAACCAAGTACCGACCAGAGAGTAGAACCTGTAAATAGTACAGTACATGATATAAAGCCCCACGTTTCACAAGCACCTTAAACTAATTTTTTCCGAGCCTCATGTGCTTCAAAAAGTGTGAAAAATGCCTCCAGCCAGATTCGAACTGACGATCTCCTCATTACTAGTGAGGTGCCTTACCAACTTGGCCATAGAGGCGAGACTTGAAATTTTCGATAAATATGTGATCAAATCCCACATAATTTTTGAATCCTGCAGCTCACTGGAGTCAATGTATATCTCGCCAAGGCTTCACGCCAACCCATTCATCTTCGCCACTCCTTCTACTCAATTGCTCGCACACCCAGTCATCATCCTATGTCTTTAGCTAATTGGAAAACTTTCCACTTTTTCGAGGAGACGCAGCTCCGCGATCCATCGTTTGGATCGCCAGACCCACTCTACTCCACGGGCGTCACCGCCACGTGCTCCACCAAAGACTTCTTTGTGGTCGCCACTAACACAGGGGTGATCCGCCTCATCACGCCAGATTTCCAGCTACGAACGCAGTTCCAGGCCTACGAGCTCGGCTACACGGTTTGCCACCTCCAGAGCCTCGACCGCTACCTCGTGAGCATTGCGGAGAAGCAGGGGTTTCCGTCGGTGTTGAAGCTCTGGGATATGGAGCGGGTGCTCGGTGAAGAGATGAACGAATTCAAGTTCCACACGAGCGCAAAGATCTCCAACGGAACCAACGCATTTCCCATGACGGCATTCGCAGCGACAGCAGACTTTTCAGTATTGGCGTGTGGCTACGCAAACGGTGCCGCGGTGGTGGTACGCGGAGACCTCCTTCGCGACCGCGGTTCACGGCAGCGCGTGGTGTACGAGAGTGCAGAACCAGTGACGGGTGTGCGATTCCGGGACGAATCGGTTTTATACATCACCACCACTTCTAGAATCCTTACGGTCCCTACCACGGGCAGAAACCAGGGAAAGCCAGACAAAATTCTTGATAAAAAGCAGGGGTGTGACCTCGGCTGTGCTTATGAAGATTCAGGTGACTTGGTGGTTGCGCGCGACGACGGATTGACCTTCTACAACACACTCGGGAAGCACTCGTTTCTCCCGTTGGAGGTAGCCAAGCGCCGAGTCTTTAACTTTGGAAAGTATTTGCTTATTGTTACTGAGACGATACCAGAGCGTAGCGAACAGCTCAGTAGCTTGATTGGTGGTACGCGCAGCGCAGCACGCGTACTAATTGTCGACTTGAAGAATCGCTTTGTTGCACATCAGCAAAGCCTCCAGAGCGCCGTCAGCGACGTCTTTCACATGTGGGGCGATACTTACCTCTATACCAAGGATGGCTTACTCTGGAAATTCCACGAAAAGGCGCAACAACAGCAAATCGATGCAATTGTCGCGCGGGAGAACTTTCCGGTGGCCATCGCCTTGGCACGTGAGTACGCCATGGATGAGACCCTTGTTATGGGTATTGTCCGCCACTACGCCGACTACCTCTATCTGAAAAATGAACACGACAGGGCCATGGACCAGTACGTGGTGTGTGCCGCGATAGTGGAGCCGTCCGAAGTGATTCTCAAGTACAAGGGGAACGAAAACATCTACAGTTTGATCCGGTACCTCGAGAAGCTTACGCTGATGAAGATGGCAAATAATGATCACACAACGCTTCTTGTGTGCTGCTACTGCAAGATGAAAAAAGTGGCGGAAATTGATCGGTTCATCGAGGACTTTTCTGCCGACGATTACGTCTTCCACGACGCATCTGTCGGGGGGAGCGTACCCGCGGGCGCATTGAACTTGAACTTGGTTGTGAATCTTCTCCGCGAGTGCGGCTACTTCCGTCAGGCCGTGCGCTTGTTGGGCAAGTTGGGTGAACACAACACGATTGTGGAGATCCAGTTGCACGACTTGAAGCGTGCCCGCGCGTGTGTGCGATATGTGAGGTCGTTGCCGTATGATGAAGCGTTGCGGATTCTTATCAACCACTCCAAGACGTTGCTCGACCGCGTTCCTATCGAAACCACTCAGCTTTTGATCGATGTTTTTACGGCAAAGTATTTCCCAGAGGAGTCTGATGAATCGGCAGCGGATTCCCGCCCTGAGGAGCCTGACTCCTCCTTCCCATTGCAAAGCTACAAGGCTTTTGTCTCCTACATCTCTCTGAAGCGTGAGAAGCTCCCAGACGATCCTAAGCCGCCTTCCAAGCCAACTTATACTCCTCCCCGCCCGCGATTGATTTTCCCCAGCTTTGTCGGAAAACCCCACGAGTTTGTGGTGTTCTTGGAAGCCTGTGTAGAGACGTACACCAAGTTGGAAGGGAACGAAACGGAGCGTAAGGACATTCTTGTGACATTGTTAGAGATGTATCTCACGCTAGCGGATGAGAGCGAAGGATCCCTGCGGTCAGAATGGCAGACCAAGGCCAGCTTGTTGATTCGCGCACAGCGGAACGTGCTCGATGCGCCACAGGTGTTGCTCTTAGCTACAATATTCGACTTTGCGGAAGGCGAGCTCCTTGCAAAAGACCAGCCAGGCTATGAGATCGACCTCTTCCGCTCTTCCTGTGCTGCCGAGGACGTTCCGGGGGCCATTTCGCTTTTGCTGAAGTATGGTGATGCCGAGCCACAGTTGTACGTGCTTGCTTTGACCTTCTATGTCTCGTGCGAGCGTGTTTACGAGGCTGTGGGGGCGGCAGAGGTTGCGCGTGTCTTGCGCGAGATCCAGGCACGCGACCTAGTCTCGCCCCTCGAGCTCATCCAGACACTCAGTGCAACTAGCGTTGCAAGCATTGGCTTGGTCAAGAGCTACTTGGTGGAGTATGTTCAGCAGCAAAATGAAGAGATTGCAAATAATGAGAAGCTCATTGAGTCGTACCGCAAGGAAACGGAGACAAAAAAGCGTGAAATTCGCGCTTTGAAACAGGACCCTTTGACGGTGCAAACTGCCAAATGTGCCATCTGTGGCGGTCGCTTAGACTTCCCCGTCGTCCACTTCAAGTGTGCCCATTCGTACCATCAGCGGTGTTTGGCGGAGGCTGATGTAGATGCGTTGACGGACATTGAAACTTGTCCCACGTGCGCCAGCGAGGTGGATCAGATTGTGGCATTACGCGAGCAGGAGCGGGAGGTTAGTGAGCGCATGGACCTTCTTGATCTTTCCTTGCAGAACAGCGAGGATCGGTTTAAAATTGTAGCGGACTTCATGGGCAGGGGCGCTATGGATGGGGGCAAGTATGTATTTGATAGTTAGATATGGTAGATATAAGGTGACTTAGTTAATGTTAAAAGCGCTTTCCCCAAGAGGTGCCTATTATCGTGGCACATGTAAGGCTAGAGGGGCTATTGCAATGACGCGAGTGGTGCTTTTTCTCGCAGATCCTTCTAGGTTTTTGGGTCGCTTACCGTAGCGAAGCGAGTACGATATCGTTTCTGGCGAAGCTTTCGACTTCTCCGATATTCGCACACCGGTGAATACGGAAGGAATTGGTCTTTCCTAATATTCCATCAAGACCTGTAGTTACAGTGCATGATGCATAAAACCCAATTAGACGAATCCTTGTTGATACTCTAGAATTCGATTACAACCAGGGACGGGAATTAAAAGCCAGGAGAGGTGGTTGGTACGCTGTTCTCAACCAGAAGGCGTTCGCAGTCAACCCAGCAATACACACGTGGTATCCCGACTCATTAAATTACCAGCTTAGCTAGGCAGTATATAATTGCCAATTGGCTATTTCATTCTGCTCTTCTGAAAAGACTATCTGGGACTGTAGGTGCAGACACCTGGGTCTTATCTAAACGGCTTGTCTATAAACCATCCGGAGGGCTCACTTGGCGCTGTACGCTGCCACTCCGTATGCTGGAATTGAAGGGAAGTTTGTACTTCATAATTTTAGTTGCAGGGAAATAGAGAATAATTTTCATATGAATTTACCATATTTTTATAGGGTATATACTACGATCTAATCCCGGTTAACAGAGATCAACCATCGTGCTTGGCCAGTTACTCTCAGCCTATTTTCGTGGATCAGATGCTCTATCTCCCGTGCTGGCACAATAGGTGCAGCCCGTTGAGAAAACCTATCTCATTTCCTTGGCATACTATTCGCCATGGGGTATGAAAATAGCCCGACAATAAAATCAACGTCGATTATAGAAAATAAATGCCCGTAGTCTGTTTTACATAGCTCTTTTCCTGACGTCGATTAGAGGTGAAAGGTCCCTGATCTCGTCCTATCAGTCGCCAGTATGCTTCCCAGCATTTCATGCATGCGCGTGGCTTACAAGGCCCTATCAAATTCAAGGATGAGCCATGGCTTTAACGAGATTAAATACTAACTATATATATAACTTATAATTAGTTGATATATTTGCAATGAGGGATAAGCAATGCTTGCTTCTAGTACCTTCGAAAAAAACAAGTCAATTAATAGTGCTCGTCTAGCTGCGAAAGTTCACGAGGTCGTGCTCCCGTCAACCAACAAATCGCAACATTGTAGAATATTACGCGTTTGTCTCTCTACTTTTCCGCCATTGCAGTTTCTTCTACATCCTTACACATCTTGTTCGCAGTCGTCACACGGTCTAATACTTTATCCCGTTCCCTTAACGTCCTTCCACGTGGTACAGCGTATTTCTACTCGTACTACGTTCCTTTTTTGACGTCTGTTTCACGTCAGGCTGCACCCGCTACTGCTATAACCTTCACGCGACATCTCCCCCCATCTCCTACGTTAGCCCACAGCCTTCCATGCCGTCCGATCCGACCTCCACGGAGATGTGGCTCACCAGCCTCCAATGTGAGCGCTATATCCCAGCGTTTCAGGCCCATGGGATCACACCAGAGCTCCTCCCAGAGATCGACGCAGATGCGCTCGCAGAGCTCCGTGTGGACAAGGTGGGCGACCGGATGCGTCTTGAGCGCGCAATCCGCGACATGCGCGTCAGCCGGCTCAAGGGCCAGGTACAAGTGAAGGCGATTTTGGAGCACATCACTCTCAGCCTCGCGCAGCTTCCGTCGACCAGCACGCCGAAGGAGGATGCCAAGTACGTGACATTCATTCAGCAGGATGGCACGAGCAAGCAGATCGACGTTTCTGGGTGCTTTAACGCGCAGTCTATAAAGCGTAAGGCGCTCAAGAAGTTAGGTGTGCGCTCCAATCCCGAGCTCTGGAACACGTACGTGTGCGACGCGCAGCAGCGCGTACTGATGCTCTACGATGTGGAGCTTGTGACGATCTGTTACTCGGCAGACCGCGCGGAGCGGCATCGCGTAATCCTCTGCCCCGCGGTTGAGCGGCCGAGCGCGGCAGCACTCACGATGTCGCGCCAGGTGATGGCTCGTACAGGCGCACGCGACGTACGCGGGCTCCGCAGTTTCTTCGGCCACCGTCCGCCGAGCGAGTTAATCCTGACCAACTTGGCTGAGTACTTCCCGGAAGCCAAGCCTGACCAGTTGGAAAAGACGGTGCGCAACTCGGTGCGCTACTCGGTGCGCATGTCACGGCTCCCGCCGATGCCGCACGCCTCCGCAGCATCGGTATTCTCTGGATCAGCGGCGTCAATTGGAAGCCGCGCGTCGCGCACGGTAGGCGATGTGTGGATGACAAACGCAAGTGCTGTAGAGGAAGCCATGGGCGACGACGAATCGTTCAAACCGCCGCGTGCGAACCGGCTCCTGGTGTTCCAGCTGAACCGCTCGTCACGCATCGAGCTCATTCTGTTGGATGAACTGGACGAGGATCCCGATGAGAGTGGCCCGTTAAACTGGCTCAAGGGCGCGCACATCGGCTCCGGCTCCTTTGGCAACGTGTATCTCGGGATGAACGCTATGACCGGTGAACTCATGGCGGTCAAGCAGGTCGAGTTACCTAGTAGCGTGGGTCAGGACAGCCATAAGCAGGCGATGATCGATGCGTTGCTGCACGAGATGGCACTCCTCAAGACGCTCAACCATGAGAACATCGTGCGCTACTTCGGCACTGACTCGGACGCCACGCACGTGAATATCTTCTTGGAGTACGTGCCCGGGGGCTCCGTTGCGTCAATGCTCACCAACTACGGCCCGTTTGAGGAGCCGTTGATCCGCAACTTTGTACGCCAGATCTTGATCGGTTTGAACTACCTCCATGGGGAGGAGATAATCCACAGGGATATCAAAGGTGCTAATATTCTCATCGACATCAAAGGCACCGTTAAGATCTCGGACTTTGGTATTTCGAAAAAACTCGACGGGTCCATCCAGTCGCGCCGCGCGTCTCTCCAGGGTTCGGTCTACTGGATGGCCCCAGAAGTGGTCAAGCAGGTCGCGTACACCAAAAAGGCGGATATTTGGTCCGTGGGGTGTTTGGTGGTGGAGATGTTCACCGGGAAGCATCCATTCCCGGACTTCAGTCAGATGCAGGCGATCTTCAAAATCGGCACACACATCCTCCCGGAGATTCCCAGCTGGTGCACGCGTGAGGCGGAGCATTTCTTGATGCAGGTATTTGAGTTGGACTACCAGAAGCGGCCGGGCGCGGCCGAATTATTGTCGGATCCATTTATCAGCAGTTTGATTATGACAAAGCAAAAAGGAGAAGTAACCGGTAACAAAGAATAGCCCAAAGAGTTATTTTCTAAGTATTCTGTTTAAAAATAACCAGGATGAAATTGTCTATTTTCTGTAGTGGAAATTTAACGATGTGAGCTCAGATCGACGGCGGTGTAGATTGGATTTGTCCGAATTCTGTAAAGGATGATAACGTTATATTAGTTCATGTATTGTGAATAACCTGATTTTAGAGTATTTTCAGAATTGGAAGTGTTAGTTTGGTGATGCATTTTCCAGTCTCGTTGTAAATAAGTAATAAGCACATCGTTCAACTCTATATTACGGACCAACGCATGTTAATAAAGCATTAGCTATACTTTTTTATTCACTTACTGGCTGAATATAACTTCCGGAGTAACCCCAATATGCCAAAGCTGGCATTCTGTGCCGTATTAAACAATGATATCCTCTCCCCTCATCACTGATTCGTTTAATTTTTCTATACAGCAACCAGAGTTGACCTAGATCCAAGTCTTTCTTTCCTCGAGAAACTCAATTACCAACGAGGCCAGGCAACCGGTTCACCCTTTTACCTCGGGCTACTCTGCGGGCTCGCCTGTCTGGTCCCCCCAAGAAGACCGCCCGTATTCGGCTGCGGCGGCTGATTGTGGTTGCACTGCGTTTTCTGGAATATAGGGTCAATCACACGGTGGTGTGGTTTTGTCATCAGTGCTAACGGTGCTGTTCTACCATCGGGAAACACCACCCGATATTCCTCTTTCGTTTTCTCTTTGTCTTCCCTTTGTTCCGTTGCTTCCTTGATGCCGGCGTGTGTATCCACTTTTGCGTGTTCTTTGATATCTTCGGGCATTGTAAATCGGTTACAGTTGCTTTGGTAAAACTGGTGGTGTATGCACTAACCTTGTGAAACCGTTAAGATTGAGAGTTTTGGGAGCAACCGATAAGGATGCGCCTTCAAACTCGCGCGCACACACGCGTCCCAAACTGAACCGAAAATAATGCAAACCGTGCGGCGGTATTTTTCTTGGCGGCTAATTCAGATAGCTAACATGCGCCATTACTCAATACCAAACCACCCCTTTATTCCTGATCTCTTATGCCCCGAATAGTCCTCAACAAACGCTGGATCCGCCAGTCAGCATACCTCCTCCTAGCACTTATACTCTCCACTATCACATTCACAGTCGTGGTGCGTACCCTTACGCTGGTGTCGGACTCGCTATATAGTGTCCTCCCGTACACCGGCGGCTTAGCACTCAAAGATATCCAGATTCGCACGTGCTCAAAGCTCGGTCCGTGTGGTGCCAGTGGCTGGGCTAGAATTCCGAAAGACTTGTTGCTTAGTAGTTCTTGGACCTCCAATGTTTACTTGTTCCACCATTCAAGCGAAAAGCTGGACTCTCAGGTAATTGTTGACCTTTGTGTAGGGGAAAGGCCTCAGAAAGTGCTAGATCTGGTCAAAATGGAGGGTGAGCTCACTCGGGAGCAGCTACACGAGGCAGCATCTTCCCAAGGCTGGAAAGAGACTTCTCACGGTCTATGGGTCAAATACGGCGAGTATAGAAAGCTGGATGCCGTCACAGGCATCAATATCCTCTTTGGTGATGATTCAGTAGACCCCAGGCTGGGATGGAAGAAAATCAGCGTCCCCTTGGCGGTCGAAGGCAGATACAACGCGTATGTTAGCTACAGACAAGGCCCTGAGGTACAAATTCCGCCTCCGGTGTTGAAGATTAATCCGAGTGGAAAGTTCAAAATCTTGCAAGTGGCGGATATGCACTTCTCTACGGGCTATGGAGAGTGTCGTGACCCGTTCCCGGTGTTGCTGTCCAAGGATGCCCAGAGCTGTCAAGCCGACCCCAGAACACTCGAGTTTGTGAACAAGGTGTTGGATGCGGAAAAACCGGACTTTGTGGTGCTTTCAGGAGACCAAATATTCGGGGAGGAGTCGTACGATTCGGAAACGTCGCTTTTCAAAGCTGTTAAACCGTTCATTGATCGTGCCATCCCCTATGCCATTACGTTGGGGAACCACGACGACGAAGGCTCCTTATCTCGGGAGCAAATCATGGCCCTTTCCTGTTCGTTGCCATTCTCGCTTGCCTCAATGGGCCCAGCTGAGGTTGACGGTTTTGGCAACTACGTTCTCACTGTTGAGGCTCCCAAGTCGACCAACCCAGCCGTGTCGTTATACTTTTTGGATACCCATTCGTACGCCCAGAACCAAAAGGTGACTCCTGGTTACGACTGGCTCAAGCCCAACCAGTTGGAGTTTGTTTCCGCCCAGCATAACTTGCTCAAGCACAAGATTAAAAAGTACACTCACATTCATATGACGATGGCATTTTTCCATATTCCATTACCTGAGTACCGCGAGGTAAACGGCCAGCAAATGGTGGGCACGTATAAAGAGGGTATCACTGCCCCGAACTACAATTCAGGCGGCCGAAAGGCATTGGGAGACATCGGGGTGAGTGTGGTCAGCGTGGGCCATGACCATTGTAACGACTACTGTGCGCTCCACGAGAAGGAGGAGAATAGGATGTGGTTGTGTTATGGTGGGGGCAGCGGAGAAGGTGGGTATGGCGGATACGGAGGAACCTCCAGAAGGGTTAGGGTGTTTGATATTGATACCCAAGAAAACAGTATCCAGTCCTGGAAGCGGTTAGAAAATTCACCAGAGACGGTATTTGACCAACAGTTGCTTGTCTCCGGCGGTGTGGCCGTTCCTTTGTAAGAGGGGGAGTTGAAATTGTAATTCAATACTGCGACAAGGGTGATTGCAATTTGAGTGGCGGTCCTGTTGCTTGTCCCCACTTGAGTAACTGGAGCATTGTCTTTGTGAAACAACAAGCTACAAAGCTACAAAGCTTCCGCTGAGCGGACTATTGTTGTGTACGTGTTAAAAGGTGCCCACCTCCCCCGAGCTATTGCCAACGGGGAGTGTGAATCCCACATTTGGGTCTGAAGGCAGTCACTATCCAGAATCTAGGCCTAAATAGATTTTCTATATTCCAATCTCATTCTACCCGTAACATAACCATCCTCTATATAAGCCAATTATGAATAAAGCTTTAGTCGAGTATTCCACCTCCCGGATTATTGAGTGCGGCTCGTGCGTGGTATCTTTTCCTTATCAGGAAAAGCGATAATCAGCAAACCCCCTCGGTCTGATGCTCGGTAAGTTATTATACCACCTCAGGCTACGAGCTACGGGTAACTTCTAATTGGTACAATTGATTTATGAATAGGTTTCTGGTTCCATAGGGCACCTTGATAACTTCGAGCTCGTCTCCAGACCCCTACTTAACTTCGGCTTCTGTCAGAAATCCATATAAGACTCTTTCCGTGCCTTACCAATAACTTTGCTGTGTATCCATATGAACTACCAGTGGTTATATACCCCGGTGACGGTCCACTCCCGTTCAAATCCGTATGCCAGCTCGAAGGTGGCACCCGCTGACCGTGCATATGAAAATGCCACTTCAGGGATATATCTTATTCTAGCTGATACGGCGCTCAGATCGGTTTTAACTGAAGTTGTGGTTACAATATACAGTATAGCTGATTCTAGTATTGCTAACTACGATTTTAAAATGACCTGCCTGGGCTTAATCGACACAGAGGTGGCTCGTTGGGTGAAGTTGAAGCACCTCATGTCCGAAACCCTCATCGGGCACTCAGATGCTACGGTCGTCCCTGCATCATACTTATGCAAATGGATCCAGCAAATGCGAGGTTCGGGGTTTCAATTAGGAGATAGCTCCTGGTCTGGGAAATCCGTTTATCTCTCCATGTTCAAGCCGATGGTCAGCGTCACCACAGCAATCCCTCACTTTGATTCTTTCTCTCCCTTTACTTTACTTACAGGTGAGAAGATTGATGTCAAAACAGAGTTCATCGTTCAAGCCGTTCCTTTCAGTGTTTCCAATGCGCCTCTTTTCATGAACCATTGGCTCGAGGGGACCGTCTGTGGCACTATCGGAACGAACGGCAAGGTAGTTGTCTATTTGAGCGACTTAAAATACATGGAAAATATGATTGGTGGTCTTGTGTCGAAACGGTCTGAAGAGCTGTCACTAGGGATGGTAGTAGGCCCCCTTACAAAGCTCAACGGCGAGGGTGAGCTACTTGTGATCGTAGCACTCGATTATCTATTGCCAATACTAAAGCCAGCGTTGGTAAGAACCATGCCTCCACTGATGACATCGGACTTTTACCTCCTGAACCTTCTCTCCCAGTACCGCTTTGCTGATGAAACCAATTCGCCAATAGCGCCAGATAAGGGGTATAATCCTGTAAATTCTGTCATCGGGGTTGTGGTTGTCACACCACAGGGTCGTTACTGGGGATCAGCAGTGGTTATCTCTTACAAATTGATTATAACAAATCATCATGTTTTGTACCCGGAAGGGTCCCAGAAGAGATGCACCATAATTTTGGTGTGCCCTTACTCCTCGGAAGTGCTAGAGCTCCAGAATATAGATGATCTGAACACTTACTCGATTGGGGGAAATTCTGCAAGCTGTGAGATATCCACACCCTTGATGGGAGTTGATATGAGTTTTATCAGCCTATCCACTGGCACTAGATTCTTTCAGTGCGTTGAAACTGCTAGACTATCCAATTCTTTGGTGTCATTTCGTGAGGGTGATTCGGTAGAGTCGATCGGATACGGACTATACTTTCCATACAAGGCCGCAAACGGACTGAGAGAAGCCATAAGCGAAAAATTGAATAGTTCCCAGCCATTGGTGTCAAGAGGAATTATCTCAAAAATTCAGTCGGTTCCCTTATTTGAGGGAGATGGAAATCCTACGCCCTCCATGATGATTGCCAGTGCATCGTGCTGGAACGGTTCTTCCGGCGGAGGCATCTTTCACTCACAAACTCGGCAATTGTTGGGGATTATGGCAAATAACGGAAAGGTGTTAGAAACCGGTGAAATTCTTCCAAAGTTTTGCGTAGCAGTTCCCGTTGATTTGATCTTGGCAGGGATTGAAATAGGTGGTTTTGGAACTACTCAAGATCTGATGGTTATAAGAAACGAGGCGAGGGGGAGGCGAGACTTTGGCCGTTCTCGTAAGGCTAATCCGAGACTCCTCAAATTATGGCGCTTGGAGAAAATTCACGAGGAGGTTCTGACTGAAAATGGAAAGTTGTGATTGGGGAACTAAGTATCTGCGAAGGGCCCCCTTGGACATTCTTTATAAGGACCCTTACTCTTTGGGACGCATAACATCTAGAACTTGGACTATGGTACGAGATGTTTCATGTGATTGATTAAAGATATGCTACAAACAGACCTGCTTCTTCTACGCTCTGTGAAATCGTCTCTCGTGCGTTGTAATATTTTTTTATAGCATGCTTGTACCCGCTTCTGGTATCCTTCCACCCTCACAGTGACATAAGTCGGCTCTGTGCCAGAGTGAGAGGTTTTATGCCAGGCAAAATCTCTAAACTGACACCATTTGGTTTGGCAAGAATTTTATCTTGAATGATGTTCGACGTAAAACCATGACAGATCGGGCTACCAGACATAAACCTATCCCAAAAGGGTCCGAAACTTTATTTTGACAGAACTCCGTCGGACTTCGCGAACTTTACGTATCGTTGGCAGCCTTAATTCGCCACCTCATAATCACATGCCATTCTAGTTTCCAGGGCATTCTGGCATCTTTTTTTGTTGCTCTGCAGTGTACCTGTCCCACTGCATAGTCACGTGTTTCTACCGGCGTGGTGGCGCATTACAAAGATAAGCTCTTTACCGAGGCCAAGCAAGTTATCGAGACCGAGAGGCTTGTTCAGTTATGTAGGGTGTTCACTGGACTATTAACTGTTGATCAGTCTTGGTAGGATTTATTGGTTATACTATTGCACCGTATTACGAAGTTCCTTTACGACATGACGGTCCGGAGGCTCCGTGATCATGTACGCACGCGTCAGTAACTTTCACTGCCCACATTAGGCAATTCGTGAAACTTCACGCGATACTCATTACGCTGAATTAGAAAGTTTCGCAATTTTGTCTTACCTTGTCTGGTTGGTTTATCTCTGCGTCGCCATTTCCATCTCCTGAGGGTAAGCCTTGGCCGACATCTAGCAGATTTCCTCCAGCAAAGTTGCGCCCAAACGCATTCTGACGAGCAGACGGTGACGGGATTGGTAGCCGGCCAAAGATCTGCTACAGCTTTTATACTAGCGTAGCTCCTACCGTTTTACCGGATTTCCAGAAGCCAGCTGTTATGATCCTGTGTGTATGCCATTACTACGAAATAACGCACTGAAGATCCTACCACGTAGCAGGCTGCTAAAAATTAGCGCTTAAACTTAGGCCTGGCCGCAGCCGCCCGCAGCAGCTATTGTCGCTTGCTGAAATCTCCGAATATTCAGCCAAATATTGTTTGGCACAATTTGCCCTTTGAATTGTTTTTGGGAGCAAACCGCATAGTCCCCCTTGGTAATAATTAATATAGCTTTATACCCGTGTCTATGCAAGAGATATAATGCTGACGGATCAGGAGCTCGTGAGTTGGAATTGCAAATTGCTGGCATGCATAACCCTCACGTGCGCGTTGCCACACTTCACACCCCTTCTATCCGCTCCCCTCGGGATCGGAATTTTTCGCCTCTTGCGATAGCGCAGAATTTGCCAGGTTGCGACTTGCTTCTTGCTCTACTATTTGAATGCCCCTTTTCTTCCTTTTCTTTCTCTCTTCCTCACAATTCACCATCCAAAATGTCTACTACCACCACTCCTAAAGCGTGCGCCTCTTGCGCCTTGTTAACCTGGAAGAACCCAGCCAAAACCGGCCCGATCTTTGCCGCCCTCATTGCCGGTTTGTTGGCCACCAAGTACTTGAACTTGGTCAACATCTTCTTCTTTGTCGCCAGTTACGGTCTTGCTGCCTCCGCCGCTGCTGAGTACGCCGGTAAGAAGGTCACTGGCCAGGGCTTTGTCACTAAATACGTGCCACAGAGCGTTGTCAAGACCTCCATCGCCAGACAGTTCAACGACCAATACTTGCCACACATCGCTGTTCAATTGGAGAAGTTCGAAACCGAGGCCAAGAAAATCGTCCTCGGCACCAACTTCGAATGCACCATCAAGACCGCCGTCGCCTCTTACCTCTTGTACAAGATCACCTCCTGGTTCTCCCTCTTCACTTTGGCCCTCACCGCCGTCGTTGGCGCCTTCACTTTGCCAGTCATCTATGAAAGCAACAAGACCGAGATCGACGCGTTGGTCGCCAAGTACTACAAGGTTGCCCATAAGCAGGCCTGTGATTTGGCCAAGACTGCCCAGAAGTCGGTCAAGCCACACTTGAAGACCGTCTCTGAAAAGTTGAGCCCAGTTACCCAGTTCGTCCAGTCTAAGTTGCCAAACCACAGAACCGCGGGCTCTACCGTCGCTGACAAGAAGCCAATTGCCAACGAAAAGATCGTTGTTTCTCCTGTCGTGGCCGAACCTGTCGCCGTCAAGACCTCCGGCGTTGAGTTCCCATCCGTTCCATCCTCCATCCAGGAGGTTAAGGAAACCGTCCATGAGATTCAGCCAGAGGTCCAGACTCCAGTCCATGCCAACTTGAACGAAGCCGTCGAAGCCGCTAAGAAAGACATCTATGAATCCTAAGATGGCTTCCATCTCATACCGGCTTTTGGTGTCTAAGCTTCATTTTCCTATTTCGTGACGTTTGTCACACTCGGTCTGGGCTACCCAGATCATCAGGTGATTGGACCATCCCATACCTGCACCAGAATTGAGTCCTTTCGGATCTTCTGTGTCCTATTTCTTTGTTTGTCTTTTTGTTTTGTTCTAGTATCGATTATCTAGTTCACCTGGGTTACGTCTGTGTTTACGCAGAGAATATAATGTATTCGTTATTTAATGAGACAGGAAATCGTAGCTCCAGAGATGATGAGTGTAAATGCTATAGATGGCCTAGAAAGAGTCCTGGACTAAGCATTTATCGGTTGATTTTTGCATATAACATGGCCAAGAGCACTAATAGAGTTGCACTTGCTATTGAGAAATCAGAAACTTGGGCCCTTTAAACTTTTTTAAAAATAGTCTGTTGCTTGACGATCGAAACGTCCACATATAGTCAACTATTCACATTGGTGTCGCTTCTGGTCTACGCTTGTGATTACCCCAGATAGTCTTTCTTAAGTGCCGGATTTTTCACGGCTAAACCCCGTTCGGGTGTACGGCCCTGACATCCAAGGTTGACACGCTGAGCTTTTTCACTCTTGAGCTCATTCATTCTCGAGCTCTTTCATTCTTAAGCTCTTCTTTATCCCTCAGATAAGATAAACTAAGCATATTATCCGTCATGTCTTACAAAATTATCGATACCCACCGCATCAAGGAGTTGGTGGTTTTCACCCTCCAGTTTCAGTTGCCGTTATCGTACACTTCTGCCAGCGCCACGATCCCGGTGGTGGCGCGACTTGTGCGCAAGTACGAACCTTCCAGAGCTTCTCCGTCGCAGCAGCCAACTGCTGCCTCTTTCCCAGAATCGCTTGAAGCGCTGGACGTAGTTGTGTACTTGCAAGGGGGGCCGGGGTTCCCTTGTGCCCCGGTTTTGTCAAACTCCAGTATCACCAAGGAGCTCATTGACCGTGGATTTGACATTTTGTATGTCGATCAGAGAGGTACCGGTTTGTCGCATCCGATCGAAGCTGACTTGTTGCAAGACTACGTTAAAGACACCTCTACTGAGGCCCAGCTCGCATATTTGATGCATTTCAGAGCCGATAACATTGTCCACGACTGCGAAGCTATCAGGTCCCAGCTTGGAATCAACAAATGGTCATTATTGGGTCAGTCTTACGGGGGGTTCTGCTCCGTTACCTACTTGTCCATGTTCCCACAGGCATTGAAGCAGGTGTTGATCACTGGGGGTATTCCACCTATCAATACCACTGTAGATGAGGTCTACACCAGAACATACCTCAGAACTTCCGAGAGGAACGAGCGCTTTTACGAAAAGTTCCCTCAGAATGTGGAAAAGGTGAAGCAGATCGCGGAATATCTTGCTAGCCACACTGTCACCTTACCAAACGGGGGTAACTTGTCAGTAGAGCGGTTCCAGCAGCTTGGGATCATGTTTGGTGCTACCGGAGGCACTGACAAACTCCACCAGCTCGTGATGAAGTTTGCGTACGACTTGGACACGTTCGGAAAGCCGACCCATAGTACGCTTCTCGCGGTGGAGGCGTCCCATTCGTTCGACTCCAACGTCATCTACGCCTTATTCCAGGAGGCGATCTACATGGACGGAAATTTTCCTACCGGTGCCTCTGACTGGGCAGCAGACAGATTAAGAGCCGGGAAATATGTCTACTCTGCTAAATCCCCGCTCTTTTTCACCGGTGAGATGGTCTTCAAGTCCATGTTCGACGACTACGTTGAGTTGCGCAAGTTGAAGCTGTTGGTCTACGCCATCCACGCTAATACTAAATGGTCTAAGCTCTACGATGTAGCGGTCTTGAAGACGCTCCGTAACCAAGGAGAGGGTGAAAACGTGGTTCCGGTGGCTGCTGCCACATACTTCCATGACCAATATGTTGACTTTGAGGTGTCTATGCGCTCCAAGGCTTTAATCGGGGGTATAAGACAGTATATAACTTCCGAGTTCTTCCATAACGGACTCAGGGACGATCCAAAGAAGATTTTGGACCATTTGTTTATGCTTGTGAGCGGTGAGGTTGAATAAGCATGTTATAAGGTGTGTTACACAATGAATTTGTAAAACTTATGCGGCTTAAGTAGCTATTATATGCCTTTATATACGTATACCTATTCCTGTGCAGATAGCGGAGCTGATAACATACCTAGATACTTGTCTGATTAGAATGACAGTCAAGTATTAATATGCTGTTCTAAAGGAATTGCTATGAGAAATCCAGAAAGAAATTGCCTAACTAAATCACGGTAGATCTAGATGTACAAAATTTTGTGGGTATAAGCATATATCATTGTGGTCGATAGTTTTGAAAGCTCCATCTACTAGGTTCCTCGTTCGCTAAACGTAACTGCCATACATCAGGTGGATATTAACGGTTTCCTCTTTTTTTTTCTTTAATCTTCGACCGCAGTATTTTGAGCTGTTGAAATGTATACGAAACCTAGACGTATTGGCTGCTTTCACGGAAAATAACGTTTTTTAGCCGCTGCTATAATCATACAATCAAATTATTTATCACATAAATGAACTCAATTCCCTGAACTGTCGTATTAATGCTCCATAAATTCTGGGCATGAGCATAAGGAACTACATGGCTACACTTGTGTATTCTTTCAACTCCAAAGTAAGGCCATTAGGTTTCAACTCCGCTCGTTAATCATCCTTTCAAGCTTTCCAAAAATCCGATCCCTATGGATGGCCATCTCGTCGTCCTCATCTGTAGCAAAGAACTTATTTCTCTTAAACGGCATCTGCTGGTTGGTTCCGTCATCCAAAAACGACGCTGGCTCTGCGGCAGTTTCGTCATAAAAGTCCTCATATAAGTTGTCAAACTCTGCGGGATTGGCCACACCCTCTGTTTCTAGGTATTCTGCATGGCTGAACCTTCTACGGTTGTGGGAAATCTCGTACACGTCGTCCTCGTCGTCGCTCATCTCTTCTTCATCTTCGTCTTCAATTGGAAGATAGCTATCCTCCACTTGCTGTAGCGCATTATCGGCATATTCTTCGTCACTGTCTGGGGCTCTTTGTTTCCGGTAGGGATGGTCGGCCATGGCTGCAATCTGCTCAAACTCAGAGTCAGACGCATCCTCGTTTTCAGGGTAGTCGTTCCGGTAGAAATCCTCCGCGTTGGAATCCTCATCGTCTGAGTATACCACCCTTTCGGTATCACTTTCGTCGTTGATCAAGTTGAAAAGACCGTCATCTCCCTCGGTGAGCTTGATGTACCCGATATTTGTCTCAGCCAAATCATCGTGGAACTGTTTGTCTCTGTAGTAGACGTCGTACACGTATTCATCCATGTTGGTAGTTGTTTTGAGGGTTGGAGCCTCACTGGTTGTGGTACGGCTACTGCTAAACCTTCTGGTAGGTAGCTTTCTCTTTCTCGGCTGGTCGGGGGAGTCCAACAGTAGGACATCGCCGATCATTTCAGACAAGATATCAGGTAATTCGTCGGCTGGTCTCTTTTTCGACAAGTAGAACACATTTTCATCGTCGCCCTGGGCGGTAGAAGACTCCAAGAGGGACTCGTTCCGGTTAATGTATCCAGCCTCGTCATAGCTATCGTCAGTTCTGGCCAACTTGAAGAACACATTGGGGGAAACGGTAGCTTTCTTCGACTTTTTGGAGCTGGGTCCCTCAAGGATCAAAGCCTGGAGCGGATCCTGGCCTCTCTTTCTCTTAATCCTGACAACCTCTAGGCCCTGTGTTGGACGACTCATAATCTTTTTTGGACGTCTCTTCGGGTTTGGAAATAATTTAAAGAAAAGGGTTAGTTTGGGTGTATCCTTAGGTCGATTGTGCTAGTTAAACCTGGGAATGCTTCAATAAGGCGGGGAAGTTGCCTACTCTGAAGTCATTGGGATGTCGGTCACTGTCAGCGGGGCAATCATAGATATCCTGCACCCAGCCGAAATCGTTGTATACGCTTATGTAATCCGGTAGGTAATTACTTAACGATTCTAGCGTTGGATCTTTCTCAATTTTGGCAATATTACCTTCAAACTTGAGCTTTTTAGCCAACTTAGCTTCTCTTTATAGCATCTTATGCATTAAGAAGTGTGTATTTCGGCCGATATGAGCCACCGAGACAGTATTGTGATCCCTACTAGCTTCCGTATAATGTACTGGTTAAGACATCTGTCGGCTTCGGAACTAGCTGCCGGATACCTAGAATCCTTGTGGCGAGTGCCATCTGCAGGTTCGGAAAAACCCTCGTATACGGTGTTTGTGGTCGGACTTTCCCTCACTTTGATACTCTTATGGTAGGGTTGGGTACTCTGCACTGCGTTTACAGATCGTTTCAACCCGGTTTGACCCGTCGTTTTTGTAACCCACTGGAGGAATTCACAAGGCAGGTAAGCTACACCGGTAGTGAGAAGCCCACTTGAAGTTGCCGGAAACGTGGTACGGTGCTGTAATATAAAATTCTTGGATTCACCAATCATTACAGTATTTTGCTTCAGAGGGAAGATATTCGCTTCGTTCCATTGCTACTCGGGGATAGCTCACGGTAAACCTTGCAGTTCTACCCTGCCTCATATAACTCTACTTTTCGAACTCCTTGGTTCACGAGCATAATTTATCCGACGCCGAAACATTATATCCCTTTTATTCAGAACCCAACAGGTTTATATCATTCAATGGGGGCCGTATTGTTAACAGTATTATTTTACTATTTGAACAAGCAGTACAGGGAAATTGCCGACAATCTCATCGGCACTTACTATGAGCCACACCGTGATATCGTTCTAGTTACTGGAGGTAGTGGTGGGTTAGGGAGAGAGATCGTATCAAAATTTTCCGCAGCCGAGGGCTCTAGAGTTGTTGTGCTTGATATTAACGTACCGCTGCAAGCCGATAAGATTCCTGGAGTTTATTACTACAAGTGCGACGTTAGTAACCGCAGAGAAGTTTTAAAAGTCAGCTCAGTGGTAAAAAAGGAGGTTGGTATTGTTAGCATCTTGATAAATAATGCAGGAATCACCTTTGGTAAGACCTTGGTGGACTTGAGCTTTGATGAGATTGAATCCACGATCCAGATCAACTTGTTATCTAGCTTCTACACCATCAAGGCCTTTTTACCCAACATGCTAGAGCATAAAAGAGGATATATCGTCACGGTAGCTTCTGCTCTTGGATATATGTCTCCTGCAAGGCTCAGTGCCTACGGTGCTTCAAAGTCTGGCTTAATAGCCCTACATGAATCGCTCACTTATGAGTTGGGCCCCCCCTCAGTGAGTCCCAAGGGAGTAAAGATGCTACTTATCTGTCCCGGGCAATTGCAGACTCGGATGTTTGAAGGGGTCCATACTCCTTCCACCTCTTTAGCGCCAGAATTGAAGCCGGAGTATGTGGCTAAAACCATTTTTAATGCAGTAGAGTTGGGACGCAGAGGGGAAATAAGGATTCCTTTCTACGCCAATATCCTTCCTATCTTTCGTGCAGCCCCTTGGCCAGTGGTGGAGGTTACCAGACGTCTCTCTGGTATTGATCGGAGCATGACAGAATTTGTTGGTCGGGCTAAAAGCCTCAAAGATAACTTGAGTTTAAGCTCGAAAAGAAGCTCAAATAACTCTAAGGAAAGTCTGAATTCCAACTCTGAAGCTGGTTCTGTGTTTCTTGGTCAGCCAATTGACATTATCAGTAATTCTCTGCTCCATCAGGGAATGGTCTTAAAGTAGGAAATGGAGTATAAGCTTTTTGTTTTCAAGTTTGCGTAACTCAGACTGGGGAGATGGTTTAATAACTTTAACATTCAACTAACTGAATAAAATATGCGTAGGTGTAGTTAACACTATTGTTATTACGCCTCCGTGCGTGTAGCAATGAGATCAACGTTGTCAATTCGAACTTGGAGTTTTCTGGAATACAAAGATCCGTAGATATTGACATACCCAAGCTAATGTACAAGTGTTACAGGAATAGCCATGTATGTATTAATCTTTGGCTTAGGTACTAGATATGATTTAATAGGATAAGGTGATTGAAGGCGTTTAGATATGGCAGATTCTCTGTTTTGGAGAATATGCAAAGTGTACGGGTATTGCAGCTCCGATAGCGGATTAAATATGTACATGACGGAAACAGAGGGCTTAAGAGTGAAGCACGTAGCGGGCATAAATAGTCGGAGAGTCAGGACCTCTTAACCCATTTGGCAAGGCTTTGAACACCTTCTTCATGTCGTGTTCCTCAAGGGTGGTGCTGGCTCCTGGCAAATCGGAGCATTGGGTGCACCCGTGGTAGTTTTTGTGATCCGAATCCACATTCATACCTTCGGCTTCTGGGGTTCTGGAAGGAGTTGGAACCTGTGAGATCAAGTTGTGGCACGATGGAACCTTTTTAAAGAGTGAGGCCACGACTTGTGGCTTTGGTTGAACAATCGCAGTGATGCTGTCAAGGTCATGCTCAACCTTTCTCTTCTTCAATGGAGACTCTGGAGTATATGTGGTGGAAGGCATGGCGAGTATGGATGGGATATGCTGTTTATAAGTGTGTCAAAATGTCTTTCTACACGATTAGGGAGATCCACTGTTACTTATATAGTCTTTCGATGCGGGCTGATTTTTTTTTGGTATGCCTCAGATCAGGTCTGTGTATGCACAATTTATGCGCGTCTGAAAAAAAGAGAAAAAAAAAAAAGAAAATCATGTCTAGCATGCAAGTCAGTCTTTCCGTGCATATCTATCCATGCAAATTAGATACACTACCTTTCAATTATGCTTGACACTGGCATACGATAACCCAGAACAAAAGTTCTGTGGTTCTGCAGGTCCAAAGCGGGAAATCTCACACTTCCGCATATGGTTTTTGATGAAAAAAAGAACTATTTGATCTGAGTTTTCCCTGAAATAAAAGTATTCAGGAATTAATATGCGTGGTCCAAGAGCTTGAACCAGTAAGAATGAATAGTCAAGGAGTAGGGCAAAAAAAAACACCTAGACAGAGCGGAGGCTCATATTTACACTTCCAGACCAAGGGCAAGCATCTAGTTGGGGTTCCTATCCATGCTCTTTGTTCATCCCGTTCCGGTTGGTCAAAAGCCCTATCACGTAACGGTGCAGTTTCAAACCCAGGAATCTGTTCACAGCCTAAGTTATTTTCTTACGGATTGTCACATTCTGGATATCCAAGAAACCTCGTGTCAAGAGTTTAACTCACCGTGCGGATCGTATCGCTTTGACACCGTAAAATTATTCTGGCACTTCCTTACTGTTTCCACGCACTGGTTGCTCATCCCGTGTTATATATGAACATCTTCCCTTTACGTTTTTGTCAGACTGTAAAAAAATAGCTTAGTTTAGTCTGAATGACTCATTTCTGGAAATGCTACTGTACTTGTACTACTCACGCAAAAGCCTGGTACGTGTGCTATCCCTCTCTGTTATAAGTGCTTATAAACTAGTAATGGAGTGGCCCATCTTATTTACAGCAGCTTCTTTAACTCCATCGGCCTCCGCCAGGCCTCGAGTAACAACTGCATCTGCATGTGCTCACGGACTTGGCGAATAAACTTTGGAAAAAGTGGGGTATCCATGCGAGGTGCTTATCCGCATCACTCCTGTATGCCTCGGCCCCGTTAACCCCCCCGGTAGTCCCTGTCTAACAAACCTATATAAATATACGTTTATCCCCTTCGTTCTACCCGCACCTCTTTTTACCCATCTCCAACCCCTTTTATCTTTGACCTCTTTTATCTCCAGCCTCTTTTTGCCTATCTCGCTTAGCACTCTAACTCGTTCCAATACCATCATCAACATGCCCTCTAGCCTCACCACCATTTCTCCCCAGAAGTGGGACGTCTTCATGAACATCGCGGATGCAATTATCCCACCAACCACCCCGGAGAATATCCGCGAATACCTTGACCCCGAATTCCCGCCTGAGAAGCTCGCTGCATACTGCCGCGAGCTGCCGTCCACCACACCTGGCTTCAAAAAGATGATGGCGGAGATCATCGACTCCTCGCCAGAGGCTTCGGCCAAGAACTTTGAGTTTGTGTTGACGGCGCTTAACAACCGGCTTTTCGCCCCGGCGCTCACTGGGTCGATCCGCCACATAAACGACATGACGCCGCGTGAGCGTGCCCGTGTCGTGCAAAGTTGGAAGACATCGCCGCTCGCACCGAAGCGCCGCCTCTACAGCTTTTTCAATTCGTTAGTGTCGTCTATTTGGGGAAAGTTGTCAGTACTCAACCAGTTGGCCATTGGCCACGAAATGAAACACTCGAAGAAATACGACGCGGAATTTTACCATCCTGACGAAATGTTTCGTTTCGAGATGTGTAGCCTCGCAGCTGCCGCGGGCGAGACATATGACGTGGTGATTTCTGGCAGTGGCAGTGGTGCGGGTGTGGTTGCATCTCATCTCGCGCGCAGCGGCTACTCCGTGCTCGTGCTTGAAAAGGGAAAATACTTCCACCAATCCGAGTTGGACAAGGCTGAAAACGAGGGGTTCTACGATATGTACGAAAGCGGTGGGACGTGTGCGACGGAAGACCTGTCGATGACGATTCTCGCAGGAGCGACGTTTGGCGGCGGCTCTACCGTAAACTGGTCCGCATCTCTAAAAACGCCGGAAGACATTCGCCACGAATGGGCGACCCAATTTAACCTCCCGTGGTTTGAAACCGAGGATTTTGACAAATGCTGCGATTATATTTCCGAGTTTATGGGTGTTTCTGATAAACACATTGAGCACTCTTTTTCCAATCAGATTTTGTACGATGGGGCGGAGAAATTGGGGTATAAAGTGAAGAAAATCCCGCAAAACACCGGAAACCAGGCTCATCCATGCGGAATGTGCCACATTGGGTGTCGCTACGGTATCAAACAAGGGGGAGTGGCGTGCTGGTTGAAGGACGCGGCGTTGCACGGCTGCAAGTTTGCGGCCGAAGCGACAGTCCAGGCGATTGTCCAGAAACAGGGACGCGCGACGGGTGTGACCGTGTGCGATAATGCGACCGGAAAAACCTACACCATCTGCGCGCGCACGGTGGTGGTTGCGAGCGGCTCTCTCCACACTCCGTTGTTGATGAAGCGCTCGGGCTTCAAGAACAAGCACATTGGAAAGAACTTGAAGTTGCACCCGAGCACGGTCGTGTTTGGGTATTTCGCTGAAGAAACGCGGCCGTTTGAAAAGTCCATCATGACGACAGTCGTTACGGAAATAGACAACTTGGACGGAAAGGGACATGGGCCAAAAATCGAAACCATTCTCCACTCGCCCATCTTGGAATACGTCTTCCTTCCGTGGATCAACGGTCAGCAGTTCAGACAGGATTTGCTCAAATACAAGCACCTCTCAGCCCTCCTTCTCATCACTCGCGACGAGGGTGCAGGTGCAGTGACGGAGGACCCCAAGCGTCCTAACACCGTCAAAATCGACTATGTGATATCAAAATACGATAAATACGCGTTACAGCAGGGGATTTTGAAGGGTGCGGACATCTTGTACATCCAGGGCGCCCTGGAGTTGATCCATCCACAGGCGGGGGTCCCGAGATTTGTTCTGGCGAAAGTCGCGCATGCGCGCACGCTTGCGGACGCGGACTATCAGAAATGGCGCCACATCGTGGAACGCACGCCTTTGGATCACTACCAGACACCCTACGGATGTGCCCACCAGATGAGCAGCTGCAGAATGTCAGGTAATGGGCCGTCGCAGGGCGCGGTTGACAAGACCGGTCGTTTATTCGAGTGCAAAAACGTGTTTGTCGCAGACACGAGTGTATTTCCAACCGCCAGCGGGGTCAATCCGATGATTTCGGTGATGACAATAGCGCATCGTATCGCGATGAATGTGGCTGACGGATTAAAGCCATCACCGGCATTGTAGGTAGAGGATTTATCCCAAACATAGATGGGTTACTTTTTTTCTGTGATTATTTAATTTTAAATGAAGGTGGTATTGTGGTGTAACAGTTATTCCGACAGGGATTGTAAAGAGTGTTGTGGGAGAAGGGGTGGGTATTTTATTATCAGGCCTAGAGATTTTTAAAGACTTGTTGAACGGTACGGGCTACATGAACCCACCTTGCCGGTGTGTTTGCATATACTCAATAGACAACTAATCCCGTTGTTAGTCTATGTTGATACAATATCTTCCAAATAGCATCCTTTGGTTTAAACTACTTAGGCATCGAATCTAACACGTTTAATATTCTTGCTTTCACCCGTACTAAAGTTTGATTCCATTTCAACTGCGCTAAAATCTAGCATGAGAAATGAAGCGTATTTCCTTTCACTCACGGAGTAGTTCCTGGTTCTAACAAAACTTACAGTTACGATTCCCCCTAAACTCACCCTAAAGAATCGCCTATATCTCGTTTAAAACACAGTACCCTGTTTCTACTCGACAAGGATACGACTAAGTTTAAGCTTTGGAGTGAGGGGAGACAATGTACTCGAAATTCCATAGGCTGAAGCAAGATTAGCACCAGAGTTTCCGCAACTAAAATCCTCATGCATTTCCCCTCACTCAGAAATTTTCGAAATTGGTTTAAATGAATCAAACATCTACTTCAATTCCCGAAAACCTCTTCTTGTGAAAACACTGTCTGTGCAAGGATGACCTGACTATGTAGTACATTCCCGGCTCCGCCGCGCACGTATTCCGAACTCTGCCGATCGCACGTCGGACAATCGCGACTTCCGCGCCGGTTTTTCCTGCTTATAAGACGCAGTTGAGGCGTATTTTTCCCGGTTCACCCATATTTTGTCTAGTTTCATCCTCATCGCTTGTCAGACATTATATAACCCAACTACCACACCCCGGATTCCATCAATTGTCACATCCCGGAGTATTCACGTTTATCCAAAGTTTACAATGTCGTTGCGGGGAATCAAGAAGGCCATCGTGCGAACACCCCATAAGTTGCTCGGCAAGAAGTCAGTGGAAGACACGGACATTGTCGACTGGGAGGCCGATTTGAAGGCAGCTGAGACGGGATTGGGGTTCATCGCCTCGGAGACCAAAAAACTAGCCTCCATCTGGGCCAAGAGCCTTGAATGCCAGAGCGCCATCATAGAAACGTTCCTGCGGGTTAACGCGGGCGCTGTGCCGCAGCAGCAACGCGGCAAGTCGCACACGGAGGCGACGCACCACACCCAGAGGATCAAAGACGTCGAGTTTGAGGAATTGGACGTTGAGGTGGACGTTTCACCGTTGTTTCTAGAGCAACTAGCCGAATACCGCACGCTCACTGTACAATTGAAGCTGAACGTTGGCTATCGCAACCACGAGGTGGAAACGTCGGTAAAGGCACAGTGCATACAGATGAAGGGCTATCTCCATGACTTGGGGAAGTTGCTTGCGAAACGCAAGCGGAAGAAGATAGACATGGACCGGTCCGTCAGCGGAATCTACAAGCTCAAGCACAAGTCAGAGGCGTTGTCAGAACTGGAAATCACGAAACTCGTGGACTTGGAGCGAAACCATGCGGCTGCTGAGACAGCTTTCCGCGAGATTGACGAGAAGATGCACTTGGTATTGCCGGAAGCGTTAAGTTTGCTTTCTGAGTTCTTGAACAAGATGTCTAGCAAACTTTACGGGCACAACTTGTGGGTATTCCGACAAATTAACGAGGCTTTCATGCGGTTTGGAGTGTACTACGGACTTGTGAAGAACGACCAGTTTGAAACGTACAACTACCAGGACATTATTCGTTTATGGGAGTCGGCAATCGTGAAGACGTACCAGATCGACGCTTTGACGTTGTTGACGCATGGAGAAACGCCGCTAGCGGTTGAAGAGGTGGAGATTGACTCGGAAAACGAGACACAAGAAGAAGAGCACGGTAATGCGGTTATTCGGAAGCTAGAACACGCTGCGGGCACGGTTAAGCAGAAGGTGAATCCGCTTCATACTACCCATGCTCCGAAACTCAAGGGAGGGATTTTCGAGCTCGCGGCTGACCCGCTCGAGTCATTCGTAAAGTTCAACGATCCGGAATTTCAGCAAGCTGACCTTGTGGCTCATACTGTGAGCGTTTCTTCGCCTACATCGCCCCAGAGGGGCTGGAGCCCGTTTATAAAGAATGCCCCGTTCTTGCCCTTTAGAAGCCGCAGTGGCAGTCTAAATGACAATTCCCATTTGAGGGTAAGCACTGATCTCCATCTGAAGCCACAAGATACACATTCGTACACCCCGGTGAGCGGTTCGCCATTAAAGTCTGACTATGATCCTGAGCAAGCGTTGACGGCGGTACCGATATCGCCCACTAGCGTTCTCTCCTCAGACACCGTGAAAAGTGCGGCGATGAAAGCAGTAGAGGATGGCTTGAGCTGGATGTACAACGCGCACAAGTTCGAGGTGACTGAGTCGCCACTTGCAGTGCCGTTTCAGCGTTCGCGACTGAACACGTATCCGTTGATGGTGAATCCAGCACTGGCGTCGTCGCTCGAGGAGTCGCGGCGCATCATCGGGGCCAGCTCATTAACGTTTAAGTTGGAACACGGGGGGAAAAAGACGGAGGGGGTGGATGACGATGTGGACTCGTCGCACTCGTTTAAGTCGGCCGAGGATTTTGAGTTTGCGGCAGTGGTCTCTCCGATCAAATAGGTCGGCGTCGGGGGTTGGCTCGGGTCTGTGGCGGACGTTGCTCAATAAGCATTGGGTAGCTCACCTCTGCCGTAGGTTTCTTATGGCGCTAATTGCTATTTTATCCTAATCTCTTTCTGCTCTTGTCGGCGATTTTGTTTTTCTACGCCTATGTGTTTTAACTAAACCCAATGCATAATCGACTTCTCTTGTATGAAATGGTTTCCGCGTTAGTGTTACGTGTAGCGATTTATGAAAGCGAAATCGGTGGCTGGAAGAGAAACTACACGTAGGAATTGGGTCTCATATAAAACACAAGCCGAAAGTCTGTCATACGTTTTTCAATGCGCCTACATTTTTCTAAAAAGACAGGTTGCGAATTCAAAATCGCCCGCGGAAAGTGCAGGCAGCAATTCACAAATATATTTACATGAGCCTTCCGATTTATTCATATTGGATGGTATTAATAATCGACATTTGATTGAATAACAGTATATGAGTTCAGATAAATAGTGTATGGCTACGCTCACCTAGACAATTCATTCCTTATATATAAGTTGGTAAAACTAGTCATGTAATAAAACGGAAATACACATACGCGTAAAACAATGCACGTATAAATTAAACACCTACGTATGGATCAAACACTTATGTATTAAATGATCTACGTGTGAATAGGCATAAATAAGGATATACGTAATTATTGATAGAACGACGTCAGGCTGGCGCCGCTGATGCTGCCGCGGCTACCCCTGCTGTTTCCGTTCATACTGTTGTAGCTGGAGGCGGAGCTAGGGCTGGACAGACCACCGTAATTCCAGTCGTGGGCCTGCAACTGTAAACCACCTCCCTTGACGAACGGATGCTGGATGGCCTGTTGTGGAGTGAAGCGCTCCAAAGGATTCAAATTCAAGCAGCCTTTCAAAAAGTGAATGAGCGTCTTGCGCTCCAGGAGCTCCTTGGAGGACAACTGGGCAGGCGCAGGCGCGGTCTTGGTTTGGTGGATGTTGTAGTTAAGGACGATATCCTCCAACAGGTCGTAGTGGAAGTAGTTCTTGGAAGGCTTCTCGTGCACGTTGTTTTCGGCCGAGTACTGCTCCATGGACTTGAGCCGGTATGTGAAGGAGCTTTCCTCAGGCACCTTGTCAATGAAATTCCAGCTGTTCTTGCCCATTTCAAGCATATAGCCCGGAGGCATACCGCACATCTTGATGATACGACTCAACTGATTATACTCTGACGTGCCTGGGAATAAGGGAAGACCCAAATACAACTCGGCGACGATGCAGCCGAGGGACCACATGTCGATGGATGAACTGTATGGAAGGCCCAAGATGATCTCGGGGGAGCGGTAGAACCGCGACTGCAAGTACGTGTAGACGGTTTGGTGCTCGAAACAAGCACTGCCAAAATCGATGATCTTGATGAGAGGTTTGTTGGGCACACACAAGAGAATGTTCTCAGGCTTCAAGTCACAGTGGATGATCTTGTAGTTCTTAAGACACACGAGCGAGTCCAACAACTGACGTGTGAAGGTGGAACTGATCTTGTGCGACAAGCCGTGGAACTGGTTCTGCTTGAGTAACTCGTACAAGTTGCAGCCCAAGCTCTCGAACACGATGCACAAGTGGTTTTTGTGGATGAATTTGTCCTTCAAGCGAAGGAAGTGGTGTGTGTTGTGCGGGTCGATCTTGTTGTTGATGATCTCAAGAATGGATACCTCCGTCAACGACTGGTTAAGGTACGCGGGCTTGGATTTGATGATCTTGACCGCGACAATCTCCTTGTTGTGGAGGTTCTGGCACTTGACCACCTGACCAAAGGTCCCGGACCCCAAGATGTCGAGTACAAGGTACTTCTTGCCCTCCTGCGAGCCGAGTACATCGTTCACATACAAGATGTAGTCGCTATCTTCGTTGTCGCAGCCATTGTTGAATTTGCCCTCCGACGGTTTCGTCAACACGCGGCGCGGATTCTTTTGGAAGTTGTACGTGAACGAGTTGGGGTGGCACATTTTGTAGGTCGAGTGAAGCGCCAACGTGACCCCGATCAAGGGAGAGATATGCACCGACGCAAGTGACGCACGGCGGTACTTGGGGTTGCTGTTGATCTTGGGGCACAACTGAGCCTTGCTGGTGATGCGCTGCGCACGCGGCGTCGCGATAGGCCCCGGGGCACTGCTGACGGATGCGCGCGGCGGAATGTGGAGATTGGAATAGTACAGCCGCGCGTTCAGTGGTGGTTGAGGCTGGTACAATGCGTTACGAGCGCTGGTAGCTGAGCTGCCGCCCGGCGCGAACGTTGCGACCGATTGGCGACGCATGGGGTCACCGCCGGGTGCCGCGCCCTCGGGGAATGGGTTTGCCACACGCGACGGCGGCGTCTGTGTTGCATCGTGGCTTTGGACATCTTCCGGATGATCGTACTCGTACGTGGTTGGCAAGCCCTTTGCGAAGAACGGGTTGCGGAAGCCCACCGGTGGCGGGTTTGGCGGTTGTCCAAACGGCTCCGTGGCCGGCGGCGCCAGGCCCTGTGACGGACGTCTCTGGTCGGAGAATGAATAGTTATTGTTAAGCATTGGGATGGGCGAGAATTAAGCCAATGTGATGGGGTTAGCCGGCGAGGGGTTGAGTAAATGTAGATAGAGCCAAAGAGGGGGCTAGGTGAAGCCAATATTGAAGAGTCGCTTGAAGTATGCTGTTCGGCTCTCTGGGGAAGATGGTCGAAGGCTATCGATTGATGCGCTGATTGAAGCAATGGGAGTCTAATGGAAGTGGAGGGTGGTTGAAAATTGATGGATTAGCCTCTGATTGCGCCGTGATTCAGCGTGGCTGGTGCTGAAATATATAGGTATGCGTGGTCCCAGTAGTCTATCCCTTGATTGAAGGTGGTTGGAACGTGTTATATTTTGTAAAACTCCAGCGGGGAAGAAGGCACTCAGATTTCAACCCTTGGAGCTTTCCCGCGACTCGCACTTTCTGGCCGCACGCGCGTGGAGGCTGGCGCTGTGGTTGCTCATCCCTCGCATTAGGCAGGCGGGAACCAGAGTCACCCTCGGGTTTCAACATACGAGAGGCGGGCCAATACGGTGGAAACACTCCGTGCAGGATGTATGATTCCGCACCACCGGCCGCGGAAGGATCGCCCGTAGATGAGTATCCAGAAGGTTGGCGAGGATTTTGAATATCTGGTTGAAGTTGCAGAAAGAGAGCCAGGGGAAAGAGTTGGACATGGTTCAACCCCCGGAAGGTTTCCACGGGAATCTGTACGCGCGGCGGTAAACGCCTGAGTGTGAGCCCCCATAAGCGGTGAGATGGCTGATTTTCGCTCGCGAGGTTGAGGCAAAAACAATAAGGAACGGGTCAGAGATTCTTAGTTGGAGTTTGACAAACGAACAAAGTATAGCACGTATGTCATTCGTAGTGACCCGAGATTTGACACCAGTCACTATCCCTGCGTACATAAGATAAGCTAGACGAAGTGTAGTGTGTCCGCGCAGGTAATGATATACCCAGGTAGAATTGATCATTAGATATGAACTAGATATATAGAGGTGGTCAGTCAGTCTTCATGTATGTCGGTTGAAACAGATCTGTAATAGCCTTCTGGCTTAGAGGTTGAAACATTATCAGCGATTCCAGTCTATAGTCTCGCGTAGGATAGGGCACCTGCAGCACCTTTGCTACACGAACCAAACCCTTGTGGGGGTCGATCTGGGGCTCAAGCTACAGACTAAGTATGTGTTAAACAAACTCATTAAACTGGAATTTTGCATTGAATATTTCAGACGGGTAGACATCTAGATCAGCGTATAAATAGATATGATATGGGGAAGAAAGTTAGATCGAAGAGACTGTTTAAGCGTTAATTTTATGGCTGGAGACACATTAGAAGACTCCGATGGGAAAATACAGTCTATTTGATGTTTAATAGTCCAAGTCAAGGGCCAATACTTGTTAAATTTAGCAATCGGTTATTGAATAAAGTTAGAGTCTATGACAATAAATATTTGGTTAATAAATTACTTATCCTTAAATATAGTAACAAGGCCTTGAATATGTAAGTAAAGTATATTCGTTAATAACACTAAAAATAGTCAAATTTAAGGAATAATATATCCTAATATAGACAATCTGTTCTTCCAATAAGATAGCTTTTGATTATACTAAAATCATTTCTGAGACACTATTTAATGTTCTTTTGAGGCATTTTTATAGGGTACTTAAAACGGTCCTGTGACATTAAATATGTACAGAAACGAATTTCAACTATAATGTAGTCTGGAGGGATAGTTCAATCAGTAAATGGGCCAAAATATTGCTCTGCGGGATACTTCAAATGCTTATAATATATTAAGGATGAATATTTTCAGATCTTCTGTCATCATGACTCCTCCGATATAGTGTAACGGCTAGCACGGTTCGCTTTCACCGAGCAAACCCGGGTTCGACTCCCGGTATCGGAGATTTTTTTCCCCAAGCATTTCTCGACAAGCCACCGTTTCGGAATAATAAAAAAAAGTAGCTTGAATTAGTATCCATTTAACCGAGGACTCACAAGACATAATATACGACGACAATAGATAGCATGAGGCATAGGGGACGGTGAACTCTAAGCACAGATTTAGCGTACCCTTCGCTGGCACCACTACCTACAAACGAAGCGTGTCAAGCCTGAGCAGTCACACACCCAGGGGTTCTTTAAGCAGAGTCAATAAATTAATATCTTGTTTCACTGGGTGAACTATTGTTCCTACAAAACTGCCATATGACCGGACCCCCCTCATTTAAATAAATTGGAGTTAAGGAATCGCCCGGATAACTTTTCATCACGTGATTGCCTCCCAATTCTAAATATGTGAGTTCAACATCTGTAGAACACGATAACACCAAAAGTCTTATCTCCATACACACCAATTCATTATATCCACGCAAGGGCCATACTCATTTACTTGCCCATAGATCTATAGTTTGAGTATCCCGACTATGAACACCGTGGAATCGCAACAACAACCCGCACAGGTGAACTCAGCGTGCCTCGACTTCCTTTTAATGGAGATCGTGCCCCTTTCCATCAGAGTATCGCAGACGATAGAACGAGAAAACAAAGACAAGTTGCGGTTGAAGTTGGAAGATCTTTCTCTCGAGCCGGGAACAACCCACACCAATGACCCCTCGGTAAACGAGCTCCTTTTCCAGAATAAGGACGATCTTCCAGGAACGGTTAAAATTCTTGAGGATGAATTGATTAGAAGCGAAGATGTACATTTTAGAATTGAAAGCTACGGTTTCTCGCTTGGGCTGCGTATCAGCGAGCTCCTCTTATCCCAGGAACAACAAACGGCTCACAAGTTAGTTGAGCTCTTGGACGTTATGAAGTTTGTGTGTCGCGATGTCTGGAAAAACTTGTACGGGAAGCAGATGGACAATTTGAGGACAAATCACAGGGTACGTATGCCTAAATTTGTCCACGATATGAATACTAACGATTGTCTAGGGCACATTTGTTCTTGTTGACAACAGTCTCAAATTGATTTCCCGCATGAGCAGTTCGAAGGGAATGACAGACACTATAGGCAAAGCCCAACCAGTAAGTATCCTTTTTGCCTATTTGGCTGTGTGCAATCACTAACAATCATGTATTTAGTATTTATGGTTCCCATGTGGTATTATAAAAGGGATTTTAGCCAGTCTCGGTATTCCAGCCTCGGTGACGGCAGAGATTACTCAGTTTCCATCAGTTTCATTCAGTATCCAAACGAGCATAGAGAGTTAACTTTTTGGCAGACTATTAGGACCATATATTAGGTATAATGAATACAGAGCCAGCGCCTGGTATTCGGAGGTGAATTTGCGTAATACGTATATACGCGCGTACTTGTAGGCAATTAATTATCATACTGTTGGCCCCGCACTAACATATGGAGGACTAGGTGGTAGCTTCTATGGATTTAATTTTCTCTGACTGAACTATCCCTGGAGTATTATCTCTGGTCGCTAAACAAGATAAGTCCATTCCATCGCTTTTGCAGCAGCTGGGATATCCTGCCAAAAAAGGTAAAGTAAGTTACTCCCAAATGAGGAAATCTGCGTCCCCTTCGAACCCTAAGGGAAATCTGCAAATGTTACCCTCTCTAACGTGTAAATGCTCGAATTCTACGACGTTTTTTCCACCTTCATTGTGCAAAGAGTGTGAGTATTTAAAGCAACTCTCTTACACCACCATACTGAACAGACTTCTTCCTCTCATTGCTAACAGCACCAAAACATTCCTTTAGAAAGGTTCCATATAGCAAGCCAAAAAAAAAATGATACGATAAGAAATGGTATGTTTACTTTACTCCGGCCCGCTCTGACATCAAATTCAATCAGCTGTTTCGTGTCTACTTTTCTATATGATGAGCCGTAACCATACGTCTATTCCAGGTGAATCTAATGAGCCGAGGAAAACATGCATCACCATCTGATTATAATGCCTGCCCGCTTGAAAAGTGTGATGCTTCAGAGCTATTGAGTTTGTCTAGTGGGTACAACCTATCTATGTAGCAACCACTAACACTGTTATAGATCGTTTTGACCAAAGCTCTCCAGCCTTGTCTCTTCCAAAGAGTAAGTTTTTAATATTCCACTCATTTCTCATCGATCAATAGCCCCAGCAATATCAATTAGTATATATTACTATGATGATAAAAAATTTTCAGTTCTGCTTCTGAACCAAAAATCAAGTGAAGATAATCAAAATTTACCAAAACTCTCTGACATAATATATGCCTTGATAATGCTTATTGTTTTACTTGGAAAGTTGGATGGATCTAGCTTATGAGTTCAATTACTAACAGGAATAGTCTGATCTTTTGTCTATACATAGCTATTAATCTAAAGGAGTACCCAAAAATTCAAATTGTAATAACCCTAATCCTTTTCTGCCAAAGCATTTGATGAAATTATTGCTATCTTAGCATCTTATGCTAAATTAGATATCTGCTTTGTTTCTAAATTAGACATCTGTTCTGGATAGCACCTGTTTATCGGAACGGAAAGTTATTGGCGAACTAGAATAAAGTGGGGCATATGGCACGGCTAGCTAATCTTGCAAGTGGATTTTTGACGACTCCCTAGCCTTTATTATCAAAATTAGGCACATCGTTTACTTGGATTGGCGCTATTAATTGAAAAGAAAGGTGCGAATGTCCGTGGAAACCCCCAAGGTTATTTTTTTTTGCTATCGGTGCCTATTCTTGCGTCTCTGTTTCCTCTCACATCAATCCGACCACACCACAAGGCAAGCAAACCCAGACTTTATCTATAAATACCAGTCATACCGCTAGTCGCTCGTGTAACGATAGCTAGAATAAGTTTTACTTTAGTATTTTGACTAGCCAAGTTACAAAATGCATTTATCAGCGACTTATAGAGACCGAGTAACAGCCTTCGTGTCTTGAGGTGCCGCGCCACTAACAGGTTATTTCCTGATTAGGCGGTACCGAGGCGCATTTTATTATTCAGCGCGTCGTTACGTGGTAACATGGCTATCTGTAGGCGCACATGCTGTGAGACCGATATATGATCAGCGGCACAGAATACCGCAGCTGCAAATAGCTCTTAAAACGCATGCATCGCATATTAGCAAACACGGACGCTCTCTTGTTAGTGGACACAGATAGGCCGCAATCCCAAAGGAGAAAAGACGAGCACGCGTTTCTTTTTCCTGTGTCACAGGTCTGTTTTCTAGGAGGAAAAGATAGGTATCTGGCCAGATCCACGTTTTCAGAAGCAAAAAGAATAAGTTTTTGTGTGAGTGAGTGAGATAGTGCATTTCTATATAAGTAAGCATAACACCCACCTAAGTCTTGTAACCTCCCATTCTGCTAGAGAGTGTATCTTATCTACAGACGCTTGTTTCTTTTTATTTGAACGAACAAATCATATCCAAAAGAACCCCGACGTCCCCCAACATCGGATAAACAGCCCACATACCAAATTCAGCCGAGTGTAACGTCTTTTTGTCGAAAAAGCACGTACCTGCCACCTTTCCCATACAAAATCGCCTCTTTTGCCTCTAGTTTTCACAGATCGTGCAGCATACAGCAATTGCGCCAAGTCACCTGACCTACTCTGGCAAGAAAAAGAAAAACCTTGATTATATACAGGACCACATCTTGCATACGCTACTCCGGACCTTGCACCAACTATTTTCTCTAAAAACGTTTAAAACCGACGCTTAACGCCTAACAATTTACAATGTTAAACACAAAGTCAATCCTGGACCACTCCCTGGCCAATCTCGACAAACCAATCATTTCACCTTTGGCCTACTCTGTCTCGGCGCCAAACACCGCTGCCTGTGGCTCTGCTGCATGCTCTTCATGCAACCCGCAGTCTGGTAACCGTTCGACCAAGATGGTTTCCATCCCATTGCCCGTGGACTCCATTCCGCCAAAGGAAGATAACGAGTTTGAACGCTTGATCGATCAGATCAGACTCAGATTAGGCTGCGATAAGTCTTTGAGCTCCCTGGATATCGACCATGAAGAGTTGATGGATCTCTTTCGCGCATATGCATCTGATGAACAGCACTGGGGCTCGTTTGCCCAGCACGACCCCACCAGAAATTACACTAGAAACGGAATTGAAAACATCAACGGGAATGCAAATTTGTTGGTGTTGGTTTGGGAGCCGGGTAAGGGCTCTGTGATCCACGACCACGCGGATGCTCATTGCATCGTCAAAGTCTTAAAGGGGTCGCTCGTAGAAAAGTTGTACGACGTTCCAAAGGATAACGGTAGCAGGGCTAGCACCGCCAGCGGCCACAGCGCCAATTGTTCGTGTGCCAAGAGTATTATGACCCCAAAGAAGATTTCCACCTTGAAGACCAACGATGTGGCTTACATCTCCGACGATATTGGGTTGCACCGTATGATGAACGCGGATGACACCGAGTTGGCCATCACCTTGCATTTGTACACTCCCCCATACGCTTCGATGTATGGCTGTTCCTATTACGAGGACCGCAACGGCAAGAAACACCACGTGGATATGAGTAAGTACTATAGCTGGAGAGGCGTGATGTTGAACGAAGAGGTTCAGTAGGCAATCCTCTATCTCTCAATGACCTTATGTTCTCCACCCCCGGGCCCTTTCCATTCCTTCACTTCTTTGCTAATTACGGGGTTATTTCATACGCAGGAATGCCGGGTTACTGTCACTGCGCTTTGTCTAACCGTCACCTTTTACTATCGAGATAGCTTTAAATATTTCCTATGCCCCTTTCTTAGCACCTTTGTAGTTATATGGGAGTACTGGCTCTCTTTTTGATTTCTCTTCGCTAAGCTTATCTGTACGACCCACGGTAATGAGTTCAGCGATTAAGACCGTGAACGAACGGAAAGTTCCAAACCGTGTTTGGCTTTCATTTTTTGATACCATACTGAATTTAGGCAAGACTCGGCACCAGACTATGTACGAAACAAATATGTATAGCAGAAACGGCCATCCATGGAAACAGGTACCCAAACCAGTGCGGAACGCTAATTCCTTTCACGTCAATATCAACACTCCCTTTCCAAAGCTGAGCCGGAATCCAGATCCCCCCATGATAGACTACGATAAAATGACATACAGGATGATGGTTTGATTAAATTATAACATATACAATAGCATTTTTAACTGGTCTTGAGAGTTAAATAATTTATTCGGCGATAGCGCGGGTGTAGATAGCCTGCTTGGAGTGCTTCAAGACTGGCTTGATAATCCCATCTCTTTCCAACTGCTGCAAAGCAACTCTGGCGACGGAACCACCGATCTTAAGTCTGTCGACAAGAACAGAGACGGAAACGTACTTGTAAGTTGGGACTTCCTTCATGATTCTGTCGTACTTTTCCTGGTCAAGGATGACAAGGTGCTGAGCCTTATCCTTCACCTTACCCTTGGACCACTTCTTCTTGGACTTCTTACCACCGGCCATGGCGGCGGCGGCCTTAGCAGCTTTGGTTTGTTGAACCTTTGGTGGCATTCTAGACGTATGTTAGTACAAGATCTTTGGTCAGCTTCCTCGGTAGATTAATCGGAGAAGAAAAAAAAGAGGAATTTGAAGTCATCGTGGCCGGATTGAAGGTATGCGCAAATCGATAAACGTGGAAAACTTTTCACTTGGTAATCACAAGCTTGGTTTGTTGAGAGCGGGCTCCCTTCGTGGTTGGGTTTGAATACTTTTTTCTTCAATGGATACGGTGTCGCCTGAAACTTCAAGGATTCATCGCTTGACAATTTTGGCAACTCCGGCCTCTGACATAGTCTATTCCGATTGTTTCAACTACCCAGGCAGTCATGTTTGGGGGTCTTACATACGTAAAATAAAACTTGGAGTTCTAAAACAACAGAAGGAACGTTGCTAGGAGTACTATTTTGACGTTTATATCAAACGTAGTCTACCAAAACGAGACTTGGTCGGTGGTACTACACTCAGCGCTAACATCCGAGCACCATACTGCAGACCGAACCGCGACTGGGGGCAGAGTGTGTGCCACTCAGAGGAAACCAGTAGGCTAGTAAAAGCACACAGAATTATTGTCCCAAAGGGAGAGGATTTTCAGTCCTGCATGGTGGTTCAGGAGAATTTTTCCAGCTCCTTGCCTTGCTCTAAACGCACGAGAGAGTTGGAGCTCGATGTGCGTTAGAGCTGCGAAAAATTCAGGTTTTTTATCTCTCTCAGTTGTGACTGTGTTTGTTGCTTGTCATCACCTGACAAGCCCTAAATACTATCACGCGCGCACCATGTGACATGGCTTAGATAAGCAAAGTTACGGATTTTTCATAATATGCGTCTGATGCTATGAAGTATTGATCTAGACAGCCTTGAGGTAATATACTGACTTCCCCGCATTATCCCGATAATCACACAATGTCAGGCGGCGGAAAGAGAAGAGCAACCAACCAGATTTCCAAGGATACTTTCCACCGGGACGAAGAGCGTTCAGACGACGAGAACGTGGATTTGTCTGCGCAACCCAAACGTGCTTCTGCCGAAACGCTAGCCAAGCGCAAGATAATCAAGCCAAGGGGCAGATTGGGTGCGGCGGGTACCTCTATGCCTAGCAGTGGTTTCAATTTTGGTGCCATCGGTGCTCCGTCGGCTGATTCTTCGGCCACCACCCCATTCTCCTTTGGGGTCAAGACGGATACCGAGGCCAAGCCCACTAATCCGTTTGGTGGTTTTAACAACAAGCCAAGCACGTCATTTGCCATCAGCTCCGCTGCCCAACAACTGGAAGCTGATAAGCCAAATAATGCGTTTGGCTTCTTGGGTGGTAGTTCTGCGCCTGCGAGCTTGCCTTCCAAGCCAACAGCTGGCTCTGACAACAAGAAGAATAGCCAATTGAAGGCGTTGAACAGCCTGTTCGAGGCATCAATCACGAAGGCTTTCACCGCTAATCCCATCGCGGATTTCAGTGCCATAATCGCTAAGTACCAGTTGTATTTGGAAAAGATCAACAACAACACTGTCACTCTTCCAGAACCGAAGCAAGCCATCGGTTCTGTTGGTAGCAATGCTGCCACTTTCGGCTCGTCCATCACTTCTGGCGCATCAGCCCCCACCGGAGCTATCATCGCATCCAGACCAGAGGTGATTGCTGTGGACCCCTCCGATTCAGAGTCCGAAGATGAACAGCCAAAAAAGGAAGTCAAGGTCGAGGGCCCGCAATTCACCACCAGTGCCAAGCTCTCGTTTAAGGGCTCCAGCTTCACATTCAACCCAGCCGATAAGAGAAAGGAGGATTCGGATTCCGACTCTGAAGATGAGATCAAGATTGAGGGGCCGAAGTTTGAGTTTGGGGGTGCTGTGAAGAATAATAGCTTCAAGTTTGACGGAATGAAGACCAATGGGTTTTCATTTGCCTTACCTCCATCAACCATAGCTACGGATGTTGCCCCAACCACCACAGAGGTTTCTGCTACTCCAGTTTTCACCTTTGGCCAGAAGGCAACCCCAACGGAGGAAAAGCCGGCTGAAACCCCAAAGAACAAGGTTGAGACCCCAGCCACGTCAACCACCTTCAACTTTGGGACTACTTCTACTGCCGCAGCCTCTGCGTTCACCTTCGGTAGCAAGTCGACGGAAGCCAAGCCTGCGGAAGCTAAACCATTCGCCTTTGGCTCTTCCGTTCCAGCCTTTGGTGTCACCAAGACCGATGAAGCTAAGACAGCTTTTGCTTTCGGGTCCGGTGAAAAGCCAACTTTTGAAACTCCTGCGAAGGAAGGCGAAACGAAGGCTGAGACTCCAAAGTTTACCTTCGGCAGCGCTTCTGCTGCGTCTTTCAGTACCACTCCTGCCTCAAATGGCGCTTTCTCATTCTCATTCAATCAGAGTAACACCAAGCCACTGGAAGCTGCGCCAGCTGCTGGTGATGACGAAGTTGAAGAGTTCACCCCAAAGGGAGATTTTAAGCCAGTGGTCCAGTTGACCGAAAAGGTTGCGACTGAGGAAACCACCGGCGAAGAGGATGAAGAGTGTTTATACACCAAACGCGCCAAGTTGATGATGATTAATCCGGAAACCAAGGCGTACGACTCCAGGGGTTTGGGCGAGTTGAAGGTTCTCCGCAACCCCGAAACCAAGAAAGCCAGAATCTTGGTCAGGGCTGACGGCTCCAATCGTGTCTTGTTGAATACTATGGTGGTTAGCTCCATCAAGTACGACGCCATGGGCAAGGGCCACGTCAAGTGTCCTGTGTTCACCCCGGGTGGCATGGATACCTATGTAATCAAGGTCAAGACTGACGACGACGCTAAGGCGTTGATCGCCAAGTTGGACGAAGCTAAGGACGCTTGATAGTGACATGCCATGTTACAGCTCGTTTAGATTATTGCATTGTATACTATATGTACTTTTACACCAATTCTGTATTGTCATAAAGTCGGAGGATTGATTCGTTTCCGAGAGCCAGGAATCTGCTGATATCTGGTCATAGCTGTATACTCTAGCTTCTATGTTTTCCACAGAAATAATGAGGGAGTCGGCCTCTTTGAATTCTTTTCGATCTCCCCTATCGTGTAATCCGTTGGAACCTCAGTGAAATAATTAAGCTCAAGCTTCGGTTCTCCACTATACTGACGTACCACCTCTGTGAATCAAGGATTTAGATATAATTTGGCAATATCATTAAGTTTCACTCATATTAGCAATATACTAATACCAGGCAAATTGCCGTCTAAAATCCCAAACCTATAAACACACATGACCTGGAATCACAGAAGTGAGATTAACGTATGGATACAACATAAAAATGGTTTTCTATACTAAATGAAATTGCATTTGGCTACGTATAGATATTCCGAATACTTCTTGTACATCATATTGTGCACTCATTTACGCACTCACGGTTTTGGCTTCCACTTCACTAGCTCTAGAAACGGCCTTAAACTTAATACACATCGCAACAAGCAAAAAATTTGCATATTTTCAATTCTCTACATCTATTGACACGAAAGCAAAACCAATATATACAAACATAATGAATAAAAAGTGTGGATCTGAGAGCGAACACAAAGTCTGCTCTTTAGAATTTGCCGCAGTTTTGCTTAACACCCACGACATGCGCCTCGTTACAAAAGCATAGATTTAGAATATATAAAGACAGCTCATAGCGTTAGCAATAGCTAGTAAAAGCCTAATTTAAGAAAGCCGTAGCCTAATCATATTCACTTCTCACCTGTATCTACATCATGCTGGTCGCAACGTACCGTTAATCCCCTACATTTCACCCCGAATCTCCTCATGACCATAGTTATAAACACAATCATTACTTTTCATTACTTTTTTTTCAACACACTCCGAACCAGGGCCACGAAATCGTCCTCAAACCCCACATCGAGATACTTCCACGCTTGTCCGGTCTCCCTATAGTTACCTCCCAATACCGCTAACACCTCGTCCTTGTCCCCAAAGAGCTTGTAGTCAATCTTCGCAAAGAGTCCCATGATACATCGCATCATGAAGGCGCTGCCTTCGAAGATTCCAATGTCGATGAGGCGCGCAGTGACGTCCATGGCGAGCAAATTGTTTGTGAAAAAACCCGGAAGCAATGTTGTGAAAAGCTCGACGCTGGTCAAGCCGATGATTTGGAAGTGACGCTGTAAGCGCTCGTTCTTCTCGCGGAAGACTTTATCGAAGGATGCGGCTTCTGTCTCGAGATAAGCGCGTGCATACGGCGCGGGATTTGCGGCGAGACACGTTATACACGCGCGTGGCAACTTTCTGGCAAGAAGCGCGGTGAGTGCTACGAGCGCACGGCTGGGATTCTGGATGTAGTGCGTGAGGAGCGTTGCGAGGTTTGTGAGCCCAGGGAAAAGCGGATCGCCCGAGTGGATGAGGTATGCGAGGGTGACCCGGAAAACGGATCTGAAGAAGGCAGGGCTCTGGAGGAGCGCGAGATCAGGGTAAGACACTGCGAGCTGATGGGAGAGCTGGGGAATGACGGTCTCAATGTAGTGAACATCAGAAGGGGAGGCGTTAGGATTGCCGTTGTTGAGCTCATATCGAGAAATGAGATCGTCGCAACGGGCAAAGCTGGAATCTTTGCTGGTGGATTGGGCGGAACCTAAGGCCTCGCCTGTCGTTTGACCATTGCCACTGGTTCTATCTTGGATCCTGACCCCAGCATCGTCCACAACTCTGGCAGTGCTTCCGGTAATCACCTTATACCAAACCTGTCCTCTGAGATTCTCGGGAATTCCCCGCCACCACAATTCCCTAGTCGACGTCCTTGTCACTGCCTTATCGAATTTTGGCAAAACATCCTCTACCCACTTCTTCGAGTCGCGTTCCCGCTGCTTCTCCCACTTCTTCAACTGGGCCAACTTCAAGTTATGCAGCGTTTGCTCCTTCTTCAACGCCCCACTTAACATCGTGTCGTACTCGCGGTCGTGCTTAGAGCACTCGTCCTTGGCCTTTGGCGGAAGGAAGCTCGGCCTGGTTGGCGTCATGTACTTAGACTTCCCCAAGGAGTCAGTACTGCCGTTTGCCTGGAAGGTTGCCAGGAAAGCCTGACCGCTGGAGTGGAGGTTGCTCAAGCTGTTGTTGCGGCTTTCGTCAATGTAGATATCGCTCAAGTCCACGGCCGAGTTGTTGTGTTCGAACAAGCTGCGATTCATCTTCCGCAAATAATTCTGGCGCAACGTGGACTCTTCGGAGATCGTCAACATGGACGAGCGGTTGAATAGCACGCTGAGCTCACGCGCGTCGTCGTCAAGACTCAGCAACTCGCGGAGGAACAAGTCGGTAGTTTCCGCTACATCTTCGACGCTGGACATTGAGTCGACCTCGCCGCGCGAGCTGAGGATGGAGCGGCGGCTGGAGGCCGTGGCAAGGCTGGAGCGAGAGGCGACGCCCGAGGAGCGAGTAGAGGCGGTGCCTTTAGTAAAACCTTGCGGTGAGGTAAAACCTTCGGGTGGCGCGACAGCTTGCACGAAACCATGGGGCAACGCGCGGGCGGTCGCACCGCCCGCGACAAGCTTTTTCTTGTGGTGCAACTCGCTCAACGTCCGCGATACCGGTACGTTGAACATGGTGACATCTCCTTCGATTTCGTCATCCGAAAAGTCCGCATCGAAATTGTTGTGCTTGATGAGCTTTGTGATGTTTTCATTCAACTTTGCGCGCCGAAGACGGAGCTTCTGCGACGGTGTGAGACCCTGGTTCCACTCGCTGCCCTGGGAGTTCAGGCGAGAGAGTTTTGAGTTGAGTTTGGAGAAGGATTTTTGGCGAGACAAAGCTGAAGCCGAAGGCTCCTCAAGAAGGTTGCTTCTGGAAGTTAGGTGGTCGGTGCTGTTGTGATTCTTTCGCGTTGGTAGTGTGTGGGTCCGTCTAATGCCTGGATAGGCTCTATGGGTCCCATTGATAGGAATTTCATCGAGAGTCTCCTCAAACATTTCGGGTTTCCGGGCCAGAGGCGCGGTCCGCGTTCTGAGAGGTACATTGGGCATTGTGTTGTATATAGTGAATAGGAAATGTGACGGCAAAGAGGAATTAACGTAAGACGAAGGGTAAGATGAACGGTAAAATGAACGATAAGATGAATTTTTAGTCCGGGAGGTCAGAATGTACCGAGCAATAGAAACTCTAAGGCATCCAAACACGATCTGTAATAGCAATAATAGATCTGTCTAGTGTGTTATGAAACTTCGCGGTTAGTCCGCCAGCCACGGATGATATTTTCGCGTGAAATTGTCAGGGGCCATTTTCGGGTGCGTCTGCGTTAGGCCCAGCCCTGACCGTGCAGCATCGATGAGAGACCTAAGACACGTATGTGGGAGATAGACATAGGAGGAGGATGAGATTCAACTATGGTATATGAGGATATGGTTCTTGATCTATTGTAGAATGGGACTATAGTACATAAAACTATGGTGACCGGCCTATTGCGGAGCCGTTTCACTCCTCTTAGTGGAACCATGATCTGCATACCTATTTATAGAATGTATGGATAAAACAAGCAAACGCACTGACTGCTAATGGAGACCTCTACCATTATCTTTTATATTGCTAGACACTTATTTTGTTTAAACTTACACTATAGAAAGAATATATCTCTACATCTTTACATCTTCCTTTGCCCACTACATTTTGGTGCGTGAGGCGAGACTTTGCCTTTGCACGTGAGGGTGGAACCTATCCAGGAAGGACAGTCCTTTCACCGTTCCCCAACCATACTATGAGATGTCTTTCACGCAACTCTTTACTATTTGAAATCATCAATAAATTTCCTGGTAGCTATATACAGAGATGAAGACCCCACTGCTGCTTCTAAGGAAGATTACAAGCCTCTTATTCTTCTGCTCAGCCTCGCCAAAAGCGGTACATGCATGCCTGTTTTAGGGTGCAACCAGTTGTAGTCCGTGCCGAGACGAGAATCCAGGCGCGTCAGTGTTCATCGACTCGGCATATATATACAACTAGGGGGTGCACATACACAATGTTCCCTGGTTCAGTGTGTTTTCCAGCCGGCCGTATGATACAAAGGAGTAGATATGATCGCAATCGCTGAGATGCAATTGAACATTGGGGTACGTTCCTGAATTGATGATCTAGGCGATTTTGAAGCACAAAGCTACGCCGCAGATATGCCATCTGCGTGAGCTGCGTACTACGGAGCTTATCTTCCACCTTAGCTAGCAGGTAAATCGCCTGGTAAAAAGTTGGGATAACAAAAAAATATGAAGACTCTGGAATTCCAAGCCAGATTCTTACTGGTACGTAGCTCGCGCGAGAAACTGGTTACTCCTATGTGGATGACGTAAACCTAGGAGCTTAACGAGACATAAGGAAACGGATATCAAACAGTTGCGTACAACGGGGAAAGGAGTGTGGGGGCGTTTAAGATATTTTATAGTATACAAGTGGTGACATACCCGAGGTTCGGTCGTGTAACTATAGAGCATTCCCGTTTGTTCATCATTATGGGGTAGCTCTATACAAGCTGCACCTTGATATCCAGGAAATGGAATATAACTGTGCTTATCATAACGACATTTTTCACCTTAACCGCGATGGGGCGCGAATACACCAATAGGGAACAGCAGAGGCCCAAGCTTATTCAATCACATTGGTTACACAGTTAAAAAAATATTATATCCACGGGTCCAGGTCTATTTTTGCACTTGCTCGTGAAACGTCCAAAGATTTTCATGATATTTATGCAAAGCCCCTTATCTTGGACCGTGGCGATTACCAACTTGAATTGTGATATCATGCTCAGAGCGGAGCTTAGACAGCCTCCAGGTCTGTACACAGATCTCAGTACAACTCAATTTCGCGCCCCGTGGATATAAAATCTGAGGAATATTTATATTTAGTTTATTGGATACTAAATTTGTATTATATAACTCTTTTATTTCCAAATCCAGGGAGCTTGGTATACTCTACATCCAAGTGATTTACATCCTTCAGTTAACCCTTCCGTGCCGGACTGTGCCCAATTTCACCTCTCCGGGTAAGGCGCACGTCGCGGGACATTTGCTTCACAGCAACCAGTCCTGGAATTGGCTCATGCGCCTTAACTTTTCGGCCATATGCAGCTGGTGAATTTATTACGGCCTGTCAACTATGACCCCCTACATCCTCACTCTTATCAATTGCTCTGTCATACCAGGAATTTAGTCACTACCTCAGCTTTTTGTACTGAAAGCAATAGCAACGATGTCCAATCCTTCATCCAACCCTAGTCCAACCGCCATTGCCAGCGGCGCTTCCGCGGGAGAGTCCGAAGCCAGAAACAGAATTGACGCCAGAAATGGTGCTCAAGCGGCTAAAAATGATGCCGATGCGATTGGAAATGATACCAAGAGCGCTAATGAGGCCAAAGATAGTAATGATGTCAGCATAGCCAGAAATGCTGATGCCAATGGCAGTTCTCCCGCCGAAGCATTGCAGGTTCCTATTGCAGTGTCCATTACAGACAGTAGCGGAAAGCCTATCGGTGACGGCAACTTGGAGACCTCTGTCACCCAGAAGGCGCCAGCGGTGGCAGTTGTGGCGGCCACATCCACCGTAGAGGAGGTCCAGACTCCTGAGGGGATGGTCAGACGAACGAAGAAGCGGAAGCTCAGAAAGGTGGTCAAGCCACCGTCACAGGTCTTGAAGTACGTTTGGCTCGGCTGCCACGTGCTGACGCTCGTTTGTGGCCTCGGATACCTCCTCTTTTTCCTCACTTTCCAAAAGAGACGCGTGGTGGCGCGCATCTTGTACCGTGCGACTTTCTCGCTGATTATCGTCGCCTACGCGTTATCGCTCCATAACAAGTTTGGAACCACTTTTCCATCGTACTTCTTGCTCTTAAGCGGGGAGGCATTCCAGTACTTGCTTCTAGCGATTGTCTGGTTGTTCACGTTTGCGTCAATGATGAAATTGTTGCCGTTTTACTTAGTGGCCGTGTTACAGGTGGCCAATTTTTTCCACATCCAGCCAATCTTGCACTTCGATGCGACGTTCGCCAAGGTTATTGCCTATGACGAGCTCGTGATTATCTTGTACTTGCTCTTCAAGACATTGATCTTCAGATCGACCTCTGGCTACCAGTTGGTGCTCTTCTGCGGATTCTACCGGTTGAGAATCTTATATTCGCCACCAACCCGCGCATTGGTCGAGCATGTGATTGATTTGGCCGATGCGAAGGTCAGCGGGGTCAAGAATGAGAAGGTAGTCAAAGCCTGGGGTGAATTCAAGGACTTTATGGTGGAGAAGCGAAAGGAGAGCAAGCTCTACCAAACTCAGGAAGAAGCCAAGGCTGTGACAAAGTCTCAGCTGAAGCAGACCAAGGCTGAGACGAAATAGTGAGGAGAGAAGACTGGTGGAGACCGAACCCTATCAATTTTACGCAATACGTATGTAAATTTTAAATGTGTGTAGAGAAGGTCGGGGCACGAAAGACAATCAATTGGTAAACAGGCAAACTTAATTGCAGCTACAGTACAAGAGGGAAGTCCACGATACAAATCATAGCTGAGCTGGGAGTTATTTTGTGAGCGCTATTATCAATTGGCGGGTTAAAGGCTCACCAAGGTGTAAGCCATTTTCAAACTCGCATGCAGAAATTGGTCTTCACAATATTGCTTCTAGCGTTTGATTCAAATGATAACAGAGTCAAGGTGTCAGTGGATGCCAAAAAGGCTTAGAGGGTATCAAGCTTTCGATTTTGTCTGTCCTCCGCGGTGTCAGCATGCCCTTATATTTCTAAAGTCCTCGATGGTGTGTATTTACACGCATAGACGTCTGAAGTTTCTGATAACTGAAAACGAACGTGAGTAACGAGGACGGCGGCGACCTCCACTCTTGCGGTATAACTGACACAGGTAGGTATCCCGAACAGTATCTATCAGCTTAGCTGAGCCATGTGGTTTCACAAATATTTAGAACTACCGGAAACCTTTAGAGCCAGTATTCCCTCCAGTTCCCACCCTTATTAAAGCATTTGGTGTATGCCTGTACAATACACATGTCACTGTTGCTTATTCATAGCCATGTAATGGCTATGAATAAATGTCCCGCGGCAACAGTAATCACTTTCTCTAAACCCGGTATTGAACCTAGCCCTTTCTCCACAAACCATAAATTTTATTTTTGGGCTTATTCGGTCAGCCTTCTGGGCATCGTAGCATGGACCCAGGGCTATTGAGCTCCCTAACGATCACTATATCCCCCTAACAATTATTTATTAACCACCCTAGCTTGCTTTCAAAAATACCCCTCATCGTCGCTTAGGATTCCCCGGATCTCGCTTCGCACTTTGCGTGCACCAACCAGCAAAGTGCGAGATTTTTCCAGAAAGTTCCCCAGCCTGTAAACTTATTTAACTCATATAGCTCTTGCTTGGAATGTTTCATCAGCAGAACGAACCTTTTTTCTTGTCACATTTCCATTCAGCGTATCCCAATCTATTTCACTTATATTAGTATACGATGGTTCTCTCTACTATAAGCATTGCCTGTGGTAACCACCTAGGCTTGCGCCTCAGTTCTGCGCTCGGTTCTCGTCTTGCCTGCCGTTCCTTCCACGTTTCCCACAGGTCCCTCCTCGACGATCCATACAAAACCCTCGGTGTGGGCAGCTCCTCCTCCACATCCGACATCAAAAAGGCATACTATAAGCTTGCCAAACAGTTCCACCCGGACGTGAACAAGGAAGAGGGTGCTGAAAAAAAGTTCCACGACATCCAAGGCGCATACGAAATCCTTTCTGACGCAGACAAAAAGGCGCAGTACGACCAGTTCGGGCCATCGGCGTTCAGCGAAAACGGTGGACAGGGTTTCGGACAAGGCGGGTTCCACAACGGGAATCCGTTCGCCGGGCAGGGCGGTGATCCGTTTGCCGGGTTTGGTAACATTAACTTCGAGGATATCTTTGGTGCGGCGTTTGGTCAAGGAGGGAGAGGCAGAGCAGGCCCAACAGTGGCGAACTACGTGGGTGACAATATCGAGATCCTCAAGACGATTTCGTTCAAGGAGTCGATCTTCGGCACCAAGTTGAAGATCGATTATAACGCGTTGGACGAGTGCCACACGTGCGACGGCTCTGGGTTAAAAACTGGCAAGAAGAAGACCACATGTCCAAGCTGTAACGGAACGGGGCAGGCGGTTCACTACGTCGCTGGTGGCTTCCAGATGGCATCCACCTGCAGAACGTGTCAGGGTCTGGGGGTACACATCCCGAAGAAGGACGCGTGCGGCGACTGCCACGGGCACGGGGTTACCGATGGTGGAAAATCAACGTCGATCGACCTTCCATGCGGTTTGTCTGATGGTACCAAATTGCGAGTTCCGGGCGAGGGTGACGCGCCGAATGTCACCAAGGGGCCGAATGTGAAAGTTTCCAAGGGTGACTTGATTATTCGTATCCGTGTGAACCCGCACAAGGAGTTCACGCGCGACGGTGACTCCATTATCTACAAGGCGGAGATTCCAATGACCACCGCGGCGCTTGGGGGTCAGATCACCGTGCCGACGATTGACGACAAGAGCGTCAAGATGAAGATCCCTGCCGGGACGCAGCACGGCCGCATCATCACCATGCCGGGTCAGGGTGTGCCAATCAACCGCAACATCAACAATAGGGGCGACATGAAGATTGTGGTTTCCGTCAAGACTTTGAGACCAGAGACCGCCACGCAGACGGCCTTGTTGGAGGCTTTGGCGGACGCGTTCAACGATCCGTCCGCTAAGAAGTTGGATCCAAACTGGAAGGCCGAGAGTGACGAGCCAGTGGACCACCCGAGCAAGTTGAAACGGATCGAGGACTTCTTGAGTGGCACCTTTAAGAAGCTCACTGACAAGAAGGAGTAGATAATATTTGTATATAAAAGTCAGATAATGTATATAGTATCATTAGTAAGTGCAGGTACGGCTATGTAGAAGTTGCTTCGGAGTCTTATGGGTTGATTGTATACCGGGTGGATGCCCTTCAGTCATGAGCTGTGAAGTGTTAGAAGGCTGAAAAGCGATTCAGTTTGAATTATATTGATCTAGAACCGGAATTACAGAAGTAGGTTCCCCTGAAAAAAAACATTCACATGCTTGGAGAAAGGCCGGGACTGAGAAAGGAGTATCCGGTCGATTTTCTAGAAAAAAATATGTATCAACGTTGGTACAAGAACCAATATGGTTATAATACAAAAAGGTCGCATTAATTTGGTGTTTTACATCATGGACTGCGGTGAATCGGAAGATATATAGATCGAGGCTAAGTACTAAGGCCAGCCCCAAAAACCACGTATACCCGGGAAAATAGTAACGTCAGGCTACACCACATACGCGGCAGTTATAGGCATATAAGCCTCGGAATACCCACATTTACTATTGCCAAAAACGGCCGCGTATCGTGGATGTGCACCCTGGCCCAAACCCCTTAAGGCATTGGCCGATACTCGAGAAGCAGTCAATAGAAAACAGCCCCAGATATGAGCTCTCAGATGCTACTCAAATAATAGCGCACCCCGCTTGTGGTCAGTAACATTCTAATTGTGAAAAGGTTGGTGTTTATGCCGTCCTTACCGTCTCGGTCCACCTCTTGACAAACCCAAACTCATTCTCAGCACTACCCGTTGAGGTCGCTCATAGAAACATCGCCCTCGGCCTCGGAGTTTTCATAGTACACTGCCGCATCGCGTTCTGGTTCGCCGACGTTTTCCTCCTGTTGCAAGAATAATGTGTATACAGCACCTTTAAACAACGTAAACACCAAGCTGAGTTTCGTCTCTAATGTACGCAAGTTTTCCAATAACGCACTGCTCTCGGTGTTTGTTAACTGCTGGATCTCCCGCGATAGCTGGAGCAACGTGAGGGAGAGCCGTTGGTACTGGGTGAGAATCTGCGCCTCAAGAGAGGAAAGCAGTGGGTGGTTCGTGTAGTCCGTTATGAGGTGGCTCGGGAGTTTGTTCTTGTCAGACATTGAGGTGGGAGTGCTTAAAAGATGGTTAGAGAAGGATATTGGCGGTAGCAGCGTAGTTGGGGGGTACAATAGGTAAACAGACGCGTTTTATATTCTTGCTCGTTTTCCTTTTCGCGGACGCGCACTGGCATGCTCGCAAATGTACGATTTACGCAAACGGATTCGTAGTGAGGAGAATCGCTAGGTAAATATCCGTAAGCATTGGGTATTTTGTTGAGGAAGGTCCAAGCGTGACCTTGAAGACCTTGAAAAATATACTAAATATGCTTAACGACTGCACTATAGGTAATATTTTAATTTACTAACCAAAAGGTGGAAAAGCGGGTTGGGGTATCAGGCCGTTGTGATCGGAGGTGAGAGTGACAGACAGGAACCTATCCGTTTTAGTATTTGTAGCTAATCACATTTACTCACGTTTCTATGAAACTTTGGCCAGTTATTTATCAGGCCTGTAGGTATAGATGATACCGGTGAAAGAGAAACTTGACGGTGTTTTGTGTCTATTTTCCCTATCTTAGACTTATTAAAATGAGTTAAGGTCTCCTCTTACGTGTGCCCTTAATATAAATATCTTTAAAAATGCGCTACAAATATCGTCCATACAAATGTACTAAAAGCTGCTGGAACTTTGGCAAATTACATCGCTAATCCCTTTAACGGGTCATACTTCTAGTAAATTGTACTCGCATAGCACTAGTTCAAGGTGAAGATTACCACCTTGCCGTCCCTCCCAGAAGTGCTGATGTGCACATCAGACAACATTCTGACCCTGGTGATGGTATTCTGGTGGATGTGTGGTAAAAGGCCGTTGTTGTTCTGACTGGTGTTAACAACCTTCCCCTTAAGGTCCAACTGCTTGAACATGTTCAAGGCATTGGCGTGTGAGTATGCGTCGTCTTCCTCCTCGGAGCGCTCGATCACAACTTGCGTATCGTCATCGAGTGCGTACGCCTTGGCCCAGCCGTGTGCGTCTCCGCGGAACACCACGGGGTGACAGTCGTGCCCCGCGGCGACAAGCTCGCCTTCATTAGTGAACACGACCGACGTGAACGGTAATGAGTCCTGAAGCTGCAAGCTAATAACAGCAGTCCCAGGATACACAACGTTGACGGAGTTATCCTGGGAGACAAACGCCAACACGTCACCGGAGGGCGAGAAGGCGACATCGTGCACCCACCCGGACTGCGTCTCAGTCTGGAAGTCGCCACAAGGGGCAGCAAAGGGGAATTTATCGCCCCAGACGCTAGGTCCGGGTCTTGCGTCAATCGCCTTGACATACGCGGAGAAAACGCGCGCGTGGAAGTCGTAGTAGCCCACGGCCAATAACACGTTATTCGGGTGCCACTCGAGGTTGGTCACGGTAGAGCGCTTGTTGTCCTTGACCTTGATGTGTTTGGAGATCCACCAGTCGTTCTCCTCCTCGAAGTAGCACACCGCAACCACGCCGTCACCGCTGCCTACCGCGATCTTGTCGCCGCTAGGCGACCAGCGCACGGCCGTCGCGGCAAAATCAATGCGCAAGAGTACGAGTGTCGGTGTGTACGTCACACCCGGCGTCCACACAATTGCGTTGCGGTCCTGTGAGCACGTAACGATCTTTCCGTCAAGCGAAATATCCACCGCGGTCACCTTTTTGTCATGGTCCGCAAGCGTCGCAAGCAACCGCGGCGCGGCGCCGGTCACGCTGTATATCTCGACATTGCTGTCTTTCGTGATCGCCAAGATGCTTCCATCCGCGGAGAAGCAATGGTCTTGGATAGGCTCGTGGCCAAGGGGGAAAATGGTTGGAGAGGACATAGCTTGGGGGGGTGTTAATTGATCAATTGATGAAGGGAAAGGGAGTGTAGGCTCTTTTAAGGCGGAGCACGGGGAAGTTCGGGCGAGAATGGCTAGGCGGGCCGTGCACGACCAACAGCAATCGATATCCAGACTATGGAAGGCGCTGGTTATAATGGTGTTGGGACATGTCGAATATTCTGAATATATTATAGTAAATAAATTGATATCTTAGGCCTATAATAAAAGGTGAGACGGTCTAATTAGGCGTTGAAGATAGCCGGTGGTGAAGGTGTAGTCTTAGGTGAGTAATTCGGAGAAATGTCAGTGCATGCCTATATCTCCGAAGCTCCTGCCTCATTATGCCAGTTGGAGGTCTGAGCGGTACTAAGCTTAAGGTTCATATAGGATTTTCTGAGTGATCGATACAGACATATAATTGGCATGCGCCTGATATATTATTTTGCTACAACCAAGTGACCTTCGGTCTTCACCATCATGATCTTGGGACAGCTTGGCATTGTAGCGTTTAAAGGGACTAGACGGAAAATGGCAGGTCCTGGTTACTTTAACACTCATCTTACTCTGTTGAAGAGATTTAACCATGATTAAGGTCTGTGGTGGCTTTTTAATCACTAGAAGCGCCCGTGTCATTAGTATACGTCTCGGGAGTTTGCCTTTTTCCATAAACTCCCGATTCATCTGGCCGATGGCTTGAAACGGCAGTACACTCTAGGATCACTTACGGTTTAAGAAGCATTAGATATATCCTTGAGGTGGAACAACCTCCGGCCTTACACGGTCATATTGTAGCGTTCCTGGTACAAGGCCAAGCACGGAAAAGGTAATTCAGACTGAGTGGCTACGGAGCCTAGCAGACTAAACATCTCTTTAAGCCTTGCCAATGACGATCATTCAAATCCACGATTCCCCTTTAACCCTACAATCAGTCTCTTACCCATTCTTATAATAACATGTATTCGATCCTCCAGAGGATTACTATCAGATGCCTAGACACTCAACTTGACTTCGTCCTTGTTGATGTAGTGGGCAAACGGCGCCAAGGCCTTGGCAACGTCATTGGCGACGAACTTCTCGACCTGCTGTGGCGCTCTGCCGACAAAGGTGGATGGATCCAACAAGGAGTCCAACTCGTCGTGGACCGGCTTGAAGTATGGAGTCTTCTTGATTCTCTCGATCAAGTCGTTGTCACCACCCTGCTGTTTGACGACGTCGGAGGCCTGGTGGGACAAGACTCTGATCTCCTCATGACACACCTGTCTGGACTCACCCTTGGAGACCATGGCCATGATGATGTTTTCGGTGGCCATGAACGGCAATTCGGCCATGATTCTTCTCTCAATGACCTTAGGATAGACAACTAAACCGGAAGTGATGTTCAACATGGTGGACAAAACAATATCGGCAGTCAAGAAGGCGGAGGGCAAGGTGACTCTTCTGATGGCGGAATCGTCCAAGGTTCTCTCGAACCACTGGACGGAGGCGGTCTGGACAGCATCGTTGAATAAGCCACCCAAGTGTCTGGCCAAGGAGCAGACTCTCTCGCATCTCATTGGGTTTCTCTTGTAGGCCATGGCAGAAGAGCCGATTTGTGACTTCTCGAACGGCTCTTCCATCTCCTTCAAGTTGGCCAACAATCTGACGTCGGTAGCAAACTTGTGGGCGGTGGCCCCCAAGGAGGCCAATGGGGCCAACACGTCGACGTCGATCTTTCTGGAATAGGTCTGGCCAGTGACCGGGTAGACGTGCTCGAAGCCCATCAACTCGACGACCTTGGCATCCAAGGCTTCAACCATGTCGTGGTCACCGTGGAACAAAGACAAGAAGGAGGCTTGGGTCCCGGTGGTTCCCTTGACACCCCTCAAGCCGAGATCGTTTCTGGCTCTCAGCATGTTTCTCAAATCCCACAATAACTCCTGGATCCACAAGGTGGCTCTCTTACCGACAGTAGTCAACTGGGCTGGTTGGAAGTGAGTCCAACCCAAGACCGGCAAGTCCTTGTACTCGATGGCAAATTCGCTCAATCTGTTAATGACATTGACCAACTTAGGGATCAAGACATCGTACGCGTCTCTCAAGAAAATCAAGTCCGCGTTGTCAGTGACATAGCACGAGGTGGCACCCAAGTGGATGATCCCGGCAGCCGCTGGACAGGTTTCACCAAACACGTGCACGTGTGCCATGACGTCGTGTCTCACCTTGGCCTCTTCAACAGACGCGGCGGCGATTTCGGCATCGGTGATTTCCAAGTGCGCTTTCATCTGCTCAAGGGCTTCGTCGGTAATGACATCCTTCAAGCCGACCTGTCTCTCAGCAATGGCGAGGTTCAACCAGAGCTTTCTCCAGGTGGAGAATCTGTTTCTCAAGGAGAAAATCTGGGACATCTCGACAGAGGCATATCTGGAGGACAATGGTGTTGCGTACTTATCGTTTTCGGACATTGTAAATGGTTAGCTGTGGATGTGGAGAGACAAGATAAGAGAGCAGTCCGCGGCAGTTTTATATGCGTCTTGCCGACAGGGTGAAAAAAAATTAATTAATGAGGGTGCACGGTGCAGGACACAATTACACGCGGTGACTCTGGAGGGAAATTGACACGTTGGAACACGTGATGCAATCAGAGTCAACAGACCCGGGACCCTCCGCGAAATGCCCCATGGGCACTTTGAACTTTCTATAAATCAAGGCTGCACGAGGGATGGACACTAAGTGGCGCCATCGAGGTAATTTCAGCGATAGGGCTATAGGATGTCAATTTTCAGACAGCATCCAGCGTGGGTGGCCCATCCCATATGTGACATAAGGAATCAGGGGTTACGGGGAATAGTTATACGATTCGCACGGCTGGTGAAGCCTTTACAAGAGGTGCGCCAGCTAATTTTTCCTACCTAAAATACACCCTTCAACGCTATCATGAACAAGGGCCATTTATCCTATATTTTACTATATCGCTCCATAAATATCCGATGAGTGTAAGCAGTTGATATCTTCAATCATCTTTTAAATTGATATGATTGGCACATGGCAAAGCCTCAGAAGGTGATAAAAGCTAACATAGTCAAGAATTTCAACAGGAGTGGATTTTTTCGCTATGTCGACTATCTATAGAGTCGTCGTATATCCTTTGGTTCTCAGTAAAGCATTTAGTCAGTCTATTTCACGAAACAAAGCGGTACTACCGGATTGGTTGGTAATAGCATCAACGGAGTGCCAAATATAGATTTCGAGATGCCACTATTCAAGCTTAGCCAAGCTTGTGCGAGGCGGACTGAAAAATGATAAAGCTTACCCAGCACTGCCTCTTTAAGTCTGGGCAAATGTTTAGTTTGGCGACATATCCATGCACGATTATATAGATTACATGTGCTAGATAAAAAAACATGTCACTGGCTTCATATCATATGCAGTTACGGCTCTAAAATCTAGAAAGGTTGCTACAGTAATAATAATGCACCAGCTCTTAATGTACATAAAATATATAGATATCATGCTAATAAACTGCGCTCTAAGAGTCATTCTGGTTAAGGAAGTCCCATAGCCACACTAGCGGCTCCTCTGAGATCATCAGCATTGAGTAAACCAATGTCACATTCAAGCAATGTCTTCCATAGATTATCCCTTACCGAAGGTGAAATATTCGTAGG